TAATTTAAGCGGTTACAATAATTATTCTAAAAATACATTCTGAAATTTTCTTCAAGTAGGGAATGAAATGATATTGTAGAAAAAAGAAAAACAATATGATTAATTTGACAGGGATAATAACAACAAAGTGTTGCCATCATCGATGAAGGATTACGGATTAATAGTTAAAGGGATCAGATTGGTTTTGTCAACAAAAGAAATGCACTTCTAGAGTGGTCCACATTAACTCTTTGAGTAAGCTTTCAGTCTTTCCTCCTTCCTTTCGGAACAAAGGTGTCACGTGCACTATTTATACACTGAATGTATATATTGAATATATATTTGGAATACTTAATGATTGTACCGTTAAGTTATTTAAAACCCTTCAACAAACTCAACAAAATGCTTTACTTATTTTCACGCCTATTTGTTGAATCACGTGACTTCCTTTTTCTGATTATTGAAGTCGTATGTTGCTCAATGGGCATCTAAATACTAAAGTCATATGCCTAGTTGTTTGCCAAGAACAAGTAGGTATATAAAATTTCAGAGTTATATCGTTAAATAACACATAGAATCACGTGATGAAAACATTGTGAAAAATTCCACCTCGCGTTTTATATAACATGCTTGTGTACTTTCTTTAAGAGGTGTTCTGCAATCGAATGTTTTTTACGTGTCTTATCCTTATTTGCGAGGAATTACCTTAAATTAGTAGGCCTGCCAGTTTTTAACAAATCCTATTCGTAAATTGTAAAACTAGACGGCTAAAACCTACTTTCCTTTCACCTGACTAGAGAAATTTTTTTTTCGGCTTTATTGACAAATCACGCGGCGCGCGCATACTCGCTTCATCCTTCTAGAACGTCGCTGTTCTTTATCGATTTTTTCGTCGCTAGAATGTTCTTTAGTTTTTTTCTTGAGTGAAAAATTTTTCATTCATTCTATCGTTTTCTACAATTTCTTTTTACAGTACGCAATTAGGAGCTTGTTATTTGGAAATCGAATGTAAACAGTGGCGATAAATAGCGGTTAGCGCTTTTGTTTATTTATTCGTGTCGTGTTGAACGCGCGAACGCGCGCCAAAAAATATTCTCGCGTAAGAGAAATAATGGAAACATGCATAGTGTATAATAGCATTCTATATGTAATTCTAACTGTGTATACACACTATAAATCTATGCATAAATGGAATAGATGACTTTTTTTATGCGCAAAAGAGAGTATATGTATGTATATATAAGGTATAGATGATGGATTTTGTTGTTTAAAAGATAAGGAATTTATTTCTGGCCGACCGTTAAAATACTTCGATACCATTAGCAACGGCTGATTATTTTCCAGTACAAAGCCGTCGGCGATGATCAAACGCCTAATTTGACCTCAAGGTTAGGAGGCTATATTTTTACGCATAAATTAGTTAAGTTAATTCACTTAAAGCGGAAGTTGCGTTTACAATACGTTAAGCGATGATGGACAAATCAATTTCAAACCGAGGGAAAATAAAACATGCAACTAGTAAATGGTTTTGAACATCGATTTTTAGCGGTTTATTGGTTAAAAAATTAAATTCTTTTTGAGTATAACGAGAAAAAAAAAGAGTAATAAAAGAAGTACAAGGTAAAAGGGGGAGGGGGGAGGGGAGAGAGAGAGAGAAGTGGAGAAAGAGAGAAAAGAATGAATAGGAAAGTAATCAACTGGCCTATTGTCGGAGACAACGGCAAACAATCCTATCAGTAAGATTTACTTGTATACATAGCATTATTATAACATAAAAACGTATATAACACAGTAGGAGAAAAAAATAATAAAGTTTACGTTAAACATTGAACTGCTAATTGCTTGGTCTTTGTTATAAGCTTAATCAAACCGTTGTAAGTTCTTTGACACTTCAAACAACTTTACATCAACATGCATTATTAACTAAGTGTTACGGGTGGAGGAAGAAAGAGGACAGAGAGAAATCTTAAGAAAGAAGGATCAAAAGTGACGGTAAGGTGAAAAAAATTTAATTTCTATGTTTCGGCAATATCTATGGGATTTAATCAGGTGGAAGATTTCTATTTGACGAAGCATGCTTGATATAAAGATAAAGTGGGGGAACTGAATGGGGGAAAGAGCAAAAGCGAGGGAAACTATTCGTTCTATTACATATATTATTCTCAGTATGGTTTTTATAGATGTGTGAATATCAGATTTTTTTGGACTTGGGGTCAAATTATCAGAATGAAAATACTAGTAGGGCCAAGATAAAGTGGAAGAAAAACGTCCGGCGAGAAAAGGGTAGAAAAAAACATACCCAAGCCCGAACGCGCAAAAGAAATATACACGTACTATAAAACGTCTGCCAAACTAGATAAACAACGCATCCAAAACAAGCATTACCCTTACGATAACGGCTATCGTATTTTCAAACGGTTCCCCCTGGTTACATAGGTGAGGTAAAGGGGTACGAGAATAAAAGGAGAGCGACGGAAAATTTTTCCACTGAAAATATTCGATAAGAAACGCAATACTTGACAAACAGATTGATCAGGGGCAGGTGTATTTAAGACCAAGGAAGGGAAAGGAATCGATTGGTTGTGTTCTGTTCTCCTTCTTTTCCTACCTTTTCTTTCATTTGATTTTAGCATTACTTTAAACTAAAAATACTCGAATAAACAAAATTTACGGTTAAATGCGTCAGTTATGATCAATTTGATTTGGAGGGCAAGACGCGGTCGGGTCCATTTTACTATATATATATATATTTATATATGTATATATATAACACGTTTTTTTACCATTAACTTTTACTGGAGTCTATATTTAAAGAATTTACTATCCCCTATCACCTTTGGAGGCTCCGGGGTTTCGAAAAGGATTTTTATTACAGGGGCGTCGAAGTATTTACATCCTCACCTATACTTAATTAACTTTTTTAATACAGTAACGCGTGCTATTTTCCCAACCTTCAACAGGCTTGTTACACCCTATTGGATTGCTGAGTAAACTGTAAAAGTTTGTTACGTAATATGTCTCACGACGTGTACAATTAACTTTTAACAAAGCCTAGTATTAGGGCGATTAAAAATTATTTTGATTTACCACGAAAACGTAATTAATTCGACCTACTCTTTGGTATAAAAGGGGAAAAATAGAAAAAAAATAAACCAACCTTCACCTAGGGCACCAGGTGCGAAGAAAATATAGCAATGAAAAAGGAGAGAGACAACGACGAACATCCTTGCCGACTATTTACGCTCTAATGACCCTTCTTGTCTGCTAGACATTGGACATATCGGCGTATAAATTTTCCAACTTGGGAACAGATAGGAGACGTCTCATTCAAGAGAGAAATTTAAGACGAAGAACATAAGAAGTTTAGCTTTAACTTTCCACTTACACAGTCTGTCGAGCGAATAACGATTTGTGTACGTTGAATGTCAAGACTGTCGCTAGCGCCGACTGGCGGTCCTACGCCCTTTCGGCGGAGATTTGACTAATTTTTAAAAGAATAGCGCCCTCTATTGTACGCACTTTTCAACTAAAGAGAACATTTCTTTTTTAGAATTTAAACATTTGTTCAGCTAGCTCACAGTCATCGCCTACGGGAGGTGGAAAGAGGCGTCCCTAAACGCCCACTACTCGATTGTACCAATTAGAACCGATTTATCGTCCTAATAATTACCTTAGTAAAAAATATAATGAATTATTTATTGAAAGGGAAAGGCGTACTTCATTTCTATATATTGTAGATATAAAAAGGATGATAGTTGAATAAATTTATATATATATATATATAATGGTCTTGTTTGCTTCGATCACAATTTATTGTCAAAAATGACAAGGTTTCTTTAAAAAAAACAATAAAAAAGAATAAAGAAAGACTTTTTGTATATTCTTGAAAAACATCGATTACGTTATTATTATGATTCCATTTAGGAATTAATGCTGAGTGAAAGTAATTCCATTTTTACGCGCATGCGTATGAAAAGAGAGAAAAGATCAGAAAGTTTATTTGAAGAGCAGTAAAAATAAATAGGTTAACTATAACTTATCACTGTTATTAAGATGAAAAATGAAAACTGGTATTAATCAGGGAGGAGAAAATATTTAAAAATTGAACCACGCCCCTCTGACTTTAATGACGGCGTAAAAGCATGCCTTCCGCATTAAAGCATTTATATAATAAAAATGCCTACACCTGCCGCAACAATCGAAGAAAATTGTAGCCTCGTAAATCATTCCAAAGGCACACGTTGCCCCGGCGGACCCTTGTAATTTTCTTTCTTTCACTCTCTTTTACTATTTTCATGTTCCCATAGTATTATGAAACAGTAGGAAGTCGGTCTGTTCCGTTGAAAGAAACGTGACGGACTGATGGTGAAGGAAAAGATTAAGAACAATTCTTTGCAATCAATCTTTTCCCAGGATTCTAAGCACGAAGGCAGGCTATTGCGTAAAGTTTACACAAACGAAAGCCTTAAAGTCAGTTTCCATGCAAAATTTCTGTCTCAAAAATAACTGTTTTTACCTCTTTTTATACGGAAAGGAGTCGCAGATATATAAATACTTTATATAAACTTATATTTAGACATATTGCATATATATATATATAAATTGTGTCTATATATACTTTTTATTAGTGTTAGTTATTCGACACTGTGCGTTGAGATTTAGATCGGGATATAGCATCATTTTGACAAATTTGAGATTGTTTCCTTTGTTCGAGAGCTTTGCTATATTGCTCCCTGGCAATTAAATAATTATGTAAGTAATCCTTAAATTAGATATATTCGTTTTTATAACCCTTTCAATCCTTTAATAGCCTTTGTGTACTTAAAATCTACAATACATACTCATATTTTATTTAAAACTATAACATTTATTAATCGGATTTAATAGGTAAAAGTTTAAGCTACGAAATTGAGCACTTTTAATAGTGTATGAATTGTTCAATAGACAACAGAGTACTTTTACTTTTTTATGGTAAATTTTCGACATTGAACATACAACAAGTACGTTATATTACGGTGAAATATGTCAGAAATTGTATCGTTTACGGCCGAAAACTTGTCATTAAATAAGCCTATAGCTTTGGCCACCGATAATCTATCTAATGTAGAAGAGATGGGAAATCAAAGTGTAAAGAAGAAAAAATTCGGTTTGGTCAAAAAGAGGAAGAAAAAATGCGATGACGTTGTTGATAGTGATGAAACTAAATCTCCTAAAACTGTCGAAGAAGTTGGTGAAAGTTCTACGACTAAAATTGAAGAGATTTCGGAACCGGAAACTAAATTGACAACTGAGTTAGCAGTTAATTCGGAGGAGCAGTCTTCTCAAAGTAAACTGCCAAATTCTCCAAGGAAGCCCTTGTCTTCGTTTGGAAAGAGAATATCTACTACGTTTGCTAATCTAAATCTTGAGAAATCTGGGACGTGATTCAGACTATCTTTGTTTCTTTAAGAACTACGAATTTATAGATTTAAGTATTAAAGGGCACCACCTTCGGGTCTAAGCTCTCATATTCTTACTACAAACAATATCTTTCTCCTTCTTTTATTTCGAGTACTGTCTGTAACTTAATAAGTGATTTAAATAGCACTTTTCTCTCACGAAAGCCTGTTCATTTTTTTCTGAATCACGTCCCAGATCCCTCTACTGTCGTATCCTTAATTGTTAACAAGCCCACTTTACTCAAGATTTATCCGGCCCTTAAACAGAAATTGGAAAAAAATAATTCAAATTGGATAGAGGTAATATAGAATTTCATTTTCTTAGCAAGAAAGATTAATACAAATATATATATATATATATATATATATATAATTTATACAGTATATAAATTCTCCATAAACCTATACAATAAGTTAGATAATATTTATATAATATACATAAATAATAAAATTTAAACTAGATAAATAATTAAGAATATAATAAAATAGTTCAATTCTCTATAAGCCTTGTTTTTATTTTTACAATTGTTCTTCCATTTTTTCTTTTACCTTAAAAGATAAATGCTAAGTCACATTTTCTTTTTTCTATTTCTATCTATATTTCTCTCTCTATTTCATTGTTTGTAAAAATGTATAGAAACACTAAGGATCAACAATTTGACCTATTTTATACACCGTACTAGTTTTAAATTGATTTATTACTTTCTATCTAGTCGTGCAATTCATATTCGTCTATATATACAGTTATGTAGTACAATGTATATATATATATATATCTAGTTACTGAATATTTATTGCGTGTATAGTTTAGGACATATTAGGAAAGAATGTAAAAGCAACCATTAGGCCTAAATAAATACTAATAATAGATAAATAATAATCATATACTGTACATAATAGTTGATATATATATATATATATATATGTGTTCACTATAGGATAATTTTCTAAAGTAGATTAAAAATTTAATTGGTATTTTCTTAAAATAGAAAAAAGTAGAAAGTAGAATTTTCTTTCATTAAATCTTTTCTTATTTTTTTCCTTTTTTTTTTCTCTTATAAAAAGTTTTACAAACACTTTTATTCTTATATATAAATAAAACTTTATACAGTATAAATAGGTTTTTAGAAAGCTAAAGAGGATAAATTGCTAATCTTACTTTACTTACATAACTTTTTTCTCTTTCTTTCTTTCTTTCTTTTCTTCGTACTTCTTCTTCGTCTTCTTTTGTATTTTAAATATTTTATAGGCCTATTGCTATAAATTATTATTATTACATAAGTCATAAACATTAAATTTAACATCAATTATATAGAGTATATACACACATATATATGTATTTGTATACCTATCATATAAACATTGGAATGTCATTATGTTATTTAATATTGTTCTCTCTGCTTCCTTTATTGTTTTTAATGTAGGAGTTTTTGGAGGCTGATGGATTACAAAGTTTATTGGCAACTATTGAAAATCTTAGTGGTAGAAAGATTGAATTATCTGACATAACGATACTAGCCGAATGCGTAGCTTGTATAAAGACTCTCTTAAATTCTAAAGTTGGTATAGAATGGGCAATCGACGATCCAAAATGTATGCCTAGTCTAATAAAAGGTAAATTTTCTTCCTATTCATTTAGCAAATTACTATTTGAGTAATATCAATATGATAATTTTGCTATAACAAGTTATTAATAATATTTGGATACACTTCCTTTTTAAATGAATAAATATATAATAAAAAGAAATCTATTGATAATTATTACAAACAATAAAAATAAGAATAAACAAAAAAAACAATAGGGATATAAGGAAAGGAGGAAGATATTAATTAATTAATTAATTTTTGGTACAGTATTCAATACGAATTGTGTTGCTGTCAAGGAATCGATATGTGAACTTTTGGCCGCAATGTGCCTGTATTCCAAAAAGGGTTTCGAATTAGCCGTCAAAGCTTTGGAAACTTGTAGAGTTGGTTTTTTTCCCTATATTTTCCTTATTTTCCCTCAATCTCCATTTGTTCGCCTACCCCATTTTTACTCTCTTAATTTACCCTTTACTAACTATCTTAATTTCTATAGTCTATTAACTCCTTATTCTAATGCTTTATTCCCTTTAAATATACATTCTTTTTTTCTTTCCTTTTTTTTCTATATGTTTTTTCTTTGTAAAAAATAGAATTAAAGTTAATACAGAAAAGAAAAAGAGCGTTGGGATGTAATTGATGTAATCTTTTTCGCAATAACAGAAAACCCAACATCAACAGTACCGTTTCAGTGTGATAATGCAAGAGTTAAGGTCCAGCGAGCAAACTTCTTATCGGACAATTCTCTTGTCGCTTATTAATTGCCTTATAATGTCGAATGATAGCCTTGAGGATCGAGTTGAGATGAGATCTGAATTTGTAGGCCTAAATATTATTGTTATCCTAGACGATTTGAGGGATATTGACGACGCTGAGCTACAGGTAGATATTAGTCTTTTTTTTAATTTAGTGCATTAAAAGAAAGCTACAGCATTGCCTTTTTTATTTACTATATTCTCTAAACATGTTCTCAGGTTCAAATCAACGTGTATTTAGATTGTCAAGAAAGAGATGACGAGCAGAGAACCGGTGAATTGTCCTCTGGAGTGGATTTAAGTGATCATAGAGATGTGTTTAAAGCGATAATGACTAAGGTATAGCTAAAACTTATTATACTCCTCACCCACGAAAGTCGAGGAAATGTCACGTGACACTAATTACTGCACGATCGTCTTATACATACATAATAATTGGAAAATGTTTTCATCACGCAACCTTTTACAGATTACCGATAGCCCAAAGGCTCATCATTTCCTGTCCATACTACATAGTCTTTTAAGCCTAGAAATAGAGGAAGATGAAAGTGATGTGAAATGGAAAGCGTCAGTGAAATTAGTTCAACAAGCTTCTCTTGTGAAACGGATCGAGGATGTGGAGAAAATTGGCTTCGTAAAGGGGAAGAATTTGCAGAGTCGAAAGCAAAATAAAGAAATTTCCACCCAAACTAAACAAGGATGTTTAGAGAGCGAACAAGCAATAGAACCCGTTCAATTACAAATAACAGATGCTCCTTTGACACTTCCCCCTCCGACTAAGTCAATTGTTAACAGTAATTGTCCTTGCTTTTCTAAGTAGGGCTTTAGGTCAATACTTCTTTCGACTCATTACAGATAATACTATTCCACCTGCGCCTCCTTTACCTTCTAATTCCGCATCTTCAACTATTCCCCCTGCACCACCCCTTCCCAATGGGTCTTCGTCAATGATTCCGGCCCCACCACCTCCACCTCCTCCTCTATTTCCGACAACCGGACGCATACCCCCCGCTCCGCCACTTCCTGGTACGGGAAGTATACCTCCAGCACCACCTTTGCCGGGCATGGGAGGAATACCATCGCCCCCTCCACTCCCAGGAATGGGAGGTATACCGCCTCCACCACCGCTACCAGGAATGGGAGGTATTCCTCCACCTCCTCCCTTACCAGGCGTACCGGGTGCACCTCCACCCCCACCATTACCAGGAATGGGAGGAATACCTCTTCCACCACCAGGTCTGCCTGGAGCACCTCCTCTTCTCGGTATGAATGCAGGAAACGCTCTTAATCAAACTTCAGTAACGAGAACACCTAGACCGTCTTTAAAAATGAAAAAATTGAATTGGACAAAAATTGAAAGCAACAAAATTATATCACCTGTTTCGAGTACGTAGATTTTCTGTCAAGTCTATTTTTAGAGATAAAACTTTGTAAATATAACATAGACCAAAGAAGATTAACCATCTGGGAAAAAGTAAATTCCATGGATGATCCAATAAAAATAGAATATAAGGATTTAGAGAAAACTTTTTGTCAAAAAATATTTAAGAAAGAAGAGAAGAAGCCAACAAAGAAGAAGGAACCAACTCACGTTAGTATTTGGGCTAATTAAGCCTACATGCACACTTCTTCTATTAGGTTAACGAGGTAATAGGCTAACATGTCTAGTTTATTTCTCTTTATAGATATCTTGCCTAGATATGAAGGATTCTATGGCTGTCAATATCTTCCTAAAACAGTTTAAAGAGGGGCAAAATTTTATTATAGACAAACTAGCAGAATGTGACGCTTCAGCCATTGGATTGGAACGTTTAATAGGATTAAAGAAGATTTTACCAAAACGTGAAACGGTTAGATTGAATTAAAAAAAAAAAGAATGAAATAAATGCTTGATTATGATGTTATACAGTATATATATACTGTATATAAGTAGTATATACTGTATTTTAAGCATCTTTAAATGATTCTCTAGAGTATTTGATTAAAATATATGCTTTGTTTTTACAGCTTAATCAAATTAAAGCTATTCAAGAGGATAAATTAGACACTCCTGATAAGTTTTACTTAAATTTATCAAAGGTACTGTAGTGGAATGTGGATATAATTTATATAAAAGATATATATACTGTATATATATATAGATATATAAATCAGAAAGCTAATTATGCTTTTTCAGGTGCCATTTTATACGGCGAGGATTGAAGGTTTGATTCTTGTTGAAGAGTTTCCTCCTAATGTTGAAGATCTTGAAAAAAGACTCCAAATTATAATTAAAGCCACAGAAGGCTTGCTAACTGAAGACTCATTCCGGAAATTCCTTCGTTTAGCCTTACATAGCGGCAACTTTATCAATGCCGTGAGTTCTTTATGTGATGATGTAATATTACATCATAATTTATGGATACTTTAAAGTGGATAATTTTTCAGGATTGTCTTTGTTGTAACTTTCTTTGTAGTTTAGATGGAGTAATGATAATAGAATAATTCTTTTTTTCTAACATAATTTTTCAACAGGGCGGCCATGCCGGAAACGCTGTGGGATTTGAATTGAAATCTCTAATGAGGTTTTTAGAAGTGAAAGGTGATAAACCTAGGGTAACTCTATTACATCATTTGGTAAAGGAGGCTGAGGAGAAACAACCGGATATCTTGAAATTTCTGGACGATTTATACCAGTCTCTAGTGGATTGCAAGCAGTACGTAAATAAAATGAAAGAGAGGGATGGGTTGTTTCGTAGGGATGGAATAAAAAGGGAAATCTATATTTACACACCGAATTTATACAATTGTTTCTTTCTTTTTTCATCCTTATTTATAGTTATAAATCTACAAGAGAAGGTCTTCAACAAGAATATAACCAATTAAAGAGAGAAGTAAACAAACTTATAAAAACTTTGGAATCGGCAGACGATCAGATAATGAACAAAGTATTCGACGAATTCCTAAAGGTGTAAAAATCTCATTAAACAGATTATTTGTTACTCTGCGAAAGAGAGTGGTGTGTAATTTTCTTATTTCGTAATATAGACAGCTAAGGAATCTTTGAAGGTTTGCGAAGAATTAGATAAAAGAGTAGATGAATTATACGACGAAATGGTAGAAAGTTTTTGTGAGAAGAAAGGAGATTTAAAGTTAGAGGAATATATTGATTTAATTCATGAATTTTTCTCCGCCGTTCTGCGTTGTAAAAAGGTCAGATGCTTACATAAATTTATTTCTATCCCCCTCTTTCTCTTGCCCTATCCTACTCTAATTTTCTATCTTTTCTCACCTACTCTCCCTCTCTCTATTACTATATTATATCTTATCAAAGGAAATATTTATTCTATTTTATGCTAATTTGTTTCTTATCTTCAGGAAAATGCTCAACGAAAGTTACTAGAAGAAAGGGAAAGGAAAAGACAACTAACGTCAAAAACTAAGGGTAAACCGAAACCAGAAGTTTATGGGGAAGTTGATAAAATACTCAGCCAGATCAGAGTAGGAGATTTTAAGCTAAAGAAGTCCAAAAGTTCAATAGAATGAGAAACTAGATAATAGATCATTATGCTACAATTGAATATATTATTCCTCTTCTATTATAATGAGTTATACTGTATTCTACGATTTTTCTATATTTCGCTTTACATTTTCCTTTCAATTAAACAAAAATCTTATCATTAAAAGGGTTTAAAAGTATACCATCGGCATCTTTTTAGTACTATACTTGATGTTATATCCTAGTGACATCTACAATATTCGGATAAAACTAGAAAGGAAAGATTGCATGCGTTTATTTGAAAGTTTATTTTAAAACATCTTATAGCTTATAGCTAAAATTGTTCAATCAAGTATTTTATAATAAAAATTGGTTATTTGTATTCGAATTCTATGAATAATATAAGATATCTGGTTAGGACCACAATAAGACTAAGTTCCAATATTCGTGGTGGTTCTTTGATTCCGCGTTCTACTTCTAGTGTAAAATCTCTTTACGAAGAACCAAAAATTCTCAAAGATTTAAGTAAAGTCTCTACAAAAATTAAAGATGTTAATAAATTTCCGATGGCAAGAGAAGAGATGACAAGTATAGCTGATCATATTCAAGAATGCAGCGCTGACGAAGTGATGGAGATTCTAATTAACCAACGACAATTAGACAAAGTACATTTTGTTTTCGCAGTTAAGCAGCTAGATATCGTATCACAAAATTTTATAGGGGAAGAGGAGTTTGAAAGATATAAGAAATGGATATGGCAACAACCAGGATTTTATGTGTAAGTTATGTAAAATCTCAAATAATACAACTAAGAAAGATCTATACCATCAGATTGTTAGAGAAGCTTGCCGAAAAATGCGTGTATTTTAATGCAGAATCTACATTACAAATATTTACTAGCTTAAGGGCTTTAGATTTTCCAAATGACAGCACTTTAATTCAGGTTAGACAACCAAGTAGTTATTTTATATTGATACTTTTGCGATTATCCTTTGTTTGTCGTAGGCTTATCTAAAGCTTCTAACGAAACACGTAAACGATCTACACTTTGATCAAGTGGTTCAATTGTTTGCTATTCTTACAAGTTTTGACAATTCGCTACCTAAAGAAGTTGGTATTCTGAAGAAACTATGCAAGAAGATATGCGATTGTAGAATTCTTGAGTCATGTGATGTATTGGATGCTTATGGATTAATATTTCTTTTGGAGGTTTACAATGCCGAAATCTTTGAGAGTGAAGATAAAATTATTAGAATTTTAAATTGCTTGTCAGAGGAGAGAGCGTTTTTAGATTGGGAAAATATCATTGATATCTTATTGATAATGCGTAAAGATATCTTTGAGCTTTGTCCTGAATTTGCCAACTTTGTAATTGATTACGCTTGGTGCGAGATGCCCTCTGAACTCACTCAAAGGTGATTTGATACTGAATGAATATAAATTTATTCAATTATTTACTTCTCTTTTCCTCTAATTTTAGGGAATCGGAAAAAATTATCCAAGTATGCAGAATATTTCCAGAACATTTGTATCTTAGCGAAGAAAAGCTAAATACTATTAAACTTAGGACATTCAATTCAGAAACAACAATAAATACAAACGACAGCACATAAAAAATTCATATTCTCTCTTTTATACTCAATAAAAACATACTTTTTGTAATAATATTTTTTAATTTATTAATACTCTAAATCATACAAAGTTCAAAGTCAGTGTTATGTAATCCATCGACAGAGGGCGCTGCAATCGATATTACAGCAATATTCAAACTGAATGTATGTCTCCTCTAAACGTACTGTCCTTGACCAGTTTTGTAAGAGAGGTTTCTTTTGTACATACAAACTCAGTTTGTTGATTAGAGAGTAGAAGTGCTGTGTATTTTCAATTACAAACAATTTATGGATAAATAACGGCCCCTTAATTAATATGGTTTGATGGCTATCGATCAAACTCTCTTATTCTTTCTTTCCACTGCAATTTTTGGGTTGTGGTGCATCCAATGGCTTATCCACTTTTTTGCTATAGTTTATGCGTGAGTATAAGTCTTTTATTATATAAAACGCTGTATAGTAACGATGAATATGGTAATAAATACGAACACGTCATTGTCATCAGATGATATCGCTGACTCAATCTTCTACTTTCCTCTGAGTTAGGTCATCGATAAGATCGCGTCATTCAAATAAATCGGTTCACAAATAGTACAAAATATATTAAAATACACCAATGATATTGGTATTACTTTCAATTCTTGTTCAATAGAACGTTTTTATTTTATTGACTACTACGAGAACTTTTTAACATGTATATTTTAGATGATTTTTCAATATTATGGAACATATGCTTGCTATAAACTATTGAGAATGTCTTCATTTTTATCAATCTGACAATCAATAAACTATATTTCCCAGATATTTTTTCTTAGATATAAACATAGCACAACCGGAAATTAAAATCAGTAATGTTCTTTTAATAGAACACTTTAGAATGTTCTCTTTTCCATAATTTAGTAGAATGATGAACGTTTGTATTTTATTGGTTGTAATTCTATAAATGTAAAACGTTATTATTTATGTTTTATGATTAATCAATCGTATGTTTAAATATTTTCTTTATTATTTTTCTAATATATAGTAAATTGAAACTTTACAAAAAAGAAGAGGTAACGATAGATGGCTATCCCGGTGTTTCTATTCTTAAACCGTTAACCGGAGCGGATCCTAATTTATATGGAAACTTGGAATCATTCTTTACTTTGGACTATCCTATTGTAAGTATTTTTTTTTTGTTTATATCTTTCAATAGGAAAAAGTCTTCGCTTAAAAGATAAAGGGACAATATAGTATAAAGTATCTTTGCTCGAATGACAATGTCTTCATTATTTTTATTTTTAAACAGTATGAATTACTTTTATGCGTTGCTGAAGATCTTGATTCTGCTGTTCCAATTGTTGAAAGTTTATTAAAAAAATATTCGAAAGTTAACGCTAAATTATTAACATCAGCTGAAAATGTTGGTGTTAATCCAAAGATTAACAACATGTTACAAGGCTATAACGTAGCGAGTTATGAGCTTATTCTTGTTTCTGATTGTGGAATTAAAGGTAAGATTTTATCGTTTTCTTTTGATTTATATCCTATCTCCTTTTATGACTGTTTTTGTAGTTAAACCAAATAGTTTGTCAGATATGGTAGAAAAAATGACAAAAGACGTAGGCTTAGTCCATCAAATGCCATACGTTTGCGATAGAAGTGGATTTGCCTCCTGCATAGAACAGGTGAGAATAAATGACGTTAGATATAATTTAATATTTTTTATACTTAAACATTTTGCGTGTAATTAAAATTACGATTAAACTATATTCATATTAGAATATATAGTATAGGAAAAAATTGTAGACACACTGAAATAATCGCTTTATATTATTACATAGAAAAGATGATGGCCTAATATTCACTTTTTGACAGTGTATCTACTTTAGGGAAGAATACATTTACTTCTGATTATTGTCCAATTCAAACTATTTCTTATAGAAAAATGTAAAATATCCTATATCCATATATTTAATCAATGAGTGTTTATTAAATTATTTCTTGTTTTTTTGTTGTTTTATTAAAACAACAAATCATTTGGATGAAATTTGATAAAATTATTAAAAGAATTCAGATCAATTTCTTTCTATTATAAGGTCTTATTATATTGTTTCCCCTTCCTATAACTAGACTTCCTGTAGCTTCTCAGCTATAAAACGAATTAAATTAAATAAGAGAATATACAGATCAATTGAGAGCTACAAGTATTTTTGTCTTAAGAAACAACGGCTCAGTACTATAAAATAGTAACAAATAATAAACAGAATAAATATCTAGTTTTCTATCTAAATAAAGCCTTGGTAGTTTATTTCGGAGAAGACTGCTTTCCTTTCTGCATCATATTGTTACCTCTTCAAAAGTGCCTCTAAAAGAAATTGTTTTCTCCTTTATGAGGTTCTACCAGTTTGCAAGACAAGGCATCTGAAGTTTGTTTCATCTACAGAGAGTGATGACTTTTGCTGCAGAAGCGAATATTGTGTTGTTGAAAGAAAGTATTTTTTTCTGATCGGTTCTTCTATTAGAATATTTTTAATTTTGTCTTAAGTCTTCCAAATAATTCTAATCTTCAAAATTGTTTCTAGATTTATTTCTATACAATTTTTTCTCTTTCCACTCTTAAAATCATAATTATGGGAATTGTTTGGCAAAATCGAGGTGGCAGCATTATTTATATCAATTTACAGGCTTTTAATGAAATTTTTTTCATGCTTTTATGTAAGGAAATAGTTTGAATTAGTTTATATAAAACTGTAAACATCATAATACCTTCTTCCTGCTTACAGAGAAGATTCACTGTTTACAATAGACGACTATTATGTCATCGTATTCAGAAACAAAAACTATATACAGTTTTAACATGTCCATAATTCTCACCTTACTATATATAAGCTGTACATATGTGAATGAAATTCCTTCATTGTAGAAAATTTTTTTGCTAGATTTTCTTTGGTTCCCGGTTTGCTAAATATTATCTGTTATGTGATTTATTGGTAATCAACTGTACAACGGGAATGTGTCTATTATGTAGGAAAAGTTTAATTGATGAAGAAGGCGGTTTAGGAGCTTTTTCGCAGTATCTAGCAGAGGATTATTACTTAGCTAGTACAGTTTTAAATCGGTAAGAGAGAAGAAATCCCAGATAATGAACACTAACTATTTTCCCCATAGTTTCCTATGCAAATACGTAATTTTACTAGAAATAGTTATTTTTTTATATTTAATAAGCAATTAAGTATTACTAATCATAAATCATTAGTATTCTTATGAAGCATTTAACATAAGGCTATAATAGTATTAAAGCTTAGCATGCTCTTTTTTACTTTATAGGTTTACTTCGGAACTCATCACGCTAAAATATACTTGAATGCTCAAATTTTGGGTCAAAACTGTATAACTGGAATGTCGGTAATGGTGCGAAAAAGTATCATTGACGAAGCTGGAGGCCTGCAGGCCTTTTCATCCTATATAGCTGAAGACTACTATTTATCAGGAACAATTTTTGATCGGTTGGTTATATTAAATTAATTAGTTAACAATAGTTAGACAATCACGCTTTAATAAATAATGTGATTGATATAGTTTGCTTGGATTTAACATAGATGATTATTCACGATCATTTTGAAGTCTTTTTTCTTTGAAATATTTACATTTTACATAAACGGATTAATCTTTTTCCTATTATTCAGAGGTTGGAAGGTACGTCTAGCTAGTCTTCCTGCCATGCAGAATCATGGAAACTCGACTTTAAAATCTTACCAAGCAAGAATGACTCGTTGGAGTAAATTACGTTCAGTTTTAGTACCGTTCGCGCATACTGTTGAACCAGTGACAGAAAGTATAGTCTTAGGAATCTTATCCTCTTGGGCGGCTTGGAATATATTTAATTGCTCACCCTTAATCTTTTTCACGGCACATTTATTAGTGTGGATGATGCTGGATTATATTTTGTTACGGATAATTCAAAATGGAGAACTATCATATAGTCTTTTTAAATTTGGAACAGCTTGGGTTGTTCGAGAAATAAGTGGTATAGCTTGGTTTATTGCCTCCTGTACAGACTCTACTATTATATGGAGAAATCGAAAATATAAAATAAAATGGGGGGGAATAGGAGAAGAAATAAAAAAATGAAACACGTTAGAAAATTGTAATTATAGGAATAATTCATCTTTAATTTGATTTTAAATGATTTAAATGATAAATTTGCATAAACGAAACAATTCCAACACCTCAAATGTTCAGTTTTCAATATCTAAATTGTCTAAATCAGTTTTTTCAAGTGTCCTTTAGAACTACATTTGACAAATTGACTTTTTACTGTGAGTCTTCTTAAAGATTTAATGAAAAACTGTTGTCCCTGGATAAAGTCAACAATTACACAAATTTTGGTTCAGTAAGCCAGTACTTTCATCAGATTAATTTTGGTGTATTGTTCAAAATATGCCTAACTAAATGTGATTACTACAAGTCAATATGTTAATTAATAGCATTGACATTATTACTTTTTTCTGACATTGTCATATACAGTCTACCAATATGTTGTGATTGTAGTTTAGTATACTTTTTGTACTTCCTTGTAGAAAATTTTACAAAAGCCAATATGTTATCATAATGATTGTTTTTCTAAATGATTATAACTGTTTTATATACATATATATATATATATGTATATAAGAAGTAAATATTTCAAGAATTTCTTCCACGAAACTTTATCAATGACAAATTGTTAACTTTATGTTTTCTTTTAAAACTACTGTTAAATAAAAAAATTAATACAAATGCTTAAAAACTTTGATTTATAACAATCGACACAAAAGACAGAAAAAGAAGGCAATTGAATTCATATATACGTAATCTATATAATTTAATTTTAATCTTTTAACGTATATATAACCAACTAGCAAAGTTAAAGCATCAGCGATAAAGAGACAAACATCTCGTGATTGCTGATATAATGCACCTTGACCATTAATTACGTTACTGATAAACTGATCAAAACTAGCACCGTAAACATGGCATAGACTTATAGTAAATATAATTTTACAGCTTAAGGAGTCGGGTGTTTTCCTGTTATCACTGTAATACGTAGCTAGAACAGTCGATATCATTTCAGTAAGTGAGAAAAGCAGCTGGTGTAAAAGCTGATTGTAAAAGTTATCATTAAAATAGTTTATCAAACACCAGAAACTATAGTAATGAGAATAGATGGAAATAAAAGAGGAAATAGCCATCAAATAATTCAGTTGTTTTTTGAGTAACAATTTCACCAGTCGACAACAAATTTCGTAAACAGAAATAATAAATAAAACTATAGTAATCCATATAAATGCCGATTCTTTAGTTGCGTTAAAGTATATGTGATGATAAATACCGGGTTGTTCTTCGTATACACCTGTGATTATCTTTATATAATTCGAGAATTTAATGTATTAGGCTACCTTTAAAAATAGAATCCCAACACGAGCATGAGCATTCTTCTTTATCTATTGTAAGCTTATACGGAACCCAGTATCTACGTAAGACATATTATTTATTTCCAACTATTAACACTAAATAAACATTAAAAATCTTACATTCTATAGAGAGATAATTGAATTATTGGGATAATTATAGGTAAAAACACACCTGAAATATGAAAGATATAATAAACAAAAAGTGTTTAAATAGTTGGCAACAGTTTTTTTTACCAATCGAGAGGCTACTTATAAATATTAGCGCATTTCGAAACATATTAGATTTACAACCATTTGAGAGGTGTAATTGTCTTCAAACGCGAGCGATAATATAAATTTCGTGAATAAAAGAAGGACAACGTGAAATTAAAAGGTATTCCAATTTAAAGTTGCCAAAAAAAATATTTAAGATAAAGATAAAAATCTTAAATATTTCTCTAAAGCTGATAAGCACCTTAAATCGCCTAACTATTTTGTAGGTGTGTGATAGTTCCGTGTTGTTAATGGCAACTAATTAAACAAACCGATTCAGTAGGTCTATTGGTGGCCGTAGCAACTCAAACAAAACCTCTATTAGCAGGGACTAAATACCTAGAAATATTCTTGAGATACGAACCATGACAAAATACTGCGTTTGTCAAATATGTAACTGCGGGTAAGTTGAATAATAATGATTTATTAAATAACTTTGATCTAGTCATAAAGAAACTAATAAACTTTTATGTGAAATTAAAGGAGACACCATTGTCCGGTTCATAAGCGTGGAGTTTTACGGGCAAAGAGTACTGGACCATGTCCAATTACGGAATATAATCAGAGATATAAGGAACATCCCTTACACCCTACTAAAACAGCCAAACCCGAAGCAACAGCTTTTAGAAGCGAACACCCTTTGGATGATAAAACGACACATAGGTAAATTATTTGTTATATCTATTGTCATTTCATATTTTCTTCCTTCTAGTTTTTCACTTTATTAATTTTTCGGATAATTCTAGATAAATATAAGACTTTTAATAAGATTGTTATCACTTTGCTACCAAATAACACTTCTTTTGAAACTTTTCTCTCATTTTCAGGAGAGATTTCATTAAACATCCTCTTGAGAGACCACATGTTCATCAAGCAGAAGATTATAAGAAGCCAGAAGGAAACTTTGAAGACATGACAAACTATCGCAAAGACTATGACCGTAAGTGAGCTTGTAGCTAAATTTAGACTCGGTTAATTATTTGCATACCTAAAATACCTTAGGTAAACAAGGAGAAAGGGCTAGAGCTGTGAAACCTGTTGATTTGAAGAAGGCCTTAGGACCATTTAAAGGGGAACCTACATATAAAAGTTCGTTTTATTTTGCTATTTGCAAAATTATGGATTATCATTCTTTAAAATAGGATTTGATTAGATCGATAGATTCTAATTGTCTTATCGATTCTATCTAATAAATATGAATATAGTTGTTCTGCCTTGTTTTAGGTGACTTCAGGAAATGGCCAATAGACCGCCATCTTCCTCATGTCAAAACTGATTATGCTCCTCCAGAGGCTAAATTCGAAGGTTTACCTACTTATAAGAAAGATTACATAAAATATAACGAAGCCCCAAGACAATCAATGAAACCTGTTGAGTTGGCTAGAGGACCAGATCAACCGTTTGACGATAGAACTGGATACAGAGATCATTATATTAAACATCCTCTACCAGAGAAAGCACTTAAGGAAAAGGAATGTTGGAAACCTAACAAGGCTCCATTGGATGGATTATCAAATTATAAGAAGGATTATGTTGAAAAGCACGGCGGACCTATGGCCAGCTGTAAACCAGACGCATCGGCGTTTAAGAGTGGCGCTCCACTGGAAGATACGACTACACATAGAAATGACTTTAAGAAATGGGATGCTGAACGACCCTTCGTTCACGAACCTGATCAGTATCGAAAGCCAGAAGGAAATATTGATTTAAATACAACGCATAAAACAGATTTCACTCAAAAACCTTTATCTAAACCAAAATCGATGAAACCACTCGATGCTAAGAAAGTACCGGGAAATTTTACAGATAAGACAAATTATAAGGATGATTACAAGAAGTGGCATATGGAAAGGGAAAGACCAGTGGTTAAAGCCGATTACTCCCCTCCAGAAGCTCCTTTCGAAGGCCTACCTACGTACAAGAAAGACTATGTTAAATACAACGAAGCACCGAGAAAATTAATGAGACCAGCAGAAGGCGGTATTCAAAGCGATGCTCCTTTCGATGATCAAACAATGTACAGAACAGAGTACATTAAGAAGGACAATCCACCTTGCCCTGCCGCTATAATAGAATCAGCGAGTTCAAAATTCCAATTTAAAGAGCAGGATGACAGCGGTCATAAATGGTATGAACCTGTAAATGGTAAGTCGTCAATGACAACTCAACCAGTACCAAGAACTTACAGCGCCTCTCAACAAATTAAGAATAATAACGAAGGTCTAGTATGTGCTTAGTTGCAAATTCTCTTTATGCTCCTTGAAATACACAACAACAATTATGCCATATACATTTAAGATATATAAATATATTCACCATATATTCAGTATATATACTGTATATATATATATAAATTTTATTGATTCAATTGACAATTTAATCTAAATTTTACAATGAGCAGGTTAAATCGAAATAAGATATAAATCATCTTTTATCTTATGCACATAAAGTAGCAGAAATTTTTTTAATGTTGTAATGTCCAAATAAACCATTATCTGATAAATAATTCATTTTATAACTATATTTGAAATGTTTTGAAAACTACTTGAACAAATATGAACTGTTAGAAAAGACTTGTTCAAAACATTCTTTTAACAATTCGCCATTGCTACTGAAAACAAATTGATAAAACTAAATATATTTAATAACATAAGTGAAGTTCAATGGTTGACATTTACTTTGTCATAGTTAATTAAGGAATTTTTTCAATTCATTAGCTTATTATCGTATCATTTAACTTTCTATATTTTATGAATTTCATTATGAATTAATCAAGTGTTAAAGGGGTAAAAATATAATATCGTTTCTATGGTTACGAATTTGATGTAATACTATTTTTTTGGGAATCTTTCGAAGCATTTTCTTAAGTTAAAAGGAAAAGATAATCAAGGTGTCGACAGGCTCTATTTATTGAATATTTATTACTAAAGGGTGATTAATTAGATATATTCCTTTTTTTTTCACGAATCATCATTAGTGAATTGATTCTCATTCAGTCACGTGATAATCACCTGAATTATTACTTTAATATATTTTCCGTAAGCTCTTACACTTTTTCCCAATAATTTTTAAAGGAAGCTGTTAAGAATGGATAAAGGGATTTTTAACAGTATTCTTTCTACATTAATGTCCACATAGAGAAAGGTTAAATTGATTTTTATCTCGAGATAAAAGTTTTTATAAATGTCAAGGTCATGGAAATGCCATCGAGGCGCGCAATAAAACCTCACAGTTAATTGTACCGAACATTTGATTAATTGGGAGCTAAGAGTAAGCATTTCAAATATAGCGATTGAATTATATAATATGTTAAATTGTTAAATATACTAATTTATAGTTTTAGAATGTATCAATCTATTAAAAAGTGAAATAATTATTCGATTTTGTCATTTTCTGATGAAAATATAATTTACAAGTAGTTTGGATATTTATATTAATTATTACTAATTTTTTTGTAAATTAGTCATATTTTAAGTAAACCTAATAATTTCTTTAAATCAGAAAATTATTTAATCCAGTTTATACGAAAATCTAAATCGTCTGCTTCAGTTGTAGATTGAAAATGGCTGCAAACAGTAAAACCGCAAAGTAAGTTACTTTATTTAATACTTTAACGTTTAAATACGATTTGACAATGAATTGTTTTTAGTTAAAGATATTCTTAACATGTTAAACATTATTTTTATGTGATTTATAGGCCTTAAATCATCTTTATGATTGCTTAATATGTAAATTATAATATCGTACGATAAATTTCATAAGGGACGTTCCGATTCTTTAAAATATAGCCTGATTGTTAAAGAAATATGAAGACATTTAACAAAGATATTTAAATGTCTATTAATTTTTTGGAAAATGTTTAAATATTGCAAGGAAAGAGGGAAACATTTAATTAAATTAAAAAACTGATGTTCACAAAGAATTTAACATCTGTGTCCTTTCATAATGAGGGTTCAATGCTATTTGTACCACATCCTGTTACATCCCTAAAGTCAATCTGTTTCACAAAAAATTTTAATTAATGTAGTAATTTGATGACCTAATTCTATTTTATTTCCTTATTAATATTGTTCTATTTTTACATACATATATAATTCTTTTTTTTATCTATTTCAGGGCTGACATTGCTCTCATAGGTCTGGCCGTTATGGGCCAGAACCTGATACTTAACATGAACGACCATGGCTTTGTTGTAAGTTATAATTTTTTTTTCGATTTTATGTTTATAGAATAATTATGATAATTACATAATCGTTCATTTTCACAGGTGTGCGCATATAACAGAACCGTTGAAAAAGTAGATAGATTCTTGGAAAATGAAGCTAAAGGAACCAAAGTTATTGGTGGTAGATCGTTACAGGTTAATAACTGTTTAATTGCAATTAATTGTCTCAACTAATATTATTATTACATAAAAACTATAGGATATGGTTAGCAAGTTGAAGAAACCAAGAAGAATTATGTTACTCGTAAAAGCAGGTTCAGCTGTTGATGATTTCATTGACAATTTGGTACTTGAATTACACAATATAATTATTTATAAATAGTCATTGCAAAAAAAACATTAATTTTTTTTTCGTTTAACAGTTGCCTCTATTGGAGAAAGGCGATATTATAATTGATGGGGGAAATTCAGAATACAACGATTCTATTGTAATTAGCTTTTTTTTTTGTATTAAATTATTTCTTATCAATCATTTGATAATAACTAATATAATGCTAACTTTTTTGTTTAAAAATATCTAATTTAGAGGAGATGTAAATCTTTAGAAGAGAAAGGATTTCTTTTTGTTGGTAGTGGCGTTAGTGGAGGTGAAGACGGAGCTCGCTATGGTCCATCCTTAATGCCTGGTGGTTCAACTGCTGCTTGGTAAGAAAAGAGCTGTTTGACCTAACTAATTCAAAATAAATCTTTGAAACTTTTCTTATAGGCCACACATTAAAGATATTTTCCAATCAATTTCGGCAAAGGCTGACGGAGAACCTTGCTGTGATTGGGTAAATCCAATATCTTCAATAAATCCCCAATACTGAATAATAATTTGTCTTACTTTAACATATATATATATATGTAGGTTGGTGATGAAGGAGCAGGCCATTTTGTTAAGATGGTTCACAATGGTATTGAATATGGAGATATGCAGTTGATTTGCGAAGCTTATCATCTTATGAAACAAGCTTTGGGTATGTCCTGCCAGGAAATGTCCGAAGTATTAACTGAATGGAACAAAGGAGAATTGGAATCTTTCCTTATTGAAATTACCGCTGATATTCTTAAATTTAACGATAAGGATGGTAAGCCTCTCGTTGAAAAAATTCGTGACACTGCCGGTCAAAAGGGAACTGGAAAATGGACGGCAATTTCTGCATTAGATTCGGGCATTCCTTTAACTCTCATCGGTAAGATTAAGAGAAACTGTGTTAAAGCATTGAGTAAGATAAAATTATATATGATAAATGTTAAAAACAGCTGAAGCCGTCTTTGCTCGTTGCTTGTCATCTTTGAAAGACGAGAGATTAGAAGCTGCAAAGCAATTAACAGGACCTTCAAATGCTAAGTATGCTGGTGACAAAAAGCAATTTATTGAACATATCAGAAAGGTAAAGGCCATTTTGATTTTTCAAAAGGCAAATTGTTACTATAATATCTTTTAATTTCCTTGATAGGCGCTTTACGCTTCAAAAATAGTCTCATATGCCCAGGGATTTATGCTTATGAGGCAGGTAGCCAAAGACAAAAATTGGAAATTGAATATGGGTGGTATAGCTTTGATGTGGAGAGGCGGTTGCATCATCAGAAGGTTTTATTTTCATATATATACCTAGCCATACTCATTAATATTTTGTCTTTTTTATTGTTAATTTAGCATTTTCCTTGGTGAAATAAAGAAAGCTTTTGACAAAAATCCAAGTTTAAGTAACTTAATCTTAGATGATTTCTTCAAAAAAGCAATTTTGAATTGTCAAGTAAGAATTTCTTTTTACTTAATCAATGAATTTTAATGATGCTAATTATAAATCTCATGAAAGGAATCGTGGCGTAAAGTCGTTAGTGAAGCTGTTTTACTAGGAATTCCAACCCCTGCGTTCAGTACGGCTTTGGCCTTTTATGATGGATACAGATCAGGCTGGCTTCCTGCCAATATGATTCAAGTAAGTTCCCAGTCAATAAATATATTTATAATCATAGACGGCTTTAACGATCTCTTTTAACGATGTAATTATTTGTATTCTATAATTTAACTTTTATTCAATAGGCTCAAAGAGATTACTTTGGAGCCCATACGTATGAATTATTGTCGGAACCTGGTCGATGGATTCATACTAATTGGACTGGACACGGTGGAAATGTCGCTTCATCTACGTACAACGCGTAATCAACACTATTGTAGATCAAATTTATCCACGCACTTATCAAAAATATAGAAATCTTACGATAAACAACATTAATTTACGATTTAAAGTTTTCTTTTATTAACCAGTTGTACTAATTATAGTTGTTCTTGATATACTTCTTGTAAATTCTATTCTACCATGAGTTTCCTGTTGACTATATCTCCAAAACTTTAACATATCCATATAAGATTCTCTAAACGTTTCCAAACTGAATGCGTAAATTATCGGATTACAAACGCTATTTAAAAGTAGCAAAATGAAAACTGTCGATAAAAGCCAAGAATCATTTGACCAATTATACTCCTCTTCCTTATGATCCACTCTAATTAGATAGATGATGATAAATGGTAGATTACACATTAAGAATAAGAACACAAGTGGGCATAGTTTTAGAGCTGTCCTATTATGGCTGTGCTCCCTGTCAGTTGTTTTGAAAATTGGAGCTAAAAGTTTGTTCTTTTTCGTCTTGTAAATAATTATAAGGTATATAAATATGGTCCCGAATACCAGAGAAGAGAGAAATATCAAACTCGATACTATATATTCCTTTGTAAATACTTTTACGTAGGAGCATTGATCTTTCCAATCCTTAGTTTCTAAATATTTCTCAAAGAAGAATGGTACAAGACAAAAGCATAAATTAAAAACAATAGTACAAATAACAAGGATAATTATCCTTCTTTGACTTAGAAGGAATTTATAGTGAAGAGGACGTAGGAGAGATAGCAAACGATGAACGGAAAGTACTGGAAAATCATGTATAAAAGAGAGAATAAGATTACAATGTATATTAAAAATTAACTTACGAAATATGAAGGATATAGAACAGGAAACTGGGATCATAATACACGTAAATTTGAGTATGCATACATGATAATTCTTTTGTAGTTCAGGTTGAAGCTTTATAGATATATTTAAGAGAGCAGTAAAACCAGTCACTAAGTCACTCAATGATAAGGCAGCAACAAAAATATTGACTCTTTTTCTAACTTTTCCATATTTATAAAAAACCAGCAATACTAGTATATTACCTAGAATGCTGGCAAAGGCTATTACTGTTTGAGCAACTATTTCAACAGTCGTATTCTCACTTATTCCCGACTTTCTAGAATTCGATATTAATTGGTGTATTAGGTCCTTATTTGTAACATTTTCCTGCACACTGTTACTTCTCATTTCCAACGTGCAATAAAAATTCCAAGTATTAAATTAAACTGGACGCAAATGGTTTAAATACTTATCTATGTTAAGTAGGAAAAATAGTACGAATAGATAACTTTAATTACCACGCTACATCAACAACAAAAAAAGTGTAAACGAAAGATAAGATGGAATTTAAAAAAATGCTAATAAATTAACAAAGTTTTTTTTTAAATCCTTAAAATTTTATATGCCAGCGAAATAAGTATTTAACAATATATTTCAACTAATTTATACAAAGTTATTTCGTCTATTTTTCGAACAAGTGGCATATATCTGAATAACGAATACGAAAGAAAAAGAATAACATAATAAAGGTTCGTGCAATTAACTTTCAGAATGCTTTTTCTTCTTTTTCTTTTTAACAATCGATTCTTCTTCGTCCTGTCCATTTTCCTGTGCCCTCTTCTTCTTCTTCGATTTCTTTACAGGTGTTTCTTCTTCTTCTTCTTCTTCTTGAACCTTTTTCTTTTTCTTCTTTTTCACTACAACTTCTTCCTCTTCATCTTCTTTTTGTTTTTTCTTTTTATCTTTCTTCTTTTTAGGAGTGGGTTCTTCCTCCTCTTCCTCTTCTACTTGCTTCTTCTTTTTGTCCTTCTTCTTTTTAGGTGTGGGTTCTTCCTCCTCTTCCTCTTCCTCTTCAACTTGCTTCTTCTTTTTTTCCTTCTTCTTCTTAGGAGTAGGTTCTTCTTGCTCTTCTACTTCTTCTGTTTTTCTTTTCTTATCCTTCTTTTTCTTTTTCTTTGTCTGGTTTGCTTTTTCAATCTCGAACTGCAAAAAAATACCTCAATTGCTTATAAAAATTTTAAAGGATATAAAAGCGTTTTACTTCAGCAACAGCCTCTTGCATAACGTCGTTATTTTTCTTTGGAATATCACCCGACTCTAAAAATTTCAAACGATCCTCTACTTGTTTCTTCATATGTTCACCAAAAACTTTGGTTGGCATTTCATTGAAGCAATCAATTCTTGAGGCGATCGAACATTTATTGGCGAGGTATCTATAAATATCATAATTGAAACATGAAGATATGACATTTTTAATTATTTTACCTGGAAATTCTGCCCTTGTTTTTAGCTACAGCTTTTGAAATGAAAGCTGAGTGAAAAATCAACCCGTATTTAGGTGTTGCGCCCCTTGTTTTAAGAGCTCTGAACAGAGCTTTCTCAGCTCCCAAAATTTGTACAGTTGAAGCAGGAAACTTGGCCAAATTTGTTAAACTTCCAGCGTGTGATATAAGTTTAGCTCCAACATTCTCACCAATTAAGGCACTCAAATTTGGTGCAATGTCATTCATACGACCAGTAAAGTATGTATATAGCTGTTTTCTATAATCAGCCAACCGAATAACTTTGTCTGCGAATACCAAAATATTCATCAAATCCATTTCAGCAATATCCATTCCCATAGATGACTTGGCTGCGTCTATGATCGCAGTAGCCTTTGAAGTATCCATAACTATTTCTTCCAATTTTTCCAAAGATTCACTTGTTAAGTCTTTTCGATTTTTAATGCATTTAATCACCTAAATATTAGTTAGAGGAAAATTAAACGAATGATCATCAAGAGTTGTTTGTCTCCTCACCTTTGCAAACATATAGTTTTCATTTACTATGGAAAAAAGCTCTGGAAAATGATATGAATACCATTCCCTGATTCTCATGGAAAATGTGTTGATATCTTTATCCAATTGCTCCAGCAAAGCAACACTTTGAATGATCATGTTATCGACTTTATTGACGTTAAATTTCACTTTGGATCTAGAATAACTGTGACCCAAACCCAATTGAGCAGTGTCGCTAACTTTAGCATCCAGACCTTTAATAAGCTTTGAAAAATGTAATCTGATTCCTCTCATAAGTTCTACGGCAACGCCAGTATGTAGACATGGTACTTGTAATTCTTCATTGATAGCTCCTCCGATTTTAGGATCTCCCACTGCCAAAATAACTTTTTTCTTCTTTTTCGATTTTGGCAGATTCATTTCCAAAAAGTCTTGCAGTTCAGCATTCAGAACGCCTAAATGACAAAAGGAAAAAATCAGATGGTTTTGATAAAGTCATAATTGATATACCACATGCTTATAATCAATATTAATCGATAATTTCAACATTTTTAAAGCATAGAAATCTTTAACGATAGGTATTATAACAGTTACAGCATGTATCTTGGAAACGCTTCTATTAGAAAGGAATTAAGTATGAAAGTTTTACTGCGTAGAATATGAACACGATATTAAAAAACAGCGCCTTTGAAACATAGTGCTTAATAAGATGCAAATTATCTTGTTACAGCGACAAACATTCTTATAGGTAATTCCAGAAATTTGTGTACTACTTACCTTCCGAGATAGAGTTGATTCCATCTAGTGAATTTGCTTGACTTTTAAAGGGCTGAAACGCCAGCAACTGAACTACTGAATTAAATTTTCCCAAATCTAAAACGCTTTCTTCAACTTGTGGTTGCATTAAACCAACCTCCTCGAATTCTTTAACAGTAAAGAGGGCAAAACCCACAGCATGTTCAAAAAGCACATGTGAGACCTGTAATACAACGTGACTTTTTTAAAATGTTGTTTTTTTATGAGTTTGAATGAGTTTTAAAGTTTAAAATTAAGCATCATAGATGCTATATAATATAATTATATTATATTAATATATTTCAAGACTTATTGCACACTTTGCTGTAAGATATTAGCTTTAATTGAGAGCGATAATGAAAATCAAACTTACCGCCATCTTGAAATATAGAATGTCCATAAACTTCGGAAGATAATTCGATAACAATGTATCTCTTGATAAAATATCTTAAATTAAAAGGCTTGAAAGTTTTTAAAAATTCATTAAAAACTTACAAAAAGGGTTTTTAATAAAAAATATTTTACGAAATAACACTCCAAAAAACCGGACATAAAATATTCGCGCAGTGCACCATAGCCGACTTTGATAGATTACTAGAATTTGAAAATGTCTGAACTGGAGTCATGGATGGAAGAAGCTGGTTGGATTAGTCGAAACAGCAAAAGCCGGCCAGATGCTTTTTATTATTATAACAAAAAAACAGGAAAGAGTCAATGGGAACGACCATCTAAAGAAGCTGAAGCAGATAAGGTGGGTAAGAATATTGATGTCTTGGTGATAAGTTAATCTATTTATATCAACACTTAATAAATGTAAAAGAAATGCAATAAAAAATTAATTTCGCATTATTCGGCTGGTTCCAGTTAATTTTGAAGTAAAGTTTCAGATATACTTGGATTACTTACTTAGCTGAAAATTTTTGTAAAATTATCCTATCCTTTTACATTGAGTTTGACTTTGATTACTCAGATTCTGTCGAAATTAAATTTATATTATTATAATTACTATAACAACACTCAACTCAAGGTTGTAAAAGTTACTATGGAATCTCTAATGACCTGTAATACAGCATTAATGCTCTGAATGAATAATTTCAGGTTCAATGCCTGCATTTATTGGTAAAGCATCACAGAAGTAGGCGGCCGTCTTCATGGCGCCAAGATGTTATTACTAGGACCAAAGAAGAAGCCCTCGAAGAGTTGTTGGGCTATAAAGAAAAGATTGATTCTGGAGTATCTACTTTTGAGGAGTTAGCCAAAACTTACAGCGATTGTTCAAGCGCTCGAAGGAGTGGAGATTTAGGTTCTTTCGGACGAGGAGCTATGCAAAAACCATTCGAAGAAGCTGCATTTAGTTTGAAAATTGGTGAAATAAGCGACCCAGTCCATACTGATAGCGGAATTCACATTATAAAAAGGATTGCTTAATTAATTACTTGAAAAGCTGAGGAGTAAAAAGAGTCCGTGTTATATTATGGTGTATTCATTAAAATAAGTTTTTATTAAGATAAAGAAAAACTTGTTAAAAATAAACGAAAATAATAAAGGTACTGCCGAATTCACAGAAGATGTTCTGTAGCATGAGAATTCGAATGACAATGTCTGAAACTTAGTGTAAACAATGAAAGTACATTTATCATTTATTTCTTTACTAGAAAATAAATTCTTTAAATGACTGGAATAACTTAATAGAGTGTAATTTTGCGTTAGAAAATACGGAACCGGTATCCATACTTTTTTATACCCGGATGTTATTAATCCGCTGCTGAGCTTCCGGTTTTCGACTGTAAATATTTGCCTCATAACAAAAAATCGAGAAAAAAGCAGAATTTCAGACAACTTGATTATTTTTGCCTTAGATGGGAGGTTGCGTAGGCAGTCCACGTAACGGATCCTCTAGAAATGGTGAATCGTCTGATGGCCAAGGTATGATGTTTATAGATTTTTTCTGTAAATGGCGCGCCTTAGTTCATTGTTCATATTTTCTAATCTTAAATCTAAGCCTGACCCTTAAGTGTTTCTTGTAAGAAACGCTTGCTCCCACTGATGATAGAGTTGTTTAACAAGTACTCGACAGAGTCTATCTAAATACTTCAAATAGACTAAATGTTTAATCCTAGTTTGTTTTCACAAAGAAAAATAAATACACTCACTGTCTGTAATAGAGTATTGTTTACAAGACGTTTGTTACTTAATGGCCTTTTATGACCATACACGTTTAAATCTAGAAGACCTCTTGCAAAAATCCCTATTAGTATAAATTTACCATCTGTTTTGATAAACAATTAGGCTAATGTTGTGTATAATTTTTAGAACGTTAGGGTATATTTTAAATTTAAAGGTGTGTTCTTCTGTTGATCAGAGAAAAAGTCGGATTACTTTGCAAAATCGAACGTGACACGCCAAGGCAATCACAATCGTCGCAGAATCATATAAAGAATTCTATTGCCTTAACATTTAAAAATATTATTAATAAATAAATATATATATATATACTTCTGGGAAGATTTTAAACGTTAGTTTATCCTCTAATAGATTTATTAAAAAAACAATTATTTGGCCCTTCCTTCATGCCTTAATCATGTCATAGGAGTGTTTCTTTTGTAAAATATGTGAAAATTACATTGATAGTTTTCGTTGAACAAACTCGTCGTTTCTTTTATATCTAGATGAAATGAGAAAGTATAAAGGCCAAATGACAAGTTGTCAACCAACTAATATTGCATAGCTATTAAACTACTCAATTTTACGTGCCCTTTTTCGTTTAATATTAAATATACATTACATCTTTTACTGGAAAGAAAAAAAGAATATATTCTCATTTTCGTGTTTTTTATAAATAAAAAAATTTAGTGCTTATATTATATAATCTACAGAAAGAGAAAGAAATATCTCAGATATATATATCGGATATATTCTATATAAATAGCTAATTTAATAAATAATTTTCTGCCTACTAAGTCCTACTTATTAGAAGAGTAAATAGAGGTCAAAACAAACTAGAGGCAAATGAAATCTTTATATATTATATTTGTTTTATATATCTAAATGCGCGTGTCTGGCCGTTGTTTTCTTTCTTTTTTTTTGTGTCTTTTTTAATAAATGTTGTCGTTTTTTCTCCCTTTTCTGTTAAAAAAAAGAAGAAAAAAAAACTAGTACAAATAGAACACGTCACGTTTACTAGAAATTACTGAAGAGTGTGTATGGCATAAAACTAACTAGTTATCTATTGTAATAATTTTTTTTTTCTAGATACTTTATACCCTAAATTCTTTTTTATATCTATATATTTTGCTTCTTTAGCCAGTGTATTATAGCTTTAATTTATATATGTATATACAGTATATCTTCTAATACGATATAGAGAGGTTAATTTATCTTTAAAGAAGGAAGAAATTATACTTATGCATCTAATTGTAATACTAATACTTTCTTCTTTTTGTACTTGTTGTTATTTTTTTTTTAATTCAATTCTGTTAATATTTTTATACATATTGTATACACTTTAATAAAAAATAATGGAGTATTTGATACACCGGCACAAACAAAAGTAATCTTTTTTTATATTATAAAAAGGAATTACTCAATATCATTCAATAGTTACTTTGTAATTTTTCTTTTACTATTACTGTCAACATTAGACAGTTTTCAAAGTAAAGTGAAATTATATATATATATATATATATATATATATATACATATTTATAAGCAATATTGTAGAAACATTATTCATTCAATAAACTATGTCACATATACTAGATTATTTAGGTGGATTATCAGATAGTCGGCTGTTTTATATTGGGTTAAACGTAGATTATCGCAAATCAAATTCAACTGTAGGTATACATAAGATAACAAATTTTATACTAATGATGACGTCTACAATTATTTAATTATATTCAATTAATTTAATCACGTGATTTGACTTGCTTCTATTATTGATTTTCACAGGAAATTAAACAACCTTTGAAAATTATTATATTTTATTCTATTAATAATGCATAGTTAAGGGATAATATTATAATCTTTATTATATCCCCTGTAAAGACGGTGTTTGGATAATAATGAGGGTATTGTTAGAAAAATAACTTGGAAAATGGTAGCGATCACGGATGACGTTCTAGTCAGAAATCAATACACTAAAAGAATAGAATTTAAAGAAGAGGTAGTACTAGTCGTAGAGAAAGAAAGGGCTGGTATTGTGGGATATAAGCGCAGAGATATCGGATACGCCCAGAACTATTAGCAAGAGGGAGCAGGGAGAGGTAATACACATATAGTAAAAAAAAAAAAGAAAGTGGGCGAGGGGAGGGGGGCACAAGAGTGGGAGGAGAATGGAAGCAGGTGTTGGAAGGATTGTGGCCGTTGAACGCTGGGATTATACCGATTAGTTTTTTAAGTATCATAAAGAAGAAAGAAAATAATAAACGTCCCAACATTTTGATTCATTGAAGTGTAACTAGTTGTTTTCGCATAAAAGTCATTGTTACTCCCTTGCATGAGCAAATAATTAGTTGATTTGAATGCTTAATTAAAACTTTCTCAACTCAATGAATTGGAAAAAGAAAATTGACAAATCTTTTATTGCACTTTCAGTTTAAACTAGTTATATAGATATATAACAATCATTTTAAATAGGTTATAAAAAATAAAATAGTACCATTCACTTCCATATACATACTTTAATAGGTTATATAAAAGAGAAATAGTAAAATTTTCATACATATTACTTGTTTAAAATATAGTTTTAAACATACAAAAGAAACAGAATATTGAATTTTAACATGTATTTAAATATTATATGTACATGTGTACAGTATAAATTTATATATATATATATATATTATCATTGTTCTCGTTATTCCGCTTTTTCCAATAGATGAATAGATAAATTCTTAATTCTTAATACCAGTTACGTTAATACAAATATTATTAACTTTATGATTCTATTTTTATTTTATTGAAGATAGATAATTCCCCTTTAAATATATGTATTTCTATATACAGTATATATATATCGTATAAATAGATATAATTAATTTTTTTTATATACAAGCTGCATTATTTATATTTTAAAATAAAATAACGTATAAACTATATATCATACAATATTAGCATGGTTTAATTAAACCTGTAAAGTACAATGGGCATAAAAGTGGATAGAAAACAGAGAGTCAGAGAGAGAGAGAGAGAGAGAGAGAGGGAGAGAGAGAAAGAAACAAAAAAAAAGAAAAAAAAAGAGAGAGAGAGAGAGAGAGAGAGAGAAAGAAAAGAAAGGAAGTAAAATAATTTACTCTCCCTTAATTAGATTAAAGTAATTTTGCTATTGCTTGTACGTATATTTGAAAAATCAATTGTTCATGTATAAAAAGAAATCTATACAAGTTATTTCGATGTAAATAAACTCTAATTATATTTAATTTTCATCTTTACCTTTCCTCTTTTAAACATATTCTCGTCATTTGTACAAGATATTTATTTATTTTATAAATTATTACGAAATTATTATAATATTACTTATACGGATAATAAGTTGAAGTGTTTCTTTACTTAATACAGTCGCTGTTGGCCGTAATCAACCGTTAAAGCCAGATAGGCATCGCTGGTCGAGCGAAGTACCATGGTCTAGAAAAAAATTAGAAGCTGAACGAGAAGCTTTTTGGGACACTGCACCTGCGTATGATGGAAGACGAGAAATTTGGGATGCCTTGAAAGCGGCTGCTGATGCAGTTGAAAGTGGTGACGTCCAAATGGCCCAGGCCATACTAGACGGCGCAAATGTTAGCCTCCCAAACGGAACACTTATGGACTGTTATGATGAATTAGGTACTCATTATTCTCTACCAAAATACGCCGTTGTTCCACCAAATAACTTGACTAGCGATGAACAACTAGAAAACACACCTAAAGAAGAGAGACAAGAATCTAGGTGCCCACCAGGTGCCCATGTACCAATAAAATTTCGACTGTATGGAAATCGGGATGTAAGATTAGTTGTTAGAACCACCGATACGGTTGCAGCAGTTAAAGAACAATTATGTAATGAGGAAGGTATCGAAGCTTCGAAGCAACGTTGGTACTTTTCAGGTAGACATTTAAAAGATAGAATGCGAATCGAGGAAGCTAAAATCCCTAAGGGTTTCGTTGTACAAGTTATCATCAACGACGCACCGTCTAGCGTATCCAATTGAGAATCGTAGAATATTAATTCTTTTTTATTTTTATCCCACCATCAAAAAGAGAACTTTTAAAAAAATGAAAAAATGGCTCTATTTCATAAGTCATTTCTCTGTCTCTCATTTTATCCTACTTAAAATCCTTACCTTAGTATTCCACCCTTTCTTCCTTATTAAACTATTCTCTATGTGGAAGACAACAGAGAATGAAAACTAGTACAAATTCTCTATTTTAGACAAATAAGAAGGCGTTCAATTATAACGAACAAAAATACTATTTTATCCTAATTAACTTATTGAATTGAAATTCGAAAGCGGTTCTTAAAAAGAAATTGCTTCTCTTCTCTCTCGTTCCCACTTCCCACTTTTCCTCTCTCTCTCTCTCTCTCTCTCTCCCCATCTCTCCTTTTATCATCCCACCGCAACTCATCCATTTTTTTTTTTACATTTTCATTCATTCATTCTTTCTCTCTCTATCTATCTATCTTTCTGTACATATTCTTTATTTTATTATCATATGGAATAGTGCCATTTTTCTATTATACCTTTTTTTCTTTATAACCCTTTCAAGAAGATAATGAAAAGAAAAAGAATAAAAAGGGATAAAAAAGAAAGGATATTAAAAATTGAATATTTTTTTTCGGAAACTATATGACAATAAAGAAAATGAATTTATAAAAAATTACAAATTACAACTAGTCGAAATTTATGGAAAATCTAAGCAAAATATAAATTGGAAATCAAATTTCTTTTTTTTTTTGTGTGCGTGTTTGTTTGTTTGTTTGTTTTATAAAAACAAAACAAAAAGGACAGTATGATATCTAATTAAATATAAATATTAACAAATTAATTTATGCAGACTGATTTCATGAACAACTTAGATTTTTAACATGCTATTTGTTCAGTGTTTTTTTTTTTAAAAAAACTATGATAAATAATTAATTTTTCTATTTTCTTTTATTTTTCTTTTTTTGTTTCTGCTGTAAATTTTTAAATATATTTAAAAGAATATAATAATATTGTTGCCACTACTACTACTACTACTACCACCACCACCAACAACAACAACAACAACAACAACAATAGTTTAATTGGGGTAAAAGCGAAAGAAGAAAATAAAAAGAAAATATATTTAATTTTTGAATGAGAATAATAAAGAGAAATGTAATTTTTTGGTTATTTTTGTCTTGAAATATATAATTATTCCTTTATTTGTTTATTAATCTATTATTTTTTTTTTTTTGTTATTTGTGTTTCTTCTGAGTTTTACAGAAAGAAAATATTTTTTGTGTTAATTTCCATCTTGTGGAATACAAATTTGATACTCTATTAATTATATTTATAAGGTTTGTTTCTTAAACGATGCAAAATATTGAAGGATACAAGACGTAAACATAAACGTATATATTTAGATGTTAAAAAAAAAAAAAAGACTAGGAAAAATATTTTTTCGGAAAAACCTTGTCCCCATTGTACACTAAAAGGATAATACCTTATTTAAATAAATGTAATTATAGGGAAACGATAAAGAGGAGAAGATATCATATATTTAATATCATATAGTTGTTAATAACACTTTGTATAGAATAATATGGAGACATTCTCTTTTTTTTCGGACAATTTAATAAAGTTTAAACGAAACTTTTTTTTGTAAGTGTTTATTATATAATAATTATCTTTTTTTCAATATATTCACAGTAAATTCAGTAGATTTAATAGAAAATACAAAAAAAAAATAACAAAGGTATTATTAGCTATTCGACTGTTAAGTAATCTTTGATAGTAAAGTGTTTTCTTTTTTTTGCTACTTGTTTACCTTTTAAAGTACAAGGTTTAAAATTTACATGATGAAAAAGCAGAGAAAAGAGAGAGGGAGAGAGAATTAGACTCTTGAAAAACACTTATTCAACAGGGAAAGAGGTGTGTGACTTGTTTTTCTTCCACATGCTACAACTGTTTTAGTTTTAATTGGATATTTATTATTGGATAAATTTGCCAAGTTGTTCATTAATTATGTTTCTATTTTTACATTGTGTCCAGTATATATACTGTATTTATTTATATATTCTTTATGAATGTCCTTTTTTTAGGAGTATAAAGAATAACAGAAAGAATACAATGTATATAATGTATATATATATATATATATATAAATGTACACTGATTGCAGTTGATATAAAAAGAGGGTTAGCATATGGCGCTTAATGCTTTGAACTTTATTTATTTATACGTACGTACAAACATTTACAGCTTACTGTTTATATTCTATATACATTTTGTGTATATATATTTTGGATCTAATTCTAAAAGTTTTCTTAATTGCATTCCCAGGTTATAAAATTAATTACAAAAGATATATCGGTTGTATGTTAGAGAGATTATTTATAACACATGTACATACAGAATTACTGCTCCTCCCCCGCCTACTCTCTCTCTCTCTCTCTCTCTTTGTCTGTCTTTCCGATGTCTTAACTATATGTATATTATATACAGAGATTTACTTAAAAAATTATTTGACAGAGATAAAAACAAACAAAAAAGCATAAACTGGGTAAAGGGGATTACAGGTTTTTTTCTCCCAGTTGTCCTTTCCTTCAATAGGGAGAAATAGTAATTTATTTCTCCAAAGAACAAACTCAATTCTTTCGTCCAAGTTTGTTTAGAATTAACAATATTTCTACTATTTATAATATGGCTCCGTCTTTTCTTTGTCAAGAAAGAAGTATATTATCATATTACAACAGATAACTTAAGAATATCAATATTAAATCATCTTTCTATATAAAATGAGTGAATTTATGTTTTATTCTAACATTCTTTGCAGTGTTTTGTTGCAATTAAATAGCAACTAAATGTTGTTGAATTTGAAAAAACTTACCGTTACTGATGAATATTTGAAAACAAGATTAATATTGAATATCTAACAAGGAAAAAGTTAATAAATGACAAAACAAAAAGCTTGTTTAGAATTTAAAAACTCGCTTATAATCCTATTCAAGGTCTTCCCTTACATTATCATTACCCTTTTATGATATCCGACATACTTTACTAATAAAGTACACTAGGAGAGATGAAAATAGCATTAAACGAATATAAAACAATAAAGGATATTGGTGTAGGAAAGAAGATAAAATATAAAAGAAACTTTTTACCCCTCTGCCCAAGTTAACAGACTTAATTATATTTAATAAAAGGGAGCTTCAAAAGGAGGTACTTGGGTACTTGATGTTCTATTTAAAATTTAATAAATTATAAAGAAATAGCCAAATATAACTATCTTAAGAATGATTAGACTATAACAAGGAAATTAGCGGGAAATCGATAACCTAATTCCCAGTACTAAGGCATAAAGATGGAAATAGAGAGAAAGAAAGGGGGCGGGGGGAAAGAGGAAGAGAAAGAAAATAAAGAACGAAAGCTTACGAAAAATGATATTAGATTTTATTCTACTATTGTTATACCTCTTCCCCTAAAAGTTAAGCATGAATCTTTTATAAGTATTATAAATGAAGAATTAATTAGCTATTGACTTTTCGAAAGAGAAGCAATATATTTAACAAATATACCTTTAAGCATTAGAAAGTACCTTAAAAATGTAAGTATACTGAATACTTAGTATGTATGTAGTAATTATAAACACTATAGAGCTGGTAACTGGATGACTGGTTAAGCTGTCTATAGTGTTTTTTCATTTATTTCCTTCATTAAAGCGTAAAATTGAATTGTCAGACAAAGAATTCTAATATCATTTAATAAAGCGGAAGAAACAATGAAACATAAATATAATCATAATTGTGATTATGATGGCGATGATAAGAATAAATAATTCCTCTGTTATTTGTATTTTTTTAATATTTTAAATCCGTATCGGTAGCTCTATGAAGAGATATTTCCTCTCTCCTAAATACTAAGATAGAGATTATTATTGTAAATATTCATAATATTCGAAAATTATTTATCATATTTTATATTAAATATCTTAATTATTCTTTGTTTGTAGTGTCATCTATAGACTATTTATATACGGAACATTAATTTATATACTAATATGTACAGTATATATATATATTCTAATTTAATACAGAGTACAGATGGCGCAAAAGTAACTTAATGTTTTAAAAGTCTTTTTCTTTGTTTCCTACTTTAGTTCTACCATCCTACTGTATATACATGTTTTGTTTTATTATGAAAACGATGATGACATTACAGTTATCTTTCTACACTGATAAAGTAATTATGAATATTACAGTATGAGAAAATGAGAGAAAAGAAAGATAAGAGTATTATTAATAAATGAGTAATTAAAACTTTAACCATTCCTGTATTATTTTTTTATTATAAATTTAATGAGTCCTTGAGATATCTATTTATTTATTATTACCATGTGTAAACATGATTATTAATGGTAGAAATATGCGGTTCTCTTGTTATTTGAACTCTATCAGAATTGAACATTTATGCACTTAACAAGACGTTGTTTTTTATGTTTATCTATTGATATAACGTTTCTCTAATATAAATTTTGTTTTTATTAAAAAAAAAATGTCTTCAATTGACTATCAGAATAATATTTACGTAATGATAAGATGAATATGTAGTAATGATTCAATGCAGTATATTTTAATATTATTATTATTCTTTTAAAAAGAATCGATATGATTGGAAACAAAGTTAAAAAAGGTTAACCCTGTAATGAATAGCGGACAGATGGAGAGAATGAAAAAGTAAGAATTTTCGTATAATTTCTCTAGAAGATGGCTAATTAAATATTATTTCTCGTAGTTTTTTTAACATCTTACTAAATTTTTAATCGCTATCTTTGTACGATAGTTATCAGTTTAGAGCGGAGTTGTATTCTTCCTTGTATTAAAAACAACAATAAAAGTTTCAATAATAACTTTCAAGAACTTCTTAAAATCAAATCCTTATCAAAGCTAATGATTAATTGTTTTCTTTTTTTAAATGTAATATATTTCTATACGAGTATTCATAGAATTTTCTGTTAATTACAATTAAATTATTATATGATTAAAACGTTTAGCAGAATTCTTTTGAAATTTTTTACACATCTGGTTATCGATAAAACTATTACTGCAATATTTTCAAGCCAATTCACCTCTTTTCAACTTAAACAATGGACATTTGTTAACCATCGTGATATGTGAATGGACGAATTAAAATTCGTACAACTGTTTACATAAAGTTCAAAATTTAATTTATGCAAATGTAGCTTTTCTTAGAATTATCATCTGAATTCAGAGAAAAACTAGTTTCTATATTTTATGATTTTAATATGATAAATTCGTCAACTTAGAATGTTAGCTCTGTTTTGTAGATATGTAAGTTTTTGTTAATTTAAAATTTTTTAGCAAAACATTCTGAAAAAAAACTCTAACAGTTTTCGGTATTATTGTTTTTATTTGATTGTCAAGGACACTGGTTTAGACGTAATACGCATCATTATCGAAAAACCTTTACCAAAAAACATCAAAATCTTCAAAATTTACATATTTCGGACTTATCAGACTAACATCTAAGAAATTTATCTGTTTGAAAATACAACTTTGAGCCTCAAAGATGGCAAAAGTTATGGGAATTGGTTGTTGACGCCCTGTACTCATCTACATCATATACATTCAAGCTCGAGGAACGATTATTTATTGCTTTAGAAACAGACGATCATATTAGTAATAATTAATCTTGAAAGGTTAATTTTTGAAGGAGAAAATGCGCAATAATGCTGAACATTAAATTTGTGCTAATCATCGTTATATACTTGACTTTATTTTGCTACGAGAAAGGTTATTTACCCAAAAACATATATCATTCTTTTATTGTTGAACCCAGTTATGGATATAATTAAATTTTAATAATTTCAGATTGCTCTCCAACCCCCTGTATTGATAATGACCCATATAGAAATTGTACAGAGTCAACAGAAAAGCCAGCGTCCAGAGCGAACTTGGCTTGGCTAGTAACACCAGCCGTGTTAGGTCTGTATAAGTATAATCTTTATTATAAACATATATATTGTATATATTAGGTCTGGAAAGAATTATTTCCGATATCAGTTACATTTCTATTGTTTTTGCGTAACATAACTTTCGTTTTGTTTTCTATTTATGGAAAATAGTTTATGAAATATGATTATTTAAGTCTACTGATATTTATAGGACTGGGACTGGTGTATCTTGTTTATAAATGCTGTCGAGATGGTCTCTGCAATTGGAAACGGTTAAGGGAAAGTCACTTACCGCATCCATCTTATAGGCCAGTCGAATCCATATCGTCTAGAACAACGAGTCGTTTTACTGCTGGGGGAAGAGATCTGATGTTGGTAACAAATCATCGATTATCGCTCTCCGTCTACGATCCGTCACCACCACCACCTTATAGCCGTGATGAAACTAGATTCGCTTTTGATCTAACTCCAATTCCTCCAGAATATGTAGAAAGAAATAATAGTTGTTTACCCCCTCCGTTCCGATCAAGGAATAATACCGGTGAAGAAAATTCAGATAAAAGGATACGACATAGTTCCGAAAAATGTGAAAGGAGGAATACATGGTCTGGAAGGCGACGAAGACATGCAAGCCACGATAACGGTGTTCTCACATCAAGATTGAGAAGGAACACCGGCGAAATGATGTCTGGAAATGTTAATCCCTTAGCCCTTGAAGTAACTAATCTAGATGAACAGGAGAATCTTTTACCGATTACAATAGAAAAATAGAAGCTCATATTTGGGAAGATATAAACTGAGTTCTTTTTTTTTTGTATTTCTTTACACAGTTATTTTTTTCTTGTATGTTTCTTTTTTTGGCCAGCTAAATAATACTTGTTTTTCTTTTATCAATCTCTTTGACTCTTCTCCTAGCTTGGGAGAAGACGAAATAAGAAATCTCTTCTTTATTTTTTTAAACAAAGCTGACAGTTGACATTAGAACTCGATTTTTAGTTGATAACTTGAGCAATAGAGAAAAATAATACCCTGTATAATAATATATATATACAGTATATATATATATATATATATATATACTGTATATGGCACATATTGTGTATTATTCTTTCATCTCATTTCTAACAAAAGATAACGTTCTAACTTAAATGCACTTCCTCTTTCCTCTCTATTTAATTGAAATGGCTATATTATATTCATAATTTTTTCTCTCCGCTTACTTTCAACCTTTCTTTCTCGGGTTTATTATTATTATTATTATTCATTTTCGCTTATAATATCTATATTTTTCTTTTTAAACTTTCTCCTAATTTTTTCTAAAAGAAAAGCAAAAATAGAGTATTGCTATTTTATGATGTTAAACATAAAACTATATAAATATGAAATCTAAATGAACGAAGATATTAAAAAGTATTAGTATTTTATAGCCGCGTTTCTGAACACAAAAAAAAAATAAAACAGCTGCCATAAAATTATATTCCATGTAAATTTTATACAGTAAGCAATATACGTTTATCTCAACGTAGTACTATTGAATTTTTCAATTTATCTATTATCTAAGCTCGGAGATCTTTACTTTTATAGATTTCCATTTGTTAAAATCTAAAAGGTAATATCTTGATTTTTGCTCTATTTTAATTCCAAGATATTTTATAATTTACTAAAGGATCTATGTCTCTTCTTACATTTTCAACCCTATTTACACATTAAGATAAGTAATCAAAGTGAATGATCTGACAAGGGACTGGTCAATGTAGTATGACGTAGTTTCTTTTAAGCTACTGTCTTCACTTAAAATTACTATAGTTTTTTATATACTGCAAAGGCTGAGATTTTCTTCGGGGAAAATGATGGAAAATAAACCGAAAATGATTATAAGAAAAGAGGCCGCGTAAGCTTCGTCAGATGGCGCTTATTATCGTTTTAAAACTAGTTGACAGTCACTTTAATATATAATATCAAAGTTATCCTTAGACTTTTACCTATTACCTGATAAAATCGAGAACGATTTGTACCTGTTATAGAGGATCATGATAAGGCGACCTGTTTCTTTTAGTCCGTTGTTGAACCTGTAAATATTGACGCAATTATTCACTTTCAATGCGCAAATTATAAAGACATATATTTAGATTTAAAGCATATATTTACGAGATTTATTTTTTTCTCTGGGGATTCCACCTGCTTATCTCGTACGCGTAGGTTTATGTACTATATATATATATATATATATATATGTAGGTTAGAATCAATTGAAATCTAATGCTTTCAGATTATTTAAGAGTTATACTAATGGTTAGGGAACATAAAATTAAAAAATGATTTGTCAACAGAAGTGTTGGGGGTTAGGGTAAGGGAAAAGTTGTAGATATATTGTATTACATGTATTATCCTGTATATCAAAATATAAATACTTTGTATACAAAATACATGAATACTAATAGGTTGTGTATATAAAAGAAATTGCAAGTTAATATTTAATATAGTACATTCAAGGTATACTTGATAATTCTCGAAGTAATGTTAAGTATATACACTTTTTGTATTGGATAATTAAGTTTACATATACACATTAGTTTTCTCAATACAATTATATACATGAAAATTAGGCGTTTTTACGTTGGTTCTTCGAATTCTTCTGCAAGAAAACTTGTTAAATTACGGGGAATTAATGGGCTAACAAGGCTTGTAATCTCTTTGGCTTCTTCAGCTCCGCCTGTCTTATTGAACAATTCTTTGCCCAGATCGAATATCCTTTTTATTGTCTTTTCCTCAATGAGAATAAGGGGTCGTTCTCCGTCAATTGGCTTCCTTGGTTCGTTTATTTTATCCAATTCTTTCCATGTGTCTCTTTCCCATAGCTCCCTCATAACATCAGGTATGTCAAGGTCTGCGTATCGATGCATATTTTCGTAATCTACTTCACCAATTCTGTCTGCTACTGGTCGGAAAGCTAGTAATATGTCTAAAAGTCGGCTCATTGTCTTCCGAGAATCATTTCGAGTTCTATCCAACACAGTTTGAAGGCATCCCAACATTTCTGATCTCATTTTTTCAGCTTTTTCTTTAAATTGTAAAGTACATCGGTCAGTTGTTAACAGACTCACAGCTGCAAATAGTGCCCTCTCTTCGCTTGTTAAATGCATCTGTTGTATATTTCCTATTAGCTCCAAAAGACGAGATGCAACAGGTTGGCGGGGATCATTGTCATCTAGAACATCCAATTGAATCTTATGCATAGCTCTATGACCGTTTACGTAAATAGTTTCCTGAGCTTCGTCCGTTGTAAAATTAGCAGCCATAAATATAAACTCTCTATGATTATTCTTAACAAGGCTAACTTGATCACTTAGTGGTATATCTCTCCAACCTGGAATGCCTTTTGCAAAGGTTATTAAAGCTTTCGTACATAATGCCATATTTTCAGCTTCGTATCTGATGAATTGTTTCTCCCTCTCAGGATAAGACCTACTTACTTCTCTCCTGACAACGGTTGCATCAATCCACCTTACCCTGAGTAGTTCAAGAGATAGTCTAGTAAGTTCTGATATGATTTTTTCTTGCTCATTGTCATTTGTAGGAGGAGAGCTCGAAGACGAAATGGACGCGTCTGACATTGACGAACGTCTCTTTTGTAATTGAGCGTCTCTGGCAGTTTCTGCTGAATAGCGTCCAAAACGACTTTTCGTCCTGGACATTCCCAAAGCAATACATTTAGCAGCTCTACACGACATACAATTGTTCCTCCTTCTAGCCTTAATTTCACATTTTCCATCTTTTCGACAGGCAGGGGGTTGTTGAATAAGAGTTCGTCGAAAAAAAGACTGGAATATAATTAACAAAGATGTCACAAATCAATAAAAACTACGTAATAATGCCGTGAAAGTTGATCACCTATTAAATTATTTTAAGCGAAATTATAACACCTTACCTTACAAGCTTCGCAAGTGAAGATACCGTAATGTAATCCTGTAGCCTGATCTTGACATACTCCACATAATGGCATATCCAAATCGGTTGGTTTTGTTAACTTTGAATCCGTCATACCTATCGTAAAAGTCAACCTTATCTATAAAAGAATTTTTCGTTGAATTTTAACTCTATATATATATATAACATATCTAAGGTATATATAATAATGATATATTTACATACATTTATATAAAGTTTATTTCCGATATGTTATCGATGAGAAGCGACACCTACTGCTAAAATATGTCATATAGAGAGCCTTTATTATATATTATCAAATACATATATTCTTAAATCATATATCTATATACAGTATATTGATTTGGAAGCAAAATATTTAAGTTTTCAATTAAGTATATTTTTATCTATTTAACTATTTATACACATTTATATATTAAGGTAGGCTTTATAGCTGTATATACATAATAATTTATATATATATATATATATATATTTACATATTAGTTTTAATAATTTTTTATTTTCTACATCTTTTATAAAGAAAAACATAACCCACATAAGGCGTTTATATCGATTTGTACTCAAAGAGACTTGTAGTCTTTTCTAATTTCGTCCCAGTTACATACATATTTATAAGTATCTGGAGAGAAACTTTTGTTTTTTTTAATAATAAAAAAAAGCATACATTTAAAAAAAAAACATTATACATTTACATAAACAAAAAGAGTACTGTACAGAGACGATAAAGCATTTCCTACCTCTTTATAGGTAAAGATGTGCTATATCTACGAATTCCCTATTGGTATATATACTCTCTATATCACACATTCATATTTTATATAGAATATAGTACACACATGTATATTATATATATATAGTTAAGAAGGAGTAATATTAGTATTGTAGAAATTTTTTGTAATAAAAGGTTTTGAAATAATGATTTCCTTTAAAAGAAGAGAAAATAATACCTTTAAGATTATGTCTTAAAAAATAAAGAGAAAGAGTAGGCAGAAACTTTTCTTATTCGGAATATGAAAATTACACGATATAATGATAGTATATTGTTATAACATCTATGCTAAACATAATTTTACAAGTAGATTAGTATATCACTGTTAATTAGTCCTTTTGTACATAGTATATGTATTACATTCTAAAGAAAGGCAATCTTAAGGGAGAAAAGTTCAAGATGAAAGATAATTTAAAACCGTCTAAATAAACTACTCATTTTTTTAATATTCAAGGCATATTTATTTATTTTTGTAGTTTTCTACAACAAAATCAAATATAGACGATCATATTCTTGTGATTGTTACACTTTCCTATTTCATTTTAATGAAATTATAAAACAATAAATTACAAATATAATGATTTTTTCTATCTAAATATTTAATAATTAATTAATTAATTAGAAAAATATGGATGGGAAGAGCGCCATTTTTCATCTTGCAATTTTCTTGGAAGATGTATAGCGAAGAAAATAATGTATAAAACATATTGACTATACTTTAGATTATAATATTCTGCTAAATGCTGTTTCTAGTTTACCCCTTTCGATCCTTTATTGTTTATTTTATTCTATGTGAATAAATAACAATAGCTCCTACATTTTATACATATTACAATAGATGCCTTTTAATTATAGTATATACCCTATATTTTGTACGGACAATATTTTTCTATATTTATCGTATACGATACATATTTTTCAATTTCTAAGTTATGAAAGAGATTTTACATCTCTCCTTTTAGGTTTAATTAATTAAGGAAGGTTTTTTAACTCTGTATCCTTTCCGTTGTCTCCTATTACTTATTTATAATCCTCTCTATTCTATGCTCCCTCCATCCTCCCCCCCCCGCATTCTCTCTCTCTCTCTCCCTCTTCCTTCTGCCCTTCTCGTAAAAATCATTGTATAAAAAATTTCTCTTTAGTATAACCACAATCCACAGGTAGTGGCAGTGAACCAGTCTATGAATAAAGAAAGTAGGATTTTGTATACGACATGTCAAATTTAGTGATCTTTCGCAGAGGTACAATACTTAACTTAAAACAAATTAATAATGAAATAAAATAAGTCATTGAGATACATTAAATGAAATATGATGTAACTCTCTGATTTATTTGTATTTCGTTACTGCCATCTCTCCGAAAAAGAAAGTAGATTACAAAAAAATGACACGATAAAATGTTTAAATCGAATGGTAAGATAATGGACGAAAATAGAAAAATTCTTATACTAGATGGATCTATATCTTTTAACTTAAAATCCTTTATTGATTGAGTTGTTCAAATATAAGTAGAAATAACTCAGACAAAAAGGGAATTTACGTCAATAGGAAAAAGCTGATGATCTTACAATATAATTCCAATATTATATATTAATTATTGAATGAATATTATCCATTTCGTTGATATATGAAAACTATGAGAAAGAAATAGACTATTAATCATGAATTCGGTTATGGTAAATCGTTGTTTGGGAATAGAATATAAATAGAAACGGTATTTAACAGCTCTGTAATGTATTATAGTTGTACTGAAAGCGTACATATTGTAGCAAAAATGCGTTTGAATGTTAATATATATATATTTATACTAATATACAACACTCATAAACCTAATTACTTATATAACTAGAGCACATTTGAAATAAAAGATTCACTTTTTATACGAACTATATACATAATACAGTATATCTATTAATCCAAGTGGGTTACAGGGGTAGTAAACTAAGTGAAAGGTTAATAACCTTTTAGTACTACACAAAAAAGGATAACAACGAGCTAAACACAAACCTGCTTTGTTCTTTAAATGATTAAGAATTTTTGTCTATCCAAGTTCATTTAAATAGGAATGGTGAAAATGATGATGAAAAGTTACTTTAAATTCGTTAAGCTGACCTCTTTTTATTTATATCTTAAAAGAATCGTAAAATGAACGCTAAGTTTCTATATTAGAGGAGAACAGCACAAGAAAAATCAATATGACTATACACTGTCAAGTCTGAATAATATTTCATAGGCTTTTTTAAAGCGCGTGATCAGATCTTTCATTTTATACTTTGAAAGTTTATATTGTGTTTATTCTGATAAGGATTTTCAAATCTAAAAAGGCTACATTAGATAAGATAGTAAGAATATTCTAGTGTTTTGCGTACTTTGAAAAAGTTGTTTTACATAGCTACACATTATATAAGTCGATAACAATAAACGCTTTCCAAGGACAACAAATATCTTTATTTTTCAAAGAAGTTTCTCTATACTTCATTGATTTTTCTATATTTTCTTACTATATTCATAATAGATCAATACTGATTAATAATAGCGCAGGTACATAGTAACAAGAACATTTCGTCCAAGGAAACGGAACTTCACTTTTTTAAAAACAGTGACATCTCTATTCCTCAATTAGAACTACAATTACGACTTGTTATGAAATTTTGAAAGGCCTTGTAAATTGTATTCACAATATTAAAACACATTACAACACTTGTTAGTATAAATTGACCAACTTCACCTCAATTTGTTGAAAATGGCAGAATCTAACGAAAGTTGCGATAATGGTGATAAATCCTTCAAAAGTGCAATTATTCTGATGCCACCGGAAACAGAATGGACACAAATACAGAATATAAGAGAGTAAGCACTTTATTTAAAATTTGATATGCCTTTGTTCTATTTATCTTGAATAGTTACGAACCTTACTAATTCCTTAGAAAGCACGACAAAGCTTACAACCGATGGATGCCTCATATTAACTTAATATGGCCGTTTGTTCCTGATATGGATTGTAACTTCGATTTAGAATTTGTAAAAATTAGTCAAGCTCTTAGTAAATTAGCACCTTTTAAAGTGAAATTCACGCAAAAATCATTCAGTTTTTTTGAGCACAAGCAATGCGTTTTGTGGTTAAATCCATTAGAAAATGATCATGATGACAACCCACATCCTTCCGTTATAAAGCTACAGAAAATCCTCCAAAATCTTTATCCTAACTATTACGATGGAACAAAGGAATTTGTACCTCATCTTACCCTAGGAAGATTCCAAAGGAAGCATATTAATAACGTACGAGAAAACTTCCAAAAGGATTGGAAGGATATTGAATTTGAAGTTAATAAAATTTATCTGATTAGTCGGAAAGGATTTGAAGATCCTTTTGAAATTAAGAAAGAAATTAGCTTTAACTAGTTACTTTTTGTATTTTGTTATTATATTGTTTTGACGAATGTTTATTGAAACATTCTATAGAGATTATTCGATTAAATGTAAAAATTCAACAAGTCACCAACAATCAAGAATAAAGCTTTTTAAATATTCCATCTTACAAACATGTTCAATGAAAAATATATTAAAAATGCAAAAAAAAAGGAAACAAAAGCAAAACCAGCAAAAACGAACAAATAAATCTGCAAAAATTCTCATAAAAAAGCCAAGAATCTTTTCAAAGTATCACCATCATTATCTTCATAAGCGATTAAAACTGGAAGAGAATCTGTTAATTTTTCTCTTCCAAAATTAATTTGTTTAAAGAATAGATTATCAATTTTAAATAGATTATGTTAAACACAACTAAACGATTCAATTAAATGATTTTGTTTGTTTTTGAACATTAAAACATAAAAAAAAAATTAAGGTATCATTTGAGACAAACTAGTTTTAAAATTAAATTAAAGAGAAGATTATTCTTTGGCAATGTTATTTTTTTTTGTTTGTCTTAAGGGAAGAAAGGGAAAGAAAAAGAAGGTACCAGGAAATAGTTTCTTCATTCGTAAAATGACCAGAAAATTATCACTTCGTAGCCGTTCCCACAAGTCCAAACTTCATAAAACGAACAAATATTGGGACAGGAACTCTGCATTGTTTAGTATCAATACTCGAGAAATCAGCTTCCTTAACAATTTGTTTTGTATCTGAAAACGTTCTGCAATGCCCAACTCTCCACCAAAGTCCTTTGATGAGATATTGACATAGTTTTGATAGTCCAGAGGGTGCGGCAACGTGTTCAAAAAAGTAAAAATTCCTTCCCTATGCAACAAACAAAGGCAATAAATATAATTTATTACTTTATTACAAAAAAAGAATGCTGTTAAACTTATACGTACAAAATAATAACGTTTATTGATTACTCACAGGTTTTAGAATTCTCTTTATTTCAGCTAAACTTTGAGCTTGATCGTCTACGGAACAAAGTACTAAAGTGCAAACAACTGCATCAACTGAGCCGGTTTTTATTTTCCCCATATCCTCCGCTCTACCTATCACAAATTTTACTTTATCTTGCAATCTTTTTGGAAGATTTTCCCTAAAATAGGGATTAAAACAACCATTTGGCTCAACGCAAATAATTTCTGAATTATCTGGATAATATTTAAAATTAGCACCAGATCCTGCACCTATTTCCACTATTTTCAACTTTGATTCCGTCTTTGATAGATAGTGAAGTGGTTGGAAAAGGTCTTCTTTCAGGGTACTGACATATTTCGATTTATTCAGCGATAGAGCAATTCTATTCGTGACATACGCAACGATTTTATCATGAAATTTCGAAAATTGTATATATTTTCCAAAATATTTCCAACATATTATGATGATAAAAAGTGGTAAAACATATCTTATTAAATAAGACTGACAAATCAGATCAGATTCACTCATGTCGCTGGCTGCTCAATAAAATAAAAGGAACAGAATCTCGATCTGATAAGGAAACAAAATCGTCCTTGACATTGCAATAACACCATATCACAAAGCTTTTAAACAACAATGAAAAAGAGTGGAGAAGAGAGGATTTCCGTTTCCTTTTCTCGCGTTCTCTCTGTCTTTTGCCCTTTCTGAAACAAATTACCACGCTATTCCACTCTATCCCCGCCAAAGGGTGATCGATCATCGTAGGTGTTTTTTTATTGATATATATAAATGCTATATCATTCTTCCCTTAGACCATTATAACTATGAAAGTTTTTACGTTCTTTATAGTAATATAATAGGTAAAAAAGAATCAAAATATCCAACTTAATAAAAATGAAAACTATCTTCCAAACTTGCTAAAAATGAGAATATTCCATTTGATTTTGTTAATTTTTCAATAACATAACATTAAAGTGCACAATATATATATATATATATATATATATATATATATTTATATGTTGAATATGGACTTTACATTCATACTTTATCATAATTATAGAAAATTCTTGATCAACTTGTTATTGCGCAAGTCTCTTAGTGCTATTAAGGAATTAAAAGGAAAAACAGCCCTTACTATTATTACTTGGGATTTTATACTACAAATAATAGCTTGATCCATTTTTATCTTGATTCTCTAATGTATGATATATATTTAAGCTACTAAAAAATTCTTCTTGTATAGTTATAGGCCTATTTTGCACGCCAAGAACATTTTTAGTATTTGATTAACTGTGTGCCGGTAAATATCTGCCTTCAGAAGGAATTAGAAAATTAATTTTGTTATGGGCCTATGCTCGTTAAGGAAAATAAATAAAAATAGAAATTAATTTTAGATTATTTTTATTAAAATAGTAAATAATTTGAATCCTTCATGAGTGATAATACCATAAGTTTTTGTTCTCGGCTGGGTATAAATTAATATAATAACCTGTAGGGGTTTATCTACCACGCAAATCTCATTAAAAATAGAAAATGATCAGACTGAAGAGAATGGCCGTCGGAGCAATTAGAAGTTTCTCCTCAAAGATTACTCCTATACCTAGAATTGCTATTATTGGAAGCGGACCTGCAGGATTCTACACAGCTCAACATTTACTAAAGTCAAATTCAAAGTTACATGTTGATATTTATGAAAAACTATTTGCACCCTACGGTTTAGTACGTTATGGAGTTGCGCCTGATCATCCAGAAGTGAAAAATGTTATTTCAACTTTTTCAAAAACAGCAATAAACGATCGTTGCAGATGGATAGGTAAGTTATTAAACACAAAACAAAAAAGTCTGCTAAATTGTAAAAATATTGAAAAAAATCCCTTAAAATACTAGGAAATGTTGAAATTGGTAGAGATATAAGTATAAGAGACATGAGAAAGGCTTATAGTGCTCTTGTATTTTCATATGGGTGCCAAATAGATAAGTTACTAAATATACCTGGTGAAAACTTAAAGGGGGTGTATTCAGCAAGAGAATTCGTTGAATGGTACAATGGTTTACCGTCAGCATCAACTTTGAATCCAAATTTAGATTGCGAGGATGTTGTTATCTTAGGCCAAGGAAATGTTGCCATAGATGTAGCTAGAATGTTTCTTAGCCCGCTTGATGAATTAAGAAAGACTGACATTTCCGAATATGCATTGGACAAAATTAGTAAAAGTAGAGTGAAAAGAGTTCATTTGGTAGGCAGGAGAGGTCCATTGCAGGCTGCCTGCACCATAGCAGAACTGAGAGAGCTAACAAAGTTACCAAATTGTTTTGGCATAATTACTCACCAAGAGGTAGAATTCTTAAGAGAAAAAATCAAGGAACTCCCTAGGCCTAAGAAACGTATGATGGAACTTATGCTGAAAATTGCAGATTCGTCTATTGATAACAAAATAGACTTTCAAGTAAGTTTAGGATTGAATTATTTTATTTTATTCTTAACAAATCTGACCTATTTTAATAGAAACAATGGAGTTTATCTTTTTTCAAAAGCCCTCTTGAATTTTTACCTAGTGAAGAAAATCCTGATCAACTTGGAAAAATCAGATTTTCTTTAAATAAATTAAAAGATAACATTGCCTATCCAACAGGAGAAACAGTTGAACTATCAACAAATTTAGCGTTTAGATCTATTGGGTATAGAGGAGTTGGTATACCAGGCCTTCCGTTTGACTCGGAAAGAGGATTAATACCCAATAAGAATGGGAGTGTAATTAATGAAAGAGGATTATACTGTAGCGGCTGGATTAAAAGAGGACCTACTGGTGTTATTGCAACAACTATGAACGATGGATTTGAAACGGCAAAAACTATATTAGAAGATATTAATTCTTCTAGAATAGATATAACTTCTGACCAATTGGGTTTCGATGGCTTAGCAAATAGTTTGAAAGATATAAAAGTTAAACCTCTCAATTATCAAGATTGGTCAAAAATTGACATGATTGAAACACAAGTTGGGACTGCTAAGGGAAAATCACGTGAAAAATTTGTAGATATTCAAGAAGTTTTCAAATTATTAGATCACTAATCCAAAATAAGATATTTTTTATCGATTACTTTCAATAATATGAAAATCTATTCGTTATCTTTTTTCATCATGACTATTATTAATTTAACTTTTTAAAATGTCATATTGGGAATTTTTACTTAAAATTTATGGCTGTAAACTTTCTGAATTTTTTATGGGTGAGAAAAGAATTGCATATTCCTCATATACTTAATTTAGTTTAGAATAACTTCTTGTATCATATCTTTCGAAGCGAATGTTAAATGTATTAGATTTTTGAATTAACATAAAAATTCTTCAGTCGCTAATAACATCCTTAATAATTTTATAAGAATGACCATTTGACTATTGAAAAGTATTTTTATCGACTGTAAAAATGTTTTGATAAACTAGCTCTTAAGTTTTGCTTTGATATCCGGTCGCTTATTTTTAAGTTTTACAAATGTACTAATATTAATTTAACAACAAATAAATTTCAGAAAAATTTCGAATACGTCGATATAAGAATGCAACTATTGTAAAAAGAAACTTTTAAATTTAATTGTAAGGTTGGTAACAAATTTTACCTTGACCTTATGCTTCTATTTTAGAAAGCTTTTGAACAAGTAAAAGATATATTTCCGTTTCCTTTTCATAATGTAGGGAGCCTCATCTATTCCTTTCCGGCGCTACCCAATCATCTCCTGTCCTTCTCTGACGTGATACCAGTCGAAATAATTAGGAAGTTGTGCTTTCGGCTACAACGCCCTGCATAACCTCAAATTGCTATATTTTAGCCCAGGTACTACTTTCAGCTAATACGCGAGGTATTGGATATTATTGATGACCGCAAATTGATTCTTAAATCCGATAACTTCTTTTTCAGACTTTGATCCCTCAGTAGACATCACCAAGGTAATTACATAATTAATTAGACAGTTTTACGGGCACGTTCTTGTTTGTTTTCTATTCTATTTTGTGCTAACACCTTTTTTTGTCGTCTCTACACTTTCAGTTAACAAAATTATGGCTTTTCTGAACAATAAAAACAGAAATGCCGAATACCTAGATAGCATTAGGGAAGAGATAAAGCAAAATAAGGCTTACCTAAAGATGGAAAGAACAAAAGTTAGTCAAACGTTAAAAGATTTAGTGGAACACTGTGAAGAACACTGTCAATCTGACTTGCTTTTGAATCCGGTTAGAGATAATCCGTTCAGACCCAAGAAAAGTTTCTGTCAAATTCTATAAAACTTTCATGTGTTGGTTACAGCTTTTATTATTTGAAGAATTAGTAAACTTAATATTTTTATTTCAATTTTGAATCTTTTTAGTTTTAACAATACAGCTTAGACTTTAGTTTTTACACGTGTCTTTTGATAATGTTAACCTAAATTTCCAAAACATTTTGTTGTAATTTTTTTTTAAGGTGAGTTTTTCATTTTTTTTTCTAGCTTGCTTTTTGCTTTTCTTTTCATGGCTTTTGTTTTCTTATAATTGTTCACAATTAATGGCCTCTTTATTCAACCATTATTACCTTAATTTGATAGTTTTTTTATTATAGGCTTAACGGTTCCCACAAGATATGTTGCATTTTTTAGCACAATGCATATATATATATATTTATTTTGTATTAGGCTAAATATATGAAGAATTGATAATTGCTAAAAAAACTAGGATGCTTTATTTAAAGTGCGAGTGGCTTAAGCACATCGCTTGTGAAATTTAACTAAATACATAGTTCTTTTGAAATCTATTTTTAAATGAATGAAGAAAATATATAGAATGGACTATGCCTATAAATATTATATATAATTTTTATTCTAATTTTCTTCTCTTTTTACTTTTAATAGGTGACCTACTATCAAAATTTTATCGTCACAGTTATTAACAGGTAAGATATTGTAAAATGTTTATATAATCAGATATTTAGTATATTATGTACATGAGTGATGGTTTAGAAGCTTTATACCATAATATTAGAATTCTCTATTTTATAGAATAGAAAAGAGTACAAAGAACATAAAAAATAATCATTAACTCATTGGATACCGTTTATTGATATTAACTACACTAATATACTATCTATACTTATATTATATATATAAGCTAGTAGTGAGATTTTTTAAAGACTTTTTCGTTTATTTCTTCTTAAGGTCAGATTGAACTATTTCGTCGACAGACAGTGATTTATTGGTTAGTATCTATATCCACTCTTCTTTGATTTTTTAGTTTTTATTCATTATAATTATTTTTTAGTCCATCGCCATGTCGAATGTACAACAACAGAAAAAGATGGTAGAACAACTTCGACTAGAATGCTCCATGGAGCGAAAGGCCGTTTCACAGTGCGTGAAAGATATGATCGCATTTATGGAAGAAAATAACTCTAAGGATTATCTGGTCATTGGGTTTGCAAATAAGAAAGATAATCCCTATCAGGAGAAGAGTGGATGTAGTATTCTATGAATTTGAACACATAAGCAAAGTGTCTCTTGTCTAGGTGTTGTGAAAATTTTCTGCCAGTTTCACACTTTTATGTCTTTTGCCGCATTTTAATCAAGCTTCGTAATATTTATGTGTAAAGGGGGCATTTATCGAAACCATTAATCAATAGGCCTTTAAAAAGAGGAGTTTATACTTTCTCAGTAAATTTTCAACGTAAAAATAAAATAGTAAAAATTTTAGGAGAAATGTCTTCTTTTTTTATAAAGCATCACCAGAAAAAAATAGGCGTATCTCTTTAAAAGTACTTCTATATAACGATTTCGGTACATTTTTGCACTTTTAAGGCTAACAAACGATTAATGATCTGCTTTCGATTTCTGGATGAAATTGGATACAAAAAGGATTTCCTTTACAATTGTCAATTAATTAGGTTAGATCAACACCTTAATAATATTCTAGATTATATAAAGCGACATGATCTAATTTCAAAATCATCGATTACTTTATTGAAAAGCTGTTAAAATTAAAATCATGTGAAAATTCCATAGCTAACACATATTTTCAAAATTTTTAAATATTATAAACAAAGGTCGAATGAATCACATGGAAAATATGATTCAGAAACCTTTCGTCTCTATTAATTGATCCTGATATTGTTTTATTTTTGGTAGATTAGCGCATTCGAATGAATAAACGAAAGGCGAACTTTTATAGTAACGTTTAGAGTATTTGAAATTGCACCATATGACCTTCGGGTACTTGTGCCTAGATGTACTGCAATGTTATTGCGGTGCTTGACGCTATACCGAGGGTTATTGAAATTAGATACATCTAGGGATGTGATTAAGCAGGCTGTAATCCACTGACAAGATTAAGTTGGTTAGAAATATGAGGAATTCTGTGCCAGACTATACTTGTTGATATTTATTTTATTCTTGAGTAAAAAATTTTAGAAACTGGTAGTTTTCAGTTTTTGTGTGTTTTTATCGTCTAAATGCCTTTAAACGTCGACAAATGGACAGTTTTTAGCCTTTTAGAGCAAGAATTTCTTGAAAGAATAAAGTTAGCCTGTGTATTTGGAAGCTCTGGTAATGAAGCACTTATTCTCACTGATGACGATCAAGTATTTGCGATTGGAAGCAACTGTTCTGGATGTTTAGGAGTTGGGGATACTGTATCTGGCTTGGAACCTCGAAGGGTGGACGTTCTTTGTGGAAAGAAAGTAAAAAAAATTGGTATGTAAACTTGCCACATTTTATTCCCTGTAAGATAAAGTTAAAATTCCTTTCTATAAAAAAATGTAACTTCAATACATAGCAAGTTTATTTTAACTTGTCATTTCTTTTAGTAATTGTAATACATGAACTTGAAACAACATATTGTATTCAAATAATATAGTGATCTTTGAAAAAAAAACAGTTAAAAAAATATGAAACAGCTATCTGAAGAGATTGTAAGGATAACTAAGTAATTATTGCTTATGTTTATAAATTCAGCCTATGGATCGGGTCCTCATGTTCTAGCTGTAACAGGTGAGGGGGAATTGTATGTGTTTGGTCATAATGGTTATTGTCAACTTGGTAATGGATCAACAACCACTCTGCAGACACCGACACTTTTAGCAGCTGGATTTGCGGGCAAAAAAATTATAGAAGTAGCTGCTGGCAGTCATCATTCTCTTGCTCTTACGTCAGAAGGTGAAATATATGCTTGGGGTCAAAATAATTGCGGTCAAGTGGGCAATGGATCAACAAATAATCAGGTTATAATAATCTCTTCTATAGAATCAAAGTCTGAATATTGTCTGTCTATCAAGTTTTTAATCATTTCCTTGATAGAAATGATAAAATTAATTTTTACTAATTGTAAAATATTTTTAAAAATGACAGTCATGCCCACGTAAAGTTACTGCTGGATTGGGTCAGAGAGTAGTCATTTCCGTTGCTTGTGGTCAAACCTCTTCAACAGCTCTAACTGATAATGGAGAAATTTTTTCTTTTGGTTATAATGGAAATGGTCAACTAGGTCTAGGGAATAACGTAAATCAAGCAAATCCTTGCAAAGTTGGTGGGCTGCTTACTGGGATTCATATACAACAAATAGTTTGTGGGTATGCTCATACTTTGGCTTTGTCAGATACTGGTAACCTCTATGCATTTGGAGCGAATAGTTATGGTCAATTAGGAACTGGAAATAAAGCTAATGCTGTCTCACCACAGCAAGTGGGTCTCGACAAAGGTCGCTGGACAGCCATTGCTGCAACTCATTACAACCATGTGTCGGTTGGTAGTATACAAACAGGGAAAATTATGATGTGGGGTCAATGCAGAGGTCAATCTGTTGTTAAACCAGTCGAAACTCGATTTGGAACTGTCCATGATGCGTTTGCCTGCTTTGCATCTCCTGCAGTTACATATAAACCTTTAGAAGTAGATGAACATCACGAATTCAGGTAAGCTACTTAAGCGATATGATATAAAAATTTTTAGTTTGCTTTTATTACAGTATGCAAAAAATATTTGCTGCTGCATTTGACGATCCTTTAACGTCTGATTTGAAGTTTATAGTTGATAAGAAACCTATACATGTTCACAAGGCAATTCTAAGAATAAGATGCGAACACTTCCGATCAATGTTTAGCTCAACCTGGAAGGAAAATAAATCAGACTCAATTACAATTGATCATTACTCTTATGTTGTCTACTATGCTTTTTTGAATTTTTTATACACTGATAAGTTAAGCATTCCGGCAGAAGATGCTTTGGGTCTTTTGGATTTAGCTGATGCTTATTGCGAAAAACCTTTGAAACATGAATGTGAACAATTACTGAAATCATCTATAAACGTTGAATTTGCGGCGTTGTTATATGCAGCCTCCGTAAAGTATAATGCTATAAACTTGCAAGAATTTTGTTTCAAATTTATTCTAAATCACTCAACGGAAGTATTCCAATCTCAAGACTTGGCTATGCTCGAGGGCGGCGTATTGAAGGACCTTATCAGAAAGTTAGCCGATCATAATGCATTTAAAAACTAGTATTCATCATTTCTTATTCATTATGTAATTAATAAATAGTTTGTGAAAAAAAATCCATTTAATGGCTTTTTTTTTCCTCTTTTCAATCTATCAACACTTTTAAATATCTTTTTGTTTTTAAACTTTAACTAATGTTTCTTTTTAATCATTGTATTTTTGTTTCTACTAAAACGAGCATACTAAAGCAATTTGTAAACATAATACTGACAATATCTTTCTTCAGATATCCTACCTTCCAATGATATTAATTTTTGGTAGCAAACTCCTTCAAATTTCGTGAAGTTATACTTTACTTGAAATGTCTGATTTAAGGATAATTTAATATATACCTATGAGACTGTATTTGATATCAAATGTTTATTTTTTTTAAATAAATTGGTATTCCTTAATTCTGAAAGATCAATTACTAACCAATCCAAAAGTAAAGGCGCCAAAAAATAAAACCAGACAACATATAGAGCCATACTAAAAGAGTCTTTTAGTCCTTGACCTTGGTCATTTTTTAAGCGGTTCTAGAACGAATTTTGTAAATATGTACTTTCAAAAATTAGTTTATCACTTTAAAACAAGGTAAATTTTTATGATAAAAGATACATTATACTTTCTATAGCCTTATTAATAATTCTACGACATTTCTGAAGATTTTTTAAATCCATCAAAAGTGATCATTAAGATCATTCTTTTATTCTACGCTATCTCGCAATATGTCATCATTAACTGCTGAGCAGAAGAAAAGAATAGAAGAAAACCGGCAGAAGGCATTAGCCAAACGGGCACAAAGAGAATCGGCTGCTAAATCTGCAGCAAACACAGCCTTGACTAAAGATAAACTAGCAGCCATAGAGAAAAACCGTCAAAATGCTCTAGCCAAGAGAGCTGCACTTGAGGCCAGGGTTTCTAAATCAAATTCGACTCAATTAAAATTGAATTTCACTCCGAGTACTGGTAAAAGCACTTCTGGTCAAAGTTTATCAAAATTCGGATCTAACCCCCAAACGAGAACCTCTGTCGAATTATCACTGAAAAGTGATGATAGATTTGTTGCCACATTCGGATATGATAGCAGCATTATAAATATTCTGAAAGAAATTCCATCTAAGTTATATGATCAAGAAAATAGAGTATGGACATTTCATTTGTCTGATCATAGTTTAATATTGGAGAAACTTTCAAAGCATGGATATCAAGTAAAACCTCTTCCTAAATGGATTGTAAAGACGTTTCCAATCAAGGACGAGAATATTACAATTGATTTAAGCTGTATTGAAGAAAAATTACTTAATACATTAATGCCATTTCAAAGAGAGGGTGTCGAGTTTGTTATTTCTAAAAATGGACGAGGAATTATTGCAGATGAAATGGGCTTAGGAAAGACTATTCAAGCTATAACCCTCGCAATATTTTATAAATCAGAATGGCCACTTCTTGTTATAACTCCGTCGTCTGTTCGGTTTTCTTGGAAACAGGTGATAATCAATTTTGTATTTAATGTATTTCTCTTTACTTTGAAGTTTACAGCAAATATTACAATGGTATCCATCATTAGACAAGGATGATATAAACGTTGCTGTATCAGCTAAGGATGATCCCACAAAAGGTCTGGTAAACATAGTTAGCTACGATTTGATGATAAGACATAAAATGGATTTCATTAGACAAGGTTTCAAAGTTGTTATTGTGGTAGGATATTATTTATTAAAGAAACAGTAGGGTTTAAAGTCTTTTTTTCAGGATGAATGTCACTTAATTAAGAATAATAAGGCTATGCGTACACAGATAGCCATGGCTGTAATTCATGTAAGACTGTAGAATAAAACTATAGGTATTTACCAATATACATTTATATTTATTGTTTCTAACACAACAGCAAGCTAAAAGAGCAATCTTACTGAGTGGGACACCTGCCTTATCGCGACCTGCGGAGTTATATACTCAAATTGCTGCAGTGAGACAAAATCTATTTAGCAGCTTTCCTGATTTTGCTTATCGTTACTGTGATGCGAAACAATCCAACTGGGGTCTAGATACGTCTGGGTCTTCTAATCTGGGCGAGTTACAAATTCTTTTGGAGAGAACAATTATGATTCGGTTAAATTATTTATTAAATAATTAATAATATTAAATTATTATATACCCAATATACTTGTTTTCTTAACTGTAATATTTTCTAGGAGGTTAAAACGGAATGTTATGGACCAACTTCCAGCTAAAACCAGACAGCTAATTACTTTAGATAATTCAGCAGTTAAAATAGATAAAAGATTAAAAGAGGCGAAGGATAAGCTGAAAGTCACAAAAAATCAAGAGCGAAGAGGTGCTATAATGGAATACTTTCGTGCGACAGGAGCTGTGAAGATAAAAGCGATAACGTAGGCAAAGCCCCTCTAAATTGTCAAAAACAGTTCATATTATCAAACATAATAAACAATAAACTGTTTCAGTCAATATGTTAGTGAAATGTTAGAGATGGATAAGAAATTTATAATTTTTGCTCATCATCAAGTTATTTTAGATGCTATTGAAAATTCTGTTGTTGAAAAGGTTGGTGATCAGTTTCTAGACAAATACAAATAAAATTTTTCAATATTCTTTTGTATAAAGGAAAGAAAATACATAAGAATAGACGGTTCAACGAATCCCGAACAAAGACATTTTTTTGTTCAGCAATTTCAGAATGACGATAGCGTTAGAGTAGCAATTCTCTCGATAACTGCTGCAAATAGTGGTCTTAATTTAACAGCTGCATCTTTAGTAATATTTTCAGAATTATTTTGGAATCCAGGGGTCATATTTAATTGAATCATTTCACTTGCCTAAATTAATTTCTGACAAATTCTTAAACAGATATTGGTTCAAGCGGAGGATAGAGCGCATAGAATTGGTCAAAAAGACTGTGTTAATATTCAATATTTAGTTGCTGAAAATACCGCTGATGACCTATTATGGTAAGCTGTATAAATATTATTGATACACTCCTAATCGAAAAACTTCTGTTAGGCCGATGATTCAAAAAAAGCTCAACATTCTCGGTGAAATAGGATTAACAAAAGAAAATTTCTCATCAGCTAGTCGGCGAGATGTCGGAAATAAACAAAATGATCTTTTAAACTATTTCGAAACAGATTTCTTAACTGAAGAAAATAGTACAGCTGATAAAGCGAAGCCTGATGAGCAGACAACATGTAATAGTTGCGAAATTCTTATGAAGGATAAAATATATCCATTTTAATTATCACAGCTAAGTCAGAAGATGCTAAAGATGTCAATAGATGGTTGGTTGACGATGAATTCGATGAGATACCAGAGTCAATGTTGCAATATGACGTTGAACCTTCCGAGAAAAAATTGAAATTGGAAAACAGCTAAGTCAGAAATGAACATTTTTTAAAGCGTATTACATTTAATACTCAAATTGTAAAACGGAAATGTTTTGAATAGCATTGTAATTGTTTAGCACAGTGAACTAGAGCATTTTATATCGATATATGAAAAATTACTCAAGCTTTGTAATTATTTTGTAAGGACTAAAAATTTTATTGTCAAAAAAGTTATCTCTATTGCTATATATCTCTAAGAGATTTTATAGCATCAGCCAAATGTCTAATGGTATCAGCTAATTGCAAAATAACTATAGGATCAGATTTGTTTGCCAAAAGTTGGGTCATTTCATTGATTTTTTGTTGCAACACTTGAATTGATGTTGAATAATTGCCCGTTGAAGAGCCAGCCAGACAAACAGGAGCATTTGTTTCTTTTAATTTGTTTTCTTCTATCAAACTCTGCGCAGCTCTGTCATCTGTGGCTGAAATGAGATATTTTATTTGAAATAAGGCTAATGTGCTGCCGATGTACCTTTACCTGGATCATCTTTATCTGAATCTGACACTAAATCTATGCATGACACGCAATGTTTTGTTTTGTCTTTGCTTTCTAAAAGGATGGTCTGTTGGGAAAAACATTTCTTAAATTTCTTTCAAGTATATAAAAGCACCAATTGCTCACTCCACAAGCTGGACATTCAGCATCTAACATTTTGTAGCCTTTCAGCAGATAAGATCCCATCGACTGACTAATCTTTGCAGATCTTTCTCGTCTCTTTTCCAGAACTTTACGTTCAGCTTCAGTTGGTGGTCGCCAATCGTCTTCAGACATAGCTAATTCTGCATATTCACATGGAATTTATATACATTATCGCTCTCAACAGTTATGAAATAGTACGTAATTGATAAAAAAGTTAATCTTAAGAATACGAATTTCTATATCGAATAGATATCGTAATGAAATTTAATAAGATAAGTAAGTCAATATTAACAGACGATGAAAAACCTTAAATGTCTTGTTGAAACTAGTGATACGGTTAATATAGCCGGAACGAAGTAGTCTTAACTACCAGTTTTGCGAGCGAAATTTTACCTCACCTTAAACAGTTTGGCAACTTGGTTTTGTGTGTTTCTTAACATTATTCCATTGCTGAACAATCATTGTCATTATGAACATCTATATTCTATTTCCCATACAAATATCTAATAAATAATATTCTAAAAGAAAATTGAATAAGCATGATGATATCATCTCAAATTAAAATTTAGTTATTCAAAAGTAATAGCAAACACTTTTCCAGCTGTAAAAAAGAGAAACCGACGCTTTTCTAGTTAAATCATTAAGGGGAAATTCACATTACATAACAATTTTTGAAAATGACACCGTCAGATGAAATATTCGGGGATGAAAAAGGGTAAAAATTCATATAAATGAAAAGGTTATTATCAGTAAAAAAGTTTAAAAATTATTATCTTTTTATAATTATAGAAAATTATTTATTGGTGGTCTTAGTTGGCTTACAGAACATGATTCTCTTTATAAATACTTTGTTAAGTACGGTGAGATAGTCGATTGTGTCGTTATGTATAATATAAGAACCAAGAAGTCAAGGGGTTTTGGTTTTATTAAGTTTTCTCAGGAAGAAGCGGCTGATAAAGTGCTTTTAGACGCTCCTCATATAATTGACGATAAAGAAGTTGATGTTAAAATATGTAATCCTAGGCATTTGAATCAAGGACCAATTAAAAAAGATTTAGTAATGAGTAGAAAAGTGTTTGTAGGAGGTTTACCTTTGACTTGTTCAAGCTTACAATTAAAGAATGTTTTCTCTCAATATGGAAAGGTCAGTTCATTTTCTATCATTTAATATTATTACCTATTCTTTATGTCTTAGGTTGAAGAAGCTGTTGTTATAAATGATTCAACAGAAAAGTCAAGAGGTTTTGGCTTCATTACATTTAGAGATGTTACAGACGCCGAGAAGATATGTAAATTACATTTCTTTCAAATAAATGACAAACAAGTTGAATGTAAAAAGGCTCAAACTAAAAAAGATTTGATTAAATCAAAATATCCCACTGTTTCTCACGGTGGCGATGATGCAGGAAATTCGTCATGCTTACAACAATATCTACTAGCTTGTCATCAGTTTCAACTGCCCTATTATGATTATGGTAATTGTTAACTAAGTTCAAAATGTAGATTTATCAAAATCATTTAATCGATAGCTGCATCATCATTATCAGAAGCGAATTATCTGGGCCATGGTCTTCCTTGGTCTTTAAGTTCAGTTGGTCAACCCATGATGAACGCCGAATCGAATAGAATATATCAGTATCCATCAGAACCAATTTCGGCCTATGCAACACGTCAAAATGATTTTTCTGACTTCTTTCATATGTACAATCAACCTGACCTACTAGTTTCTCCTCACTTGACCTCATCATTACCGACAATAGTCTCAAAGAAATTACCTCACAGTAAGTAAGTAGCCTTCATAGAAGAAAATTTATACCTCTAATTATACCGATCATCAAGATTGTAGCGTCTCTATGTAATTTCATATTTTTGCATATTTTATAATATTATTAATTAAAATATATTCTTAGGAAAAGTTTAATTACTTAATTACTTAAGTAATTAGTCAATTGTGTTATTTTTTCAGTTTCTTTTTATAAAAGTTTATTTAAGCATATTCCGTAAAGGATTCTTCGCCATCTTGAAGAATTGAACTAGATTTAATACTGAAATATATAGACATTGCTAAACAAAGAACAAATAATATAGCACCAATTGAATATAGTATTATTAGTTTTCTCCTCTCCTTTATATCCAGTTGAATTAAACATCCGCTTTTGTAGAAGCTATTTTCATCAACACCTTCAATTGAGGGAAAGAGCAAACATTACTATTGAACACTTATTAAAAAAATAATATATATATATATATACAATAGTATGGTTTGTTTTGTTGAAATTCTAATGAAATATTTGAATATCCATGGCAACGTTCATTAGCCTTTTGAAAACAATTCCAAAATTCACACTTATTCACAGATTTTCCATTACAAAGCCAAAATTCACATCTGCACTCTATTTAAAAGAGAATTGAATAAATAGTATAGTTCTATAATAGACTTATGAGTTTTTACTTGAATTGCAAGTTTTTCTAATATATTCATTAATATTCTCCATCTTTTCTTCGGAGAATTGATAATTTTTCAAGCATCTTGAATAATCTTCGTATAGATTACAAATCCTTTGAAAATTGTAACCCTTATTCAAAGAATTATTAATTCTTATATGATAAATCCAACATTTTGGACTTTTCTTTACTTTCTTTTTATAAATAGCTTCTTTTAGACGTTTTTCATAGATATTTCTATATAAACAATGACTATTAATATTTATCATCCTTAAAATACCACTCTTATCATCTTCCTTGCATGAACTATTTCTAAAAGAAACGAAACGTTCGTCAGTAATATTCCAAGCATTTAAAATATTCCTTGAACAAGTTTGCCGTAAACAATCATCACTAAACGATCTTTTACATTGCATTAATTTGCATATTAATTCTAAAGAATATTAATAAAACAATAACGTTTATTATTATAATTTATTCAAAGAATATTAATTAAATTTTTACTTACTTTTATTACAATGACTGATTGTAAATTTCTTTAAATCATTCATTTGAATTTGGCAATTATTTATCTTGTTTAAACAGTCTAATAAATATTCATATCCAGCACATTGTGCAATAGGATTTATAAAATGTTTACTCTCTATTTTATAAAATGTATTAAAACAGAATTCTATAGAAGATCGACAAATTTGAGATTGAGTTGCTTCGTTTATAATGCTTAAGTAAAATTTTTTATCGATAGTTTCATCTAGACCATAATTAAGACCTATTTTTGTATATATTATTATTACTTAATATAGGTTTAATTATTCTATGATTTAGCATTTCCAAACAGAAAAGTGAAGGTCAAATTAGATTACTAGACTATACAGATATTATTATTATAGCCCTATGAAAAGTAGCGAAATAGCCTCGAATCATAGAATAATAGGCATTTTTTATTATAAAAGATTAAATTCAAGTTAAAAAACTTACCAATAAAAACATTTATAGTAAGGAATATATTAAATTTCCCAATCATCATTGTTTTCTTTTTTTTATTAATATCTTATTTATTATTGAATTATCTGAAAAAGAATAGAAATTCTGATATTTTATTTAATATATATATTTAAGAAATAGAATAATAAGATATAAAAATACATTAATCTTATATTGTTAATAGGCCATGCGCTTTGCACAATTCGTATTGCATTAGGGTTTTTTGTCTGGTTGAATGGAATATAAGTTAAGATATATATATATATATATTTTTTAAAGTAAATATGCTAAGGGGAAAAGAAGAGAGGAAGATAAGAAAGAGAGAGAGAGAATGAAAGAGTTATTTACCTCCTTATCAATAAAAGTATAATATAAAGGGTACCGTCTAACACATGTATCTATATAATTAATTTGATTTTCTATTATAACATGAAAGAAAAAATTGTACAAATGCGTTTATGTACTAAAATATACACTGTAAATATATTGCCGTTCACTTACCTAAAGTACTCAATTAGTAGTTACTCAGCTGAAGTATATTACAAATGACTCCACAAATATAATCAATAAATTAATTTAGCTGTTAATACAGTATTGTTTTTAAATGTTTCTGTTTGTAGGATATAGTAAGTGATTAAACTTATAAACTATTCATTAATCCTTTTCAATATCATATGGGTCATATAATTTTTGATTATTATCATATCATTTGATTGAAAAACATACTGTTTTATTCCACTATTTTTCTCTATTTATAAAGATTTCAATATATGCTTAATACAATATACATTTTCCTATATTTTGATAAAATATTCAAATAATCTCTAAGGTGAATTATTAAAAATAAGAAAAAGAGGAAAATAGACGTAATCTTTACTGGTATTAACAATAAAGGTTTTTTTTAGACACTATAAACCTTGACAGATATACTATATATATATATATATATATATATATATTTATATATATACAGTTTTCTGTATATATTATATCTTTTACTATACAAAAAATACTTGTCTAAAGAACTGGTTGCAAGAAATGAAGTACAATCTTGGATAAAGGCATCTTTTATACTCTTTAAAAACTAATATAAAACATCTTCTTTTCTGTTTTTAACCATAAACCTCTTATGAATTGTTCATAATTTCTTAAGTATTTTTATATTAAATAATCAGATTGTTATAAATTTTTACCATCTTCTTTATATTATTAACATCTTTTGTGGATTTTTGTAAATTTATCGCAAAAAAAAGAAAACAAAACTAGGTTGAATGAGGTCTTTTGTAATATTAGGCCAGTTTGTTAGCCTTCAGAAAATTCTCCTTGTCTTTGTATTATTTAAAGTTACGTAATTAAATATAACGCAATACTAGACAAAAGTCTGTCTATAAATCCTAAAAAAAGAAACCTATTGTAAACTTATCCAAATCTCGAAAATAAAAACACTACATTTATAAATCTTATTTTCCTTATATATAATATTTTTCTGTATTTTTATGTTTTTTTTTTAAAAACAAAATTATACTTTTTATTTTTTTTTCTCTACAAAAAAAAAATGAAGTAATTAAAATCAATTTTGAAAAAAATATGAAGAAAAATAGATGAGTTTCATTTGTTTGATTTCGTTTAAAAATAATGATATAAAAGAAAGAAATGGATAAGAGTTTTTAGTTTGTTACTTTTCAATTTGATCAACGAATCTTTTGAGTATTGCGAATATTGAGATCATCGTTGAAAATAAAAAAAAGAGTATAATTGATGTATTTAGCGTTGATTCTTTACCCGGGCCTATAAAAAAAGAAAAGATAAAAGATTTAAAAACTGGTAATCTAAAATGAATTATACAGTATATATATATACAGTATATACATACATTGTCGAATTGCTTTGCCATAACTTCTTTTAACGTGTGTAGTATAAGAATCGCAATCTTCAAAAGCATTTTTAAAGCAATACCAAGTATTACAGCCATTAACGACTAGTCCGTTACATCTTTTCAAAACCGATTGACACTCTATTTTAGAATGAAACGATAAAATGATAATAAACAATACAATTGTATAATAAATAATAAAATATTTACCTTTACTACAATAATCTTTAATATATCCTTTAACTACATCAAAATTTTCAATAATACAATCGTTTTGTAGTCTTTCAAGGCATTTCAATTGCATTTGATAAGATATACATACTTCTTCAGCGTCGTAATAACTTTTCATATAAAAATCAATGTGTTTCCATAAAAGTTCATTACATTTCAATATTTCTCTTCCGCATTGTCTATTGTTTAAGTACGTTTTATGAAAATGTGGTATTTCTATTTCGTTTAAGGCGAAATTTTCGTAAAATTCTTTCGTAAAAGACATTTCTAAAAGGACTTAAAAATTATTTTAATAAGTTTTTCCATTTTTAAACAGTTTTTCTTTAAAAAAACAAAATAAGAAACTAAATTTTTCTATTACCAAAAATTTGACAAATTAAGAAGGTCCGATTCATTATTTTTTTAAATAGTAGATTAGAAATGAGACTATTTGAGTATTAGTGTTGCTAATAAATATATATTCTTAAGTTATCCTTTCATCAAAGAAAGTAGGGAAGAAGAGGAGGAGTAGGAGGAGGAGATGAGGTAGACGAGAGGAATAAGAAATGAAAAATATTCCAAAATATGAGGGCAGAACAGTTTTGTGTAAAATGCACAAATGTACTAATTGATACTACTCAACATAAATACACCTTTAAATTTCGTATTATACAATACATATTGAAATTAAAGCAACTTCTTTTTCTTTTACTATAAAAAATAAGGTCAAATTTTAGGTCAACGACGTAAAAAAAAACAAGAAAAAGAGAGAAGATATAGACAGACACTAAGCTAATTATCTTCATTTTATTTTCATCCTTAATTTTACTTTTTCAAGTGCAAATGTAAAGGAAAAACAACAAATGCAAAATTTTCTCATAAATAACGTAATTCGATATTTCAATTGTCTCGCTCACTTTAGAAATAGGAAGAGATATTTGGATTTTTTTCATTGATAATCTTCTACTTTTATTTGAAATTAACATAAAAATAATCATAATTAATAGAGAAAAATGATAAAGATAAGAAAATGTATAAAATAAATCATAATGAAAGGGAAGAGAGGATATATTTACATTTTATTTATAAACATTAAATAACCTCAAAAATAACCTTAAATACAATTATAATAGTAAAATAATAGGGAGCAGTCTTACAATCAGTCCTATGTAAAAATTCAAAATGTTGAACTGATATAGATTTTACACGTTGCATCATTCTTTTCCCCTTTAATTTAAAAAGGATGTTAACTTCCAATCCAATACTTCCTGCCAGTCTCGTCTCTTCCAAGAACTGGTTTAATATGTCAAACATAAATGAATTACTAGCGTTAGTTAGATAGCCTTTATTCAGGACACTATTATTTTATCTCCTTTGTCTTAAGTGTTCGAGAATTTTGTAATAAATAGAGGAAAATTTTACCATAGTAAACAGTTCTCAGAATATTTTTAACTGGTATATATATATATGTATATATATCAGAAATTTTCATTCAGGCATCTTGGTAGATTTGATTTTTGACTCGTCAAATATGAAATTTTATTCAATTTTTATTGCAGTTTTTACGTTTTATGGTAAGTTTTTTAATTCTTTTATTTTGTTTTTTTAAAAAAAATATTAAATAGTTAATATTTTAATACGATATTTTATTCGATAGTTTGCGAATTAATGATGAACGTTAAAAGTGAAAGAATGATAGAAAGGAGTAAGTTATCACTCAAAATGAAATATGATTTGTTGAGAAGACAAAAAAGATCTTGGGCTGATAATCGATGTAAGACACTTATCGATGACTGTACTAATGAAATGGTAAATGCATTTAATCAGCAAAAGTCGAATGGCTATAATAGCGCAAAATATTGTGATATTTATCATGATCTTCAAAAGTGTATTAAGAATGTTGAAATAGAATATTCCTGCCAAATACACGGAAGGGAGCAAAGTTATAAGATAATTGATAAATTCTGTTCAAACGGTATGTTCATCTTCATTATAGATTGCTTATACTATACATTAAATAAACTATGATTATAGGCTGTCAAAGGGAATTAGAAGATTGTCTGGGTCTTGATATAAATTCTTGCGAACTATTTTATTGTCGTAAAAAGTCTTTCAAAAAGTGTGGAGTGTTCAAAATTCCTGGAAGTAGAAAAATTTTTCTCGAAAAGAACAAAAAATGTAATAATACATATTATTATTAAATAAATAATAATAATAATAAACAAACTAAACAAACAAAACAGGTACAAAACATTAAGAAAAAGGGAGAAATAAAGCCCGTGAAAGAAATATCTCGGAATTTCCTATAATTATTGAATAACAATGGGATAAAGAAGTGATTATTTCTTGTGTTCTTCGTCTATATGTTTTGTTATATATTTTTATATTTTGACAATGTATGTGTTTACTTCTCGGGGCAACTTTTCTTCTGATTTATCTACTAAAGTATTCTATATTCTAGACTTTTAGCAACTTTTTCGTATTAATACAAAATCTATAATATAGTAATTATTTAAGTTTCTCTAGAGTACTGTAAAAGACCTTGCGAAATGAAAGCACCATAATGGCAACCAGTTAAAGTTAATTCAATAAGCTATTATTATCAGTTGAATAATATCAACTTGAAATATCTCCTTTTCAAATGCGGATTAGAAATAGTACAATAGCTCAAGGTCACCCTTAAAAGCATGTGCATTAGTTTTCAAAGAAATTCTATACATTGTATTAAAAATCTCCTATCTATTAAGGTTAAGGAGAAAAGTTTTAATTAATCTTTACAACTTACAAACGTGTTATTTATCAATGTAAGCTCATTCTTAAATAGAAAAAATCAACCAATAAGAAAGGAATAACTAAACAATTTACTTTTCCGAATAGGTCCTGGAAATGGTAAACCAATGCTCCCTACTGAAATCTCGTGCAGTAGAGAAAAATAATCAAAATATATCTAGTATTTAATATTTTTACCTTTGTTTATAATCTCTATATTCACTTCCGGTGCTTATAATACTTAATGCAGAACATGAAATATTAAAATATCTTGTTATGCAAGAAAATAAAAGTAAACAATTGAATTAGAAATTCTTTATGTTTGATTTCTGTTGTTCTATTTAAATTTGTTTTTATTAAAAGAAAGATTTACAGATTGTAATAATTAAAGTGCAGTAATATTTGCAATATTAGTGTAAGATACGAGAAAGAGAGAGACAGAGAGAGAGAGCCAGAGTGATGTTATTTACCATTTTAAAGATATCTTTGGTACTTTGTGTATTTGAAATACAAGCTCTAAAATAGGTTAAGACGTAAAAAACAACCTTTATACACCTTTCTGCCTGATTTTCATTTAAATATGAATGAATATATTTCTCTTACAAGAGCTGACTAACGGATGAATGACACAATGACCTTTAGTATTACCAGTACGGTGTTTTTTTCTACTTCTCATTAACCTAAATATATTAAGTTAATATATATATATTTTTCTCCTTCACTCTGCTTTTTAGAAGTCTTCCTTGTACTCTTTTCAATTTCCCCTTTTCATTCTTTACCAACCTACATGCTGAACTTTCCTTAAATAGACGCTTTAAATAGATAAAAGAGTTAAAATTCTGAGAGGTCAGAAAATTTGAATAACTAGAATGAGATCAATAATAGTCGTATCGTAGTTCAGCTAAGAAAAGCTGCAGAGTTTGTAGGATTAAAACTTTTATAAATACCAATCTCATTCGAATACTAATGCCATCTATTGGTATAGTATACTTGATTTACTTGATCATTAAATTATTAACATTTAAGCATTCTTTATTATTTTTTATAAATTTCTAAGAAAACGACATTTTCAAGTTCTTTTCTTTTGAAAGAAGGTTAAATGCAATAAAAAAGGCAAGGGGTATGCATACAAAGTATTAAATATTATAATTTTGTCATATACAACTGTATACCTATCTGAAATGTATAAAAATGGCGACAAAAGCTAAATAACCACGACAAATTGAGCCGCAATGACAAAGGCGGTAAGTCACAACCAATAAGCAAGCAATGTGTACCTTTCGTTTGTTCAGCGCTGTCATTATATTTTATTAGCGCGTTTGTCGTGCAGAAGAAAAGAGCCCATACCATCAAGTACTGGTCCAAATAGCACCAAATGAAGCCACTTAGAAGAGTGATGTATAGCCCATACTATCAAACGATTTAGTGAGTTATACTTTAAATTTGATCTTCTTATGTTTTAATAAACGAGAATTTATGGTGGTCGCCATATTAAATGTTTCACGTGGTTAATAATTATCAAAGGAACTCGTTTCCTTTCATTCAGTAAAGACATACAGTGCTGAAACAAATGTTCCGTAAAACCGAATTTTTTTTATAAGGGCTATTTTGAAGGATAATAGGATTTTGGACAAGTACTTATCTACAACCCCATGGCAGGAAAGTACAGTTGCAAGTGTTATGCTCCATATTAAACTTCACAAAGGTATATAATTCTCTATCTCCCTCACTCATCACAGATGAAAACAAGTGTTCTACATTGCAGAGAGGCATTAGTCGGACTCCAAATGGAATCCAAGGGTTCTTGTAACACAATGTCTCTATAGCACTGAAGTCTTGGTTTAATACCAAATGGCACTCCTGGAAATCTTTATTTGGCAATATCGACTGTATATTTGTAATATTCCCCATAAAATATTGCAGTTGATTGAAGTCTAAAATTCTGCAGTATTCTTCAGACATTTGCTTAATAACTCTTATTGTTGACCTGTTTTCATTGTTCCACCTATTCATGAATTCATCATCAGGATACTCTAGAGCTTCAATGATATAATCGGTGAATGGGATTATAAACAGCTTATCTCCTTTAAAATACTTAGGTTCTTTTTTACCCCATTTGTTCTTTAAATGTGTATATAACTCATTCAGACGGAGGCTTGGAATATTAATAATATCTGAGTAGAAAGCATATTCCAGTTTCATTATAATATCGACGTATGGCAAGTGATCATTGATTTTGAAATGTTTATTTCCCAGGATTGTATACCCAATCACTTTATTATATATTGGATATATACTTCCTTTAATAACTTGAATTATATCATCGCTGTTTCTTAGAAGATGAACATCTAAAAGACGCTGTATACATGTTTGACGTTGAGGAATATAGACATAAATCAGTAGGAAATTCTGTTCTCCAATGGTTTGTATCGTAAATATGAGAAATAATCGAGAAGAACGATTCAAGAGTTTTCTGGTGTATATTTTATAATGATTGTAATATCTTATAGCATATTCATGAAATTCTTGCATAAAATCTTCCTGTGTTATGTTCAAGTCCCGCAGTTTGGCTCTACAATTCGGAGAATTCAATATGTCAGATCCATATTCTGACATTTTTGTAAATAGGAAATCCCTTGAACTTTCTAATAGAAAATAAATACATTTTGCATATAAAATTTAGTTCGATCAAGTAGCATCAAATATATTAATAGAATAGACATTTATATAAAGCACTATGATACAATTTTACGGCTGGAAAGAGCGCCATCTGTTTTAATGTAAAAGCAGTTGACGAAACGCGAAAAATTTTATTACGGATAATAGTATAAACATAAACTAAAGTTACCTGTAGATTCAAGAGAGTAGGACACTTCGGCGTGTTCTGCGGAGGATCTTAAGTCAATAGTACTTCCCATATTATTTTCTTAGAAGAATTACCGGTGTAGAATACTTTTGATTGCTGTTCAAATCGAGATTAAAGATAAGAATTTGATAAAATTTTCCACTGATGGAGCTAAATCTAGTTTTAGGCCGTTCTATATTGATTTTCTATTTCGGTTTCACAGAATTGTAGTGTTTATTTCAGTGTAAAGTAACTTTGATATAACCCATTCCGAATGTTCTATTGAACGCCTTTGTTGTATTGATTTATTTGCAAGGCCATAGTATTGATTTGTCAAAAAACGAGTTCCTAATAGATACTGAACATACCTTTTAGTTTTTATTTACTGAAATTTGTAATGTTTCTAGACTGTCAGAAGAATGTGTATCATCCGAGAAAGGACAATGCCAGATTCAGGTAGTTAGTCACGTGATCAGCTATTCCCTAAGGTTATTTGGCTCTTTTTTCTATTACAACAGAACTACCCACACTTAATTGACAAGTTTTACAACCGAAAGGAGATCATATTGTATTCATCGACGGTGAGTATTTTTGACTGAAATATTTATATATTTGTCGATTATTGAATTTGACCAATTAATAAATGGATTGCAGGTGAACAAAGGATTATTGAAAATAATAAAATAATGAATAGAGCCGTTCATTTAATAAATACCATCCAACCCTCCAAGTTAATTACTGCTAATATGAGAAATAAGGAATTAGGTTAGTACGTTAATCAATGTTATTACTATTATTTCGTTAGAAACAAACTTGGATTCTGATCTATAGTTTAATAGGGCGTGAAGCAGAAATTTTGCAGTTCCTTTCTATTATTAGGTTACTCTTTATTTTGTCTAAGTTCTAAAAAATAAAACATAAGAAGAAAGAATTCAAAATTACCTACTAATTAGTTTGAGAGTGTAACCATCTTCACAAATTTAAATTATTAATATATCATCTTAGCATAAATTTTTCCGCAAGGTGTCTAGACTAGGTGGCTAGACTATGCAGTCTAGATTATGAATGAAAAAGAAAATTATTCATCGATTGCTCGCTATTGGTTGAAAATATATTGAATATTCATATCACAATCACATGTCAATCATGCCACCTTTTGAATATTCATATAGAAAAATAGTGCCGAACGATTATGTCATCTACCATAAATCCTGAATGAGTAATTAGATAAATTTTATTTTAAATTTCTTAAAGTAATTCACTAAAATTATATACCTTCACCATTATTTAAAACATAGTTTGACATAAAGATTTAACTGTTTAAAAGAAAATTAATCAAGTGTATTGGTTGGAATATCATGGAAGAAGTAATGCTCCATCTTCAGATAAACATCTTTCCAGGCTTAAAGGTGAATCAATTTTAGAACGAAATAGAGTTTCTAATGTGAATGTAAATCGGTCGGACATCGCGATTTTGGAATGAATGAGAGGAGAAAAGCGAGCGTCCGTATTACTAAAAAGGTATTTCTAATAATTTAGTCCCTGGCTAAGTTCGTGTTTTACTATTTTAAGAAACATATTAGACTGGTATGGGGTCTGGAATTATCATGCAGTAAAATAATTTGTTTTCCGGCCCTTATCCTATGCAGTCTCCTCCTTAGCCTCTTTAGGGTCTCCACATACTGAATGGAGTTGACTGTTTCACCATAATCCATAAATTCAACATGGATTAATCCTGAACGGTTCCAGAAAACTGTACACATCAGTTTTTCAGATGATTTAGTCATTTTTAGCTTTTTTTCAGGTGGCGATGATGAGTGTTTGTAGGTTAGGGAAGCCCTCTTTGATTCAGGATCATAGAGATGAACCCAAGATTCATCTCCAGTTACTATTTTTTCTAAAAATGCTTCTTTTTCTGCTGTGTATCTATCAAGTAGTTCAATGCAATGGCTCACCCTTACCTCTTTTTGATCCTGATTAAGATATTAGGGGATCCATTTAGCACAAATTTTTCTGTACCCCAGCTCCTTAATCATCTTCCCAATAGCCTCTTGACCAATATCTAATTTTTTGGCAACTAACTGTCCTGAATTGTTATTAACCCCCTCGTTCTTGGTTGTCAATTCCAAGGCGGTCATTACAGTCTCCTTTTCGATTATAGGAGCTTTCATCATCACGACCTTTTTGGCGTAGCAACAGTGTGGCATATAATTTTTTGCTGTTTCTCAGAGGGTGGGGCTTCTCGCAGGAGTAGCATTTCAGATCTTTCTTCTCTGAGCAGCTTTCCCTTCTTCTTTCATGTTGACTCACCCTTTGTTGTTGTCTTACCGCTCTTCTTGGTCCACCACTTGGCACATCTACAAAATCGGTCTTATCCCTGAGCGATGGTTTTCATATCGCTCTTGATAACTCAATCATTCCAATCAAAAGGAATCGGTACACTTCGACTTAAGTTCCCTCTGTTCTTAGGAATCTTATTGCGCTTTTATAGCCTTCCTTTGGGGAATATCGAAATCTTTTCACCTCTTTTTTATGTTGTTACCCAATTGATCATACAATAACTCGAACTTTTCTCATGTCTTGCCACGTAGACCTATTGCTAAACATCTGCAAAGAAATATAAGATTATTGCCTCTGCGTTCAAATATCACGTGACTATGAGAATACGGCAGTTTGCAATATGAAGTCTAGCTGATTTAATTGTATTTCATCGAAAGAAAATACTATACAGTAAATGATATCATTCGTTTAAGCAAATAAAAATATAAAGAACTACGAAAAGGTATTTTTTTCATTAGAAAAACAAAGAAATCGAAGATAGAAAGAAAGAAACAAATTAAAGAAAAATTATCATTGTCCCAACTTTTTATTCCGATATACTCTCAAGATCATAGAGTACCTCCAAGATACATCCAACACTCCACGCCTGGGCCATACAACTATCGTAACAAACTGATCCGTTGTGATTAGTTAACTCCGGCAATGATTTCCAATCAGACTTTTGTAAACTATTAAAATGATTAGAGAGAACAGATCTAATGTAAGCAACAGTTTCGCTGACTATTTCTGGTCTTTTATTTTTTATCTTTTTGGCAAACAGTAGCTTCGCTCTCAAGAAATATCCAACTGGCCACAGCCATTCCTATGAATTTAATAATAGAGAAGAAAATATATTCTACTAATATATACTAATATATAAATATTTACCGGGCCATTATGATAATTATAACCTCGTGTTTCGTCGCTATTCACATAATCTCCATTATAGTTCCAATCTTGAGGGTCTAGTGTTTTAATACCGAGAGGACCCATTAAAACACTTTCAACCTGTACTAATGCCTTCCAAGCATTTTCTGGTGTAAACATTTCGGGTGCCAATACCATTGCAACGCAAAAGTTTGGTCTTAATTGATAATCTGCCCAATCTCTCGTAGCTCCAACAGTATCCTTATAGATATTCCTCCTATTTACCAAACGTGGATTGATTGTATCCGAATTTCTTAATTCAATTTCATTTTCTGGTATAAAAAAGTACTTTTCGAAATTGTCATCAATCAGTTTTGTCCATTCCTTAAACGTTATCTTCTTTTTTGCAGGTGTTACAACGCCGTCGTACGGATAAATGGAATTTTCATTCATTTTCGCAAGCCACGATATTACGCTCCTCTGTAATCCAACCAATTCGACGGCACTACCATCACGTGGCGTAGCTGGACGTCCTTTATTACTAGGAGCGCTTCCATTCTTATCCATCCACGTACCGCAATTTGAGTCGTTTCCACCGTAGACAAAGCCAGTTTTAAAGTTAACTCCAAACTCAACGATAAATCCAGCATCAGACATATCGTTGTCTAAACTAGCTCCGGCGTTTCTTTCGCGAAATTTCATACCTTTTGCGTGTTTTGTTAGACATTCTTGAATAACATCTTCCAAGGTCATTTCCTACGAAAATTGATACATTCATTATTAAGATGACAATTAAAATAAAAGTTTGAATGCTTACGCAATGTCCTGCCTCTTGAGCCGAAGAATCATCATTTGGGAAAATCCTCGAAACTCTATCTTTTAACAGTTGTTTTCCATTTGGAACATTATTGCAGTATTCTTGTATACATTGTAACCAAAACCATACTGCGTCTCTAGCGTTATATCTCGCTCCAATTCCGCCTCCCAATAAATTTGGAATTAGACCGTGTCTTACTGTTCCAGCGTAGGAAAGAATGTGAAATCTGGCAATATCCTCCCTTCCGGTCATAAGACAAAGTCCTCTCAATGCTATAAAGGTATCTCTACCCCAATTTCGCCAAATTCCAACTGAAAAATGAGGAAGGCCTGCGGCAAGAGAAGGGCAAGCTTGAATTTTTACACCACCGTGATTAATTGTTTGCGGTCTAGGTGTATCACAATGCGGAGAGAGAGTAGGAAGGGGAGCGGATTTAATAAAGCTAATAAATTGTAGAGATCCCATTGATAGTAATCTCACAAATGATGATCCTTTACGAACAAATTCGCCCATTTTACACCAAGTAACCTCTTCAACTAGCATTACAATCCCAGTAATTATTGCATCAAAATAAGACGGTACTAAATATCTTGGAACCTTTTCTATAAATTCAAATATTCTTTTTAGCCATAAACCAAACGGTTTTGTCTCTTCGTGACGAATTAGACGACTACACGAATATTCCAATAGCCAATTACCCTCTCTTATATTATTACAGAGTGGATGACCTAAATCATTTTTAGGTCTTATTTCGTTTAATATTGATAATATACCTTGTAAACCGCAATATGGTAAAACTCCCCATCCAGGTATATTATAACCTCCCGATTCTGGACAATCATCTCTTTCCTCTCCGTCGCATCTATACAATGTTCTACTTAAATCATTTAATGTCATTTTTGTTACAATTCTCTCTAATTCTGTATTACTCATTTCGGCAAGATTTCTTCCACTGTAGGTATGCATTCTATAACCAAATTGTGACAAAAACTGCCTTAATTGGAAAATAGCAGTTTTCGGTTCGGCGTTTAGACTAACTTTAAACGCTATAACCGATCCAGGAGGAAATTTTGTAAAATTTACTAATTCCTTATCGGATAATGAATTTATCTCTACCATACTACTATTCTTTGGACTAATCCCTTCCTGAATAAAGCATTTATATTCTTCTAATCCGTTTATAAAGTTTTCATCTTTTTTATACGATTTAGCACCTTCAATCTTATCTAATCTACCTTCGTATAATATCTGCTGAATTTTTCCAGATATTTCCATTGATGGAGCTTTTGGATAATCATGTGGCGGCTGTTTAAAAGCAGTGTATGCCACTAATATTATAGATTCGTGGCTAGTAGAATTGTGGCGTGTAACCGAAACAACGTTGGCGTCTCTTTGATCAACGTAAATTTGATTAAAGCCATTCGATCCTAACATTTGATGAACTTTATTTAATATCTTTTTCGCAGCCAATATACCATCCTTAGGACCAATTTTTCCAATAGTTGTCTTATCGCCCAACGATTGATAAATTCTTTTTTCCGTAACAACGTTTATATGATGTGGTACCAATTCGTCATAACCTCTATTGCTTCCCGAAGCGCAAGAGGCCATTGATACCAATGCTGCATTCGGTAGAACATCCCAAACAGTTCTCTTTTCTATTGGGCTATTGTTATCATGAGTTTGATCCATAAGAATAGCGTGCGCAGTAGTTGGAACAAGAGGACGAGCTGGTAACTGAATAAACGCCCCAACGGGCTCTCCTCCGAATCTATGCACAAGGCCACCTTCGGCTTGCGCATCACTGGCTTGTAATGCTTCTCTTATCAATGACGTTAAGCCTAATCGATTAATAAAAATATTATCTGTCCATTCGTTACTGGTAAATAGTTCAGCAATAACATATAAATCGGGTCTAACTTTTCTGGCCTCGTCTAGAATATATTCAGCTACGTGAATAGGAGTACTGTGGCAGTTATCTAATCTAACTCCGTGGAAAATGGAAGCCATGAGAACTGCATAATTTTTCATATGTTGCCACAAAAACGGGCAATCCGATGGTTTACTACCATATCTTAACTTAACACTATCCCCCCAAGGGATTAATTCTCTTCTCAAGTAAACATTGGACCCAGATTCGGCAAAATTTCTCAAAGGATCATCGCCCATTACCCAGCCATTGTGAGCCATACAAAATTGTCCTTTAGATGTAAACATCATTTTCTCCTCCTCTTCAATTGTCATATCTTCCTTGTTCAACCTGAAATAATTCCACATTAACGGATTATCTTCGTCGACTTGTTTGCATTTTGGTCCATTAGGATCTAAAAATCTCCAATTGATATTGGCCAAAAAATTTCGAACAGCAGCATTTAAGTGATCCTGAATAGTATTTCTCATTTCGGCGTTTAAACTCTGCAGCTTATTACTTAAATCATTAGACGCCTTTTTTAATTTATCCTGAAAATCTTCACCATTATACCTAAATGGATTATATGCATTTAACGCCTTCGATATATCAATCGATGCCCTTAATCTTCTATATTCTTTATCAAATACCAAGCGTATTTCTCCTTCAGTTGATTGTCTTTGTTCTCTTGCCGCTTTTTCAAATTCGCTAACAACATTTTCAATATTCATGAGGTAGAACTCCTCTAATTTGTATTTTGGAAAAATTTCATCCCTTATTACTCTTTCAATTATTTGAATGTGTTGATAAGCTGTTGGAACTTTTGGAATCTGTCTCATTTCCCATAATCCTTGTCCAACTTCTAATCCAAACTTCCAAAGAATTCTATCGAGAAGATAAGCAGGTCTTAAATGCGGTGAATTCACAACATTGTAAGCGCATTCCGGATGATCTTGTAGCCATTCACTTTCATTTGCGGTATGATTCAAAACTAAATCAACTAGAGATAAGCATTGCCATTCATTTTTCATTTTTTCAATAAATTTTTTCATCTCCTGTACTGAGACTTTTCCAAACTCGGGATTAAATTCTAATTGATTACGCAAGCAATAGGCTGAATTTGATGCACCTAAACTTTGAACAGGTGTAAAGTGGACCATATTGTAAGAACATTCTTTAGCGACCTTCAATCGTTTTTCCCAATCGGAAAATTTTCCCAAATTCTTGGACAAGTAAGTTTGACAGGTAATTGAATCCAGAGGAAGACGTTCATCAAATTCGCCAACCTTAAGTATTGGATCAACCAAAAAGTAGCCTGATCCATCTTGTCTAATTAAAAATTAATTATATTAATTCAATATTTTTTATAATTGTATGAAATACTAACTTTGAATCAACTGTGAAATAATAATTAAACGAACCAGAAATTGTCATTAAAACTTCTGCATAATCATCATAACCGTCTGATTTAGTACCGCTATAACTTTGCCATGTAAGTTCTCTAATTTAAAATGATAAGTTCATACTATTATTTATTTAATTAATTATAAATAATTGCCTATAATTATTTCTATTTGGTGCTTCCTTTCCAGATAAAGGATGATTTGAAAAAATTCGAATTTTCTTTCCAGCTAATGTTGGACCAAGAACAAAATGAAGTAGCCATCCTGATAAAATCAATAATAAAGTGTTTAATTTATATATATATATATATATATATATATAGTGTATACATATACATATATTAAGTTTCCAGGCCCTAAAGGTCAAAAGTCGTTAAAAGTGATTTATTTTCCTACTCTATCCCAAACTTAAATTTTATAAACAATAAAATACGCCATCTAGCGGTAAAAATTAAAATTTATGAGTAGATTTTTTATTGCAACTCGCCTTTTTCCAGCCTGAATATAGTAGATTCTCCATTTTGGCCTTCGTTTAAGGTTAATAAACGAACTTGCCGAAAAGTATCAGACGCCAGACTTGCTGTCATCTTCTAACTGTTGATAACAATAAATTTCAATGTTTTGTAATGTAATATGTGTTTTAAACTAGCAAAATGGTTACAGTTCATGTTAAGGTGAAGGGTTAAATAACGGAAAATTATTTTAAATATACACTTGTTAAATATATGCCTAGTTGAATACGAACTTTGTATTAACAATGCAAATAATACTGTTAATTTGTATTTCCAAATGTTTTCGCTAGTTGAATAAGTTGACCTTGTCTTGACATAATAATAAAGTTTTTTCGAATTTTTTCTTAGTGCTTTCTAATTTAATTCCAAGTTATTTAGATAATGCAAGGTTTAATCAGTAGAAATAATTGCGAAAAATACGCCGGTCACGTGACAATTAGTGCAGACTAATGGTCAAGGTCGCGCAATGGCGGACGATAAAAATGTGACTGAGACAAAATCGGAAAACACTGCTGAGAATAAGGAACCAACACTGCAGAAAGATGTTAAAAATGACGCAGATGATCTTGACAAACTACTAGATTCCGCCCTAGGCGATTTTGAAGAAACCGCTACAGAAGAAAAACCTAAACAAGATGTCTCAGAAAATGACAAGCAGGATAAGCGACCTCTTGAACACTTCGATCCTAATGCATTCGCTTCATTTTTCGGGGGTGGAGATCAGAATGCTGACTTCCAAGCTCAAATGCATGACGCCATGAATCAATTCTTAGGACCAGGTCAGTTAAAATGCGTAAAATCCAACCGGCTAATATCTTCAAATCAAACCGTCACACATTATGATCCCTGACGCTACTTTCTAAAAGTGTTCATAAATTTAGAAAGCTCACCTATAGGAAAAAACAAATGATTAATTATAATTATGTATATTTTGTAGATCACGCAAAAGAAATGTTTGCCGAGTTTGAAAAAATAGCAGAAAGTACTATGGGAAAAGAAGAAACCCCTGAAGGAATTCCTGAAGGCGACTTCAACGCAGCAATATCAGAAACCTTAAACAATTTAGAAGCCAATACCGCAGACCTTAAAAACTTGAACCTTTCCGAGGATGATGTTAAAGGATTATTGGGAAATTTTAACGATAGCGAAATGTTACAAAATATGATGAAAACATTATTATCTAAAGACCTATTGTATCCTTCTTTAACTGAATTAAGAGATAAATACCCATCGTGGTTAGTAGAGAACGAATCAAAACTTTCCAAGGAGGATAAAGACAGATTTAAAAAGCAATCGGACATTGTAAAACAATTAGTTGAGATTTACGACGAAGAAAAAGAGTCAGATAGTGATGAAATGAAGAAGCAGAGATTCGAAAAATTAATGAATTTAATGCAAGATATGCAATCTTGTGGCCATCCTCCAAAAGAAATAGTCGGAGATGTGGATCCTATTGACTTGAGCGCAAACCAGTGTTCAGTGATGTAAAGTTTCGATGAACATTCTTAAATTTAAGCAAAAATTTCTTTTTTTTTCTATTTTCATTATACCCAAAATGAGGCATGAAGAATTTATAAATAATTTTTAAGATTTTAGTCTCAAATTAAAAAGAATTAAAAATTAATTTAAAAAATGTCAACAAACAAAAAAAACAACTTCCTTGAATTATACAACTAGTCTTCTAAACGAAATCTATATAATACAAGCTATTTATACTAGAAGCCGATTCACTAGATGATATTTGTGAATGTTTAAAATCTCTAAATTCATAATCATCCCAAAAGAAACCATCGTTCGTTTGCGAGGTCCTTTCGCCGAAATTCTGACACCATCGGTTTCTAACGGCTTTCCATAGGTTATACGAAAGTCTTAAGAATGCTAAGAAGCAAAGTCCGGTTGCAATTGATAGACATATTGTACTCTTAAGGGTCTTGTTTCCTAGATTAAAGTATAATATGACAATCATGATATTTTCTGCTAAAATAATAGAGTACATAAAGTTGTTCTGTGAGCATGTCCAGTAGTGAGAACCCCATTGTACAAGGAATTTTCTAATCGACGTATCTTCCTCAGCGTTCCGTATACAAACGACTAGCAGAGCAACTAAACTATGTAGAAATAATAAAAGAAATATCCAATAGTTAGTCAATTCGGAAAATAATCCTAAACTGATTATTCTAACTGTAAAATCGCAAAGATCCCACAGGACTCTTACAAGAGTCCAGGTATTTTCCAATTGATTTATAGTTGAAATGAGAATTAACAATATCGTAAAAGATATTAATCTGGCTACGTGATTGTCGTCTTTGAGAAAAAGATAAAAAACTACTAAAATACTTGGCCAGTTTAAAGCATTTAAATACAAGTAATTTATCTTATTAGGCTTCTTCTCAATTAAGTAGAGTATCCGATTTGAGAGCAAAATTGCAGCCAAAAGATGAACTCTTAATTTCTCTCTAGTTATCTGATTGATAATAAGTAAAATTTCTAGTAGAGTTTCAACTAAGAGAATCCAAGTGATGAACACTAAGAAGTATTCCATACGATTAAGGCTGTTCAAGTGTAGAAGAATGAGTACGTACACAACCTGTTCAGCTAAAAAGCTGCATATTTTTATAAAGCGAAGTACATAATCTGCAAAACAACACACTCATACATATATTTCGAAGATAAACGCTCTTTTTACCTTTTTCTGAAGGCATTTTGCTGCAAATCATGAATTTCGCTCGTTCGCAAATACTAAATCGAACAGTTTTGAATAAGAACACGTACGTTCGACAGCATTGTAAATAAAGTCGGAGTGAAAAGATCTTAATACTTTTTAAGTGCGTTATATTTAGCAACTACCGAAAGAGGGGAAGAATGTAATGAAAAAAAAAAAAGCGTTCTTTTCAACACCTAGCTCGTTCTTAGCTGGTAGTCGCCATTCTGAGTTATGTAACGAACCCAAGGTAGTGCTTGATAGCCAGACTTTTCGATAATCTTCAAATAACGAACCTGTTTTTAATTGGTATGTATTAGTCGACATGTTTACAATAGATCAATTCTTATAAAGCCTGAATACATATTTAATATACTGATTTTTTTTTCTTTCAATTCCAATTAAAATAAAAAGCAACCCTTCTTATTATTACAAACTATTTATTCTATTACCTTAATGTTAGTTTTATTTCTTGATAGACATACATGTTTTAACGTGATAATTTGAAATCTATAGAATTTTTTAATCTTCAATATCTTTTAGTATTGTAACCGTTATACTACGGAATTACGGTAGAGAAAAGACGAAATCATATTAACGCAAAAAAGGGTAATGCTTTTTTTTTTTTCTTTAGTTACACATGTCGTAATTGAATATGAATAATAACCTGTATTCCGCTAACTGTAAAATACGGAATTTCAAATCGCACTTGAATGGGTGGTCTGCCTTCTGTATCCTCCCCTTGAACACTAGGTAAACCAAAATGGGCCCTTAGTAAATATTCTTTTCCACCCGGAAAACTCTTTATTGTCCATATCATAGCATTCTGATCCGGTGTATATTTACAACTACCAACAGTTGACTTAAATTTTGGAGAATCAGCATCCGGTGGAACCGGAATTACAATTTCAACATTATTGGCCGTTGACCTCCTCTTGAACTGACTCTTGGCTTTGATCATGTATTCCACTCGAGAATGCGAATGACGTTCAATAACGCTCTCCACCCAAATAAGGGGTTTAACGTGTGTATTCAATCTGTATGACATTAATTCGAATTCTCCATCGGGAGGTATAAAAGAAATTGTTCGATCGTTTTCGAAACGCGATAATCTAACACACTGATGAAATTTGACATCTTCTAACTCAACGCTTTTAGACTTTCCTCTACCAGTTGACTCGAACAAAACTTTATCATTTAAACCCAATCTCAACTCTGGCATTCCGCTGAGATATACCCTCATTTTTATTGCACCTACTATCTCGGATCGGAGTACATTTCCTTGTGCCGAAACTAGAAGATTGACTGATTCAATAACATCAAGAAAAACTTCGTTTTTCCGATATTTTACTCCCTCAGAACGCCAAGAAACGGCATTGGTTACTGCCATTGGAGGTTTAGGAGCAACATCCAACTTATGGCCCTCCTGTGTAATATACTCTTGAAGAATTTTTGAATCAGTTGTTTGGGGAAAACCAAAATCCATTAGTTCATCTAGAAGTTCATAAATAATGACGAAATTATCTCTAATTGACTCTTCTTCCAACTCTTTAAAATATTCACAGAACACTTGAACTACCTGAAATTCATTTAATTCATCTATATTATAAAGTGATTTATGTACATTAATTACAACAAATTTTGTTTTTCAACAATTATACAGATTTTAATCATATTTGATTTAGGTGGCTATCAATTATCTAATCTAAGAGATTTAATCATTCGATTATTGGGAATTTATTAACAACAACAATTTAATAACGATAAAAGAATGTTTCTATGTTATTCCAATTGAAATGTTGTATATCCTATAACATATGTTAACATCTTACCTTGTGAAGGAAAGCAAACACTAGAGCAACATTTGCATTCTTCCTTGTAATTGATACAAGATACAAGTTGTTGTATTTGATATAGATGTATGTATTGTAGCCGTGTTGAATGATGGGTGATTGAGAACCCTCTTCCTCTCTCTCCATTAACAGCGGCATAAACTTATCGATACAAGACATATCCATATCCCCACGATAATTTCGGCAGACTAGAACTTTTCCCTTAACGTCCAGGATGTATAAAGCAGAGCAAGACATGACTGAGGGATTCACCTTATTATCATTAATAAAAAAATGTATCGTCAATTCAAAGCTTATTCGAGTCAATTTTTTTGTAATTAAATACAGAAAATACCTGTCTTCAAGTTATTTTACAAAAGTACGTATAAAATGATGTAGTTCTGTTCTATTTCACAAAAATTTGCTAGCAATTACAATCCGCCACATAAGACGGAACCGGAAATTAAAAATCGAAATAAGAAAAGATCGGTTTGTATTCCTTTATTTTCGGCGGGATTTTCAAATATCACCAATAATTATCTCTAAAACTGGGAAATCTATTTTCTCAATGTTGTATCGTTTTATCGATGATCAACCCTGGAGAAGAAATCGTTCATAAACTAATAGGCCTACAACATAAAATTTAAAAACTTTTCACTAATTTAAAAAAAGAAATTGTCTTGTTTCTAACATGAATAAAATACTTGAACATATAGCTATAGTATATAACCTATTACTCGTACAAATCATACGGAGAATATTAAATATTGAAGATATTCAATTTTATAAAGTATTTAAAGATAATTTATTGACAAAAAACCAAGCTAATATTATCAAATTTAGTGTTGACCTCTTCTCAAATAAATTCGATATTTCAATAAAATCTAATTGTTCATCTATAAATTCAAATTTGATCGGAAAAATAGGAAATAGAAAGATGAAAATGATATGTTACAGTGGCTACGTTGTCAATTCGACTGATATGGATAAGATAGGTTCATTAGTTTATGGTTCGTTGGTGAATAGGTCATTTTCCGGTTTAATTTATCTTAGAAACTATACTTTATTGTTGAAAAATTTTAACAATAAAGATTATTTATCAAGCACAAAAAGTAGACGTTTCAAAAGGAATACAAAGAAGACTAAGAGAAGAGTTTGTACTGTTCATTTCTTCGCCGACCATCTTTTTTACAAGTTTCATAATTATGAATCCTCTAGAGTTCTAGCAGATATATTTTCTATGGTACACGATATTAATCATATTTATTCATTAACGGACTTTGATGAAGACGGTCAAGCTGATAGTATAGGCGTTTCTCTGGTTGGTGTGACGATTGTAACAGATCGCCAATCTAGAGAGGATAACTACGCTTTGAGCGGTAATTTAGAAATGGCCGAAGAATACTTAACAAGATTTAGCCTATATAATTTCTCTAACGTTTGCGCTGCAATAGCTTTAACCAATAGACCTTTTAAAGATCGTGTGGGTAATATTAGGATAAAGTAGTATTAGTTTTTTGTTACTTTTAATACGCCATCTACTGTTTTAAGTTTAAACACACACTTATTTCTATATAGGAAACAGGGTAAATGGAGTAACTTATAGAGTGGACCCTAATAATAAATATTTTAAGTTTTATGGAATTTGTGCTAAACCATTTCAATATTTGGGCCCAAGATATAAGAACGTCCTAGTTACAACAGCAAAAAATACAAAATCCTTGAAGAGGATTGAAAGAACTGCCACAATAGCGCATGAATTGGGTCATATGTTTGGGGCTTATCATGACGATCCAATGGACCCTCTTTGTTCGCCTGATACCGTAAACGGCTTTTATATTATGCATACCCATGCGATAAATGGCTATCTCTTTAATAACAATAAATTTTCTCCCTGTTCAAAGAGGAGAATGAGCAAAGTTTTGCAACTTCGTAGCGACTGCTTGAAAGAAGAGAAAACTGTTTGCGGTAAGATCTCTTCAACATTTCAAGTAGTTTATCATAGATATTGTTTAATGAGGAAATTTTTTGCCAGGTAACGGAATTGTTGAAGAAGGAGAAGAGTGCGATTGTGGTACAGTCGACACATGCGACACTATAGACAAATGTTGTACACCGTCAGACGTTCCACTCACTTCTTTAGATCGTCCTTGTTCAATAAGAAGTTCGGCTGGCTATTTATGCACGCCTTCTACAGGAACATGTTGTACTTTAAATTGCAAATATAAACCTAGAGGTGAGGTATGCGGATACTCCTCAGAGTGTAGAAAAACCCCAACTTGTACAGGGATTTCGAGATTTTGTATGATAGGCGAAGCGTTGAAGGACGGAACGTTGTGCGCCAATGGCCATCAAAGTTGCAAACAAGGAGAATGCTCCCAAAGTCTATGCTTTGCGAAAGGACTAAGAGGTCAATAATTTATAACTTAACTTTCAGAAAGAATAAGAGTAAAGTATCATCACTAAAGATATACAGTAGATACAGTATATTATATTATTATATATAGTTTGATATAACCCAAATACTGAAAAGAATGAATTGTTGATCTCTTTATCGTCTATTGGAAATATTAACAGATTGTGAATGTATTCATAATAAGTGTCTGACCTGCTGTATCACAGATGGCAGATGCAAGCCTATTATCCCCAAAGTTTACAAATTGGTAGGCAAGTCTTGCAACTATAGCTTTGGTTATTGCGATAAAAATCGTATATGCAAACGATTGAAAGTATCGTCAGATGTAATTGATGAGGAAATTGTAGGATCAAAAGTTATACTTATTATAGATAAAATAAAGAGAAATTGGATATACGTAGTCTCATCCTTCGTTTTAACAGTTCTAGTCATTTCGGCTGTCAATCATAATTATCTCTCGTCTAAAAATCGATTATCAACGAATATCAGTGGTATAGAATTTGTAAAGAAGACTATATCTTGTAACAGTTTACAAGAAATGGAACAATTAGCTAAGGATGCCGTAAATGAGCTTGGGAGTAAACTTATTAGCCTTAATACCGAATATAAGCGAATCTTGGTTATATTGGAATCTGAAAATATTTATAGGACAAGTGAAAAGGTTATCAAGAGGATCCATACACTATTTCCTCTTATCTCAACGAAAAGGATTTCGGAGGATATAAAACGATTTTCTTCTGAAAGACTATTGATAGAATATTACCTGAGGGGTGATGCAGAGTGACCATTTTACCTTCTCTTTTAAATTATTATAATATTAGCTAAAAAAAATTCGAATAATCCGATTTTGCATCACTCCTTTTTTTCTTCGTTTTCCTGAAGATTGCCAATTTAAATTATTTACAATTCAGCCGGAAATAAACCAAATCTTATTCGACTCGAATACTATCCAGAACTATGATTATTCTAATATTCAATTTGATCCTTGTACATTGCCTCAGTTTACAGAGAGATTGTTAATGAGAGATTCAAAATTTCATAAATATTAATATTGTTTTTTATTAGTAAGTAATAGTCTTAGTGTTCTATTTCAATTATTAAAGATAGTATTAAAAACTTTGTAATTAAAAAATGAACAACTATCCTATATTTTTCTTCTTTATCCTCTTAATTAGTCAAATATTTATTTGTTTACTTTTTCTCTAATTACATTTTTATTGTATAGATTATTTATGAAGAATTATTGAATAATTTAATATTTTAATGTGTTTTTTCTTTATTTTTTTTTAATACGACTTTTAGAAAGTCTTTAATTTCTATAGTATTAATAATAATGATATTAATACTTTATAAATATCTATTAGCTAGATTGAAATGCCGGCTAAAGATTTAGCGCAACCTAGTGTCAAGAGTTACATATTTACGAAACAAGAAGATATGGTACCATCAGTATTTTCGTTTTTGATAGAGCGCACTTGAAAAGGAAATATTTATTATATATTACACTAGTGAGCATAGTTTATTATCTCTTTATCTCTCTCTCTCGTTTTTTCTTTTTGGTAATGTTATAGATAAATAACATGAAATGATTTCCCAATTAGATGATGGAAAATAAACTATATTTACATATATATATATACTTATTTAATTCTTTAATAAAAATAGTAATTTTGCGAATACAAAGAACATTATATCTTTGTTTTCGTATCAAAATACTTAAAGAAATTATAAATTTAAACACGATGTTTTTTTTGTGAAAGGAGAATATTTAAGAAATACACCTTCTCCGATCATTATAGGATCTTAAAATAGTATTTTCCCATAGAAAAAACTGAGTATTATGTCATTGAAATAGATTTATTAGTTCGCAATTCTTTGAAGATACTATTCGAGTTGATTATATTGAAGAAACCGAGGCAACACTTTAGTGCGATATCCTTTCCTTTTTCTTCTCTACGTCGGTATCTCGCTGTCTCAGTAAATCCAATATTAAGGTTATCAGGATAAAAGGATAATTATAAAGAATTTTTTTTATTAAAGTAACTTATTTTAAACTTTGTGGTTATTATTAATATAGTAAATACTCTGGTTTTTTTTATAGAAAGACTTTATTAGAAGGACATATATACTGTATATGATCTTTTATATATTCTTTATACTAAAATATAGCACTTTGTCGGGTAATGAGTAGAGTAAGTTGTTCGATAAAAAAAATCTGGGGCGAGTGATGAGGGGGTGTAGAAATGGAAGTGAATATAGATATCAATACTCTTTCTCTATATATGGCACATATAAAGTCAAGAGTTAGGCGATGGACATTTTATAGTATAAAAATTGGAAATCAACTATTAGATTAGATATTCCAATCGGAAAAGATGAGAGAAAAGAACCAAATAAGCTCAATAGAACTTGTTACTTCCTATTAGATACTTACTTAAATTTTAATTAAAGCGATGATTGGCCAACCTAACATAACTCATATTGGTCGATATATTTGCTTCTAGTCTTAAAACGTTACTGTTAATAAGAGTAAGAAGACTTTTGAATAAATAAAAAATACTCTTAATCCTAGCTTTATTAGAACTTTTTCTCACAGGATACCTAAAGATATAATTTCGAGCGCCCTCTATTTATTACAATGACTGGTGAGAAGTTTATACCAAAAATGTGCAGCGAAAAACAGACACGACATAGTAGACGTCGTAGATGCCATGAAACACCGAAAGACGTCGACTGCAAACCGTACGAAGACAAATTCATCGGCGGCACCCGTGATAATACCAAACTGAAACTGATGAGAAGTCTAAAACTTATACCTAAGGCTGAAGCCGAAGAGATGAAGAAAAGAAGGTCGAAACGTAGCACAGCTAATCCCCATTTTAGCTTTATCAGGGAGAGGTCATCTACTTTCTACTACACACTGAATTCAAGGTTGAAGAGCTTAGAGGAAGAGAAGAGTAGACTAAATGAAACTATCAGAAGGGATTATTTATGTTTGGAAATGAAAAAACAAAAGCGAGAAGAACTTAGAGAGGTTCTAAGAGACTTAGTCGAATCGAATGAAACAAAAAGAATTCAAATGGAAAAACTTATAAAGGTCAAGGACTTAAAGAATTTTTTATCTACCGAACTCTTTCCTAATCCATAATGGTGTTTTTTTTTTTAAAAAAATACCAAGTGCAAAATTAACTACATTAGCGCATTTTCTATTTGTTTGTGCTGGATTATTATTGAACTTAAAATAAAAAATCTATTCGAATTTATCTTTTCTTTTACAATTTAATAAAAGAAGAATAAAGAAATGAATAAAACTAAGAAATAGATGGAAATTTTGATGACCTTTCAACAGCTATTGACGTCATTACTTATTGGTGATATTAAATTTGGGGATTAAAGAATATTAAATAAAATGTATTCTATATAATTAAACTAAATAGAAAGTTAGAAGTCTTAGAAATGTCTTATTTATGTAAGTAAGATTAATTAATTAAAAAAAAAACCAGATTCTAATTATATCCTATTAAGAATTGTCTCAATTGTTTTACTGGGCTTTTAAATCGTTTTTTCTCTCTTTTTAAGTCTTCCTCTCATTTCCCTTGTAGTTTAACAGAGATATTTTATAAATAATAGTTTGGTTTTGCTAGTTTATTTAAATTATAGGTTTCAGGAGCTTTTTTCTCTTTAAACAACATATAAAAATAGCTTTTACTCTATTAGACTAAGTTTCCTACGCATCTCTTTCAACTTTAAGATCCATACCAATTCTGTTAAAGAGAAAAATTATAAAGATACAAAAAAAGCTTTATAGTATTGACTTACTTATGCCTTCCTTTATTTTTTCCCTTTTTTTGACTGCGAATTGGTCCACTTTGAGAGCCATGCTTATTTGAACTGGTATCTGAGAGCATTGAAGACAGGGAATTTCCTCCATTCTCATTGCCAATTTCTTATTGAAACAATATTAATAACAATAATAATAATAAAGACAAAATAATATATAAAGCGATTTTATGTAATTCTCAAAGTGATATTTTACCTCCTGAGTAGTCGACACCTGAACGACCATCACCACCTCCGGCGACTAAAGATTATAAAAGATAACCAGGTAGTGTAAATTAATTATACTCACTTCTATCAAGTTGTTCCGCAATAGAACTTACAGCCTGAAGATATAAAAACGGCTAATTACACTCTGATTAAAGCTTAAAGAAAAAACATACAGCAGCAGAAGTGACAGAACTTTTCGAGAAGAGTCGATCAGCTTCCTTAAATTTCCTGTTTCTTTTATCTGCCTTACTATTAGTTGAATTTCGACTATGAAACGAGATAATATTTGTTAAAATTGTGATTGGCGTTGGCTCCTAAAATTTACCGGGCAACTTACTTATTATTTGTTAGATAGCGATCCCATCCTCTGATAATGTTACCATATTGCTGAGTATCTTCTAAATAGCTTCCTTCAAATGCATAAATTTGCCGTTCTAGTGTTGCAAGAGAATCCTTAAAAAGAAATAGTGTACTATTATTTACAATTTTGAAAATAAACTTGAACATTGCATAATCATTAAAAAAATTAATTTCTTACGGCTATTTCGGCTCTCCGCTTTACAAGCTCGGTCAACTCTGCTCGTGTATCGACTATCTGTTGTGGCTTCGACATTATTTACAAATCAATTTGACGAGAAACAGTAAACCGAGATCAAAAACGTGAACAACCCATAAAAAATGGCGGCTAAACGATTAGCAGACGACCACTAAAATTAAAACTGCTCGCAAACCGCTAGAAAAGAGGGTAAATATAAAAATATTTATAAATTTAAAATATTCAATTATGAATACATTTTTAGGTAATTATGTACTTGAAAAAAGTTATGTAAATGTTCAGAGTTTGGACACTGTAGAATTGGAACAGAATTTCGTTTGGAGATGGCAGCCGCCATTTGTAAACAAATATAAACACCACTTGACTACGTTCAGTTTTTATCTATAGTAAATTTTGAAAAGGTAACAACTGATTCCAATATGGCAGATGATATAGATGACTTATTGGCCGAAGTTGAAAGTGAATATTTATCTGGAGGAAAAACTACCTGTTCGAAAGGAAAACCGTCCATAAAGAAATCAAAAGGCGATCATTCGTAAGATTAGTAGCTATAGCTTAGATAATTGTCTCTAAATAATTTTTCTTTCAAAAAAGATCGAGAACTGATGAATTAAATGACTTACTAGATGATTTAAAGATAGAGCCTATACCTGAAATAAAGCACAAAGTAATTATTTCCGAACCATTAAACAAATCTGGAAATTATTCCAAATGCATGCCAACTTGTATTGGAGGTAGTAATGATACAATTGGTCTTTCAACTGCACTCGAGAAAAAGTTCGTTTAATTTTTTAAAAAAAAAAAGATTTAGTATAGTATTATTATAGTGATGTTTGTTTTCCTACTGCTTCTTATAATTATATTGATTCTCCCCTTTTTTCAAATTAAATTAATTAATACTGTTATTTCCTTTTAGAATAATTTTAGATTAGAAAAGTGGCTTCTGTTTATATATACAGCTGATACTGCATACAATATATAAGTTTTAATATAAAGAAATTGCCATAGAAACAATTAATATTTCTGATAAAGAAACTATTTTTCTAATATTTATCTTCCAGATGTTGCTCAAGATTGCGTTGCACGCATTGTGATTTCAACTTAATCATGGTAGACGATAGAGCATGGCATAAGAGTACAGATTATCTATTTCTAAGAAATAATATGCCCGACATTGACAAAATGAAGACTAAGCTAGTTGTAAGAAAAGGTGGGATATATCCCTTTTATGTTTAATTGATCCTTGCTAAATATAAATACTATTGTTTATTAATACGAAATATAGGGGGCCGAGCCTACGCCTGCCAGTGTCAATTTAGATCCGTAACCGATTTAGCAGATATCCGCCAAGATACATCGTTAAAATGGGTTTGTGGGAAACATTAAATGGACGAAGATAAAAAGATAATAACATTTAGAAATATTTTAATTGAAGTGTTCACTAATAGCCATATATTTTAAGGAGAAAAAATAATCAATAATAGCAAAATTTTTATTCGTTCAGTCTTGTTTATAATCTAAAAATATCTTGTATTAATGATTAAGCTATATTTTGGATTCTAATCACAAGAATGTAAATGAGTAATATGGTTTATTTTACAAATAAAACCTTTAATAGAAATACTAAATATTATATAAAGGTACTTTCTTTTAGATGTATCATTGTTAATTAATTACTTTTTATACAATTTTTGCAATACAGCAATCTGTCATATTTAAACTATTTGCAGACATTCTTTGAAAGTATTAACTGTCTTAGAGTTAATTGTTTATTCCAATTTTTATAATAGCATTTAAATTGTTCGATATTTTTAATTACATTTAATAATGAAAACAGCAATGAAGTTTACAGTTAAGCTAAAGTTTTCTTTCATTTATTCTAATTGACTGATGTTTTATAACTGTTTACACTATTGTTTATCTTCTATGAAATATCTTAGAAAATGTACATATATATTATAAATGGTATTTACTACTAATAACTACTATATGGAAGTAGCTATCTTAGCTAAGCTAATTATTAGTTTAGAGTATAATCAATTCTATTATTTAAAGAACCAAAGCAGAGAAACTTAAGAGAGATGGAAAGGATTATTCTTTTAGCTTGTTACAGTTTCTCCATTTTAGATTTCTTGTAGTCTAATGTAAGTCAATTACGAAAATTATATAAGAATCACAGAAAGTATTCCATATGGGAAACCATATTAATATTTTTCATTTGTTCTTTGTAACTATACTCAAATAAAGTAAATTTTTACTTTTAGAACTGCAATCGTATTGATTTTAACTTCAGTAGCCGAGCATTTAATAGAAATGATAGAAATACGAATGACTTTTCATTGTCGCATAGACTGCAACAACCGTTATGTGTTAGGCGAAAAGCTTAGAAGAGAGTTTTTAATTATTTCATTACAACGAAAAAATAGTTTAATGATGAATCAAAATTAAACATTTGTCCTACACAATAAAAATATAATATGAAAAGTCTATCGTCCTTTTTTCTTTTTCTTCTGTTGTCTTCCCGTACCAGCTTTATACGATGTAGGCTTTGCTTGGGGAGGTGGCTGACTAACAGGTGAGGATTTTGCATCTGAAGCAGTTTTAGAGGCATCCCTAAAACAAGTAAAATTAAAAGAAAGTCGCTTTTGAAAAATATGGGCTCTTACAATTGGACTCCAGCAGCTGTAACTTGAGCAGCTGAAACACCTTGAGAGCCTTTACCAATTTCCTTCTTCTTGTTTCGTCGTCTACCCCTAAAGTAACTTCTTTCCCTCATTGGTAACCATCTTTCAGGATCAGGATTACCAGGATTATCAACTCCCTTTGGAAGTTTGGCTGTTAGAGATAAACATTTATTAAGAATATACTTTTATAACACATTTCGAATAAGTAGAATATTTACTTTTTCGTTTTTTCTTTTTCTTCTTTTCGATTAATGCATCTCCAGATTTCGAGGCAGAGCCGATTCTCGGCGATTGATCTGTTTTACTAGTTACCCTCTTGATATATTTATTACCAAAAGTTCCAACAGCAGCTTCCAGCTCTTTGACATCTATATCGTTGCCTTTTCCATCGTCAATAGGTAGTTCCAGAGTTAATCTAGTGGGAAGCAGAGTGAAAGCATTTGAAAAATATACGGAAAGTAAACTTACTTTTTCGCTTTTTCATGATCGTATTTGGCATATGCAACAATGAGTTGAGCCAATATTTGTTGATTACGTGGGTTTTGTCTAAGTAAAAATCGAAATAAGATTCTAAAAATTCTGGAGAAAATATAAACTGACTTTCTAACAAATTCTAATTGAGATGCCGCTTTCTGAGGGGAGTCGTGTTGCATATTAAAATTAGCCGATGTTGTTATTAACTCATTCAAAAAGGCGCCGTTGGGATCAATTTTTTTATAATGCTCAATGGCCTTATCCAAGACAGATGAAGCAGAATTGACATCTTTAATAGCTACGTATAAAGAAACAAGTGCCGATATCTGTAATAAGGAAATTTTTAATATTGATTATAATACGATTTATTGTTTAATATTCGAGTTAAAATTTGAGAACTCACAATTCCAGGCTTTTGGGCGATATCCATGTCACCAAGAACTTTACAGGCACTATTGATATCTTTAGTTAGCAACAACACTTGAGCTAGTGCCATTTTGATTTTCCTACTTCCATCTTTTTCCGCTTTGGTCTAAGTAATCAAAACGTTTATTTAGTGAATAATTAAAAAAGAAGTAAATAATCTTAATTTCTACCTTCAATAGTTCAACAGCCTTGTTTGGCTGTTTCTCCTTTAAGAGTGCCGATGCATGAATGAGAAGAGGCACATCACTGTCACTACGACTTTCACTCAGTGCAATGGCTTGTTTCTTACAATTCTCTAATTGATTTGTATGAAGCATTAACAGACATTGATTAGTATTAACATGCTTTTTTTGAGCAGTCGTAAGCTTTTGTTGAGGTGCATCCGAAGTAACAATTTTTAACTTCTTCTTTGAATCAAAAACGTTCTGATCCTTATTTATACATATTATATTGTTGGCAGCAACAGCCATAACTTGCATATCATCAGGTCTTCAAAATTATAAAGTTCATTAGAATAATACACTTAATAACGCTTTAAAATTTTACTTACTTTTGCTTAATTATCTGATTATAAGTTTGTAGAGCTTCATCTACTTTTCCTAATTTTTGCAGAGCATAAGCATGTTGAACTCTGCATAATTTATATCTATTATTGTTGACTCGTCTAAAAATTAATATTATTTTACAACCTTATTGCAGCCACCTCGTTCTCGATTTCGTCAGGATCATCCTCAAATGCTTGTTGACACAACTCTATTAAAAATACAATTCAATTAATTGTCGAAGATTTAAATGTTTTAAAAACAAAGAAACTCAAGTTTACCTTCTGCTTCTTTCAGTTTTTCAATAGCATCTTCATATTTTTCGCATGCTGCTAAATGGCAAGCTTGATTAAAAACTGTTTCGTAGGTACCACCGTCAAAATCGGATATCTGATAGTTTAATTTAAATTTTATGTCAGAAAAATATTACCCGAAATGTTTCATCTCTTACCGGATGGTCTTGACCGGAAAATTGACATGCTGCAATTGCAGCAGTAAGATTTGTAAGTCTTTCAGCTTCAAATTCATCTTGACTATTCTTGACGAGGTCCTTGTAAATTTTATAACTATCGTTGAACATTTCCAATTTATATTGCTATGGAAAGAATTTATTTCTGTAATGTTGATATTATTTGAATCGGTATTCTACTCACGATTTGAGCCAATAATTCTCGCTCTCTATCCGATGGATCCTCGGTTGATAAGAGGAGATTCATAGCTTCATTTGGCTTATTCAACCGATAGTAGCAGTATGCTCTCTCGAAAACCAGTCCACTGTAATAGCATATTGAGCTCAAAAAGTTAATGTATTTTAAAAAATATTTACCCAATCTCAGATGTTAACTTATCATTTTTACCAATTCTTTCTAATGCTTCCTCAAATTTACTTTCTTGAATAAGGCAAACAATACGGCAGTGGAAAGCCTTCTTGTTGTGTGGTTCTTCATTCAAGACTGGATATTTAAAAAAGAAAATATTTATAAGAAATCTTTTGCCCTCTAATGCAATTAAAATTATTTTTCAGATAGGCATGTTTATCTTTATCATGAGAGAAAATCAAGACTTCGTTAATATTAGATAATGATGTTGACTTCTCTTGAAATTGTGTGCCACGTGCTCAAATATGAATTATTAGAGCATTTTAACCGTAAAAAATTATGACAACTAACTTTTATTGCAAACTTTTAAAGCCTTGTTATACTGTTCGCTCTGTTCAAAGCGAATTAAATCGCTAAATAAGTTTTTAACTCGTGTTTCCTTTTCATCTTTATCTGCCATGTTGGCTTCTGTAAAACTGGTAAAGATTTGTCTTACAGTACCCCACAATACCGGATATAAATTTTTTAAATATACTCAAGTTAGGCATACCGTTTGTCACGTGACTCGACTGGTCTCTATGTTTGACCAATTTAATGTCTATAAAGCGTGTATAATGAAAGGATAACTGGTGCCTATCTCGAATTGTCTCAAATATATTTTTTAAAAGTATATAAGTGATTTATTCTGCTGCATTATAATTAATACTAATTTGAAAAGGAACTAAAAGTTTCAGAAAAGGCTACCGGCCTCGGTGGATAAGTTCTTTCTTGAATTCTCTTTATTCCTATATATCGCTCAACGTCTAAACTTCGTTATGTCGCAACTAGAAACTTGGGTAAATGATAAGTTGCATGATATTGTTGGAATGTCCAACAGACAGCTGACAGAATTTATGATTGGGCTTGGAAAACGAGCCGTTACTCCTGAAGAATTTATTGAAAAGTTAAGAGATACTAATACAATAGCAATAGATGATGTTTCTTCGAATTTTGCTGTAGAACTTTGGCACAAGTTACCTCATAAAAATGTTGTAAAGCAGGCGAGAATTACCGAAGCTCAATCAATAGCTGAACAAAAACGCCAGAGAAGCTATCAACTTGTATCAGAGGATAGTGATGAGGATGAACGGCCCAAAGTTAAAAAATCTAAAAGAGAAAAATCTACAAGACTGACAAGAAATATACGGCGTCGAAAAGCTTCTAGCAGTGAAGAGAGTGAAGAAGAACCTGAACCAGTTCGATCTTCAAAACCGAAGAAAGAAGAATCATCTGAAGACGAATATGATAAATTGGAAAGGGAGCGTATACAAGATCTTAAGGAAAGAGATGAACTCTCAGAGAGAATCAAGGAAAAAGACAAAAATTCTACTCGTAATATTATGTCTAAGAGTGACAAGAAAGCATATGAAGAGGCTGCAAAACGGTTAAAAATGCAAAAGCAAGACAAACAAAAAATTGTACCGGAACTTCGGGACAAATCTCGTAAAGAGTATCTTGAAAAAAGAAGAAAAGAAAAGATTGATGATTTAGAGTTGCAAATTCAAGAAGAAGAATACTATTTTAAGGATACTAAATTAACAGAGAAAGAAAAGCAGCGCTTAATGGAGAAAAAACAACAGTTGGAACTAGCGAGAGGTCACCAAAGAGCGGCTGACATTATGAAAAGAGACCGCTACTATATTCCCAAAGAGGGAGTTAAACCAGACAACAGATATGTTGAGGAAACTGAAAAAGGTATTAACGAAATGGCCTTATGGGAGGAACAACATGTAAAGGCAGCTCTAACATCATATGGGTCTAAGGATGCAGCCGGGCAAAAAAAAAAAGAATATGACATGATAATGGACGAAGAAATTGAGTTTGTCCAAACTATAAAAATGCCAGGGACAGGTGGCAAAAAAAATAAAGTGCAACTAACTGAACAAGATATGAAGAAACTTTCAATTGAAGAAACTAAAAGGTCTCTTCCCATTTATCCATTCAAAGAATCCCTTATTGAAGCTGTTAGGGACCATCAGGTCTTAATCATTGAAGGAGAAACTGGATCTGGTAAAACAACACAAATTCCTCAGTTTTTACACGAAGCAGGTTTTACAGATAATAAAATGAAAATTGGATGTACACAGCCAAGACGAGTAGCCGCAATGTCGGTAGCAGCAAGAGTTGCAGACGAAATGAATTTTAAACTCGGTAACGAAGTCGGATACAGTATTCGTTTCGAAGATTGCACATCTGAGAGAACTTTAATAAAATATATGACTGATGGAATGTTATTGAGAGAATTTCTTTCAGAACCTGATTTAGGATCATATTCAGTTATGATTATAGATGAAGCTCACGAACGTACCTTGCATACTGATGTATTATTTGGTTTAGTTAAAGACATTGCCCGATTCCGACCAGATTTAAAATTGTTAATTTCTTCCGCGACTTTGGATGCTGAAAAATTTTCAGAGTTTTTTGATGATGCTCCCGTGTTCAGAATTCCAGGACGTCGATTTCCTGTAGATATATATTATACTAAAGCTCCCGAAGCTGACTATATAGATGCTGCCGTTGTTTCTGTCTTACAAATTCATAGTACACAACCTAAAGGAGACATTTTAGTTTTTATGACAGGACAGGAAGAAATTGATACTGCAACGGAAGTTCTTATGGAAAGAACGAAACGTCTTGGATCCAGAATAAAAGAGTTAATAATATGTCCTATTTATGCAAATTTACCTAGTGATCTTCAAGCTAAAATTTTTGACCCAACCCCTCCTGAATCAAGAAAAGTTGTTTTAGCGACAAACATTGCCGAAACTTCAATTACCATTGATGGAATTGTCTATGTTATTGACCCAGGTTTCTCTAAGCAAAAAAGTTATAATGCCAGAACTGGTATGGAGTCTCTGATAGTTACACCGATATCTAAAGCCAATGCTAATCAAAGGGCCGGACGAGCTGGTAGAGTATCAGCCGGAAAATGTTTTAGATTATATACTGCTTGGGCATACAAACACGAATTGGACGAAAATACCATTCCTGAAATTCAAAGAACTAATCTTGGAAATGTTGTTATACTCTTAAAATCTTTGGGGATAAATGATTTACTTCATTTTGACTTTATGGATCCTCCACCACATGAAACTTTAGTCATAGCGTTGGAGCAACTTTATGCATTGGGAGCATTAAATCATATGGGAGAGTTGACGAAACTTGGTCGAAGAATGGCTGAATTTCCTCTCGATCCAATGCTCTCAAAAATGCTTATTGCATCTGAAAAATACAAATGTTCGGAAGAAATATTAACAGTTGCCGCCATGCTATCAGTGAACAATGCAATTTTCTATAGACCAAAAGATAAGATAGTTCATGCTGATACTGCCAGAACAAATTTCTTTAAGCCTGGTGGAGATCATTTAACTCTCTTAAACGTTTACAATCAATGGGTTGAGACAAATTATTCAACTCAATGGTGTTTCGAAAACTTTATTCAGCATCGGTCGATGAAAAGAGCGAGAGATGTAAGAGATCAATTAGAAGGATTATTGCAAAGAGTTGAAATAGACATACTTTCCAGCACCGATTCAGTTGATATAAGAAAAGCCATAACTGCTGGATTTTTTTACCATACCGCAAGACTAGGTAAAGGTGGCCAATATAAAACTGTTAAACATCAGCAAACAGTTATGATTCATCCAAATTCATCACTTTTCGAAACTCAACCAAGATGGATTGTTTATCACGAATTAGTATTTACAACAAAAGAATATATGAGACAAGTTTCAGAAATTGAAAATAATTGGTTGTTAGAAGTAGCTCCCCATTACTATAAACAGAAAGAGCTTGAAGATAATTCCAATAAAAAGTTGCCTAAAACAGTTGGCAAAAGTTGTTAGCAGATTGATAAACAATAGAAGAGTTCAAGAGCATAGATGTCTAACCGAAGTTCAGACCTAACAAATATTGTTTTGCTAAATATTGATTGATATTTAGGAAAAGCTAGGATAAACGATGTCTGATAAAATTTATCATTTAATTTTTAGATGGACAAGACGATGATGAGTTTTGTTGAGTTAAAAGTTAGACCTTGAATATAAGATATATGCTAAATTACAGGAAAGTGACATATATCATAGTTAATACTTTATCATCAAAGGACTGTTTGGTGTAAGATATTTGATGCGTCGTCTGCTCTATTTTCCATTCAAAATCATGTAAATTAACTATTTTTATGTCTTCTCCATGACAAAAAATAAAAACTAAATATCCAATTCAGTGCTTATTGTCTTTTAATATATAAAATGTAACTTATTTAGGCTTGTGTAACAACCGACTGTTACACTGATGGATTATAGAATATTGTGTCCAGAATGAGTATTTGATAAAATAGGGCGACAATTATTAAGTTAGTTTTAAATTGGTGTGATATTTCATTTATTCTTTATGTTTTTTATTGTTGATGTCCTAATTCTTTTATTAAAGTTTTTTTTTGACAAAAAACAAGTATGAAATTTTTACGGGGAAAAAAGCTGCTTACAAGTTATATTTTAAAAATGAAGTACGCTAATTTATCTATTACTTATTGTCTTTATAATTAATTAATATAAATTACTTTCTGAAGATAAACATACGAAAATATAAATTAAAATATGAATTACGTAATATTCAACTAGTTGTTGCGCAATCCTATTATTATTATTTTTAATGATTTGAGACCTTACCGCATAAACTATCATGTCCAAAGATACAACTTGGTCTAAAGTAAAACTTACCAATTTAATTAAGGCTGTAAAGGACCACCCTTGTTTATGGCAGAGTAGAAATAGTTCTTTCAAAGATACAAGGGTTAGAAATGCAGCATGGTCTGAGATATCTGAATTATTTGAATCCTCGACTGGTAAGTAGTGCTATTTCCGGTATAATTTTACAATTTTACAATTTACAACCTAATTAAGCCTATTACAGGATTTACATATACTCTCTTAATTCATTATTTTAAGATTTAAAAACAAAAATCAAACATTTTTCTAAATATAAATCGTTATATTACATAACAGCAAACTTTTTTATCATTAGCTTGAACATATAGCTTGACACGTGTAAAAATAGCTTTACTATTTATATGCTCTTAAAATATCTACTTTAGCTGAATTAACAGGTTCCTTTGGTCTAATATATATCTATATATATCTACATATATATTATATAATACAACAACAAAAAATACAACAATCGACAAAAAAAGAATTACTATTCTTAGAAAACACATGCCCCATTTTCTTCCTCTATAAATCGGGGTTTATTATTTGACAAAAGTAATAAATAGGTCTTATTCTATGACTTCAATTTGTTTATATAAATATACTTTAATATAGATGAGGTACAGCAACAGTGGTGTAATATACGGAATCAGTATCGTAGAACTAGGATAAGTGCAATTAAAAATGGAACATACTTTAGAGCCTACTATAACTATCATAAAATTTTGAACTTTTTGGACGAATCTGAGTTTAATTTGGAAAATTCGATGGATCAAGACATTACTGATCTCGAATGTGCTAAAGCCAAATTATTCGAAATTCCCAAGTGTACAACACTATCGGTAGAACTGAATAAAGATAAATTTAAGACAGTAAAATCTATACCGACAAATAATCTTTTCTCATCCATTAAAAATGAAAAATCTTCGCTCCCTACGAAATTTGGAAAGAGGGAGAAACCTAAAAACGTTAATAATATGAATAAGAAACTTATTGAAATTTTACCAAGGCAACAGCAGCAAAGTTTAACATCTCAAGACTCTAGACAACTTATTCAACCCGCTCAAAATCAACGTATTATCTTTATTCCAAATTATTGCAATCGAAATCGAACAAATACTGTTACTGAAGCTCTAGAAAAACATAATATTACTCTAAATACGCTTACTACTAAAGTTGAAAAGACTGCTAATCCTCAAATTAAGGAGCAGGATTCGATAATAATTACAAAGCCTACTAGTATTCAAAAATTTATGCTTTCAATGGCTGACCAACTAGCTGATTTGGATGGTGGAAAACAAAGAGAAGCAATGATTGGGGTTATCCAAACCATTAATAGTTTTTGTGATAACACTTAAAAAACAACTTTACCTTTTTAAGTTATTCTTAAGAAATCTCTATATAGTGAAAGTTTAATTAGTAAATCGAGTCACAAATATTTTTATCGTTTTCTATGGAAAGTACTATTTAGGACTAATATTTGGTTTGGATCTAGATCATTTGGGCCTATAAAAGGTGGATTGTTATCACAGTAGCGAATAGCTGCCGTTGTACTATGTACTAAATCAAAATACGTGTCTGCTATGAAAACATTTTAAACTTGATTATTCTTATATTGTATTTTAGGAGGGAATTTGAAAATGATTCTCTCTGTTTTTGTAACATCCTTTTTCTGTGTTATTTGTAATACAACACCGATTGAAAAACCTAATATAGTAATGTTTCTTTCTGATGATTTTGGATATGGAGATTTGTCCGTTTATGGACATCCTAGTCAGGAGCAGACGATACTTGATAAGATGGCACTTGAAGGCATACGATTTACGAGCTTTTATTCATCAAGCTTTTTTTGTACACCAAGCAGAGCGGCACTTTTAACTGGTAGACTACCTCATAGAAGTGGAATAATTGGTGATATAGGAAAATTTTCTCTGCCCGTTCTCCTCCCATCCCACTCAACAGGTTTGCCTCATGAGGAATATACACTTGCAGAAGCTCTTCGAGACGGTGGCTACAAGACAGGAATAGTTGGAAAATGGCATTTAGGTATTTTGATGAATTTTTAACTGTTGAAACTAATTAAAAGACACATGGTGAACCTATAAAGTCCCATTTACTTAGGTATTAATCAGTACAATCATAAGGATGGAACATTACTACCACATACTCACGGCTTTGACTATGTTGGCCATATACTTCCCTTCAGTCTTGAGCAAAAATGTGATGATATGGGTGTAAATATAAAATATAATTTTCTCTCTATTTTATCATATAAACTGCATTATAATTTATAGCACCACCAAGCCAAACAAAATAGAAATAGATGTTTCGTTTATAAGAATGACACAATTGTTGAACAACCAATTAGGTTTGAAACGCTAAGTCAGAGATTTCTTGAAGATGCTCAATCATTTATTTATGAAACGACAATGGATAAAACGTCAAATAAGCCTTTTTTCCTATATTATTCATTACCACAGCCTCATACGCCTATGTTTAATATGAAGAGATTCAATGGAAAATCAAAACGAGGTCATTATGGAGATCAAATTCTGGAAATGTCATGGCAGGTTGAAGAAATTGTAAATTTATTAAAGGCGGAAAATCAGTTAAATAATACTTTAGTATTATTTCTAAGTGACCATGGACCCCATTTAGAAATATGTGGAGAAGGCGGAAATTCTGGTCCATTAAAAGGTAATTTTGATAATTGATTCTCCATAAAGCAACACTAATAATATTCCAAATAATAGGTGGAAAAGGAACTGCCTTTGAAGGTGGAGTGAGGGTACCTGCCATAGCATGGTGGCCAGGTAAATTAAAGCCTGCAGTATCAACCGAAATTTTCAACCTAATGGATATATTTCCTACATTGTTGAGTTTGGTAAATATATCTCTACCAAATATAAAACTTGATGGATATGACAATCATGAAAGTTTAATCAATTCTAAGAAAGCATCTAAAAGAGAAACAAATTTCTTCTATTGTAGTCATATATTAATGGCTGTACAGTACAGAAATTATAAAATTCATTATTACGAATTTGATAAAATAACAGAGGAGGACATTGCCAACAATTGTAAGAATGGTAGATCAATAAGAGACTTTTATATGATGGGTTTGGATTGTGAAAATGCTAAAAAACTTGACACCGCTGCTTTGTACAATATTGATATGGATCCCGGAGAAGCGATGCCATTAGATATTGACGATCATCAAGATGTAATCAACAAGTTTGACAGGATTGTTAAAGAGCATAAAGAGAATTTAACATATAATACTATCAATAGATTATCCAAGGATTATACTGATTCTAAACTAACACCTTGCTGTAGTCCACCATACTGTTTATGTTAACTAAAAAGAGAGAAAGTAGTTGGCAAAGATAAATTAAAATTCCTAAAGCATTATCATTTCAGCTAGTAAAACATGAATGTTTATATACATGATATATAGATGAATATATTTCCATTAATTAATTATTAAAGTAGCTTTCAACAGATAAAGAAATCGTTAGTATTTTAATTAAACGACTCTGAAAGTATTACCTAATTTCCTTATTTGGTCCATATTTCTTTGTCTATAAAACAATTGTTCTAAATTGATTTTAACAAAACCTTATATAAAATTGACTTCTCGTTTAAACACATTTAGAGAAATGCATTCATTTTTATATCTAATCGTTGTATGTAATTAGCATATTTGTAATAATTACTTTTGTTACATTTTGATCTAATAAAATTGGAAATTTTCTTTTGGAAACAAATCGCTTATCGATGAAGATCTTTTATTATGATAAAATGAAATGTTAACGATTGACCAGTCTAAGACACAAGGAAATTGACTAATTAGAAGCAATAATTATTCAAGAATAACGCCAGTGTCGCTAGTGGAGCTTTTACATTATTCTTCCACTTGAATGATAGGATATACAAGTTACACTAGCATTGAAGAAACTCGAATCTGATGATATGAGCCCTTCCAATACTACTCAAACAACAAGTAATATAGAAGAAATGGCATTTCCATTAACCGTAGCAATTCTATTATTCTTATTTGGTTTACTTGGAAATTTAATTGTTATCAGTACAATTCTAATATCTAAGCACTTGAAACTTATTAATCAAGGTCTTATAGTTAGTTTGTCACTAGCGGATACAATGTTTCTAACACTTGCCTTTCCGTTAATAGTGGTGGCAATTATTCACAAGAAATGGATTTTTACCTATGAAGTTTGTGTATTCGAAGGATTTGTAACTGTGACAGTTTGTCAAATTTCGGTTTGCAATTTAACAGCAATTTCAATAAATAGATACATAAACATATGTCATTTGACTCTGTATAAAAGAATATTTAGTGAAAGGTATATTTTTCTGTTGGCTCTGTTAGCTTGGCTCTGTGGAGTTATTCCATCAGGGTTAGGACTATTAATGAACTATGCAAGAATAGCATATAGTCCAAAATTGGATTCGTGCGTCTACGAATGGACATATAGCATGAATTTTAATATTATCCTAGCAATCTTCTTTACACTTCAATTTATAATAATTGTTTTTTGCTATACAAGAATCTACTATACGTTTATTTCAAGTAAAAGAAGAATACATGGACTGAATCAGCAAAGAAATAGCCAAAGTAAAAGAAAGGAAGATAAAAGGCTTATTTTACAATTGTTTATTGTTTTCATAGCATATTTGGCTTGTTGGTATCCTTATTTAACATTGGCCCTTTTTATAGATCCATATCATACATATCCAAGATACGTTTATGATATAACAGCTAATTTTATAGTTTTAAATTCAGTAGTAAATCCACCAATCTATTTCTTTTTTAATAAAGTTTTAAGGAAAGAAGCTTTAAAATTTTGGTCATTCGGATATTGGAAAGATACAAGTTCAATTTCTAATCAATTAACAATTGACTAATTTATTATTTATTATGTATTATGTTATTACGTATTTGTTTAATATAAATATATTCAGTTGCCTAGTATCAGAGTTTTACGTGACAAACACTTATTTTCTAAGATTTGAGAGGAAAATAGCAAACTGTCGTTTAATAAAGTGTTTTAATGTGCTTTTAACATTTCCTTTCATTTTGTTGGTGGGATAACGTAAAGCACTTAAAAATAAATTTAATGTGTATGTTGGAGATTTATAGTTGTTTGTCCCAGTTTCTTTTCCTTTTTTTCAGTTTTCACCATATTACAAGCATAATCAATTTTCCTCTTAGTCCTTAATGTGAACACAAGTTTTTAAATAAGTTATTGATGCATACTCTCAGTACATTGAAAGGTTTAAATTACATGCTTATTAGAGCCGTCGATTATCTTGTACGAGAACCGAAATATAATAGATAGTAAGATGAAATAATTATTCTGATCATAAGCAAATTGGAAAGATATAGATGGCACTCTTCTGAAATTTCTATCACTCATTCTTTCATATTAAGAGAAGAAGAAAGAGATATATTTGCAAGTTTGTGTTTATTCTTCATTTGTGTTTTTTTTTTGCTTTTCTTTCTAAAAGAATAATAAGAGAGAATGAGCAATCTTTCCAATATAACAAAAACTCTTACTAATACAAAGGAACCTCCTCCATCAACTCTGGAATTGGTTATTATTCTTATTGTAGTTGTGATTCTATTAACATTTGGTTTAGTTGGAAATTTAAGTGTAATATGTACAATCCTAATTTCGAAGAAATTGAAATTCATTCAACAAGGACTGATAATAAGCCTATCTATGGCAGATTTTATATTTTTAACATTGGGTTTCCCTATCATTATTGTGAATGTTGTAAAAAATGAATGGATATTTTCTCATGGACTGTGCGTTTTTCAAGGTCTCGTAGTAACTACCACTACTTTAGTATCAGTTGGAAATCTTACAATAATATCTATAAACAGGTATATGAGTATATGTCAAATACCTTTATATAAAAGATTATTTACTTCAAAGTTTATATTAATTCTGTCAATTGTTGCCTGGTTGTACGGTATTATTCCTCCTTGTTTTTCAACACTTTTTGGTTGGACTACCATCAAATTTGAAACAAGTTTAGATAGTTGCGTTTATAATTTCGATTATAATATCATTTTTAATATATCGTTATCGGTCTTCTATGGTCTACCTTTGTTTGTCATAATTTATTGCTATGTTATGATTTATCGAACAGTTTGGAATAGTAAGAAAAAAGTAGGTTTAATTGTTCAAACTGGAAACGGAAATGGGGGTGGTACTCAGGCGAAGAAACTTAAAAAGGAGGAGTTGCGATTGGCCCTTCAGCTATTTATAGTTTTCATTTCGTTTATTCTTTGCTGGTATCCCCTTTTGATAGTTGTCCTCTTCATTGACAATAAAATGGAATTACCTAGAATAGTTTACGATATTACTGGAAATCTCATTGTACTTAACGCTGTCATTAATCCACCAATCTATTTCTTCTTTAATTCAACACTTCGAAAAGAACTGATCAGACTTATCATCTGTAAGAAACCATCAGCTACTCAAATAACAGAAATATCATTAACTGGTACTGGCTAAAAAAATGAATTAGTTTGAAAAAGACAACCACTTTGAACATAATAACATAGAGCACAAATAAGAGACAATAGATAGCAATATTGTCCATAATAGAGGTGTGACAAAATGATGGAAAATGGCTTTAATAATAGTAATCTATACTGTTACTAACAAATTCTTGTGTTATTTTTTGTTTCTTTTTAAATCACTAACGGCGTCTCTGTTTCGTTATAAAAATAGAATGTCAATAGTTGTCTATTCTTCGTGCCAGAGTGACGCTGATTACAGGAAAAATGAAAATTGTTAAATATATCTGATGATGTCAAACGATCTTTTTCCCTTTCAGTTAAACAATCAGTTTTAATCTATATATGAATATTAAAGAAGTTAATAATATAACAAAGTAGTGTTATATCTATAATATCATTAACGATTAACAATCGAAGGAAGATTCAATTTTTGATCTTTGAATTATTTTTAAAAGGTCAAACATACGATGTGCCTACATGACACATTCCGTATTCTTTTATCCCTTAGGCTATCTATTAAAATCTCTAAAATAAATAGCTTTATCTTATGAACAAGTTGAACGCTAAAACACAGCTTCATATAAAATACGCTATGAATTTGGTTTCATTGTTATTAGTTAATAATTACGATATAATACGATAAAACCTATTGAAGATTCTTAATGGATTATCGATTATTATCTTTATGTTATCTTGTTTGAATTGATTTGTCAAACTGACTAAGCATTAATTCTGTTTAAATTTAGCGTATTAATATATTATCTTATCTTAAATGTAGTATATAACAATTGAGTTTTAGTAAGCAAAAGTAGTTTGTGCAAAAGTAGTTTGCGCAAAAATTTTTCACATTTTTTCAATTTTCCTCAGCGAATGAGCTAAATATAGATTTTTCTTCTTAATTCATTTAGAAAGATAAAAAAGAAAGGAAAAAATGAAACTGTGGCATGCTAAGGTTATAGCGCTTTTTGTTATTTGCACAACACAAGCGATATTCGTTCATTTGCCTATTAAAATTGCTCCATATTTTTATAAAAAGGGGCAAAAAGGACAAAAGCTTATTCAATTTTTTCAATGTTTTGCCGGAGGTATTTTCTTTGGAATTTATTTGCTTCATATGGCGCCAGAAGTTAGAGAACTGTTGGAAGAACAACTTCTAGACAAGCATAATATTGATTATCCTATTCCGGAAGTAATTATGGGAGGTGGTTTCTTTTTTGTCCTGTTCTTAGAAAAGTTTGTTCATGTTATATATTTTCGGTCGCAAAAGAACAAACAGGTATCGTCGATTGAACAGAGTCAGCAGGATGTTGAAAAGGAACCAAACGGAAGCATGGTAATGACGACTCACGGTCAAGAAAATCATACAGATGTTACTCACGATCATACTCATGCAGTTCAACCAGCTCATTCTCATGTACACTTCAGATCGATTCTTTTCCTTTTGGCTTTATCTCTTCATTGCGTTTTTGAAGGTATTGCAGTTGGTCTTAAGAAGACTGAAAAAGGAGTATGGACTATGATGGCAGCCATTTGCGCTCATGAAATTGTCGTCTCTTTTTGTCTTGGTTTAAATCTCTATAAAACCTATAAAGATAACATAAAAAGATTTGTCCTGTGTGGTATAATCTATTCTATAGATTCACCAATTGGAGTTGCAATTGGTACCATTATCACAAGCACTGGCGGAAATCCAGATAAAGTTGATCTAATTAACGGAATTCTTCAGGGTATCGCAGCTGGAACTTTTATCTATGTTACATTTTTCGAAATCCTATACGGAAACCTCAATCACGATACACCGTTAGTTATGCTACTAGCAATGCTTGTCGGTTTTGGAGTTATGTGCGGATTAAAAGCAATTCCAGAAGGTGACGAGCCCGACACACCTGCAAATGCAACTGTAAAAGCTCTTTTCAATATGGACAACTCACTTTACAAATTACAATTATAGTTTTCTTTTTTTTTTTTAAAAAGAAAAAGAATAATTCTAATTCTCTATTAATTATTTAGGTCAATTTTGTAAATATTTTACTATATTTATTTATATATAACTGTTATTTTTAAATGCATTAGTTTAATAAAACAAAAGTAGTTATTTAAATAAATTTTTCACACGACTTTACGTAAAGAATTCAAAGCTGAAACTCTTTTAAAATATCAACTGTTAACGTTAATGTAGTACTGAAATGAATAATACTACATTTCTTAATCAAATTTTTAAGAATAATATAACTAATTCCAGTTCTGTAGGTCAGAATGATAATAGGGATTATGGATTAGATCATTTTTTCATAATACTATGTCTTCTTCCGATATCTGCATGCGTTAAACAGATTATGGAGAAATTAATTATACCTTATACATTAATACTATTTATTGGCGGAGTGCTTATTTATCAATTCCTGAAAAACAATAATGAATTCCAAGATAGATTAGTATGGATTAGAGAAACACAATGCGATTTTCTAGGTTATATTCTTGTTCCTCCAATAGTTTGTATTAGTATTTTAAATATGAATAATCTTGATGGATTTAAGACAAAATACCAAATTATAACTCTGGGGGTGATAGGCTATTTTGCAACGTCGTTTATTGGTGGATTATTCGCAACGTATATGCTCAATTATACTTGGACTGTTAAGGATGGGATTGTTTTTGGTTCGATAATATCGGTCATTGACCCTGCAAGTATAAATGATTCTCTAAAGAGAAACAATATCATGAGAAAGCATACTATTCATATCTTAAATGGTGAAGTGTCCTTTCAGAATATAATTTGCTTGGTTTTATTTATTACCAATAATACGTTATCTCATAATCCAATCCATACCAGATACACTCTTATCCTATTTTCAGTCAGATTGCTTTTATCACCTGTTATCGGATACATTATCGGATACATCATAACAGTTATTATTAATTTAATGTTAAATAACATAAATATGCAAATTATTTTCATTTGGTCAATAAGTTTATTAAGTTATTACTCAGCTGAAGTGCATTGTTGGGGAATAGGTGTTTTGGCTCTATCAAGTATAATCTATACACTTAAATCGAGAAGTACATTACTTCAAACAGTTAAAATTTTCCAGAAAATATCATCTTTCTGGAATTTATTGCTGTTTATTTCGGAGACTTTAATCTTTTTTTTAGCTGGACTTACAGTCTGTAAAAGTATAGCGAATATGACGAAACCTAAAGATTTCGTAAACTGTCTTATCTTATATTTAGTATTGAACTTTGTAAGAGGATTCGTTCTTTTATTAAGCTATCCGACTTTGAAGAGGTTAGGTAATGGTTTTAATTGGCAAGAATTGATAATATTTATAATATCTGGGGTGAAAGGGTCTATGAGCTTAATTCTGGCTATATGCTTTAAAGGCAATGGCAAAGAGAAACTACTAATTGCTGTTGTATTCTGTACATGTCTATCTTTATTTATAAATAGGATTTTATTGGAAATCTTTAGTAAGAAAATAGGATTAAGAAAGTTATTAAATACCCGAAAATGTCGTCTGAAGGCTGCTTTAAAATACCTTAAAAATGAGGGTGAATTCATGAAAAATGCCTTAAAATCAGATACGCTATTGGCAGATGCTAACTGGGACATAGTTGATAAGAGAACCAGATTTTCTCATTCCATAAGAGTAGTTAGTGATTATTGCGGTTTGAAAATGATCTAATTGTATTTAAAAAAAACCCTTTCGCTAATTACTTAAAGGAAGAAGACGAAGTTGAATCGTATTCCCTAACGTATCTTACCGCAACTCGGAGGGCGACGTGTCCCAACTGCCAATTAAATATCAAATCGGAACCAACGCCGCAAGAATCTGAAAGAATGAAGAAAGAAGCTTATAGGAGATTCTTAAATGCTCAACTCTTCTCGTTTAGAAAACAACTTCAATGCGGTATGATATCAAAAGATGCATGTAAAATTCTGATAGGTAATGTTGTTAACAATCTAAACGATGGAAATCATATATCGCCAATCATCGACCTTGAATCGAATCTTAGAATGAGTCCTATAATTCGTTGGATAGCTTCAATTGAGAAACAAAACAAAGTAGCAGCATATATGGATTTCATAGAAGAACCTATAAATATTTATGAATCATCAATTAAATTCGATAAATGGTACAGACTATCAAATTCCTTAACTGTAACAGTACTCATTCAAATAGTATCTTTGATAGTGGTCATCCTTTATTCGTGTCGACTTTTTGGCTCGTGTAAACACCAATCAACGTTTATCTTTATTTGCTCATTTCAGTCCATTAGTGTTATCTTACTGCTCAATCACATTCTTATAAACGCTTTAAAACGATGTTGTACAAGATTGTGCGCCGTATTTCTTATTTTTATATTAGAAATTATCATTTTAACTATTGAAACAATCAGTAAAGAGAGTCGTTTATCCTGGTTGAAATTCATTATCAAGGTCATATCGTTCATTCTAACTTCATGTCTTGGAAAATGTTGCCATAATCCTATAAATAAACTTATTAAATCATTTTTAAATTTATTAAAGAATGTTAAAGATGAGATTATTTATAAAAGAATTAGAAAAGGCTATGAAATCGTACAAGGTTCTCTACAATCTCATGAATATGCCGAAAAACAATTAGATTGTATAATTGATGATGAATGGATTATTGATAAATTGAAAGATAATATTAAAAAATTTCAATCAGAAACTAGAAAAGGGTTAAACAAATTCCAAAATCAGCAAACAGGTGTTATTGTGTCAGTTAAAACTGAACAGGAAAGTACTCTATGATTATCATATTTACATATTTAACATAGAAATATTTATGATATTTAAACCATCAGGCGTGTAGGAATATACTATTTCATATGAGAGATCAATTAGAAGATTTATGCGAAAACGCTTTGCTAGACGATGATGAAGGTGAAGAGCTACTTAATATGATAAATGAAAGATTAAGAAAATTATCCAAGCTTCCATCGTCAATTTCCCCTCCTGTTCCTGAAATGATTATTAAGAATGTTACTTGGATTAATGACGATGATTTAATACAGTATTTAAATCATGCAGCAGATTATTATAAACTTATGCCAAAAGATTGCTTTAAATTAGAAACTGATAAAGATTTACTAATTACTCAAAACGATAGGATAGCAATTAAAAAGTCCCTATATATTATTTTATCAGGTCTGGTCTCTTATGAATATGAATCCTACGAAAATTTTGGCAATTCTCTCGAAGAACGAAGACTAAAGAAGTTAAACGATACTCTAACATCTGGTAGTGTAGTTGGTGAATTGGAATTGTTGATTGATCAGCGCGAAAGTAATAAGGAATTAGTATGTGAAACCGCTAGTCAAATTTACGTTATTGAATTCGATCGGATTCGTTCAGCATTCAACCTATACGAAAAATTAGAATTAAACCTCTGGAAAAGTGTTAGTATTAAGATTGCCGCCGATATTTTAGGTCTAAAGCCAAAGTATAAAAAATGGACGAAATCCAAGATAAAAGCTCTTCTTCATAGGTCTGATTTATATTTACATCGTTGTGTCTCTCTAGAGCAATGGCAAAACGGAGGTGGTGAAAGGAAAATCGACCTAAATAGAAGTTCTTTTTCTGATGTTATACTCATTTATGGTCGAGCGGTTGCTCAAAGATCGAAATCCATTTTACAAGGACCAATTTATTTACAACCAGAAGTTGAAGAATTAACACTTATACCAACTCTTGATGGTCGAACTTCCTTCCTTACAGCTAAGCACGTGGTTCTTAGTATCCCTACGAATTTTGCTATACTTTCATCTATGCATAGTGTAACAAAGATATCTTGCGAAGGGTCCTCCTGTCTTGAACACTCGGACGAATGCCAGAAAAATGTTAAACATGATAAAAGTTCCAATTATTCTTCCAATTCTCCCTTTCATAGTCGAACTCAAACTCCAGTAAATAGTAAATGATTTAAACTGAAATATTTATTATTTCTGTTTTTTTTTTACTTTAATTTATGTCTCTTTTTTTAAATAAACTAATTTAAAGTTGAAAGTTTAAGTCATTTAGAAATGTCTTCCGTAGTCCCTTAGTTTAGTAAGACCCCATTTCCTGTGGATATTCAACCGCTATCATGAGTTCAAGGAAGAAAGGTGACTTGTCGGAAAATGAAAAAAAATTAATAGATGCATCTCTAAATGGTAAGTCAAATTAAATATGTTTCATTGTTTATTTCATTTAAAATTTTCTTTAACTTAACAACAAACATAACTATGTCCAATTTTCGTCTACATCCATAATCCGCGTTAAATATTTTAGGGAATGTGGAGGACATACGAAACTTACTGGCGGAGAAAGATGTTTTTGTTGACTGTTTGGATTCGGTTTGTTATCAATATAGATCTTTATGTTTGTTTGTAATAGTTGTGTAATCATTCTAGTCTGGTATGACACCTCTTCATCACGCGGCATTTAAAGGGAAGTTGGATTCTGTGAAGTTGCTTTTAGCCCACGGCGCGGACGTCAATTCTCCTTACCACGAGCAAGATTATAGTATTTTGATGATGGGAGCTATATCAGGTGAGAACTTTTATTAAAAATTAAATCAGCTAATAAACTTTCTATAAAAAGGAAACGTTGATGTGACGAGAACCCTTTTGGAAGCTGGCGCTAAAACTTCAAGAGAGAATAAAGTTGGTAGAACAGCGACACAAATGGCAGCTTTCGTTGGACAACATCAGTGTGTTTCACTGATTAATAATTTTTTTTCCAGAGAAGACTTAGACTACTATTGCGTTCCAAGAGGTAAAACCATTTCTGTGCCTTACACCTATGTCTTGACATGAATTTATTTATTCATTTAAAATATAGGTTTAGAAACTGAACCAAAGTTACCACCTGAATTGGCGGATACCGTCTACAGACTTATTCTAAGTTCAAGTTTAAATCCTGTCAAAGTAAGTAGATACGACTTTAAAAATATATTAATAAAGTTATTAAAAACTTTATTATAGTAACTAATGTTTAAAATCATTCAACAGATTACTTTATACTTACAAGCCAATCCACAACTAATAGTTAATTCAAAAATAATATGCAAACTATTCGATCTTTTATGTGAAAAGATGATGAAGAGTACTCACACAAACGAAGTATATATCAACTTTTGAAATATTTAACCTATGCATGTTTTAATCCTTTAATTTCTTATATATTTTAGATTATGGCCCTTAAGTTTCATTATTTATCTTTTATTATAAAATCGGTTACTGATTTTCATGAGAAGGAAAATAGTGATTTAAGTGGTTTTTTGAAGGCGTAAATACAAATTTAATTGATTTTTATACGAGAATAAGGATTTACCATTTTTACATAATATTTTAACAGATTGTTAAGAGTAAGAACTGATGGATGTTTCGAAACAACTGAGAAACTTATAAGAGGAGCTCTAAAATCATTCCCTTATGTAGAAAGTCAACTTTTTAAACAACTTGTACGACAGCTATGCGATGCAAGAATGGTACTTTCTTCAATTTTCTAAAAGTTAATAAAATAACTATTAGAATTATCTTCTTTTAAAAGGGTGTACCATCGGCTCTTGGGGTTTTGAGTAGCGGCATAAACGGTCAACGATTTGCATCCGAGGAAGACAAAGAATGCGAATGTTGCGGTGAATTGAAAGCAAAAATGAAATGTTCCGCCTGTAAAATGGTTCACTATTGTAACAGTCAATGCCAAAAACTACAATGGTTTGTCCATAAAAAACAATGTAAAAGACTAGGAGGTTTGTACAAGTTGTATACAACTTTTATATCTTTTAACTTTTATATCTTGTTTCAAAAACAGAATTATACCTGGAGAATCAAGAACGCATAAAACTAGAGAAAGAAGAGGAAGAGAGAAGAAAACTAGAAGAAGAAAAAGCCAAAGAAGATGTAAAAGACGATTTGGAAGAATGTCAAGAGAAAATATCTGAAATGCTAACTGAAAAAGAGGAAAACATCGAAAATACGAAAAATTAAAAAGAAAATCTATTTTAATATTTGGTTTGTTTCTTTGTCTGTGTTTAGAATTTCTTTTGTAGTTAATTATATGTGTATTGTTTATTTCATTGAATGTGGAGTTGTTTGAATTTTACCCAAAAAGTAAATCTGTTAGATGTAACAAAATGTGAGCAATACATTGTATAAAACTTACAGACACGAGAAATTTTTGTATTTTAATAATTAAGACAATCAATCAAATATAATTGTAGACTATTTATTTAACATATATTCTATATAAAGGTAGAGTCTGCCATCTATTTTATAAGATTAAATAGCAGTTCAGCCTTTTCTTTGTTTTAAAAAAATTGAACAGTAATAAAATACTGTTGTAGAAAACTTTAAATATCACTGCATTATCTTTGTCATAAGCTATAGAATTAGTTGATTTAGTAGAGTACCGTCAATTTGTAAAATTTCGTTGCATCCAAGAAGTGATATAGACGATAAACCATAAAGCGTATCCAATGAATTAGGCTTTTTTCCTATTGACTGAATAAATCCACCGTACACTTTGTTTTGTAGCCTTAAAAGTTTAGCCTTAAATTGATTTTTATCTAGAATATCCAAAGATCCTTTTAGAATCTGCAGAAAATAGATAATGATTTTTACTAGAAAATTATTTAACAATTATTCATTTCTTAATACCTGTACAGACGATAAAGTAAGAAAATATGATGCAATACTCCTATCTTCGTTCTTAAATTCAATTAATTTTGATGATACGTCATCAAAATGATTGACAATTCCAGACAGTTCGGCTAAAGCTAAAATATAATTTGCAGATCTGAGTTCGTTTTCAGAAGTATGGCAGTTTTCAAAAACTTGTTTATAGTTCTATAATATTAAAAAAAAATCAATTAATTAATTCAATAGAATAAGAATATATTATATTATTTATTACGTTGTTTTTTATTAGTCTTGTAAGTTCATTCTGATCAGCTTCGGAAAAGCTACCAATAAATTTCTTAATAATCGTCTGATAAAAAATCATCTTTATCGAACTGTTAGATAATAATCAAATAATTATTCGTAAATATTTACATTGATATCAAATAATATACCTATTACTTATAGAGTTATCAATAAAACATTTTAAAAATTTCCTATTTTTTAGCTGAGAGATATCGTCCCCAATCAATTTTAATAGTAATAATGCATTAGTTGCATTTATTATATCCGAATCTTTAAAAGTAGCTATCTGTTAAAAGAATCAAATATTTCGATTATTAAATTGAATAAGGCAAAAAAAAAAAAAGAAAACTTTATACTTCATTTATAGCTAAGCATTCTAACGCAAACAGGGCTTTCTTTCGTAATTCTTTTTCATTCTTAATAATTAAATTATCCTTCCTTAATAATTTTAAAGAAATTAGTACATTGCAAATATTCTTCAACCTGTTTTAAAATATACATATATAATATAAACAATTCGCCTTTTAATAATTTTTACCTACTGTTGAACGCTCAATATGTCGTTTTCCTTGTTTATAATTTCACTCAACTCCTTTCTTAAATAATCATCGTGCAACTGTAATCTGAAGCAATTTAATTGCTTTTGTAGGCTGTCGGCCATCCATTTATCTTGAATTACTTGCAGCCTAATATAATTAGAATACTATTAAGATTGGCTAATGCTGTATGTTTGGCATATTATTTACTTGTATAAAGAATATACTACAATTAACATGCATAATTTAGAAATAATGTAGAAAACCTTACTTTTTGACTGCTCTCGAACTTATATTCAGAGCAGGGTTCATGTCGATTACTCCCTCTTCATCTGATAAGGCCAAGGACGATATAGCGAAATAAGAATGTAACAAATCTGGATTGGCATCTTCGTATTTAGCAAATCCTCCTCCAATAACTGATTGAGTTTTGGAAAGAAATTGTCTATTCTTATCGTGGTCGATTAAATCGCGAAAACCTAATAGCTTTATAGAAGAAAATTTTTTCATATCTTTCCTAAATATTAAAACTATCCGACGTACTTTTAGCGTTGAACCAATCCAAAATGAATAGCACGTGTCGATGGGTTTGTTGGGTCGGCCTTGAAATCCCTCTTCCTGTCTCATTAAACACCACTTTTGCAGGTTGTCATATTGCTTTGAACTTAAAACATGGAGTTGATTCATTAAATATAGTGAAGCAACGGCGCAAAAGGTTGAACCACCATGAGCTTCGAGACCGGGTCCTTGGGCGAAAGCTCCCTCGTAAGTCTATAAATTAAAAATGAACGCTTAATATAAGACGATATTAAAGAGATCATAGAACTCACCAAGCTGTCTTTGATGTACCTGACGCTCCTATGAACATCAATCTTCGACCAGTCATCCAAAATATGAAAAATTACTGAGGCACAATAAATGAATCGCATATCATTTTCACTTCCTCCAAAGTGGGCAGCAAAACTAAATGAAAACAACACAAGTATTAAGTCTTCTTATTGGCATAAAAATATTTGAGCAAACCTTCCATCTTCGAGCTGTAAGGCTGCTACTCCTGTTGCAATAGCATCTTTATCAATTCTTTCTAAATCATCACCAAGAATAATTAAACTCAACAAAGCTGAAAAAGTCATTGTAATATGACTAGTAGATTCCTTAAAAGTCTATAAAAATGATGTTCATTCAATAGTGAAATATTTAGAATAGTATCAATTTACGAACTTGGAGTAAATGCCTGTCTCCATATAAATGAGAGCCGACAAATCCACATTTTTCTAAATTGGTTCCTAAAATAATAAAAGTTTCTTTGTAAAACAGTTTAATATTAAGTAAGGGGAGGAGAGGTGGAAAATCACTTAAGAGCCCTATCTAAATTAAATGTTTCGGTAGGCGAAACATATTAATTTACTTTTTCTTTCAGACTTACAATAGCTACTAGTTTTTTCTTAGCTTATTATACGCTAAAAAAACAGTATTAACAATAATTTAAGCATATATCTCTATTTATAATTATTTACTTGTTGAATTCGGTAAAATTTGAAGGGAATAGATCCATTCAATAACGCCTTTTTGTTCCTTAACTAAATCTAAAGAATCCAATAGTTCTAAGCCAGATATTCCAAAGAAGGCGAAGGTTAATCTAAAGTCGAAATAAAAGTTTTGAACGAAACGTGGAAGTTAATTTTAAAAAGTCGTTGATATGGACAATATATAAATTTACCGAATTGGATCCAAGTAAGCATATCGGGCAGGAAGAACATCCAAGCATCTCTTAAAATATTTAGAATGTACTTTAAAATTGAAAACCTTTTCCTTCTCAGCTACATCCATCATTAAACATTGGTATTACTAAACTACGATATAATGAAGCTCAATCTAGGTATTTTTAAGCACGAATTTATTGAATATATCTCAATTATTAATCTTTATTACATATTTACGAACAAAATTTATATAAACTTTCTTTTCATAAAAAATAAACAAACAAATAGATAACAAAACAGAAGAGAGATTCGTCCTAAAGAACGTTACTTCTTTACTTGGTTTTGTTTCAAAGTTCATATGTATTTTTTATCACCACATAACATTGCATAAATCTAATCAAAATCAAACGTTATGTTAATTTTTCTATTACGTAATGCTGTTTAACTCTGTAAAGACAAAAATTGATAGAAAATATCTACTATTTTGCTATCAACTTCAGAGGTGAAAATCAACTCTTCTAAGGTTTTACTATAGATTTGGATAACAGGTTGATAGAGTTGAAAAATTTCTTTCAACCGTCCAATTGCCCAACAATACCATGGTGTTAAATGGTTCTCCTGATCCAAATCCGATTCAGATAAATGCTCACCTAAACAAATGATAAATCTTTGGAAAATAATAAGGAATAGATTTTTTAAGTTAGTTTTCCCCGTCTCCAATTCATCCTCAAATTCTTTTAATTGTCCTGATGTTGGGATATCATGGATGCTAACATCCTCCAGTAAATTAAATGAATTTCTATTTTTCTTTCCCTGAATATATCTTTCATTTAAATTTGCTACCTGCTGTTCAACCCTATTAATTGTTGTGTGCAAAACATCCCACACATAAAAGCAAGTAAAGTTGGCCTCCATTTCTTCACTGAATATCCAAGATGTAATAGTTGTGGCGTCTATAATTTGTATTTTTACTAGCTTATCAATTATTAAACTAATCATTTGTTCATTGTTGCGCCAAAGATTGTGAACTGCGTTTAAGATACAAAGTTGAGACTCTTCTGAGTCTGCGAGAGCTCGAAGAACTTCGTGAAACTTTGTAAGAGCAGCGAGAGAATGGGAAATTGACTTTGAACCCAAATTAAGAAGTGTGGACACAAAAACTTGTAGCTTATTATGTTCACAAATATCTTTCTCCTCTATTCCTTCCATTGTAGAGGGCGTCTCTTCCAAAATATCTATTATTTCTTCTGGGCCAACTTTACCTTTAATTGCAGCAACTAATTTTTTACTGAGTTCGTTATCACTATAATCAAATTGTGGTTTTGGTTGTGGTGGTCTGTATTTTTCCAGACTATCAGGAGTGAAGTCGATTACTCGTTGATGATAAGAAAGTTTCATACATCTTATCAATACTTCTTTCAGGAACCTTGACTTTTTAGTATCTTTATCATTACATTCCGCATCAGTGATCCAATCGTCCCAGCACCATCGAAATTGAAAATTTGATAAATGATGCGAGAACCAGGTAGCAAATCTGACAACACAAGTAACCTCCATATTATCTAGTCTCTCAAATAATAGTTCAGTAGCTTGCGCCAAGACGAGCGGGAATGACGATGGCTGAAGTTTGCAGAGTTCTATGAGTAAAGTACTATAGAAAATTTCGATTCTTTTATTCTTTGGTAGCTCAAATAATTTTGAAAATATCACTTCAACTATAAGATAATTAATGGGAGCTCGCGATCTGCACGTAAATTCACTCAAAGCAGTGGCACAACCTTTTTTGTCAAGATATAACAAGTCTATTATGTAGCTCAGCTGCTCCTCAATAATATATCTTTCAACTGCGTGAGCTCCAGGTAGAACAGGTCCATCGTGAGGCACATCTGTATAATCAAACAAGCGAAATACAACTTTAGGAACTGGATAAATCACATTGTCATTATAGCTAGGCAAAGTGAAATTAGGTAAAGTATGCTGAAGAGCTTCACATAAAATGCTATCAAAAGCTTCGTAAGGTCGAATAATGCTAGCTTCCATCCAATCGTTATTTTCCAAATGTTCAATTTGGGACCATAAGCAATCTAAGTAATCTTCTTGAGCGTGCGGTTCATTAGTTGACCATACTCTTAGAATTTTAAGATGCTCTTTAGATCGTCCATTTAAGTAAAATCTTATCGACTTCAACAAGATAATAAAGTCGCGTTCTTTTTTTTCATAAAGAGCTCTTCCAACCCATGGTATTGATGACATAACATAATAAACAAGCATATCACGATATACTTGAGAAGTTATCGCTTCTGTATTCGCCATGTCGATCCATACCTTGAGAAATGCCAACAAAGACGCTGCGCTAAGAACATGGCAATTTACCAAATCGCTAATGAAACGAACGATACATCTACTACTCTCCCATTGTTGATCTTGCATACAAGTTTTTAGACGCCTAAGAAGAAGCTCCAACATCTCGCCTCCAACAGAATAAGAATTAGCATTTATTAGTCCAACAAGAGTAGAATAAACTGTTCCTTTTTCAGGCATTTCTACAACACAATCTGCCAAAATGCCTAAAATTTCATCTTTATGTTCGGTCATATCCGAATGAAGGACTTTCGATAAAGCTAATAAATTACTCTCTAGAGTTGCCGTACTTTTCTCTCCAATCTTCATAATTAAATTATTCAATCTTTCCTCCACATCTTGAGTTTCACTCGCTTCAGAATCATTTCTCTGACGAGCATAAGCTGCTATAAATAAAACAAATAAAAAACAAATCCTTTTTTGCCGTCATTGAAAGTTAGTATAATTTATAAACTATAAATTAAAGTGTACTAAACAGATTATTATATTTATTAGCCTTGAAAAACTAAACTAATAATTAATATATAGAGAGAAATTAGTCAAAAAGTTTTGAATGTGTAGTATTATAATATATAAATTACTTATCTTTTTTTTAGTTGGAATTTATCAAGTTTACTCATAAAAGTAAAATAATTAAACAATACTTACAGACTTCATCTCTACTGGAGTATCGCTTCCTTTTCATGTTTTTTTATTAATTTTCACTGCAGTTATCTAAATAACGCTAAACTTTTTGTAAAGGAAGTTACAAAATGTCGCGTGGTTGGACATATGCTGAAGTAAGGCTCTCTGTTCAGTAATCAATATTACGCAATATAAATTAACTGATATCGGGAACCAGTCGAAATTCCAAATTTTCCAAGAGCTCAGTTTATATTAGATGACATTGTTAAAGTATTTTTGAATTTGTACTTTATCTGTTTAAAACAGACAAATAATAAAAAGAGATCAATACACATTAGATAATGTTGTATTTGCCTTGAAAAATGCTCTACTTTTCAAACAATATTTATTCATTATTCAACACTTTTTATATGAACTGTGTTTATAACTGATTTCGACATAAAATATACTAATATTCCCTTGGAAGTCTTCTTATATTCGAACGTCTTGTATAAATCGAAAACCGTCTTATAAACCCAAAGTTCAACGCTATTTTTTTTCAATTCGCTTAAATAAGTATTATTGAATACTGATAAAGCTGAACCTTTTTTACATAGAAGTCTTGTAAGGAAAGAAATACTCGAACAACTAAATGTTGCATCCGAACCATTGAAAAATAGATTTGTCGCCGACATTGTCGATAATACAACACCAGAATTGAAATCTAATATACAGCAAGATTTTTCAGAGAAGTACGTAATTAATTTATCACCGTTTAATTTCATATCAATTACACAGCCCCAAGTATTATCAATTTCTGATTTCCATTCAATTTTAAATGGATCAGAGAGTTTTAGAATTGTTGAATTCTTACCAGCCATTTCGCTTGTTAATATAATTCCATTATTCCATCCTGTCATATTACAGTAAAAACTACCTTTTCTAGCAAAACAAAACTCTTTAAAGAGGCACTGATACCGAAGATAGTTCTTTTTTGTTATACTACGTACATATTCTACCATATTTGTTCCAGAATTTAAAATGTAAACTTTATTATTAACCGCAATTTTAAATTGTCGTTCATTTTGACAGATCCACTCGTGTAAATTCTCCAATAGTTCTTCTTCCCAATTATAACGATAGAAATTGTAGCTATATTCGCTATTTGATGGTTTTTCGGTTATTAAATATAAAAAATTATCATAACTTTGCGCTGTGACAATTGTACACGGCTTGGGTATTGAACAAACTTCTGCTTTTACTGTAAAATCCCTTGTTGTAATATTCGTACCAATGTCGATTAGTTTCTCTATTGATTCTTCGGGATAGAAGTCTATCATTCTATGAAGGCATGATATTGCCTTATTGCTTAATTCAATTTTCATTTCCATTTCGCCATCTTCTTCGCTAGAAAAATTATCGTATTCTTGAAATTCGGCTATTATTTCTTCCATTTCATCTTTTTTCTTATCAAAGAACGCTTCAACTTCATTTAACAGTATCCTGTTTCTCTCTGAAATTCTTTCAGCAAGCTTTTCAGTCGCGCAATTAATTTTCTCACAAATAGAATACTCTTCTTGTTCCAAGTTTCCCAAAGATGCAGTAAGAAGTTTCTCAGTATCGCAAAGTACTCTATTTTCAGTATTTTGATAGTTTTCTGTATAGATTTTTCTCCGAATAGGTTTGTCTTCGTCCATATCAAAGAGTCCTAAACGTGGAAATGATCTCACTCCATTTTCTGTCCAAACATGCTCTTCCCGACAGATAGGACAGCAAATAGTATCGCCCGGTTCTGAGTCATTATGTTCAGCTAACATTTCGATACATTCAGTGCAGAAAATATGAACGATATTGCTGCAGGGGAAACATCTCGGTTCTTTTTGAATCCACGTTGCCTTGCATATTGCACAAATAGTTTCCTCCTCCATTAGAACCTGATTCAAGTTAATGTCTTCGTCGTTAGAAGTCATCCTATATTTTTAGTTAGCTCAAACCAGTTTCTGTTTAGTGGAGCTACCCACAATGCTAAGTAACGTTAAAGCTCATAAAGACATTAGAACTAACTCCTTGATTAGTATTCATTGGGTTTAGTAACATTTAACAGCCTTCGGCGTTTGACCTTCAAGTTATTAACAACTCTAATTGAGTTGTATTAAAACGCTCGTTCCCTCAATAAATGACATCCTATTCGTCCTTTTAATCAGCATCATGATTGATATTATTAAAATTTTCAATAGAATTAGGTTTTTATGTATAATATACATATATATTTTTTAATATAACTCAATAATTAATAAAATTTTGACAATTATAATAACAATTTAACAGATTTATAATTTTTCTCAATTAATTATTAAATAGCAACATCAGTTCGTAAATTAATTACAAGTTTAACATCTTCCACTTTTAATTTATTAACACTTAACTCTTTCAGTACATCGCGAAAATTTCCAATCTGAATAGATTCTATAAGTGATAAGCAAGTTCCTTTTGAAAGAGTTAATATTATGCAAGACTCTTTGATTCTGTTAATGAAAAGTTTGACATTGTTAATTTTTAAGTAAATAAATTAAAGCTATATATTCTGTATAATGACCTTTTCAAGAAATTTTCAGGTTTCATTGTATACTGTCCAAATAAGGGAAAAAGATTTCTTGTCATATCAAACTGTAATTGTAACGCTCCACCTTCGTTGAATCTATTCACCATTATAAGCTGGTATTGAAAAGATAAAATGTTTATTATATTAAAGAAAAGAAGTTATCGGGAAAAAAGACTCCCGGTGATTGTATATTTACATTTTCAAAAAAGTAAATATCTAATTCTTCGGCTACGTTTATCCAAAACTTTTCAAAAACTGTCCTATTCAGTAAGTCGTTCATGTTATGTAAATGTTCTTTTAATACCAACAACGTTTCGCAAGCGCTAACCGACAGAGAGGGATTGATGTTGTATTCCTTAACTGATTTTAAAGTTATCCAACTGAATTGTGATAATAATTTTAATTCTTTATGAAAAATAATATTAAAAAAACAATCAACTAACTTAACATGTCTGTAGGGTTTGCTTATATTTCTTACATCATCTATAACGTGCGAAACGCAGGCAGATGTCATATCATTGACCAAACGTTCAAACAGATCAATAATTCCATCAAAAATTGAATTATTTTCTTCTTGATTAAACACGTTTTTCAGGGCGTTACGTCGACAATTTTCTTCGTGAATATCTTGGAAAAACTAAAATGTAAACAAACAAAAAAAAAAACAAGAAATGTTTTATGTTCATTAAAAAAATCTGTAAACTTAAAAGGATTGTTTACCATTAAATCAGACCATTCCTTTAATACTTGGCTAACATAGAAAACAGTATTCAGAATTGCGCACATTTGTCCACTAACTGGGTTATTGTCAATTTGTGCTTTTATCTTGAAAAAGGCACAGAATAAAAACTTAAAAAATGAAATAAAGAAAAACAAATTACTTGTATTAATCTGATTCTAAAGTCATCCAAAAGTTGCAATTGCAAACTTGCAAACTTTAATTTTACTGACATATTATCAACAGATTTGTATCGATCTATTATTTAGAAAGAAAAAAGCATATATATTAATAAAAATTTTACTTAAAGATTGTTTACAATGAACTAATGAATTACCTGTCATAGTTAGCATTAAGTTCATAAAATTTTCAGCACACTCAGGAACTTTGCCTTCGTCTATATTCTCTACGTCTTTATACGACGATATCCAAGCCGTTTCACTCGAAAGCATTTTATCCATCTTTTCTTTGGCAACTGATAATTTATACGTTAAAGGATATTATTTTTATATTCATAATTACAACAATATTTTTCCATACTCACATTTACTTTCCAAAAGTAACCACTTAGAATTGACTGATTGAGTTGCTATGACAGTCACCATTGAGGGCTGTGAAAATGGGTAGGCAAAATTCCTACGTAATTCTTTATCGAAAGATAAAACCTATATGGAAAATTTAAATGAACATAAACAATTAAAGAATTCAATCTAAAAACCTCATCAATCATATGAGCGAAATTATATTCATCGTACATAAGTTCATCAACATCTCCAGCTAATTTTTCCATAGCTTGCAAAACTAAGCCTCGACTCAATTCGTTCTATTACGTCATTAGTCATATTAGTACAAAATAGTTTTGAATGATCATCGAACAATAATTATACATACAACAGCGCTAATATTCTTTAATCCACTCCTATCGAAAATTGGTTGTATCGTTTCTCTCATAAAATCACGATGATCTTTAATCCAATTGAGTGTTTGGGTTAAATACCATTCAGGCTAAAGTAAAATAAAAAAAAGAATAATAATGTTGATAATCATACGAATAATAATAAAATGATTACCTTCTCTAAACAATTTGTTTGTTTACCACCGCAGAAATGATACTTGAATCGTTTTCTTAAAGGCTTCAACATAATTTGAACAGGCATGAGAATGGGTGTCCACTTTAATTCATTCAATAAAGGAGCATTCGTTGGTAAAACTCCAGTTAAATTGGCAGTAAGATTAGGTTAAGGATATTACACAATATTTAACTTAAGAATTTATACTAAATTAATACGCTTAGTACTTTCAATAATACTATTAAAGACAAAAGGATATGGCATCTTCAACTTTCCAATCTGACTGATTAATGGCTCTAATTTAGACTTTATTTCGCTTACGTTAGCTGGTAACTTTTCCTCTATTTGCTTGATTACTTTGGGCCATCCGTAATACTTTAAAGGCTCTTCCATTAATCTAAAACCATATTTATAGTCAACAACAATGGTAGTTCTTGAGTAGTAAACTTACAAACTGAAACGCTCCTTTATCATCTTGTACCAATGAAGTATGCAATCGTTCATAAATTCTACTAAATATGAACATCTTATATTCTGATAAGAAACAATGAATTCTCCAAGTTCATTAAAATGAGTTATAGCCTTATCATAATCCGATATAACCATCGCAGAATGTATATCTGAACTATAAACGGTTTATTTCAATTAATCATCCAATACTTACATTAGACAATTTTACTTGCCTGAATTCAATTACTCTTGTCAGTGTATCCATATACGATTGCCTATTTTCGAAAAAAAGCTTACGTTGTCTGGCTAATCGTACTTCCTCACTTTGTTCTGTATTTTCAACCTCGTTCAACAGATCTGGGTATTCATTTTGAAGACTTTCAACCTAGAAAGTAGTATTTTCAAGGATTTACATTCGGTTTTTTAAATAAGTATAAATGAAATGTTAAATTTGAGTTAAAAAATCTTATAGTGAGCGATAACATATGAAATTGACAATAAAATGAAAAAATCTCTTTTATACCTCTTTTTGTAACTCATTCCTTTTATTGCGGTTGATTTCTAAACATTTTTCAGCATTTCCTAAGTCATTTATACCCTGAGGGAAGGCAGCGTTTAATATTGAAGCAATTTTTGATAATTCGATTTCTTCTGACATCATCGATTGTGCGAAATACAGCAAAAGCAGACTAAAATATTTAACAGTTTTCTTTAAATAAATACTTCCAAATGTTCAAAGTTATACGTTTTATGTTTCAATTTTCATATATTTTTCCAAAAGTGTTTAACTTTTTTTAAGGTCCAAAAATGATATAACACTTGGTTTTAATTCATGATTATGATTACAAAATAGAACAATTTGTTAATCAAAGAAAAAGTTATTTATAGCGATTTGTTTCCGATAGACAAACAATAAAAAAATATGATTTATTTATCACTTAACCTGAAATGTGTTATCAAAGTATGATAGTATTTAAACATCTTATTACAATAATAATTAGTTAGACGAAAATGGATATTAAGTGTCTATAGGCTTCGAAGTTGAAGGATTTAGATATTTATTCATAGTTGATTGCTCTAAGATTTTTTTGGAAAGAGGTCAGGCACTAACTCAATATCTTCTTGATATTTTTCCATAAAGAAGTCTGCAAGCTCTTCCCTTCCGATGGAACGAAGACCTCTCTCTAATTCTCTAGCTTTATCTCTTTTTTTCATAAGAAATGAAAAATATTGAATATTGAATTGCTTAAATTAAATTATATATATTTTTAAACCTGTCTTTTGCAGAAGCTCTCATAGTTCGCCAATAAAGTAACATATTAGCAGCAAATTCTTCGTCTTCTTGTTCTTTTTCGCAGGCCGAGACAGTGTCCTTAACCAATTTGGTTGTTGGAACATTTAGATACATGCATAATTTCACTGTGTCAACTACACCCAACTCTCTTCCCATATTCATCACTGAAGATATGCATAAGGCCAATTTTTCTTTTTTGACAACTGTAAATGAAAATTACAAGTTTATAAAATATCATTAATATGAAGATTTTAAAAAGAGAATATTCAGAATGAAGACAATAACAGAAGATGAAATTATTTTATAGAGATAGAAATGTCAGATATAACTTGTTTTCTTTCTAAAGACCTCTTTCTCTGTAAAGCTTTTGCCAGTTTTCTTCATCTCGGGTTGTTGCAAGAGTTACCTTCTTTTTTTTGCTCATGCTCATGATGATGTTTGTAGTTTATAAACTTTAGCCTAGCTGTGTGTGGCTGCCTATTCCCTTACATAAACTCTTTAATAAAGCTATATCAACAAAACCCCCTAACCGATCTATGACAAACAATAGGCGGCTGTCACGGTAATATCGAACCCCATTGTTTGTCATTGTCAGAGCGTCACCTAGCGGTTACCGGAAGGTCCGGTATTGTCATTATCCCCTTGAACTACGATTGCAGGAATATCGTTAAACGTGACATGTTTTCTATTCGAATCGCTGGGATGTGTCATTACTCGATCTTCATCCGAACGACCGATAGGTTCTAAACGTCCTTGCGTTGTAAAATATGACAAGCCATCCATTCCTATATCATTAGGTAATCTACTTCTGAGCGTTTTTTCATAGTTATTATTATTCTTTTTAACTTTCCGACACTTTTTAAACTTGAATTTAAATTAAATGACAAATTCAGAAGCCTTAACTTACTAGGTTGTTCAATTTCGCCCATTTTATCCAAAAATGAAACTATAACTTAAGCTCAACAAGTAGACTGAATTGGTTGTCAAGCAATAGGCCAATGAAGGCCTGCTTAAGCACATAAGACGAAATCAATAATAATATTTATTAAGGCCTTCAAAGTGATGCTAGGAGACTCTTCATAATTCATAATTAATTAGCTTTATCGATTCTATGGTAACTCTTTTGAAAAAATGATAAATATTTCTTATATCCTAATGGAAAAGTCGTATAAAACTGTATAAACTAGAAAAGAGCCTTTCCCCCGAAGATTTACCTCTAAAATCTTGAAAAAATTGAATATTTTTTACGTTGAAAATCGTAAAAACGCGTAGGAAATAGAACGGAAAAATTAAAGTTTCCGGAGAAATTTAATTGCATCCGGTCTTTGGGATATTTCTTTTTTATGTTCCGCTATTTGAATTATTGTAAAATTTATCATTTCCTTAAAAATGTGATCAAACATTATACTATAATTATGTCTTTAAAGAGCATTATTCCAGCTTTTATTGCTTTCAAGATACAAACAGTATAAGAACTGAGACATAAAGAATATATTTAAAGAACAATACTCGAAAGAGTGACTACTTTTTCAGTCATTTCAACATTATGAACACCCGGTTTTTGTAAAATTCTCAATTTTTCATTTTCCCACCAATTTTTAAGATAAATTGAATATTTCTTCTCATTTGGAAAGGAAAAAGAGCACAGTTTATGATTTTTAACTTCAGTTTTGCTTTCACATCGTCTTCTTGCGAATAAACTAACATTGATTTGTACAACTTTTAAAGGAATGTCTTCAAGAGTCTTTGTAGCTGCAATAATATCATCCCCCGTTTTGTAAACGATTGGAAATCCTAAGAGTAGACCGGCTGCATAGCAGTGATCTTTTAAGATATCTATATCTTCTATTTGTAAGCAAACTTCTTCAGATTGAAAATCATTCAACAAATTAACAGTCTTAGCCTTATAGAAAAGGTTATTATAATTAGGGCATGTAATGTAAGTATCATTTTCAATAGTAAACGTATTCAAGGTAGAATTGCTTAAGTAATCAGGATTGATTGAGCAATAATCAATCAAAACTGATGGTCTCAATTCTAATAAGACGCAATGAATATCTAAAGAGAATTTTAACCAGTTTTTGGCCTTATTACCAATCACAGTTCTCCATCTATTCTTCGAACACTCAAAACAAAGTGAAGTTGAATCGGAATGTCTAGCTTTTTTCTTGCTCATTTTCTTCTTTCGAAACGAGGAAAACTCTTCTCATGCGTAATATTTTATCTGTGGTATATTTTCCCTTTAATTCAACTTGCTTATTGTCAAATTCACTTTTCTCAAGCAACAACTGCGTGCCAACAGAATCTTCGTATTCCCCCTCAAATGTATAGTTATCAATCTATTCCAAAAGAAAAATTCCATTTCAATCATCGAAATTAATAAATTAAGCTTAATTATTGTGAAATCTAGCTTTGCCTATTAAAAGATGGAATAAGGATGAGAAAATTTCGCTTATCTTACTTGTAAATAAGGTCTGTCTGTTTCGATTCCTAGAATTCTTATGAAACAATTTTTTAAGCTGTCTAAATTCCACTCAAAGCCGTCCAAAACCCCTTCAATTTTAACAAGAACTAATTCCTCTTCGTATTCCTCTTCAACGTTTTGTGTTTCAGAATTTTCGGTCATTCTACGGTCTGTTTTAAGATAAAAAAGTCTCAATTCTTTTATTCTAACCTAAGAGAATTAATGTATTCAAAACTTGACTTTTTTAAAGATGATAGCAAAAACTATACATATATACTTTTATACTAAAATATACTAATATATATATTTATATAAAGGAGTATGAAGACAATATTTAGAAGAGTTGTCTTTCAGTTTTTCGCTTTTTTAAATAATTCGGTGATCTCTTAAGCTTTCCATCTCCAGATGACATTCGTTATTGTCATCAACCTTCTCACCTCTCTTATAACAAAGATCATAGATCTCTTCGATAACGTGAAGCAAATTTTTTCCGATTTGTATAATATTTTTAAAAACGAAGACGCTAAGGGCACCAAATCCCTGATGGAATAGAATAATCCTCTGGATGAATATTGGTATGTTTAAAACCAAATTGTAAACGGCTGTAAGTATTGTAGCTGTTCTTGAACTTTTTCCAAGAAGAAGTAAATGAAAAACTGGTAAAATTAAAGTAACGCAAGCTATAGCAAGAACTGCGTTTGCCTGACGAAAAGATAACATATAGTTGGACCCTTCAAGAAGAAAGTTTAAGTTTATAGTTCCATCAATCATATCAATTGCGCCTGAAAATACCAAATCTTCATATTTTAGGACGGCGGTTGAGTAAAGTACAAAAATAGCTGATGATCCTGCTAGCACAAGTACAATGTTTGATTGTTGGAAGATACCCTTAAGCAGATCTACATTTTCATCTAATGCAAGCAAAACTCTAAAAATATAAACAGTTTTTATAACTATAACAGCAATATATAGGCACCATATGACAAAAGAAGAGGAATTTTTACCAATTTTTTTGAAAGGTAAATAAGGCCTAATGACAAACATTGCAACGAACAGTATCAAAGTTAAACAATCAGGAACTAAAGTTATATACCACAATTTTTTATGGGTTATGAGGATATAGTTTAGGTACACAGCTTGTAAAATGTATAATATAGAACACACGACTGCAGAAGCAATTGCTTTCCACGTTTTTTTCAAGGATAACATAATGTTGTCTAAAAAAGGACAAGTTTGTATAACTTACTCAGGTTAGGCACAAGTCTTCTCAGGGTTCCTGTTCCACCCCGTTTTAGATACGATAATATTTATAACATGACATTAACAACAGTGATAAAGAATTTTCGAAGAAGTCGAGTATGTTGACTTTTTTAAAATGGCTGTTTGGGGTTGTGAAACTAGTAGACATATTTGAGTAACCAAGTCAAACTAAAATTATATAAATAAAGAAAATTTAGTATAGAGCAGTAACTTGTACATGTTAATCAAAATGTCAATGTCATATTAAGTCCTTTACCACCATAACGAAAAACTTAAGTAATCATCAATAATACGCGATCAAAAAACAAATTCAACCAATCACAATCCACTTTACAATCTTTATCAACGCCTTCCAACACGTCACATAAATTTACTTGCTTTTGGTAAATTCTCCTGCATTGCGCGTTGAGACAAACAAATATGGATCAAGAATATGATGTTATAGTTTTGGGAACAGGGTTAAAGGTAAGCTTTACTGATGCATAGCGAATTTTTTTAGCTAGCAATTCATTATTATAATTCTCCATATAATTAATTGTTCACATTTTATCTCATAATTTTTTTTGCTTTCACAGGAATGTGTGATTAGTGGACTTATGTCTGTTAGTGGAAAGAAAGTATTACACATGGATAGAAACAGCTACTATGGAGGGGAATCGGCGTCCATTACGCCCTTAACTGATGTAAGTTTAGAGGAAATGAGATAGGAATTACACCAAAGAATATTACTTAATAGTTTTAATTTTGACGCTAACTCTAAGAAATCATCTAATTTAGGCTTAATTAAGGTTGTTATCCAAAATTTGGCGCAACTTTGCATATTTCCTTGTCAACTTATTGTCAAAAGTTCTCCTTCAAATATTTCAATTTGCTTTACATAATACTATACCAAGAATTTTTTTATCCAGCTGTTCAAACACTTCAAGAAAGATGAGAAACCTCCAGAAAATTTTGGTCCATTTCGTGATTGGAATGTTGATTTAATCCCAAAATTCATCATGTCGACTGGTAAATTGTTATTCATATCTCTATGATTTGTTCTAACGATTTTATTGATTACAGGTCAACTATCAAAGCTCTTGATACATACCGGTGTAACTCGCTATTTGGAATTTAAACAAATCGAGGGTAGTTATGTATTCAAGGGTAAAAAGGTCTATAAGGTACCCGCTACCGAAACGGAAGCTTTAGCAACGAGCCTGATGGGAATTTTCGAAAAGAGAAGATTCAAGAAATTTCTCTCGGTAATTATAATTTTATAGCTAGTTTGGTAATATTATAAACTTTTGTACTTGTAGTTCGTCGCTTCTTATAAGGAAGATGATCCTAAAACGTGGGATGGCTCAGATTTACAGAAAATGACGATGCAGGAGTTATTCACAAAATTCGGATTGGACAGTAACACTGCCGATTTTACTGGGCATGCTATGGCACTGCATACTGACGACAATTATCTTAGAGAGCCAGCTATTCACACAGTCAAGAGAGTCATCTTGTACTGTGAGTCGTTAGCAGCTTTCAAAAAGTCTCCATACCTTTATCCTTTGTATGGTTTGGGAGAGTTGCCCCAAGGATTTGCGAGATTGAGTGCCGTGTACGGTGGCACATACATGCTGAACAAACCCTGTGATGAAATCGTATACGATAGCGAAGGAAAAGTTTGTGGTGTTAGAAGCGGTGATGATATTGCTAAGTGCAAGAAGGTTGTGTGCGATCCATCATACGTTCCTGACAAAGTTCAAAAAGCTGGACGAGTGGCCAGGATTATATGTATCATGAATCACACAATTCCCAATACCAACAACAGCACCAGTTGTCAATTGATTCTGCCCCAAAATCAGCTCAACCGAAAGCACGATATCTACGTTTGCATGGTTTCCAGCGTCCATAATGTAGCTCCGAAGGACTACTATGTCGCTATGGTTTCAAGTATGGTTGAAACAAATGATCCTGAATGTGAATTGAAACCTGGTTTAGATCTGCTGGGCCCTATTCTGAGGAAGTTTGTCAGTATTTCAGATGTTTACGAACCTAAAGACGCGGGAGAAGAGAATGGTCTTGTTATTTCTAAAAGCTACGATGCCACAACGCACTTCGAAACGGCTTGTCAAGACATTTTGAGCATGTATAAGCGAATAACAGAAAAGGAGTTCGACTTTTCCCAGATTAAAGATAACATTCATACTGAAGAATAAATTCTAACCCTTAACTAATTTTAGGCAACTTAAGCCATATAATTGTGTAATGCTATGTACTATGAATGTTGCTGCATGCGTTAGATGGGAGTTATTTCGTTCAGTTAATTAAAATTAATCATTCCGACTCATTTATAGAAATAACTGTGCTTTATCTTGAATGTGTATAAATAAAACAGCGAAGCATTTACGAACTAAACTCGAAACCCTTCGTCTTCAAATCATTCTTGGCTTCGCGAATTTGCTGTCATATAATAAGTTTATTATTTCATTTGAAAAAGTAGATAAAAACGAACCTGCTTCAATTCTTCTGAAGCATCCACACAATCGTTAAATGTAGCTACGCGATAGGCAACAACTCCGGCTGAAAATACCTAAAAAGAATAAGCAATTAAAAATAAATATATTTCTCGTTTTGTTTAAAATTCTCTTACCGCAAATCCGATACCTAGTAGAATGGGCGACTGCAAGAGATCATAAATATAATTAATACTTAAGGTTAGAAAAACGACCATAGACATGGTACGAAAGTAGTTTACAGAGAGATGTGAAAAATAGAAAGAAAGTCTTGGAGGGGATGTCGAGCATATTAAAAAAACTAAACTTTCACTTTTAACAGCCTGTAGATTTATTACCGTGATTAGAACATTTAGAATTACTCTTGCAAAGAGTGAAAGTCAAGTTTAACAAAACCGTTTGTAGAAGTAAGCACTCGAATGGAAAATTAACATCCGCTAACCTAAGGATATACTAATGAAACGACTTTTCCCGACAATGACAGGTATTAAAAAGGCTTTACTTCCCGCTTAGGGGTGTTAACACTTATATGGCTCTTTCTAATGGGTGACCGGGATAATTTTATTATTCACTCTAAATCACTAGGAATAGTAACTATAAAAGGAGTTGCATCCAGCAGTCGGATGCAGTGGAAAAAAGAGAATTATACTAACTAGAAGTAAAACATTTCTGGTGTTGGAATTCATTTCAAAAGGTGTTTTTTCGAATAATACAGCCAACCAGAGAGTTAGTATAGCCGATACCAAAGTTATCCATTCAAGTAATTTCGACATTATTATTATTTTTATCGGGTAAAAGGAACCAATCGAATCTTTGCAATATATGAAATAGTTTTGAAAAACAGTACAGTAAGTTATTTTCAAATTTTCAGAAAGTACTACCAATCACATCAAGTTTTAAATTAAACTATATTAAATTTTATTTTATTCTTTTTTAGATGTAGTAAACTTTACAAAACGTCAAAAGCTCCACGCAAGAAACTTTCACCGGTTCAAACCGATTTCAGACCGGTTAATACCGGCGACATGCGCCCCCTGTCCAGAGAGTCTGTGACACTTTACTTTCACTGCTTAACTTTTAACCTTGCTATTTCATTGAAAATTTACACGTGTTTTTCCCTTTCTGCTGAAATTGTATGTGTTACGTAATTAAAATTATGTAACCCAACGAATTGCTTTCCTTTCTCAAAAACTCCCTCTAGTCAGTCGGCGTCTGGGAGCCGAAACGTTCGAACCTCCTACTTGAAAACGTGGAGACGTGGACAGCATTTGGAAAGATACTTCGTGCTTTCACTAATGGCACTATAAGAATTCGCGTTAAACATTCGCGAATTCCTATATGCCATACGTAAAAGGTGCGACTAAACTGCAATTTTTACTCCAAAATAGGTAAGAATTCTCAAAGCCATTTTGAGTATTTCGAGTTGATAGAATAAAAATGACATAGTTTTAAACCAAGTATTTAAAACTATTTATACCTCTATATAAATTTCTTAAATGTTACATTTTACTTTTAAAACTACAAAATATTATTAGATATTAAAAAAGTTAGGGCGGGCCACGTTCTGACCCTTCAATGAACCTTGAAAGGCGTCTTAATCTATAGCTAACGATATTCGGTGTACATTTCTAACTAACAGTCAGCAGTTAGTTTGCGATATTTGTTCTCTATTCTTAACTAATAGCCTATTTACTTTATTACATAACGCATTCCTTGTTACAACAATCCTATCTGATTCATTTCGTTTAAAAGACTCGAGTTACAGAGAAGTATTAGGGTATTTGCAAATGTAGCCTTTTCTTAACAATAACGCCATAAACGACAAGGTTTACTTTACTTTTCACAACCTTAGAATGCTAAGCAGTTTCTTTTTCTTCTTCCAAATTCATTAGAATTGTAAGGGCAAATAGTTCAATTTAGTAAATATTTGAAATTCTTTAAGAAAATAAGGTACCAATCAAATTCTAATCAACGTTATACAAACGAACGTTTTAATTCACCTAGACATCTGCTAGGGAGACGCTTTGAAAATGGTCATTATGTAATTCTTGAATTAAAGCTTTTCTTGTAATTAAATTCCTCAAATGCATAAAAGAGTTCAATTCAATACCTGGATAATTTTGAATGTCTTGGTGACAAAATGTACTTAACGTCAAGCTGTTTTAAATTTCAAGCTATATGATAACCGTGTATATTAAAATTTAAGAAAAACCCAATTAATTTAATGGCGGATACTCGGCGAGTTGGCCATTTCGTTGACAAGGGTGAATTATTTAAACAGAATCGCATGTCAGAATTACGTAAAAATCTGCTTAAGTCGAAAAATATGTATAGATTAATAGATAATCAGGCTATAAAAATAAATCACGAATTAATTGAAATGGGTCATCGTCTATTCGATATTAAATCCAAAATCGAGCTGGCAGGGAAAGATATAGACCATTTTAGAAGGGATAATACATCTGTAAGGAATGCTAATTTTACTCTTACGCGTGAAAGAAATGCTTTGAAACGTGAATTGTATAAAATGGAAAGAAACGGAATTGCAATATCGAGTTTTAGAAAGGATTTATTAAAGAACGGTGTAGACAATTATGAGGCTGGCGAAAATTATGATTGATTACAATTTCCATTCATCGGTTTAACTTTTCTCAGTTCGGCATGGATCAATTTTTCGATTTCTAAATATTCTTTCGGTTTAACATACTGAATATGTAGATAAAGCTATTATATGCTTACTATGTAATATTGCGAAATACTACCGATATTATCAGTGTGTTGTTTGCATGTGCTAATTTAAGACATTCTTGATTGAGTGGTATTCCAACTCTTAGCATATCAGTTATCGAAAACTTCTTAAAATATCTGAAAGACATTGCAAGTTACATAAAAATATATTGGAAAGATGTTTGATTTACTTTTTATTGGACGTACGAAGGGTAATCTCCTTTTGATTATCATTCACTCTGCAATCGTAGACATCGAGAGGATATGGTAAATTTCTAATTCTCCACTGAAAGGCTTCTTTTGTGTCTTGTCTTAAAAAGACCGGCTGCATGAAACTGACCATAATTTCTTCACTTTGTATGCTTCTCATTGCCTGACTTTCACCAATTTCGTATTCCCATTTCCTTTCACCCGTTAGAGATCCCGGTTTTCTGATCTTTCTTTCTGTAGTTCGTTAAAAACTATTCTATTTAGAGCTATTTTATTTTCAATTCACTTCATTACCAATTAAACATTGTTTCCTTTTATCGTAGTCTTCCGCTATCTCCAAACCATTTTTAAATGAGAAATGAAACTTATACCTACCTGAAAAATACCCAATACTTATTATCGTTCTATACAGACTAAACTATATATAGTTTTTACAAAATTAGGCGATATATCTCCAAATATCGAATTAAATTAAATAATTATATAACATTAATAAATTCATGACGTACAATCTTGAATTAAAAGTGTTTTTTCAGCATCTCGAATTTGAGAAATCCAATCGTTCGTTACTGAATTTTTGGACATCGTAACAATTCTGAATAAATTTTCAGCGCTAGAATTTTTTTTCGAAAATGTTGGTTTCCCTGGAGATATATCTTTATTAATTAGGCATAGCTTTTTTTTAATATAAAGTTATAAATGTATATATATTAATTGAGTATGAAGGATATACATGTATGATAACTTGTTTTATTTATGATTTATCGATTTTTAGAAAAGGACAAAAAAGGAATTATATATAAACTATACAGATGTTGTGTCTTTTCACAGGAAAATGCCCTCAAAGCATGTCAATAGCTTTAAAGGTTTTTCCTAGCATTCATCATGCTATTAACTTCCCATATGAATTTTCTTTCCAAGTCAATAATCTTTTTCAGCTCTTCATTTTTCTTTCTTATTTGCTGTTTAGAGGAATAAATATGTTATAAATAAATAAATTAATAAAATAAAACTATTACTTGAATTAAACGATCTTTTTCCATTTTTTTACTTTCCATCATTTCAAAGTCATCTCTGAATTGTTGATCCTAAATTAGACAAAAAATAATAGAGAGTTCACATGGAATGAGTCAAGTATTTCAGGTATTCTTTTAATTTTCTACGGAAATGCATTAAAAACATTCCAAACTATCAATTTAATTACTCCATTACAAAACAAAAAGATAAAATCAAGGGAAATAGATAATCTGATTAGATCTATAATATCTTTTCTTTCTGAATTCATTCTTTATCAGCATTTACACTAGTTTTGAATAGAGCTTTTATCTTGGAGAAAGTTTCTCTTTTATCAAATAGAATAACAAAGAGGGGAGTTGCTTTTACTTGGGGCAACAATACTACAAAAACAACTAAAATTATACCTGAATGGAAAGCGGAGGCATATTTCTTGTTTCTTCTTCAATTTTATCATAATAAACTTTCACGCGCCTCATCATTCTCGATATATTTTGAATAGTATCGACACATTTTCGTTTTCGTTCATCGAAAGCTTGTACAGTATTCATTAAATTTCCAATCGGCAACTGAGCGATAAATAGTTAATTTAAAAATATAGTGATTTCAGTAAATTTAATAACATACTGGTGTGTTCCCAATAAATTTAAACATTTCGAATACTTTAGTGAGACAATCACTGACAGTATCGTGGGAAACTTTGCAACATGATATAAGGTTTTGCTCGCTTAAAGCCAGAGGAGCAGTCATCTTTAAAACTGGTGGTCAAATTGATGTTTTACCTAATTTGATGAAATAAGTTGATAGTTCTGAGATATTTGATTTGCGCTATCAAAGTTTAATATTCCTTAGACCCACTTTTAAAAGCGATAACTGAATATTTAAAGCTTTTTTCTAAAATAATTTGATTTAATCATATATAAAGAGTTTCTCTTTTCTGTTAAATACATCTATTATCACTCATGGCGCAATCCGATTCTAAAAAAGTGTTAGAGTATGAACACTTTTTGAATAATAAATTACGCGAAGACTTGAGGTTAGTCGCCGACTAAACATTCAAAAGTTATTTTATAATTAATAATTCTATAGAGTAACTTTAGAAAATCGCAACAAAATTCTATTTGACATAGCTGAATACTTGGAACTAAAGACGTTTGTAGAAAAATTGCTTATCAACAATGACGAGAAAATAACAACCAAACTTGATTTGGGTTGTAATTTTTATGCTCAAGCTGTTGTGTATGTATTATTAAGATTATTATTAATTATTTTTGGCTTTGAATAAACTTTTCTAACGTTAAAAATTTTTAACTTTTCAGAAAAGATACAAAGAAGATTTTTATTAGTATAGGATTTGGTTTCTTCCTTGAAATGACCCCTGAAGAAGCATTAAAATTTATCGATGAGAAATGTACATATTTAAATGAACAATCGGATTTATTAAGTAAACAATGTATATCAATAAAAGCCAGAATAAAATTAGTGTTGGAGGTATATTTTAATTATTTAAAGAGAAAACCATTATATAATCTTCTTTCTATATTTTCAGGGACTACGCGAATTGCAAAATATAAAGTAGAAAAACTTGTAAAAAGCTATATTTTTCAATTGAATTTATGAAAGGTTTAAGTTAATAAATTACTATAAATTTCTCATGGGAGACTGTATTTTTAAGATATTTATTAATTATGTAACATACATTTTCAGCCAATAAAACCAAAGATTAAACTAAATAAAAGCTTGTCGAAACAGTTTGATAGTATTCAAATTGTATATTTACCTTCTTCATCTTATCAAAAGTTTAACGTTAATCTATTATTTATAGCCCCAATCGAGACGCGAATAAATGTAAAGAGAAAAGGAATCAAATGTACAACTTTTATTTAAAAAACTTTCTCTCTTTGTCTGTTTCTCTCCCTCTTTCTCCAAAAAACGACTTGACAAATGGACTAAAAATTAACCTAAATATAGGCTAAATTGTTTATATATATGTTATTCAAAAACGTAAACAAATCAATAATTATTTAAAAAAAAACAACAACTTTTTTTACCGATATTCCTATTAAAATCACCTTTAATTGATAAAAATTCTAAATTGAAAGTATACATCTGACACTAGAATTGGACTTTTTTTTTTACCTAATTATTATTCATGAAAGTAAAGACTTGCAAATTTCGACAGTTTAGAAGAAAAGTTAGTTGGTTACTTTAAGATTACGGGAATAAAGTCAGTGAAAGACAACGTTGAAAGCGTTGTCTCTTAGTATGGAGATGACGGTTGAGGCAGCAAATGTCCTTCCACGGATGAAAGCAGAGAATAATCAACCGTTTCATTTTATTGAGGCTTTTGGAGCTAATTGCGTATCTGTGTTAGCAATTTGTTGTGCGGCTTTCTGTGATTTGATGCCAGATTTTCTCTATTGTCCTTGTTTATGCTGTTCTGATGACGTGGATGATTTATCCCAAAACTCGATTGTAGACAACTGTACACCGCCTAGACAAACCTCAAAAAAGTCAACCCTTATATCACAAACAGAGGTTAAAGACTCTTCTGTTGTTACAATATCACCAAAAAAAGATCAACAATCTTTCACTTTGTCACCACAATCCTTCAGGGTACCGGTTATGCCCTTATCTCCAAGTAAAATTTTACTGTTGAAACCGTTCTCTTCAACAAAGACTATTATAACTAATAGTCCTTATTCAACTCCTCCGCAAGTATCTTCTACGAATTTAAGTGAAAGGCAAAAAAAAGAAATAAAGAAATCTCTAGAAAATAGGCATATCAGATTAAAAAGAGTCTTAAGGGAACCGGTTTTATTTTCTATAGAATCAGTTATCAAGGGAAATAGAACTAGAAGTCATAAGAGATTAAAACGTTTCACCCATAACTTACAGTGATTATATAATATGCAAATTTTCTGTGTCTTAAATTTGCATATATAAATAATATTTGACTATTAATTAGTTATAATTTTTTGTATTATATTGTTTTTACTTATATTTTATTAGTTTTAATATATGTTTATATATATATATATATATATATATATATAACATTTTATGTTTGAAAACAATGTCTCTTTAACTGGATCTAGGCCTAGGGAAGGATTGTTTGTAAAAAAAATAAATATAAGGCAAAATCCATTATTAATTGTTAAGTTCGAACTGCAGTACTTTTGTAGGTGGAATTTCCAGTTCTTTATTAACCTGATAATAAACATTTTTAGAAGAAGTTATAAATAAAGAAACAAGAGAAATTTACCTTGGAATTAACATATTGATGTAGTAGCATCCTCAATTCGGCATTCTGCTGGCGTAACGAGTCAGTTTCCGTTAATAAATTAGCTCTCGAAGCCAAGACATCACTAAAAATTTGTGTCTAAAATTTCATTTTAAAAGCTTAAGGGTTTCAACTTACTGATATTTCTCTAAGCCTTGAGATAGAGCGCTCCAGATTTGTTTCTTTTCCTCCGTTAAAACAGCAGGATATGACATCCAATACTTCTGATCTTCGCTAGCGTCTCTTTCTTTTAGAGAAGCTATTTCAAATTCAGCCGATTTTACAACCACTCTATTAAGATTATCATTGATTAATATTGTTAATTAACAAAAATAAACAGAATGGTTATTACTTTGCTTGCTGTCTATTATCCTCTACAAACTGTCTTAGAGCTTTCAAAACTAAATTTGGATGAATAAGAGTATCTTTAGATTGCATATTTTCGCTAGAAGTTTCGTCCTCCATATCTCCTTCCTCTACTCCTTCATCTGGTTCTTCTTCCTCTCCTCTCTAAAATATATTAATATATTATTTAAAACAGCTGCTAATTAATATTATTTACCTCTTCATTTTGGTTCTCGTTTTGATCTTCTTTCGGTTCAGTTATATGAACAAAATACTTCGAGAGAACATCAACATCATCAGCAGTATCAACTTTTAGTGCCTATTTTGAAAATGATTTGTTTTCTGTTAGTAAAATCTAAGATCTATTTAAGGTAAATATTATCAATCTTACGCTAAATATGGAGTCTAACTTCATTAAACATCGCTCATTTGCCTCCAAAGGCTCTAAAAGTCTATTCAATTTCTCTTCGATCAAAAATCCTGATTCGTCACATAATAATTCGAGTATTTTCTTTATTAAAACTGGCGGGAATTTTTCTAAAATAGCTGATTTCTTTCGTTCCCACTCTTCAGATGCTCGGGATTGATCTTTAATAAAATGATCTCTTTATATCATAAAAAATTAATAAAGACTAAATAATGTTTTATACTTGTTGAAAGAATTTCTTCAGCAACTTGATGTGCTGTAATAGTATTTTTTTTTCTCTGTTCTTCACTTGCCAAAGGACCAATATTCTCTGTAAAAGCTCTGCCGAAATATATAAATTTGGTTATTTTTAATACATAACTTAAGTTAACAAAGAAGCACTTACATATCGGAAACTGGCCATGCCATACCTAATTGCTGTTCGTGTATTAATTTATCGCATTCCAATACTTTATTTAGATAGTCTTTAGCCTCATTTTCATTCATTATCCAAACATCCCTAAACTTTGCAGCATCAATTCCAAGAAAATGTCTGAAAGAAGTTATTAATAGAATGATGACTTTCTATAGAAATCTTAAATTTAATCATATACCTGGATTTCTTCTGTAATTCCTTAAACTGATCAGTTAATCTTTTATAATCGTCTGTTAAATTTGCATTTTCATCTCTATGTACGTCATTTTTCATTATTAAATAATATTTTTAATATATTAGAATAACAACGAACTTGTATTGCTTTTCCTGCTTAGCTAATTTTGCTTTAAGATTCGTAAGGACGTCTTGCAATCTAGTGATTTTTCTTTTCTGTTGAGATTTTGTTATAGTGTTTTCTTCATCTCTCTTACGCAAGACTTGAAAGTTATATTCAAGCTTCTCTTGATTTAGTTGGTAAGTGGCCCTCAATTGTTGAAGTTGTTGTTCAGCGTTCTGAACGTCAGTCTCTAATTGAATTTTTACCTAAAAATGATAAAATTTATATAAGTAATTTCGTTTTTAAGAGTTAGTAAACATTCGGAATTCAGACTTTGTTGTATTCTTCAGCATCGGCAATTCTTTTATGCCTTAATTGTTTCTCATGATCTTCAACTCTCTTTTCTCTCGATTTCAGGTATTCCTCTTCCTTATCTCTTCTACATTTCATGGTTAATTCCCATTTTGCTCCTTGAGTTTCAAGTAATTCGTTTCTTTCCAATACAAATTCATTTTCAATTTCCATAAGCTCTTTTCTATAGCTTTCAGTTAGTTTTTTAACTTGTTCATCCATTCTTATAAGCATAAGATCGATATCGTGAGCCATTTTCTTTAAATCTTTAACGTATTCGTTATCTTTGTTCTTCAATTCCTACATTTTACATTTGAAAAGAGGGATATGAATACATTGAAGACAAAAAAAATCTTAATATCCGTTCACTACTTACAGATTGGAAATCGTTAATGAGTTTATTCTTTTCTTCAATTAGAGCATCACAGCCATTTTTTTGTTGAGTTAACATCTTTAAAAGAATTATTTTTAGATAAAATACAAAGAAATTGAAAACATATGTCATCTTTTTCTAGTGTTACCTCATATAAATCTTGAGGAATTTCTTTTTGTAGAGCGCTCTCCCATTTTCTAGTAATTTCTTCGAATCTTTCTCCACCTGCTTTGGCTTCACCATCAAGTCTCTCCTTTCTATGTCTCTTTGAATCTTCTTCTGTTAGTCGTCTTGATTGCTCTCTAGCATCTGCACCAACTCTTATATTTGTGACTAATTTAACACCATCTTCTCTTAGTTTAGTGAGTTTAATTCTAGATTTTTCCATTTGTTTTCTACTTCTGCTCAATTCTTCTTCTATCTGCTTGTTTGCATCTAGATCTTCTCCCATTTCAGCCCTATGAAGGTTTGTTTCAGATAGATTAAGGACAAAACTTGAAAAGATGAAAAGTTTGAAAGGTAATATAAATATTACAAAGGGACTATTGTCAAAATGAGTGATAAAGGTATTGTTTCTACTCTAAAGGAAACATATGCTACTAATTTTCTTAATTTAGCAATTTAAAAAAGCTTCACGAAATTTGGATAATTACCGTCTAATAGCCTCTAGTCGTTTTTTTATTCTCAACCTTCGTGCTGCTATTCTCTCCTCCATATCAGTGGAGTCAACAGAAGGACCAAATTGATCCTCCTCTTTTTCTTCTTGTTGGGAGGAATTCATATTTCTTTTTTTATGAATTTGATGATACTGTTACTATGAGAACAAATTATATATTTTCGTAAGATATAAATTAAAAATAAAAAGAAAATAATATTAATAAACAATTATCTGATGATTTCGATGTTTTATTAATCTGAATTAAAAAATACGAAAATGACGTTGACTCTAATATGGCGGCCAAAACAAAAGAGAAATTTCGACCTGTGGATGTTTTTTGGTCAAATGGTAGTAATCCATTACATATACTTTCTCTAAAGAAAACTACCACTAGAGAATTAATTTTGTGTTTAGAAAATGTAAAATTTGCAATCTTCTTTGATTTCATTGAAGGAAGTTAACGATTGAAAAAAAACATATAAGTTTATTTAACAAGTTTGGGCTAGTAATAACGAAAATAATTATTTATCTTCTCGAGTTGACTTAATAATTTTTGTTTGATAATAAAATTTACAGTATCCTAATATTTATTTCAGGCGAAGGAGATGGTTATGAGCGATGGATATCAAACGGTTAGTATCAATGGAAATAATCGTAATAAGGAATATAAAAATTGGTTTTGATCGAAATAGGTATACAAAAGAAGGAAAAAAAACTGTCTGAAGCGGATTATTCAAAAGCACCGTATCCAAAGAAAACATCCAAGGTAAAGTCAAAGAAAACGTCGCCCATTAAAAAAAAATCCCCAACAAAACCAACCAAAGGAGAAATATCTATTCATGAACAAGCTACTTTAAAAGATTTAAGGCCAGAAGATAAGGAAAGAATATCAAACTTAATAAAAGAACTTGCCAGGTATAAAATTTCCACTAATTTTTATGGATCAACAATAATCTTTTTCTTTTTGTCATTAGATTAGGCAGTGAAAAAGAAGTTATACAGAAGCAATTAGAAGAAGATCGTTCTGAGTTTGAAAAGAAAAGAAATGAATTATTCAAAGCTCATGGTGCTCTACTATCGGAAAGAAAAGGTTTTTATTCCTTTTTTTTTCTTCCTTTGACTAAATACGTACTTGTATCGAATCGTAAAGCCATTTAAGTTTATATTCTATATCAAATCCCTTAAGTGGTCGATTTATCTTTGTTTGATAAAGTCTATCTTTGTACTCAAAAGTTCCTATTTATATGATTACAGAAATTCAAAAACAACTTTTAAAAAGCCAGACTTTACTAGCAAAGTATCAAGAATTACTTTTAAAACAACAAGCCATAAAACGTCCTAAAAATTCCGCCCAAGAAAAAGAAGAACTTTTTGTAGATAATGAAGAAAATCTTTGTGCTAAACCTCCACCTCATCAACCTCCAATTGCTTCCTCTCTTAATCAACCTTTAACTACTCATCCTCCCCTTTCTTCTTCTTCTTCTTCGAGGCCATTCACAGAAAAATTAGACATCATTCTAAAAGAAGACGGACCCAATCCGTCAATAGAAAAGCGCAATAGGAAATTTCCTCGTCCTCCTTTAATGTCTTCAACTAAATTTAGTGATATAACATCTGCTGGAAGCACACCATCGAGGCGGAAAGTTGATGTGGTAACAACAGAAGAAAACTTTATTAAGAATTTAGAAGATTCCGGAAGTAAACTAAGAGAAGAGGCGGAAATCGTCAATTTTTCTGATCTAAGTAAAAAAGAGGTAGGGAAAAAGTCTAAATCAAGTCCGACAAGGGTAAATAAAAAGCATTCGGCGGATCGTCTTAATGAAAAGCTTACCGAACAAGATACTACAAGTTTATCATCAATTGACAATAAGGTAAAGGAAAAAGCCGAAAGATCTAGCTCCTCCTCCGTCAGATTTAATTTGGCGGCCGCTGCACCATCTCCTGAAAAATGTCAAACAGAAATGGATAAAAAGCATGAAGAATTTCTAGAAGAAGAGAGAAGATTAAAGGAAATTCTTTTCGAACAAGAGAAACTTTTAGAAGAGAAAAAGAATCAATTAAAAAATCAACAAATGATTCAGAAAGCTAGATTGAAATATTTTGAAAAAACTGGTACATTCCCATCAAGATGTTCCCTAACGGACAATTTAAACGATGTTATTGACTCATTAAATAAGGATAGAGTATACGATTATAATTCGGAAGATGAGGAGAAAAATTTGAAATTCCTAAAAGAGAGAGGAATAGAAATTAAAAGGAAGCCAGATAACCAAAAATTACTAACAAGGTAATAAAAAGAAAGAAACAATACATCACTTAAATTCTTAATAAATGCCTATTTTTTATTAGCGACGAAGCAGCTACTCTATTAAATATTGTTGGAGAGTTACGCGAATGTCCATCTACTGACAGTTCAATTGAAGAGGAACCCGATGATAAAGAATTGATTAGTGATATATTCTTCATTCGATGATTGTCTTAATTAAAGGAAGAATTTGTAATTTATATGAAAAATCATATAGATTTTAGTCTTGAAATGTTTTTTATATATATCCATTTTTTTGGCAATGGAAAACAAGAGATTTTAGCTATATTTTAATTATAATAAACGATTTTATTTCCTCTCTTTTGACCTATTTTGAACATGTTATCAATTAATAATCGATGATGGATTAATCTTTTTAAGTACTCAATATACAGCATAATAAAAGTATGTTTTATACGAATGATTCAATAGGTATTATATCATTCAAATTTGCCGCCAATCGTAATTTTATATGTGTGATGAATCGATTATTGATTGAAGATTTGATTTGACAGTGGAGGGATTCGGTATAAAAAGTCGAATGTGTCACGTGACTGTATCTAGGCAACAGACGACGCTGAGAAGATCAAGAGATTTTTAGAAATGGAGGAAAACAGGACTTTTGAAAAGCCTTATAATCAGACAGCATCGCAACCTGGATGGAAAATTGAGAAGAGATTTAATCCTGATGTTTTGATAGGAAATTGGTATGAAGAACGTCGTCAAGTAAGTAATACTTTAGTAAAGCAATAGTAAAAGTTTTTAAAACTTGCATCTCTTACTAATTTACTCATAGTTCGAAAGTAAAAATTTCAACCATCGATCAACGCATCAGACGGATTTTAAAGCATATAAAGACGCTAAACCGGACGTTGTTGTTCGTCGAAAAGCTCAAATCAATAACACAGGCTTGGACAGGAAATTTCTCTTCGATCATCACAACGGAAGATATGAAAAGAACACACTGATTACTTGGTACGATGAGCATTATAATAAGAGGGAAAGACCTGCAGAACAGAAATTTCCTCCACTAAGAAGATGGGATAGTTCTACTATTGCTTGGTTGCCGGAAAAGTCAGATCATCCAATCATGGCTGAGCCAACCAATTGGGGTTTGAAGGAATCTAGAATGAGAAATTCGACAGCATTTTCCGATAGCTACTGCATGGATGATCGGTTCGATACTAACTATCGTATTTCTTATAATCCACTACCTCGCGAAGCCTATTCAATGACCAGATATTCTGCTCCAAGAGAACAGTCAACCAACCTAATTCCGTTTAACAAAATGGCTAAAAATTTTACTTTAAGAGATGGTAAAAGATTACTAAGAATGAGGGAACCTCTTCTAACTCCTGCTCACGCCAAACCAGTTATTACACCACCGAATAATTGCCCAGTTGCTCCGGACTGTTGTCCAGTTTCTTTTTGACCGAAAAAACCTCCTTAAGTTTTTCGCAGTATTATTTTTTTTTTAATTTTTTTTTTTTTGAAAAAACAAAGAACAAAAAAAAAAAAGCTATGAAATTTTGTGTGTGTTCTATAGAGTACAGTATTCTTTTCGACAATAAATATCATAAATTTTTCTCTATTTTCAATCGATTCTTAATTGATTAATAATTTAAATATAAATACGAAATAAAACCCGTTTATTTACTAAATAATAAAAATAACAGATATTCAGTATACATATTCTTTTATTAATTAAATAAGTGATTATAGCAAAAAAACCTGTAATTATGATTGGATGTTAAAGAGTTATTTGTGCTTAGAACGTTCATTTGCCAATGCTAGCCTTCTTATATTTCCAATACAACCGGCTGCAGCTTCTTGGAGAATATCGTCTTTTGAACCGACCATGTCAATCAGTAACTGATTTGAAAAGAAATAGTATTTCTTCTATTAGAAGAGAGTTTATTGAATATTTATTAAGTAATATTTACCTTTACTACTCCGTTTTCGTGCATTGTAATACAATTGTCGGGATGTTTACTCAATTCGTGAAGAGCACAGGCAGTTGATCTATGCACGTCCATATCTTTTGACTTAAGATATTTGACAAGGGGAGCAACAGCTTTTGCGTTACCAAACGACTCTCTATTTTTCCCCCAATTACAACATCTAGCTATGGCCTCTGCTAAGTGCCTTCTTAACTTGTCTGATGTTCTATTAGTTAGTTGGGCGAGCATTGGAACCACGCCATGGTCAGTAATAACTGCTAAATTCTCTTCATCCTTAGCTATATGACCTATTGCTGCGCAAACTGACGCCAAAACTTCTTTGTCATCAGACTTTAGGAGGTTGACAATCAACTCCAAACCTCCAACAAACGAACGAACCATTTCTCCAGCATCTTTGGCGTTTTCGATGCAAGGACAAATTGCCCAAGCTGCTGAACTCTGAACTTCAGTTGATGGATTTTTTAAAAGACTCCAAAGTAATCTTACTCCATCTAGCTTATCGATTACGCTGAAAAAAAGTCGAATTAATATAAACAGAAGGTTAAGTAGTCTTTAAAAATAGCTTACTCCATATTGGATGATTCTTCAGCGCATTGACCGACCGCATTTGTAACATTTACTAACAATGCCTTATTAGTTCCTGTTAATAATTCTATTAGAGCAGGAAGACCACCTGCTTTTCTTATTTGTAACCTATTTGGTGGATCTTGTGCTAATTCGGACAAGGCTCCGACAACGTTTGTAAGAACTTCTTCAGGTTGGTCTTGCAGAAGGCTAACTAGTGTATCAATAGTCTTCAATTCTTGGAATTTTTGGGCATTTTCTCTAGATTTCGAGCATTTCCAGATAGCTCCTGTGGCAGCCGTTAGAAGAAGTTTATCTTCTCTAGATTCTAACAATGACACTAACGGATTTAAGCCACCATATTTCCTTACTAATTCTCTAGTTTCTTTTTCTTCTGCGCACTTGAAAATAGCGCTGGCACAATGCATTTGTAGCTCTGGATTCTTTGATTTAAGATTTTTGACGAGGTCCTGTATCATTCCCTCCGTTCTAATAGCTAATCGATAATCATGCTGTAAAGCAAAATTGATAAAGTAAATGAAGTAAAAGGCATTTAGATATCTTACCTCCGAGGCGCACTCTTGTAATGTTCCTACAACGGGTATAAGCATATTTTCATGGGGTGATTTCAATAGTTGAGCAAGCAGCGGAATTGCTCCATTTCTCCTCATACTTTCTTTATTTTTAGTGCTCTTACTGCAGGACCAAAGGGCCAGAGCACCACTTCTAGCAACTTCTATATTCTTTTCTTCCTCTTCCGATACATTATCCGATTTTGGAAGTGTACAATCCAATAATCCAACCAATTTCTTAATACCTCCATGTCTTCTAACAGTTCTGCGTGCTCTACGAAACCTAGCTACATTGGCAATAGTTTCAGCTGCCAAACATTTTAGGTCTTTGTTTGGATCTCTGAGAATTTTCACCATAGTTTGCAAACCACCCAAATCGGCTATTGCACGTCTTATGTGAGCATTATTGGAGATATCTCTAAGAATAATAAGCGCTCCCATTTTACACTTGGACTCCTCAGTGTCCAAAAGATTAATAAGAACATCCAATCCTCCAAGATCCCTAACTGCTAGCTGACAGTTTTCGACTGTTGCTAAGTTAAAATCTCGAAGTGCACATAAGGCAATCATTGTAGCAGTTTGATTTCCTCCTTTTAGGTATTTAACCAATTTCTGAATTTGCCAATATTCGGAAGGCAGATCTGAAGTTGCCTCTGGTCTTCGTTCAACAATTTCTTCTTCTTCACCAGATTCGGATGAACTTTCTTCAAAGGGTTCATCATCTGATTGATATCTATAGAATTCGAGTTTTATGATTTGTTTCCCTCTATTAAAATGTTAAATTCATCAATCTTTACCTTAACGGTGATCCTTTACTAATGGTGACACTCTGAGGTTTTCCATATTTCTTTTTCTCCGATTCTTCTTCGTCCCTGGTATAGTTTTACACAATATAAATTTAACTAGGTTCATGAATATTCAAAAATAACTTAATTATCTAGGTCATACGCTGATAAATTCAAAGAAAGTTTATAGCTAGCTAGTTTCGAATTTGTATAAGCCATAGTTGTAAGATGGCGCTGCTAATAGTTTTTAATAAGAAATTCCTGAAATATTCTGCTCTAATATATATTTTGTACAATAATTTAAATATATAAATATTGTTTTTGAATATTTAAATATGCTAATGAATCTAATTAACATACGTTTTAGACACTCCCAGCAATTTCCATTTAACTGACGGTTCTAATTTTCTTTCAGATTTCTTTTTTAAATGCTTCCTATCATCGTGCCCGCCATCGTCCTTAATCTTTGATTGAGAATTTGATCTTCCTCCATCTCTTTTACCTCTATTCTCTGTTTCAATTTCCTTTTCCAAAGACGATTTTTGATTTTTCTTGAATTCCTAAAAAGTATCTTTCTTTTAAAAATATGCAATAATAAAGATTATAATAAAATACATCAAGACCTTTCTCTATGCATGAAATTAAAGAAAAAAAGTAAGAATTGCTTATGAATATTCATTATACTAATTAAGAAACGCTTTTATCTTAAAGATGTATTTTAAACGGTCATTGAATTGATAAGTAAAGATTTAATCGTTGTTTAAGTATTGTTTGTAAATCTTCTTGATAGTCTCTTTATCGACATCCTTCTTCATGTTCAACAACTTCCACGAAGGTGGTCTATTAAATTCAGTAAGAATATTCCAGCGCTGTACAAAGAAAAAAAAAGACAAAGAAGGAAGGAGAATTATTTCACGGACGATTTTTGTTCTCTTATTAGAATAATTCTCAATTATAATTGTTAATCTACTTACCTTTTTATGTGATTATCTTCTATTGATAAAGCGTCAAAAAAAAAAAATCAAAAGCGAAAAACAAAAAACATCAGGCGAAATAGGCTGTGATTTCTCCACAACTGTAAATTTCTTATATAATTTATACATATATATAGTCTTTTTTTTTCAATTTACAAAAAAAGGTCTATAATCTGTATATTCATATGAATATTGTTGAAAACGTCTATATTTTTGTGGTTTTACCCTAACCCTAACCCAAGTTCTATTCTCCAAAAAACTTTAGTCTAGTTTTTCAAATAAATGAAATGAATAGTGTTTTTTATTTTACTTATTTTAGCCCATCTCTATCTCAGAATATCTATAAAGAATGACGCTTTCAACAAGCTCCCTCCCCCATTAATTATATAAGTATGCATAGAAAATTATTAATATATAAAGGTCTTGAACAATTAGACGTGACTTAATTAGTCTTTTGAATATTTGGTATAATGAAGCAAACCTGTTTATCAATATTTTCTCCAAATTTCGCGCTCTTTTCTCTAAGAAGAGCTACAAGGGAACGATAACATTCCTCTTCTTTTTGAAATTCTTTATCCTTGTCATCAGATGGCCCCTGCAATTTAATAACATTGATTAGAATAAAAGCCCTATAAGTTGAAAAACTTAATTAAATATGTATTCTATATGTAAGTATGTATTTTTTTACACCTTATTGACAAACCATCCATCAGTATTAGCAGTGACGTAAAGAGTTTCATCAGAATCGTGTAGTTTACAACTTGTATAGCATAAATCGCCTTTTAATTGACCATGGAAGGGGGCTCTACAGCCATTAGCAAACTCATAGGTATAGGCTGATTAATTAGTAATATAGCACATTAGAAGAAGGGAGAGTTTACAGAATTTTAACATATAACTTTCACATATACGTACGTTTCGTATAGGAGATCGCTAGGAGAGCGTGTTTTTCTTCATCTTTACCAGCAATCTTAGATAGTAGGTCTATTTCTCTATTTGCTTGGGAAGGTGAAAGACGAATTTCACTATAATATAACAAAAGTTACTATTTCTTAGAAGAGATCAAAGAAAAACAATTAAGCATACTGTGTCATTCCAACTAATGAATCTTTCATTAGTTTATTATCAAATTCTATTATGGTCATAACCATTCTCATTATCATAAGCATCTCTGTTTCTTTTTCATTTTCTTCGTCTTGTTCACCTTCACCTTTTCCTTGACCTTTTAATTTATTTAAATATAAAGAAAATGATATAACTCTTATACAAAAAGTATTGTGTAACTAACCTTTGCTCTTAAGAATTTCTTCAACGTAACGAAGGGTGGAGTTATCTTCACTGTCGACCGTTGCGAATCTATCTCCACACATATTTGCCAAAGGATCAGAATTTCCTTTTTAATAGAATTTGTTTAACATTTATCCGAATTTTCATATGATTATAACAAATGAATCCTTTTTAGGACTTACCTTCCAAACAAAATCTAGCTTCCTCCATTTTACAGTCTCCAGCTGAGGAGAAAAGCTGAATAAGGCTTTGTAGGCAATGAACGCTAACTTCATTCCCAGCTTTCTTGTAGGTTATCAAAGATTGTCCAGATTTGTGTTTGTCACCGGAAACGAACATGTCTCCTCTGGAATGTAAAGCAAAAGATAAGATTTGACAAATCCAATTTCAAGTTTTAACTTACTCAGCATTTAGATTGAGTTCGCTCGGTCTCAACTTGGTTTTCCAGACGAGAGCTTTCTTAAATAGCATTTGAGCTTCTTCTGGATTGTTTGATGCATAGTTTTCGGCAAAAGATACTATGCTATTTAAAATAGTTTCATTTTTAGGTGAGAATTCTAGACGCTTCGATCCAGCAGCGGATGTCCACTGTGCTACTGTTGATAAAGTTTTACCCATTTTCAAAGGGTACGATTTACAAAATTTTCCTGTTTTGTATATCAACCGAAACTAATGTTTACTCGGGTTGCTAATAGTATCGGCGCATGACAACAGCCGCCTATTCTAGGTAAAATATTCTGAACAATTTGAAAGTTCACAAATATGTGAAATGTATCCATCTAAAGTAGTTTAATCCGTGAATTAAACATTTTAGTTTTCTCTTGTAACGTACTTTTAATCTTAACTAAGTAATAACTAGAAATAAAATAATATTTAACTTAAATAAAAATCTTTGGCGAAAACTGGTTTAAATAAACTACTCATTTAAGAAAATTTCAGTTATCATTTTCATGTAATGCAATAATTGTTAATTTTAGTAATATCTAACAATGATTTAATAATAATTACGTAAATGTCTATGAATTTGTTCCCGCCTAAAAAGTTATGTCGTCGGATGTAGTGGAAAAATCATCCAAATCAGTAGACACATTTGACTCTGCATGGCTTCAAGATTGTTTACCTATTTATTATCGTAAATATTTTCCGTTCGGACCATTTTTCCGATGGCTAAACTATGGAGGTAACTGCTAAAATATCACGCTTTGAGCGATAATAGAGATGTTTTCCAATAGGAATAAAAGGGTCTGGCTTCAATAAACGTGAATTTTCCTTCACCTTAATAGGAGATATTTACATACGATTTCAATCGTTTAAAGGTAATTGGTTATGGAAACTTATAAAAAGTTAATATTTGCTGTTAATTTCTTTTATAGATGGACCAAGCCTAGAAAAAGAAATAATAGCTAAAAGTCCCATTAAAATAGATATTGGGGCTTTATATACTCATGACCCTAGAAATCGTCATACTATTCACCCAGCAGCTTCATTTAGACCAGTGCAAAGAGAATTGGTCTTCGACATAGATATGACAGACTATGATGAAGTACGATATTGCTGTCAAGGAGCTCAAGTGTGTGAAAATTGTTGGATATTGATGGATATTGCCGTGAAAATAATACAAAAAGCTTTAGCTGATGATTTTGGATACGAACATATTTTATGGGTTTTTAGCGGCAGAAGAGGAATACACGCCTGGGTTTGCGACGAAAGTGCAAGGACTCTTACCGCGTCGCAAAGAAGCGCTGTTGCTGAATATCTTGTTCTATTGAAAGGAGGAACAGACGTTGGTAGAAGAGTTAATTTAAACGATAATCGAATTCACTCATCGGTGAGAAGAGCAATTAATATAATTGATGAACATTTCTTCAAATATCTATCAAAACACGATATATTCGGTTAGTATTCATTTTTCTTTCTTTGCCTTCTTTTTTTACCTTATTTTAGTTTGTCAAATTGACAAAATTTAGAAATACGTGCTTCACTTGTTACACTAATTTTACTCCACCAGTGAAGTTTTATTTGTCTAACTGTTGTGACAGTGAAATCTAACATATTCAGACATTGATGGTAGTAAAAATAGACAGATCTATCAAAAGGTTGTTGCACTGTTTATTATAATGCACACAAAAACGCAAATACTATATACTATTTTACTCTAAGTGCGTGTAAATTACATTAAATTCGTATAATGTCCTAAATCTAAATCACCTAGTACCTACATTTTATAAATTTTATAGTTTATTATAAATAAAACTTTCAAAAAAGCGAAAAAACAAAAATTGTATAAAAGTTCAATATATTGAAGTTTTTTTTATAAAAAAAATTAGTTTAAATAAGAAAGGAATAGAGTTACTAATCCTCAAATCAATGGAAAATATAGAATTTTTATTATGAACTCTTAAATATCTGTATACTATTAATGATAATATGTTTTTATGCTTGTTTTTATCACTTTTAGTACTAAAATTAATGTTAGACATGTCTTTAAAACAGGTAACGAGGAAAGAGTACAGAAATTCCTTAAGTTAATACCGGATATAATTAGGGATGAAGTGGAAAAGTCAATAGCTGACCTTGAGACAGCGAAAGATAAATGGCGTGCTTTCCAAGCTACTGTGAAAACATTCTGCCGCAAAAATTCACAAAAATCTTGGCAAATCAGTATGTTAGCTGAGGAAATACAACTACATTTTTGCTATCCTAGAATTGATATTGCCGTTTCGAAAGGGCTTAACCATCTGTTGAAAGCACCTTTTTGTGTTCATCCCAAAACTGGCAAAATATGTGTACCATTCACAGCAGATAATATGATTGACCCTAATAATGTTCCTACTTTAAACTCGTTAATTGAAGAACTAGATAATGTCCCTGCTTCAAAGAAACCCTATAGGCATTCTAGTATGAAAGATAGCATTAATGTTTTTGATGAATTTTTGAAAAAGCTGGAAAGGTAGGTGCTTTATACAACTATCTATATATATATGTAGAGCATAAACGCAGGTTAATTGTTTCATATATTTGTTAAATAGGTCAAGAACTGGAAGAGATATGGAGAATTTGTCGCTAGACGACTGGTAACTAGAAAAAAACAAGCAAACAATGAATTTGTGTTTTATTTCTTTCTGTTTTTCCCTCTCTCTCTCTCTCTCTCTCTCTCTCTTTCTCTTACTCTCTCACTATATGTCTCTTATTCTTTCACTGGCTTTCCTATATTTTAATAATAAAATATATGTGTATATGTTTAATTAAATATTTAAAATATTTTTTGTTTAAAGTGAGAAATTTAACTTGTTAAGCCTACTTTCGGTAGAAGGGGGCGCCCTTATCAATTGACATAATCACAGTTGCTTAGCAACAAGACGCTCTCGTCAATTCGCGCATTCCTTGCCTCGAATCGACTTATTTGCAATAGGTGACATTGATTTTGTGTTCTAATTCGCTATTATCAACGGATAATCGTTCAAGATTGTTTAAGTAAAAGGAATACAGTATACTAATGTAAAAAAAATTTTGGGGGTTAACGTATAACCTCTCGAAAATAAACAATTATGCCAAGAAGTCTTAGTCAAGATAGTCGAGGATCATACGATTCGGATAAATATTCAAACTATACAGATTCTTTTGATTCCGATGACGGAAGAAGTACAAGAAATACAAAAAATGAAAATTCAAGTAAGATTTGAATTTTTTTTATAAAAGGAAATAATAAATTGAACTACAAAAAAAAAGTAATAATAAGAAGCAACTTTTCGTTGGGTTTTCTTTATTAGTTTTTTTTAAGAATTGTACCTGAAAATGGTAATAATTTTATAATGTAAAATATATACCTACTTCCTGTAAATAATAATAAATACGGTTTATAGATATTGGAAAAGAGATTAATAATGAAAGTTAATGATAAAATAACGTAGCTAATTTGCTATCACCTCCACATAATCGAAATGTATTTGTATAGGCGTCATTTATTTTAATACATTAGAATAGAGACTTTCTTTTTACAAGTATTTTAGTCCTTTATGGATAAAATATCATTATTCTTATTACTATAAAAATATTTTATTATGGTAGATAATTCCATTAAGGTAATCCCATTTTTTGTTAAATATTCATAGATATATTTATATATATTAATTTGAATAGCAAAGCCTTCTCCTCTGTGATAATGAAGTTGTTTTCTTATGTCTTTTACAAACTATACAAACATTTATATTAAATAATTACAAATATGGTCTTATGATTATAACTCTTTCATCGATAATATTGACCTCCTTTAACGAATAAAATATATTGTTTCTTTGTTCTAACACTTAATTTTGGCCTATGAAAATGGAAAATTATATGGATCTAGTAATAATCTTTTTGTTACAAACTATACAAACTAATAGAGCTTTTTTATGTGTATATTGTTTTCAAAAACAAAGTCTTTAACAAGTTTTTTTGATACGTTAACACCTTAGCAAACAATATATTTCATTCATCTTGATTGATAAGTTAAGCAATGATAATGGTTTAATTCATTGTTTTATTAGTTGGTTTATCTTGAAGAATTTAATTTTTATTCTTTTTTTAGATCGGCAAAAAGCAATTAGAAAGACTTATGGTTCAAAAGCTAGAAAACCTCCTTCGTCGCAAACTCCTCGTTCGGATTACGTAACGAGTAGAATGAAATCGGCTAGGCGTAATAAAGCTAATGAATATCGTAATCAAATTGCTCAACTTCAAAGTCAAATTGATGAATTTAAGTTAGAACAAAAAATTTTAAGGAAACAAGGTAGACTTCAGGAAAGAGCACTGCAGAAATTTGAAGATAGTGAAAGTGAACTTCCAGCATTATTACAAAGACACGCGGCCGAGGTAAAAAATTTAAGGGATCAAATTAAGAAGCAAAGAGACAAAAATCAAGATTTAGCTAGGAAACTGAAGGACAATGACTTAGAAATTGATAAATTAAAGAGGCAACTAAAAAAATATAAAAGATTGGTAGAAGAGAAACATTTGGATGAGAGGGAGGCTTTGCAACAAAAATACGAAAGGGCTGAACAAAGAGCCGAAGACGCAGAACAAAGGGTTCAAGTATGTTTATTTTTTTCTACAGTCTTAGATACTGCACGCAATTAACAGTCAATATTTTGAAAATTGATTTTTTTTTGTTCAATTCCAATTCATTCATTCATTCATTTATGCATTCTCTTTTGATTTAGAATGTGGAACGATACCTTCAAAGTTCAAAGAATAATCATACACATGAAATTAAGTCGCAAAAAATCAAGCAGAGTCAGCTGGTCAAAAAGATAAATGAAATGGAAGAAGAAAGAGACAGGCTAATACTTCAGATAAGGGTAATAAATTAGGCCATTTTTCCTCTCGGAAGATGGCGTTCCTATATAATCACGTCAACTTTCTAAACTGTATTACTGTTTTTCCCTTTTATATTAAATTATTTGGAGTTGAAGATTTTTGCTTTAATCTTCATCTCTCTTTAATCTGTATACCTTCCAAAGAAGAGAGAGAGAGAGATGGATAGATAGACAGATAGATAGAGAGAAAATCTACAAGTGTTTTTGTCAGTGAAGTTTGCATGTTCTTTGTAACTTTTTAACTATTCGATTGTTTTAATCAAAGTTCAGAGCAAAGAAAAGCTTACTATTTGAAATTATTTTAAGTAATTCCATGAAAAAACGTCTCATATTTCACTTTATTATCAACAGGAAAAGGAAAAAGAGTTGGACATCAAAAACATTTATAGTCAACGAATAATTAGAGCTCCTCATAAATTACCATCAACTGCATCCTCTTTCGGCTCTGGTCATAACGCTAGTAATCTTTCGAGAAAACCTAATACAACAGGAAGTGATCCTGGTCCAACGCCTAGAGAACGTATGCTTGGATACGATAAAAGATTAAGGGATGAGCAAAAAGTTAAAAAACAGGTTAGTACTCGTTGATAAACAACACAAACAAAATAGGAAAGAAAAAAAAAGCAAAGATTATTCTTTTAGAAGGTTAATCTATGAGAATTACGATAAATCCCAATTTGTTTTGTTCTTTAAAATAGTAATAATAATTCCCTTACTAAACAAAATCACGAAAACAAAACAAAAAATCAGACTAGTTTTTGATTATTGCACAATTGTTACTAAATCTAATCTTATTTCTAATTTTATGTAAATTAGCCAAACGAGGACGAATCAACTTTTGTACCAGTAAGTTCATAAGATAATATATATTTGTTAATGTATATAGATTTACTTTTTTTTATTTTCTTTATTCCTTTCTCTATTCATTCAAAAAATGGATGATGCATGTTGGAAAATGAATAGAATGAGAGAAATCAAGAAAATATGATTAATAAGTTTTTAATATACTTTTTTTTTAGAAAAAAAAAGTAGTAAAGTAATAATAAAAGATAACGAAAGGTTATTTATAAAGCACAGTCTTTTTTTGTGTACTTTTGCAAAAGACACTGGTTTTTTTCCATTTCAAGAGTTTTTTTTTTTTTTAAAAAAAGCAAAAATATGAAAAAACCACCCATCTTCCTATCAAAAAATATATTATTAATATATATATATATATACATATAAACTATATATATATATATATATATATATATATATATATATATATATATATACCTTATAGGAAAGGAGAAAAACATTTGTATTAGAGAGTCAGGAGACGAATATATCTAATTTCGATTCGGCGCCTGTATTTGGCGTTCATCCAGAGGTAATAGGTTAAGGATATGATCAAATCACTGCTAGGCTTTAGGGATGTAGGGGATATTTTTGAGGTCACATGATTTTGCTTTTTCGTTACTGATTCACTTTGATTTTTCTTTGCTGCTTATATCAAATACGACAGAAAGAAAGAATAGAAATTGCTAGGAAAGAGAGAGAACACCTATTGAATGACAATAAGTCAAAAGATGATGAAGAAAAACTTTTCATGAAAGAATTTAATGGACAGATAGTATTTCGTTCCTTAAGAGTCAATGAGAGTCCAACCCATAATCTATTAATAGAAAATCACTTAAATAAAGAAAGTGAAGAAGAAAAACAAGTAGACACTTTTCGTAATATAAATAATAAAGGATATAAAACGGAGGAGGAAAGAAAAAGTAATGAAATTAATAACAAACAGATAGAAGAGAATTATTTAATCATCCACCATGACATTGATCATGAACTAGATAAAACAGAAAACAATTTCAATAAAGATAAGAATATTGATAAAGAATTAATTGGGATATTAGAGAATGAGGTAAATAGGATAGAAAAAGAGCAGGATAAAGGGGAACGAATATACAGATGTGATAATAAACAGAGTAATTTGTCTAGAATCCAATCTACAACGCAGTTTAAAAGAAGGCCTGAAGAAAAGAAGGTTGTCTCCTTTTTGACAACAACACCAGTGAGAGTTAAAAAAATTGCCAGAAACAGGCCTACAATAGAAAAGTCAATGACCGCCAAGAGACAAACCGATGTATATTGCCAAGGTCGCTTAAACATTATTGACGAAGTACCAGAATTGTATGAGGAAAATAATTCCCTAATAGTGTCTTTACCTTTTAAAAGTAACGAAGTAAGAAATGAGAAAGTAATTGAGAAGAATAGCAAGAGCTATTCACAGTTATTACAATTATACGATACAAAAGCAGCTGGTTTCCCTCTTACACCAGGAAGCGACGAATCTAGTATCATGTGTCAGGTAGTTTTACGGTAGATGCGAACTAAATAAAAAACGATATGATATAAATTCTACACTTATCCTCCCCCTCCTCCTCCTCCTTTTTATCATCTATTTATTCATATTTTTTTATTTTTTACTTATTTTGTTTTTTTAAACAAACAAAAAACTTAACGTTCATCTCCCAATGAAACAAATAATAAAAAACAATTAACACTAGCTTCTTCTGACGGTTTTGTTTTGGTTTTTTATTCTATTAACTATGAAAAAAAAAAACAATAGAAAGAAACAAATAACAAACTTTACGCTTTAATTAAAAACCAATAAGAGAGAGAGAGAGAGAAAGAGATAAAAACTATAATCATTCTTTAATTGTCGTTGTTGTTTTTTTGAGCGATTTGCACAATTTTTCACAATTTTTTAATATTTTGATTGCTTAGATTCTTCAATATTTATTTATTTATTATCATCTTATAGAATATTCCATGAATTTGAGTTGAAAAATCTATAGTTTTTTCTTATTATTGACAGGGAAGATAGAGAAAAATTGAGAGATTTCTTTAGTCCTCTCTTCTTCTTTGCAGATATATTTTGATGTGTAAAAAAAAAATACTTAAAGACAACTTTAATTGATTGGAAAGAGGGTTTTGTAATAATTATTATAAGCATATGTAAACCTCTTTTACCCTTTTTCTTAGAAAATACCCTATTTATTTCTTACTAGTTTATTATATTTGTTACATAAAAGAGAAATTTACATGCGATGAAAGGATGAAAAGGCTGGTTTTTGCCTGTTCTTAATTTCGTCATCCTCAAAATAAAAATAACTAGCCAGTTATTATACAAAGGTTTTATTGTAAAATAAACATCTTTTCTATGTAGAATTTCAATAACTATTTATCTAGTATTGTTAGTTTGCACTTTCAATAGACGCTGCAAAGGAAATTCCCATTATTTCTTTTTATTATCAATAGTAACGTCTTATGTAATTAGTTATCAGGTTTCTCTGTTTGAAATAGACTTTAAACCCACTTTCACGGAATATTCTAGATGAATTAGTGCTCTTGTTGAAATATCATACTTAATTTGCTTACTCTTTAGGAGCTTGAAAGGGAGCGGAAGGCTGAAGAGAAGAGACGACAAAGGGCTGAATGGGAAAATCAGGAAAGGACTAGACGGGAAGAAGAGGAGCGATATCATAAGCAGTTAGAAGAGAGAAGACGACTTGAAGACGAAGAAGAAGATAGAAGAGCGGAAGAGAGGAGAAGGCGAGAAGAGGAGGAGAGAAAAAAGCGAGAGCTGGAGGAAGCTGGCTACAGGGAGAAATTAGAGAAGGAAAAACTAGAGAGAGAGGAGAGAGAGCGGAAGCAGAGAGAGGAGGAAGAGAGATTGAAGGAAATTGAAAAACAAAGAAAGGCCAAAGAAGAAGAGGAGAGACAGCGGAGAGAAGATGAAGAGAGGGCGAAAGAAGCGGCAGCCGTGAGGGAAAAGAAGCATCAGCTTGATCTATTAAAGAAAAAGCTGGCAGATATAGACGCTCAAAAGGAAAAAGACGAGCCTGTAGAAGATCCTATCTTTTCACCTGGTAGACATAGAAAAGACTACACCTTTACTAAAGTAGTGGAAAACATGCACAATGGCCTTCCCTCTCATGAACCGGAGGTTTTACCAAAAAGACTGTCTCGTGACAGACTTTTCAGCGACGATGATATCGGCTACAACCCGTCTGCACCATCTGCTCAGAAAACTGTTAAAAAGAATTTGTTGACCGATCTTTTTGGCGATTCCAAAATGGGCAACGATGATAAATCGAATGATATATTCAATCCAAAACCTCCAACTAAAGTTGTATCTGGAAGACGGAGTGGCGGATCTGGTAAATTAAATAGGCCTAGGCAGCAAGCTCAGACAATTACTAGTAAACCAGCAATAAAAGCAGTAGATGATATCGACGACGATATTGAAGAATTGGTGCTTTAGAGATTTTTTTTTTTAGATAATTGTTCACATTTAAAAACAAAATAATAATAATAATAATAATACAAAAACAACAAACAACATTTTAAATATATTAAATGTTCCTTTAAACGATGAAGAAGAGAGGTGAGAGATAAATTGAAGAAACATAATCTATACAAAATTGATTTTATTTTAAAACTATAGAAAAGATATAAAAAGAATAGTTATAAAAAAATACGGTTTAAAATTGGTTCTATCGTCATCTTTATATAGAAAAACTATTCGGTCATAATATTTAGTTTCATTCTTTTTATCATTTAGGAACTCTTTTTTTTCTTTAAAAAAAAAATAAAAACCAAAAATTCTTAGTATTTCTTTTTATTGTAGTGAAAGGAGCTTTTCTTTATTTAAGAATATTATACAAATATATATATATATATATATATATAAATAGCGGATGAATAGTTTTAGTATATAACTTATTGTAAATTGTAAAGGAGATTTAGAGGTTATAACTTTATCAAGTACCTATTGGGTGGATGTTTATATACAGCATGTGTGAAATTTTCAAAACGAAAGTCACTATTTAACTTATTATTTAATATATAGGTCAGAGAGAAGAAAAGAACAAAGTCCCTGGCCTATTCAAAGGTTTTTACTAGCTTGGGCACACCTTAAATATTCCTATTGTTCGATATTTTAACTTTACTTCCGGTTTTATGATTTTATTCCCACCCTGTGCGCGGCGAACGATGGCATATTGATTATCTCTTTTTACTAAGTCACCTTGGTATATTAGTCTTAAAATTAGTTCGTAATCGAAATATAATAAAGAAAAACATAGAACAAATTCTTCTCTCTTCGCTCTCTTTTCTCTCTCTCTTTCTCACTCCTCTCTCTCTCTCTCACACTCTCTCTCATTCTCTCCCTCTCACGTGCTCAGGCAACCGCTTGCAAAAATAGAACAACCGGATATATCATTTATAGGCCAACAAAACAAAGAAATATTAAAGTAACAACGCATTTTTATTTAAATTAATATAAACGGCATAAAATGAAACGTAGAAAGTAATGTTCTATTGATAATGTATACAGATGACAACATTTACAAAAATGATTAACATATATATATATATATATATATATATATATATATATATCGATTCTTTCTTGAAATAAAAAGAAACACCGACAATACTGGAAAATGTTAAAGATAATTAGGGAATAAAGATTAAGATGTTCCAAAATTTAAATATTCTACGTTTTCTCTTATCAATTTAATCTTCCTTTTTGTCCTGATTTAGTTTCTTGTCTCTTTTTTTTCCCTTTTATATGGGTAAAATGCCTAATCAACGTATGAATGTATGAATGGATTTTTATATGAATTAGAAAAATAGGTGTACTAGGCCTAAGGAGATTATTCAATTTCAATGAAAGAGTTTAATAAACTCTACTGAGGTAGGAAAAAAAGAAAAAAAAACGCTGTCAAATTGAGAATAAATATGATAAATATTTTTCTTTTCATTGTATTTACAAGATATCTATGCCATAGAACTAAAAGTCATTTACATTTGGCGCCAGTATTATTTGTATTAAAAAAAAGAAGGTTTAGGGAAGAAAATGGTTGCTACAGAATATGAATTGCGGGCGCCATTTTTTTTTAGCACATTGCGTCTGCAATAGTGGCACTCTAGTCCAGACGACCGTTCATTGAATATCATGTCTGCAATTGAAAGCTGCCGTTGCGCTTTATAGGAAATTTTAAGGTATTTATAGTATTTTATATCTATCGATTACTATTCGTAGTACATCAGAAAGTTTATCTAACCAATTGCGTATTGAGAAATTATTTTGGAGGTTAATCGACTACGTTACGGCCTTCCTATACCCTTAGCCGAATTTAGGTTCAAAAAAAAGGAATTTCATGTTCAATCAAGGTCGAAGCTATTCTAAGACTATCTTTTAGCTGTCTAAACCTTTTAGGGCTGTTGTTTGTCACATTAAGATGCGCCGATTGATTATATAATTGTATAGTTTTTGTCCACGTGGTTTGGCATAAGTGAAGAAATCTCTGGCTCGGCGGTGATTGGTCGATATAATATATATAACGAAGGCGCGCTTTCCATAGAATTATTTTTGAATAGACTTCAATTTCACATTTTCAGTGTTAAATCGCCGACTCAGTTAAACCAAAGATAAAAAATTAACTATGAAAACTTTCTGAAGTAACAATAGAATTCCTTTTTATCTAAGAATTTATTGGTTTGTATATATATTTATCTATTACTTATTGTTTGTTTATTTTTCAATGAACTCGAATTTATCAGAAAAAAAGACAAGCAGCTGACAAACACATAATCTTTATCGTTTCTTCATACTTCAAAAGATGGTATCGATAGATTCTGATCAATTATGGATGGTGATAGTAGGTTTTTTAATTGCTTTCGCTCTGGCCTTTGGGATTGGAGCTAACGATGTTGCTAATTCGTTCGGAACATCAGTCGGATCCGGCGTTATTACTTTAAAGGTGGCGTGTATATTAGCAAGCATTTTTGAAACACTCGGAGCAGTATTATTAGGTTTGTAGTCATTTGACCTTGATATTAGTTCGTCCTTTAAGTAACCTTCCCGATAAATTCTATAGGGGCAAAAGTGTCTGATACTATTCGGAAGGGTATAATAGAAGTTACACCGTACCAAAATGATACGTCTCTATTTATGGTGGGAAACGTTGCTGCCTTATCGGGTAAGTGATAAAACAGACGTTTTAGAATGTAAACTTAGTAATAAATCATATTATTAATTCTTCAAACATAGGTTCCTGCTTATGGCTCTTAGCAGCGACTTTACTACGCATGCCGGTTTCTGCTACACATTCAATAGTAGGAGCAACTATAGGTTTCGCTCTCGTTGGTCATGGTGCAAGTGGCATAAACTGGAGTAAATTAGGATTAATTAGTAAGTGTTATTATAAAATATTTAATAGAGAACTTTTAATTAATTAAAAAATTTTCCTTTCAAAGTTGGATCGTGGTTTATATCACCAATAGTTTCAGGAGCCGTCTCAACTGGATTATTCTTTTTCTGTAAACATTTCATCTTAAATAAAGCGGATCCATTGGAACCTGGCCTAAAATTCTTACCTGTATTCTACGGGCTTACCATTGTCATCAATTTCTTCTCTGTTTCTTACAACGGGCCTAAAAGTAAGTTGACATCTTATATCTCTCCATTTCTATATTAACTCTTAAATATGTATATGTGTATCTAGTTCATATTACACACTGTATATATGTTCATATTGAAAAGAGAAAAATCAATTTATAACTTCTGAACAACTCTCACAGTTCTGGGATTCGATAAAATACCATTATGGGGAGTTTTCATAATCAGTTTTGGTGGTGGAATTATCACGGCAATACTAGTTTTATTCGCAATCGTACCATGGCAACGAAGAAAGATAAGAAGTTAGTAAAAAAAGAAACTTTACAATTGTTAATTTATTAACAGAAACTCGAGGATATACTAATTGAATTTTGTTTTTTATTTTTATTATTAAATTAGAGCAATGTGATGATCCGGAATATTGTCCTGGTTCACCGATTGAGAAGAAAGACAATTCAATTAAATTCGAATTTGGACAATTAGTTGACAACTCCACTGCAAATTCAAAAAATAATTCTCCTCTGACTCAACAACGTGAATTACAGCACATTAATCTTGCAAACTTTCAAACAACAAAGATAGTTAATGGAGTGAATAATAAGAATAATGATCTGAATAAAAAACCTGGACATAACAAGGCGGAAAACGCTTTGCTTGTCGATAATGAATATAATCCTGGTACTCAAACGCCAGCCGGTGTTAGTCGTTCGGAAACTCGTACAGATCTGACGTATAATATAGAACACAAGCCAAATGGAGTAAAGCCTCCTTTGTCATTAGAAGATCCAGAAGCCAGCGGCCGATCAGTTGTCAAAGATCGACCCGAAACTGGTGAACTTTTCTCATTTCTCCAAATATTGACAGCAATTTTTGGTTCCTTTGCTCATGGAGGCAACGATGTCAGTAACGCTATTGGACCGCTTGTTTCACTCTGGTTAGTAGGAACTCGGGGCGAAGTATTCGAAAAAGCTGCAACTCCAGTTTGGATTCTTTTCTACGGAGGCGTTGGCATATCAATTGGTTTATGGGTTTGGGGTCGTCGTGTCATAAAAACTCTAGGCGAAGATCTTACCAAAATTACTCCATCAAGTGGTTTCTGTATTGAAATTGGATCTGCTTTATCCGTCCTGATAGCATCCAATATCGGTATTCCTATCAGTACAACACACTGTAAAGTTGGTAGTGTCGTATTCGTTGGAAGATTTCGGTCAAAGCAGAATGTCGACTGGAAGATATTTAGAAATATTATTTTTGCATGGTTGGTGACCTTACCCATTTCCGGAGGAATTTCAGCAGCTATAATGGCGGCCCTTAAGATGACTTTATAATGTATTTATAGAAATTTTAAAAATATTCTATTTAAATAATTTGTTCAGACTAAAATTTTTTTATTATGTTGTTTGCCCACATTTTTCGCTCTATGTTTTGTAAAGGAAGGGAAACACGTTGAAATTGTTTTTTGCAGATGATCTTTGCTATTTTTTTATACCGTTGTCTTTCGTTCTTCGTACTATTATCTATCCCCTCCCTTCTCACTTCGCTGCCTAGCATTTAATCGAGAGAAATTGATCTTAAATTCCCCGTTAGGCCGACTAAGTATGCTTTAAGCTAAATGCGCATATGAAGCTACATAATATTTGTAAATGAACTTCTAAAGCGTGACGTCACTAAGTGCCGAAAAAGAGAATAAAAATTTATATATATAGAACGCTTTAATTCCGAAGCTAAACTAAGATTATTGATTGTGGAAAGAAATTGATAAGAAAAGACAAAAATATTGGCTATTGAATTAACTTAGTATTCAATCCTTCGACTGGGAAAGTACAGTCTTACTATTGACTGCATTTATTAAAACAGAAGTATAATCTCTACCATTTTCATTTATTTTTTCAACTGTAACATATGAAATATCGATATTTTTACAATCGTTCTATATTATTTCAAACTTTCTTCCGTTAATAATTCATGAAATTGATTATCTTCTACTTTTATGACGTAGAATAAGTGTTCTTTTACTAGAATAATTATAGTGCGTAGAGAGGTTCCCAGAATCAGCGTTAGAGAGGTTACCCATCGTAAGCGACATGTTAACTACGTAAAATATCTCAATATAAAAAGCCTCATATACCTCATATATATTTATATTAATAAATGTATATGTATAAATTTATATATATATATATATATATACATATATTAAAATAGGTGTTTGCTCTAGTTTTTAATTAAGAACGATTATAATGATTATTTACGTCTCTACCCCAGCGTAGTAACTTAATAAAACAAAAAACTGTCAGTCATGAAAGACTCAAGTGTACGATGACTCTAACAGCAGACTAATAGTGGCGTAAAACAAAAATTTCAATATAAAGAAACTGCTACAGTCCGGTTTTATCCAGTCTGCGCCAGCTGATTCATCATAAGTAATATTAGCTTTAAGAAAATGAATACGTAATTTATTTCTTTATGAGTAACTAATATATCTAGAAATTAATTTATAAGGGAAAAGAGAGAAGAGAAAGAGAGAGAGAGAGAAAGTTAATTGACAGAATATTTAAATTGAGCAATGAAAAATTTATAATACGAATAACGAATAAGTCTTTATAGTCGAAAACTAGATGTTTCTTTATTTTTCTAACCATTTTGTGAATAAATATAAAACATGTTATGCTGTGATTAGTAAACATATACATTTATACTGTATATATGTATATATATATATATATATATGTATATATTGTTAATAAAGCTCATCCAAAGTGAGCTCAGCATCTTGTTGTTGTAGTTTAGTAAGAGATTTTGTTAACTTCAATGTTGGTAGACTGTTCAAATAAATGTCTGTACCGACGGCCAAGACGTCCTGGTGATAGTAGAAAATGATAAAAAAGTACAAAATTGTTTTTTTAATAAAAAAAGAAAATAATTACTTCAACTCCCGAATTGATTATCTTTGTATTACTTAAAGAAAACAGTTTGCTACCAAATTCCGATAAAGGTATACCTTCTTCTCCTTTTTCTAGATTAGTTAGTTAATTAAGTAATTAATAATAATATTTATTAAAATATAATCAATTATTATTCATTTACTATTTATATATGGAAGGATTATATCTCTTTCCAAAGCAGTAACTACAGATCCAATCATAAATTGATACTTGGATACTTTCTTCAATTTTTCCACATTTGATGATTTTAATTTTACATCTTGCCTGAAGATATTTAAATTAATTAGAATAAATTAGAATAAATAAATAAATTAAATACTTACATTAGATCGTATATCTTAAATTTAACTCTTTCATTTTGAAATTTCACTACCATTAAGTTGTTTAATTTCTAAAAATTAATAGATTTATTAAAGGTAAATATTGTAAAATTGAATATTAATTAATTAATTTACTCCTTCTGTTGTCATTAATACAACATCTCTTTTACCAGAATTAACTGTTACATTACATTCAAATTTACTAGAAAGTAATAATTGGCCATCGGTAATTTTCAATTTTGGTGATTCAGTAGCTTTAACAACCGCTTTTAAAATTTTGTTGGGATATTTGTTCTTGACCTGGGAAAATGAAAAGAATAGCTTTAATTAAAAAGAAAAGAAAACTCTCTCTCTCTCTCTATCCCTCTCTCTTTCTTTCTCTATTTTTTAAGTTCGTCTGGTCTATTTTAAGTCTTTATTTATAATTCAAGTACCATCTTCTTTTTATGTTTCTTTTTTTCGTAAGCCAGACCGTTTATTATTACAAAAGTACAAGGTTAGTCTAATGCTGAATTGCTAAACTTCCATTAAAGAAAAAGTAGTAATAGAAACCTCTTCAAAAAATTTTCCAAGACACATTGCTCCTTCTTCGCAGGTTGTTTCCATATATTTCTTATACTTTTCGGGTAGAAGGTCTTGGTTTATCACATATTTCAAATTATCGGTATGATAAAGTGAATGTAGTGCGCTATTAACTACATGGGATGTTAGAAAAATATAGGCCATTTTCGAATGACTAGCTGAAAATTCGGGAATTTTTACTGGTTGTTCTCTAAATGGAGGAACACGAGAATCATTTATGTAAATTTGTCCCTATATAAAAGGAAAGCAATGATTTTATTAATCTAATATTATAAGAATATCAGACCTTTAGAGGAATATTAGCAAAATGGGGCTTGAAGACCGGATTTCCAGTTAATCCAAAATCAAACAATAAGTTAGCTTTAAAGCCGGAATTTTTGTCAGTCTGGACGTTGTATACCACTGTTTAGGTAATAAATGAAAAATACATAAATGAATAGCATATCAAAAAAGTTATTCCACATATATAATTACTATTCAGTTTGTCAATTTGAGTTTGTGCTTCGTTATTAATCTCCTTGAGTGCAGTATTGCAGATTTCATTTTTGATCTCTTCCGAAATTGTTTCTTCCAAATATGACGATGCAGCATTGAAAATTGAGCTTAATAAATTAGAAATATATATATATGTTTGTAAGTATTCTTTTATTATTTTGTCATAAAAATACGTACTTATCAAAACTTAGTTGAACGTTACCAACTGGTGAGCAAGAATAAACTTTTATATGAGGTTTATTTCCCTTCTTTTTAACGGAAAACTTTAATTTAAATCCCAATTTACGAGCCTGAACGTTAATTGTTCCGGTATATGTGCTAAAATAATATATACATATATATATATATATATATGTCAATGGTATTCTTAGTAATAATACTGTTATAAAAAAACCAATCTAAATGCAACCCTACACAGTTTTTTTCTCAACCTATAACCTTTAGCCTCCGTAAAACTTAATATAAATTCTTACTGTATAAATATTATCGATTGGCTCGAAGACATATGAAATTTCAATAATAATAAAAACCTAAAATTATAAACTTACCTCCAGAAGAGTTTAAAACTGTATTTTATAGTAATCTTTGGAGTTAGATTTCTAACATTCCAACTAAAACCAACTTTCTCTGTCAATGTCATTGTAGATTGAAAAGTTTCAGGCATTTCCTCAATTTTTATACTAATTGGTTCATTTAAAGGATCATATTCAAGAAAGATCTTACAAATATGTATATACTGTATATATTCCTTCTTACTTTGATAATGTTATTGTACTTCCCAAGAGTGTTTTTTTAGTATCGGGAATTTTCGCAGATTTCATCTTCCCTATTAAATTTTCTAAGGCGAAATTATTTACTAAACAAATAAAAAGGAAGAGATGATAATTATTTTAAAAGAAAAATTCCTTATTTTATAATTCTTACTAACTGTAATTGAGGCCTTTCTCCGTTACTCTTACTCTTATTCCTGGTCTTACATCAGCCAAGACGGCTAAGGAATGTTTTTTTCACAAGGTCAATATATAATAAATTATATAAACTCTATAAAAACTTACCACAAAAAGAAATAATGAGAACGAATAGAATTTTGTTATTCATTTTCTTTTCTTCAACGAATTTCGATCTCTCTACTTTTCCAACCTCTACCAAGACCGATTTGAAGAGTATAGCCGACTGCCTGAACCTTAAATGTGTTTTGTTGGCGGTATCAGATTACCTCAATTTGACCCTGGCTCTTGTACAATGTAAAAAGTTCGATTTTTTTATGTATAAATTGCGACGTAAACCTAATTAATACACGCCAGAAATGAAATATTTTCACTAATTACCTCTATTTAGTCATCTTATTTACATATTATATTTGAATGTATTAGCTATTTTCTAATACAATATAATAGAGATATAGTAAAATATTGTTGATATGTTTGTTTGCATGTAGAAATAGTAAACACGGAAATTTTAATACGAAAAAAAGACAGGAAGAGATTGAATGAATAGGGTGGAAAGGAAGAGAATGAATTATACACATTCACAAATATACCTACATATCCATACATACATACATACATACATACATACACCACATACAGAGAAAGAAGGACATTTTGGGACCTTGTTGAAGGAAGCTTTGATTACAAACATATGTTATAGTTTATAATAAAAATTTTGTACTTAATTTAAGAAAAAAATGTATGTATACATTCAAAAGAAATTGCTATATGAGAATTTCTTGTAAATAAATGATTCATCAATTTTGGACCAAAAAGAAGTATTATTGATTCTCCTGTTATACTTTTTAATCAATATTTATTCCAATATAGCATAGTTTCAATTAATCAATTTTTAAATAAAGAATGGAAAAGCAAATAGACTGATGGATAGGGCGTGCCTTAAATAGAACCATATGGAGAAGATATTGTTCTAAGCACCTTCTTCCCATTATCATGACTATTGTCATTTTAATTTTGCACTTTTTTTCCTCCTGAGATAAAGCTATTATTCATTTAAATATTTAATAGGTCGTAATATATACATGCGCATTTATATCATATAGATATCAATACCACTTGCATATTAGTTTATTAATATCTACGTTACGAGGCAGTTTGCCTCCATTAGAATAATGATAAGTAAATATTAACTGTTCCGGCCTAGTCCCGATGACCGATAGATGGCGTAAATTCATTAATTCGACCGAGCTAGTCCTTTAATCAAAGATAAGACCGACTTAGTTTCTTTTTTAATTTGAATCTAGAACAGAGCATGAAACGTAACTAATATAGTTGATATTAGTAATACATATAATACAATAAACTTTGAACTTTACACCTTCACTTAGTAAACGTTTAAAACAAAGTAATAATTTTATCTCTTAAACTTAAGAAGTTAAGACACAGATAGTCAGAAAGAAAGAGAGCGGGAGAGAGAGAAGAATGAATAAATGAATAAATTATAAAAAGGCAACAAAGGAAAGTAGGGAAAAGGTGACTTTATAAATGTCTTTTATAGGTGTTTTCGAGATTGTAGAGTACGTTTGTTTATTTTCAAATAGGCTTTATTGTACATGTCTCTTCTAATGAAATCTAATATATAGGGCTAATGTTATTTAAAACGCACCAATTTCTTTAATTTTATTTTTCAAACTATACAGAATATGCAGTTATTTTTGAATAAATTCCAGTTAATCGCTCAAGTTAGGCGTTTAGAGATAATCAAGAGATCATTTATTTTTTAAAGTATGATAAGTTTCTTTCAGTAATCGCAAATAGCACGTAACAATTTCCTACCTTTATCATGGCACGTAATAAACAAATAATGAAAAAATAAAGATAATTAACAAAATATAAAATATGATTTTTCTTTTTTTTGTTTCTTCATTGGAGATTAAAGACATACTGGGTTGTGGGAGAGGGAAATGCAATATTAAGATTTTATAATGTTTATTGATAAGCAAATTCTTTCGTTGTGTCAGCGATAATATTTTGCTTTTCATATTTAGCGAACATTCTCATAAAAGCGGGTAAAATTGGCTCATCGCATATTCTTACTAAATCTGGGAAGGTCTTGCGGAATGCAGATGTTGCCATCTCCAGTCTATAATGTGGGATCTTTGAGAACATATGATGCATTTGGTGAGTTCCGATGTGGTGAATGGCTTTATGAACTAAACCATAATGTCTATCGACAGTTTGTAATTGACCTTTAACAAAATCCCATTCGGAATCGTTGTACCAGGTTATACCCATTTCGTTATGGTGTAAAAAGGTAATGATGACCATGTAACTGGCGAAAATGAAGAGAGGAATAAAGTAATATTTAAACCAGGCAGTAAATCCACCGAAAGTACTAAAGTGACAATATTGCAAATAAATAGAAACCATGTTGAAGAGAAGAGTAATTACGCATGCCAATCTGTGGCCTTTAAACATGGGGTCCATAGGATTCAAGTGACAGACTGCTCTTGGAGCATAGCCTCTTAAGACGTAACCGAACCATCCAATACCAAATCCGAATCCTGGAAGGACTTTACCTCCAGCACATGGTTCTGATTCTTTTACCGGGTAGAAAACTTCATCCTTGTCAAAGTTGTTTGTGAATTTGTGATGGTGTTTATGAGACAATTTCCACATTGTATATGGAACCAGAATAAAGCTATGAATTATATTTCCTGCTAAATCGTTGAACCAGCCATGATGGCTAAAACTTTGATGTCCACAATCGTGTCCAAGAACGAAGATAGCAGTGAACAACGTTCCTTGAACAGCCCAATACAAAAATACACAGGGCCAGTGTAACCAACCGGGTAGAAATACTTCAGAAGCTTTCATTAAAGCGTATGCAGCAGTCACCAAAAAGAAGTCTTGAAACACATAATACATTGACTCCTTAACTGTTGGATTGAAACAGGCCTTTGGAATCGCTTTTTTAATGTCAACAGCGGTAGGGAGTTTCTTGGGAAGGGGTTCAGTCAATCCTCTGGACTTGATCTTGGTGTGACTAGGAAAATCAGCATTTTGAGCATAGGTAATGAGTGCCTTACTCAACGCTCTCACAAAGAAGAAAGCACTTAATACAAAGTTGACACCAACAATTTCACTTAGTGCCATATTCTGTTGGAGAAAAATTCAATAAATGACTATATATTTTTAAAATATTCCTTTTCGTCTTGGCTAGTTAAAATTTAAAAACGTGTCTTTACCACCTACTACTTAAATTTATCGTAATTTATTCAAAATGTACGAAAAAACTAAACCGATATTTCTTTTATTTAAATAGACCTTCTATAGCTTTTTGACACGTGTAGAATAGAATACATAGTTTCGAATAAAAATTATTAGTAAACTAGTAATCCAATCTCAATAATTTGTAGATTAACTCACAACTTGAGGGAAATGTTCACTTACTCGTTCTCACCAACTTCTCAGATCAAAGTGGAATCAAGAAAAACTACGATTTTTCTACTTTAATGAGAAGAAGTACCGGCGTACTCGTGGTTCCAGTCACGTCAGCGCATGCGCTGGAATCACGCCATAACCTTGAAACTCTAAAGGTTAAAATAAATTGCGTGGCTCCATCTGTCTTACATAATGTTCTTAAGTTACTGTTCTATATAAAACGAAATGAACAAAAAAATTAAAGTATTTAATGGGTTTATTTTGTCAATTTTTTCTAATTGCATATCTCAAAGACAAATGTGCAAATAATAAAAAAAGTCTTTTTATTATTACACAATTAATTAAAATATTTTTATTTCCAACTATAATAAAATACATAACGTGTCTAAAGTACAAAGAATTTAACAGCCTGTTTTTTTATGACCTTGATCGAGACCTGAAAAAAAAATTAGATATTATTAATATCTCTAAATAGATAAGATTGTCACAAAGCTCAATTTTTTTCATTACGACGTTCCAAAACGGTTTTCGTAGAAAAATGTGAAATTAAAAGTATTCCATCGAACAAAGTACATTACATAACTCTAAACCATAAAGGAAGAAAAGGGGATAAACGTGTTAAGGTAATACCTTTAAAAAACTAAAATCCTAATAAAAAAGGTAATAAACTTAAATAAATATATGTACATTAACAGTCCATTTAAATTAATGTCAATAAACAAACATAGAGTGGACCTTATATACTATATAAAGGTTGAATATTGACATATATAGTACAGTATATTACGTGTTTAATTTTAGATTTTAAAGAAGAGCTATCATAATTCCGATAGAAAACTAATAATATATACAACATATAAAGTACACAAGTATGTACAAATCTTCAATAAGAATAGCTTTTAATGATTTTGCAGTTGTAAATACCACATTGAACACTGTTGTAAGAACCTCATAATGAGAAACTGCACTTGCTCTAAATTAAGGATGTTTTTCTAGTTTTAAAAATAAGTTTATATTATATCTTGATATTACTAATTAACTCTTAATGCTCTTTGTCACCTCCTTTACTCCTCCTCCGAGAAAAAACATGTTTTTTAATATTAAAGCTAATATTTTAAAAGAATGATATTCTTTTAAGATATCTAACAACAACAAAAGTTATATTATCACCTTGATCTTCTTCGCCTGTCATAAGATCTACTCCTTCGCCTTCTTGAATGCCGATCTGGAGACGATCTCCTCCTTCTGTATCTGTCCCTTGAACGTGATCTGGATCTTGATCTAGATCTGCTTGATGAGTATCCCCTTCGTCGACTTCTTTTACGATCTCTCGACCTCGATCTTGATCGACTCCGATATGACGACGAAGACGATGATGAAAGATGGGATGATCTTCGAGAATTCCTTGAAGTACGATTTTTATCAGAAGACCTTTCCGTTACCTTCTCGTCATCATCAAGCTTGTACTTGGATAAGTCACCGTCGTCATCCTTTTCAATCGAAAAGTTGAAATAAAAATTTTGTAAAAAAAATACAATGAAAGACTCACTGAATCGTCATCTAAAACGTATTTTGAAATGTCGCCCTCGTCTGCGGAAATAAATATTCGTTCGAATGATGAAAAAAATCACTTAAAATATAATAAAACAAACCGCTATCGTCATCTTCATCACCATCAGCACGACCACTCTCTCCTGAGTCCTTCTTGGTCACAGCAGATACTCTATATTCTTTTTTTTTTCTCCCAAACTAAATATATGATAGGTGAATCTCTCGATCAAACTACAAGCACATTCATTACCGATACCTCATCATACTCATTATCCTCATCTTTGTACTCTTTGTATTCTACCACCTCGTCACGTTCCATGAAACCGCCACCGTAGCCTGTCACGAAATGTCGTTACTTAGAAAGACGATACCCTCTCTAAAAGTCTCTTACCAGTTCTCTTTTCCACTTTACCATGTTTAGGTGCGTTGCAAATGTTGCAGGCATTTCGTCTGGCCCAATTAATATTGCCACAACTAAGAAATTATTCAATTATGTTGGTAAGTTTTCATTTGTCCTAATTTCATAATGAATGAAATTGACAAAGCATCTTTCCATTCGCTATGAAATTTTAATATTTTTTGGGAGGTTTTTGCAGAAATTGTTTCCCACCACATAAAATACATCACATTAATTTTTTGCTTTTAAAGAACCAGATAATCAAAAAAAATTTATCCATCCTTAGGTTTTAAGGTATTTCTTAACTTAAAAATAGTTAGAATTATTGAACAAGTTGGCTTATCTTATTGTTGTAAAACTAAAAAAACGAATTCAATAGCTTTAAAGTAAGTTTTTATGCTATGAAGAAAGCTAAATTCTCGAAGATATCCTATGCCTAAACCGTTTTAGAAAGTTTTGTTTTAGTACGGTTAAGGTATTTCGCAATAAAGTTGTGGTATTAAAATAACAAAAATCCTTTTCGGGTGTGGAAATTCAAACAGTAAATTTTTTTACGTTTTGCATTGCCAATCATCAGCTGAAAAAAGGCCTTTGCTCTTTTCAGCTATGTTCTTTCCGATCTCCATTCCGCCTTTCTGATATACTTCACCGTCCATTCGGCTTCTACCACAGCGATTACATTTTTCCCGTTTAGAAAAATTTACGTTACCACATCTATTTGATAGATTACATTATCATTCTGCATCTGTTTTTCAAATAACTTACTTCTTATCCCCACAAATCCAATCGCCAGCATTTGGCTGAAATTTCTTAGAGCTGTAGTCGGCCATTTTCAAATTATATAAGCGAGGTATTGGGGTGTCAAGCGATACGCATTGAAAACTTTCAACACTGAATACGGTTCCCGACTATGCACTATTTTTTACGATTGCACGATGTAAAATCTCTACACCATTACAGTATTTGTTTGTCTAAAGAAAATAAAAAGTTGGTTTTGTTAAAATGTTTAGGAAAAGATAATTAAGATAGATAGATCAAAGTTATGGAAGCCCGAAAAAGAGTAAAAGAACGGTTGGAAAACTTGACTAAACTTTATGATGAAAGGAAAATAGTTGCCTCTTCGAAAGCGAGTGCAATTTCTTTTTTTTCAACGAGATTTTGGTTATTTATTATTCTATTTAATTGTGCATTTTTGGTACTTGCACATATATGCAGCCATTCATACCCGGAAGCAAAAACGTTGCAATCAGGAAGTGCTGGGGAATTTATTGAAGAAGTGGCTAGAAATCATTTAATCAATATAACCGCCATTGGGGTTCGCACAGTGGGAAGTACGGAAAATGAAGAAATAACTGTTGATTATTTCTTAACTATTTTGAAAAAAATTAAAGAAAATGCTTCTAAAGTCCATGACATAGAAATTATTTCAGAGAGATGCTCAGGTTCTTTTTTTATAGATGCTTTTGGAACTAGTTTTGGTATTGCATATGAAAATGTGAACAATATAGCTGTTCGAATTAGACCTAACACAGGAGCTAATCATGACCTTTTAATAAACTGTCATTACGATAGTCAAATTGGAACACCCGGTGCAAGCGATGATGCAGTCTCCTGTTCAATTATGTTAGAAGTGCTACGAGTACTTAGCGAGTCTAATGAAAGACTTGAATATGGGGTTATTTTCTTGTTTAATGGAGCCGAAGAAACAATTTTACAAGCTAGCCATGGATTTATAACCCAACATAGTTGGGCTAAAAGTGTTAGGGCTTTTATTAATTTAGAAGCTGCAGGAGCCGGTGGAAGGGAACTGTTGTTCCAAGCTGGTCCTGGAGCTCCCTGGCTTTTGGACACCTACGCTAAAAATGCGCCTCATCCCTTTGCCTTTGTATTGGGACAGGAACTTTTTCAAGCTGGTATTATACCTGCCGATACAGACTTTCGTATATTTAGAGATTTTGGGGAGTTATCCGGTATTAAAGTCATATTCAAATAAGCAAATTAGTCATTGACTTGAGTTTTTTTTCATTTATTAGGCTTAGATATGGCTTACATTCACAATGGTTATGTCTATCATACAGCCTATGATGAACCAAAAAGAATTCCTAAAGGCTGTATCCAGAGAAGCGGTATGAAATATAAAAATAATAATTCATTCGACATAATTAAACAAATATATTAATCTTATTTAACTTTTTGACAGGAGAAAACTTATTGGCAATTGTAAAGGCGATAGCAAATTCACGGTATCTTGCCAAACCATCAGCTTTCAAAAAAGACTCCCTGGTTTTCTTCGATGTATACGGTTTCTTTATGATAACTTATCCATCTTCTTTCGGACTGGTTTTGAATTGCGCTGCATGCGCAATAGTTATATTTGGCGTAATAAGTAAAATAATTCTAAATCAAGGTTGGTATGTTAAGAAAATGGCTATACACTCAATCTCTTTAATCCTTATTATAACTTTTAGACAAAAAATATACAAAACTATTTGTTATTGGTTTTTCAACTCAATTTCTAGCTCTAATCTTTACTTTGTCAATATGCCTTCTAATTGCTCATATTTTGACAAACATAGGAAAAACTCTAACATGGTATACAAACTCTTGGCTAATCATTCGTCAGTATTTTAATATCTTTAAGAATGAAATTAAAATATTAACTTGCTTTTCCTTTATTGTAGCTCTATATGTATGTCCGGCTATATCAGCGCTGACAATGACACACTTTGCTTCAAAGCAACTCATCTCAAAAAATGTAAGATTTCTTAAATGGTTTATGACTATTATTTAATTAGGAAAGTTATTTTTAGACGAATAATTATCAAATGGAAGAAGCTGTTTTTGAGGCAACAACGTTTCTCTTTACAATACCATTATTCGCTACGACTCTTCTTAGGTAATGCAGTATACATGATTAGTCATTCAAGTAGCAATCCTATTTATATGTTGTAAAGTGATATATCTTGATGAAATCTTTTCTCTAAACATCTATGTATCTCTACTCTCTTCCCGCTTACTAAATGCTTAATTTTTCGCTATTCTCAGATTTGATTCATCAGCTATTCTATTGCTAACAATTGTACCCCCCCTTGTGGTTAAGATTCATGGTAGTGCTTTCGTTACAAATCAAACTGGTCAGTAGTTGTAAGAAGTTACAAATCCAACTTAGGTTTCATTCTTTAATAGGTAATGGTAACAGTAAGGAATTATTAAAACGAATATGTGCCTTGCACATTTTATCAACGTTAATTCCGGTTTGCCTGATCATTTATATTGAATATGTTATATTTTCCTTTTTCGTGCCGTTATTTGGACGATCTGGAGATATGATTTCACCAGAGTACGTTATTGCTTTTTTAGCAGGCTTCTTTACATACTACACATTCAGCTATCAGGTTGAGCAATTTATTACAAAATAGAATGTCGTTATTAAATATTTGTATTTGTTTCAAGATGTCTCTGATATATCTAACCAAGGGTGCACTTAAGTTGCCCTTAACCTTGATGGGAGTTTTTGGATTTGGATGCTTTCTGATATTCTTTACACAATTGGGATCGCCATTTTCAATGGATACTGAAAATCCTTCGATTCAACGTTTAATTATTCAGGTTTAATCAAATTACTTGGTAAATAACGAATTAATCAAAAAGGTAAAAATTTCCAGCATTCATCGATTGAGGATCATAGAGAAAATTCAAGCCTTTTTAATAAAACTGGATTCTGGGTTAGCCCATTGGACTACCATAGCTCTGAAAATATGTATAAACTTCCTATGCTTGATGGAGCGTTACCTGTAACTTGTAATGAAGAGCAACCGTATTGCGGATTGCCTTTCTATCTTCCGACGAAACATATAATTAAAAATACTTTTTGGATCAATGGGAATAAACCAGCCTTTAAGCACTCAATTCACCTTGAAAACTGGAAAACAGTTCAAGAGGACGGGGCAACGAAATTGTTTTTCAAACTAACTGGTTAGATAATTTATTTTAATTAGCAATTATACGTAATTCCCCTTTCTATTGAAAAATTTATTACCAATAGGTTCCGATCGAAGAGTGATAATGCTACGTACTAAAACTGGCGTTGAACTGACTGGCTGGTCCATTTCAGGTGAAAAAAAACCAGCAATTAATAGTGATAGCAAACATTACTTTATATTTTACGCTTATGGTAAAAAACCAAGCAAACCATTCGAATTTTGGTGCAAGTTTAAAAACAATTCAAAGTTGATTGACAAATTTGTTGATATTGCCATTGCAAGTCATGACATACTAGACGAAAAGAGCTTCTCTACATCACTGACGATGCTAGTAAACACTTTACCAGAAGTGATATCACCTATGATAGTTTCATCTGATTTACACTTATACTCTTTCTAAGCAAAGATTCCAATAATATTCAGCACAGTATTACAAGAAAATTGTTGACATTTATATTAGCACTTCAAAATCTCACGTACATTGTCGCAAAAAAAGATTAATTCTATGCAGCTTCAATAAGGCTTAAAATAGGATTATAAAATTGACAATCAGTATTTAATTATCTTATATTTATTTATTGCTGAGAGAAGATATTCCTTTTTTGTTGTTTAGTAAAATTAAAATTAATTAATTCTAATTCTTTGTTGTGTCTATTATCTATTATTCGTTAGGCAAGTATTTATATATTATTATTATTACACGGAATACAAAACGAAACAAAAAACTTTAGTTCTTAAGTGTGACATAATCTGCAAAATACTTTTCCAATATTTCATCACTATTGTCGAGTAAAGTTTCAAATTTTCCCTGATTCTTCACTGTATCGAAAGAGTCATTAGCAATATATACATCTTGATCATGAATAGGTTTTAGCATCTTTTTTCTAACATTACACCAATCAAAATTCTTTTTCCAGAAGAATTTATGACTATAGTATGGAAATGCCTCTTTAAAATACGATATTGAGTATGTTTCAGGATCTGGAATGGAATCCTCACGTTTGGCAAGAATTCTAGCAAAAAATTTTGTAAGGCGGTTAACTACTAATTTTCCCGATTCTAAAGTTTTCCAATAGTCGTAGTATCTATCATTACTGTCTATAACAAGTAGAAATGAAGTGGTTCTTTCTCGTTTTCCGGACGTGTGCCTCGTTGACGACGAACCGTTTTGGTTATGCTCATCTTTTTCGTCTTTTAAACGGATAAAAGTGATTTTTTGTGCTGGTAGATCAGTTTTTACGATGGTTAAACTATCAGGCCACCAAGATTCGTTATAACGCAGAATGATTTGTGTTCTTTTACTTGTTTTTAATGATTGCATGGCAAGCTTATAATTATCGTATTTGAATGAATTTGACCATTTTATATCGGCCAAAGAACTTTTCGGTATTGCTAGAATGAGTTTCTTTGTACAAGATGAATGAGTCAACTGTAGAATAGTATGATTTTTTATATATAGATATATTTAAAACACAGCCTATTCTTACCGAATGCCTTTTCAATTCGCCATTTTCAGTCTTTGTAACAGAAAATTTCAATCGAAAAATACCATTCGTCTTTTCTATAGAATCCAACTTATGATAATTAAACGTTTGACTTTTAGAGTGAGAATGAAAGAAAAAATAACATAATGAATGAAAGTAATAATACATGAATATTAAAATAGTACGTTTTGTTGGCTTCAGTCAGTAACCTGGCCGCTAAATTTTCAAGTCGATCAGCATTAATACAATTAGAGAAATCATGTTCTAAATCTTCTAATAGATATCCCAAACTACTCATAAGATCTGGAGCATTATCAGCCCAAATGTCATTTAAACAATTAAGACCGTCACTAGAAGCGTATCCCCTAAGACCATTGACAAATCTAAATATGTAAATAAATACATATAATAGTAATCTACAGAATTTATTTTTGAAAACTCACTCTGCTTTTAGTAGAATTTCTTTATCCGCATCTTCAAGTGAACAAAGATTATTTATCTGCGATTTATTGATTTTATGACCGATTATACTTTCGGCATAAAATCTGTATCGAAATGAAACAAGTTTGTATGTTAAAAATATATTTACATTGGGAATTAGAAAGCTTTTATTTACTTTCTCAAGTTATCAGGATTTAATCCCTTCTCTTTATCATCAACAAAATATGGTAAATGGCTATTATTTCTTTGTTTTTCAGTTTTCAAGCTATTTCTTAAGAAATAAAACACCCTATTCCTTTTAATAATTTCGGGTTTCAAGTCAAAGTGCTTTAATAATTTAGAATATTTCAAGTTTGATTTTGAGAGAGATAAATTATCCAAGATACAATTTGCTATTTTCATCTCTTCTTTTCGCTTATTTAATAATAATCTTCCACCAAAATTTTCTGCCATTTCGTATAAATGAACCGTTTTCATTGTATTTCTCAACATCCATGCAATATAGGAACCGGCTAAGCCACCACCGATTATTGTTAAATCTGGGCATGCGTCCTTATCTCCATAACTAATGTAATGCGACTTGGGCCTTTCAGCTTGATATACTATTTATTTATTTATTTTAATTAATTTTTTTTTAAAAAAAAAAGATAAAGCAATAAAAAAAATGCTTATACCCACCGACTACGATAAGGACGATAACTGTTGCTATAATGAAGCTTCCTGTTACAACCAGAAATAATTTTGCTCTCTTACCACTAAAAAAGAAATAAAAAAACAATATATTTGTAATTATATTAAAAACAATGAAAAATGATGAAGAATGCAGAAAAATTTACCCCCATCTATCTGTCTTAGGCCTACTTTCGAATTGACGATTCTTATCCGAGAAATTATTTATGTCCATTTTATCATAGACTTCCATAATCTATGATAAATATTGAGCATTTTACGATTTAAAGCTATCTAACCAAATTCAGTTGGTGAAATGAAAATTTTTTTAGCTTCTCAATACATCAGGGTAATGACCTGTTTGAGGAGAGCTATAAGGGTATCTAAAGACTATGAATATTAATTGTTTACAAATAACTATAGCAACACTATTGAACTGAAATATAGAAGTTTTTATAATGAAAAAAAAAGAGGAAAGAGAAGAAAATTACTTCTATTCTTATACTTTCATTAACGCAATAATGTCTTAAAAAGCTTCCTTGGCTATTTTCTATCAAAACCTGTTAAAGTCTTATACGTATAATTTGAATAAATTATGAATAATATGTATGTGTTCGTGAAAAAAAGATGCAAAACTAAAATTAATACAAAAAAACGTTAATCCAATTGTTAAAAGGTGATAAACCTGTCTTATTTTTTTTTGCTGTTCCAGTTTTGGCTATTGGTGACAGTGGCCTCTTTCTTTTCATTGATTGGTGTTAATGTACTATAGAGTTTTGCTCCCAATTTTTGTTTATAGTCTTATACGATTAGACTGCAATTAATTATAATTAAACATATACTGGCTGCTTAATTATAGTATTGATACTTTTGAAATCAGTCGGTACTGTAATTCGCAAATTCAGATTGTTTCCTGCTTATGTGTTTTGTATTATTAATATAAATTAATCTTGATACAGGACAGTATAAGATTTCCAATTGAATATCTTAATTCTTAGCATAGCTTTGCTATTATTTAAGAAATATAACTAACTACCATATTGATGAGTTTCTACAAATAAATATAGAAGGATGTTTAATAGAGAATATGACATAAAATAGATTCGACGTCACAATATGAGAGAAAAAAACCATAGCTCAATAAGGTCTATTGAAGTTTATGTTTAGCGATTAATCGATTGTTGATAGTAATTTTATTAAATTCTCTTGCTGCCCAGTGAGATTGACTGCTTTGGGGACATTCTTTGTGAATGTAATCGATCTCTTAACAGCTCTTGATACAATAGATACTCTCACATCCAAGTCCTATAGTGGTCTTATTTCTGTCCAGATTAATAATCAATGAGAAATGAGGATATTAAAAGATAAATAAATGATATCCTTCCTTTTGTATTGACAAAGGAGAGCGAGAATATAGTAAACGATATACTTGTCCCGTCAATTTAATCTATTGAGTGCATACTAAAATTAGAATTTCTTCCCTTAATGAGCGTTTAGTTTGTATCGAATCCTGTTTTATTGTGATATAGCTTGTTTATAATGAAAGCTTTCAATCTTAAAGTTGAAGTTATTAAACGGTTCAATAATTCAGTAGATCGTTACATCATCCGTTCATAAATGTTGCAACTTGTTTGATTAGTTTCATAGATAAATTCCTATGGAGAAAACTTATGTTTCTCTGTTGGAACATATTTAAAAGGCTATTGGAAAACATTACACTAAACCATTTTTTCAACGAAACTTGACATAGAAAAACAAGTAAAAGCAACATGGAAATATAGATAAGGCTAATTAAATTTACATTTCCTGATTTCCTTTCAGATGGAGACGTCTAAAAAAACATACAACAGCAAATCATATTATTCTAACCCTCAAATAACACGAACAATATATAAAAGTATCCCTTAATGAAAAGTTTTTAACCGCTGCTTTTTCCGGAGCTTGAAGAACTAGAGCTCGAACTCGAACTGCTACTTCTTCTTCTCCTTGGCGATCTCGATCTTCGTCTAGGAGGAGAACGTCGAGGGCTTCTTCGCCTCGGTGGAGAACGTCTGGGTGGAGATCTTCTGGGTGAACGGTCTCTTCTTGGCGAACCTCGTCCATATCTTGGAGGACTTCTACGCCACTCGCCTCTGGAAGGAGGTAAGCCTCGACGAGGGGGCGAAAATCGCCTTGGAGGACGTAAAAGAGATTGTCGAGCAGGATATACAGTTGCAACGCTTATTTCCTGTCCATCTATTTGGCCAGCATCCATGTATTTAACGGCCTTGGCCGCATCATCAGAATGTTCATATTCGACATAAGCGAACCCTGTTAAAAACATTCGAAAATACAGAAATTGTTCAATTGATTGATCGAAAATAATAGATAAAAGTACTAGTAAAATCACTTTAAAAGCATAATGACTATTGTTTGATTGGTAATTTTCAGCAATACCAACTTTTATCCTTCCCTGGCTAATAATTTTTTGTTAAAATCCTGATTCAACTATTTTAATAGCAAAAATCTGTTAAGAACTCACCTCTTGAGAATTCAGGATGAACCCTATCACCCAGAATTTCTACGCTCTTGATTGTTCCATATACACTAAAAATCTCAATAACATGCTCTTTGTTAACATTTCTAGTTAGCCTCCCAATATGAATTTTAGTTGGCTTTGGAGTAGGGCTTCTACGTCTTCTTCTTGGAGACGCAGAACGAGATCGCTTACGTCTTCCCCCGTCTGACGAAGATGAAGATCTGGAACTTGAGGAAGATGATGAAGACGACGAACTGTTTGACGAAGAGCTGAATAATAACAATTACAATAAACTGTATTATTAACTTTTCTGTGAGAAGTATAATCATACACTTACCTCCCACTGGAGGATCCTCTGCGTCTTGATCTGGACTTATCTTTACTACGACTCCTTCCCCTAAAAATTTTTTTATACACTTGTTAAAAAATTGGAGATTTTCACTAGTTTTACTCTTTCAATTAATATCTACTACGTACATCAACGGTTTTTATCATATTAAAGCTAGATTTTACCAAAGGGACGGTAAAATAAATACAATTTAAAAAAATCTTAACGTAAATAAAACGATGTCACATTTTAGTGATCAGACGCTACTATAGCCATAAAATTGCAAAATCGGGTACAATTTGAAATGATTAACAGCTTATCCTTATAAAACTTAACTTAATGTTGTAAAAGTGGTAATATTAGCAGATATAACTTACATTCTTTCAGCCGGCTTATTTTACAAAAAACAAAACAACCGGAAACGGAAACCAAAAGTGATACTAAAAAATAAATAAGCTAACTTCATAATAATTTTAAAAATCTATTTTAATTCTTCTGTATCAAAATTAATTAGCTATTAATTAAAGAAGCAATTATTAAAAAATTTACGGAGATAATGTATTGAGGCTTGAGTCCTAAAGGTGAAAGCTTCACTCTTCGTCAAAATGGCGTCAAAGGTGATAGGCAAGAGCAAAGAGGTGATTGTTTTATCTTTATCTTATCATATTTTTCTTCGAATCAGATCGCGATAAGATTAACTTCCTAGTTTATTTTATATCATTTATGATTTTTGTGAAATCATTTCGTGAAATGGGCGTGTTTATTGAATTTGATTTTCGGAATAGAGTATCTGGGTTACGGTCAGGTATGCCGAATGCCCTTGAATTAGAAAATGCGATTTTTCTTGATGAATCTTTGATTTTTTTGTTTAAACTTGCTATCTGAAGTTGCTTATATATAATAAATCATTGATTCAGGATGAGAAGCGTGCCGATTCCTATCGATATGCTACTCAACCACAATCCGAGAATGATAACGGCCACGCCAAGAAGGATATGCGTAAGAAGAAGAAGAAGAAGAAGGAAGATCTGGATGATTTGAAGCAGGAGTTGGAAATGGTGAGTCTTAATTATTTTTATTAATCAGAGTTGCATTATTCATAATTTCCGCTGTAGGACGAACATCAAGTTCCAATTGAAGAGTTGTTCGAAAGATACCAAACCAATCCGAAAACTGTAAGTTCATATCTTTACTACGATTAGATGATCTTTACATTAGCCAATCTTTCTAAAAGGGATTGACTCCTGAAAAAGCTAGACAAATCTTGGAGCGTGATGGGCCGAATGAGTTAACACCACCTAAGACTACGCCTGAGTGGGTAAAATTTTGCAAACAATTGTTTGGCGGTTTCTCTATGCTGCTTTGGATCGGAGCTATTCTATGCTTTGTAGCGTACTCGATCCAAGCTTCGACTTCTGAAGACCCACCAGGCGATAACTTATACCTTGGAATTGTACTGACAGCTGTTGTAGTTGTCACAGGATGTTTTTCTTATTATCAGGAGGCAAAATCTTCAAGAATCATGGACTCATTCAAAAATATGGTTCCCCAGTATGCTATTGTTGTCCGTAACGGTGAATCGCTTAATGTACATGCGGAAGAACTGGTTGTTGGTGATATTATCGAAGTAAAGTTTGGTGATCGCGTACCGGCCGATATTAGAATTATTTCCGCACATGGATTCAAAGTTGATAACTCTTCTTTGACTGGTGAATCGGAACCACAATCAAGATCTGCCGACTGCACAAGTGAAAATCCATTGGAAACAAGAAATTTGGCTTTCTTTTCTACTAATGCTGTGGAAGGAACTGCTCGTGGACTCATTGTACAAACTGGTGATAGAACTGTTATGGGTAGAATTGCTAACTTGGCTTCAGGTTTGGAGATGGGAGAGACTCCAATTGCAAAAGAAATTGCACATTTTATCCATATTATCACCGCTGTAGCTGTCTTTTTGGGAGTTTCGTTTTTCATCATCGCTCGTATCCTTGGATACAGCTGGCTAGAGGCTGTTATATTTTTGATCGGTATTATCGTAGCTAACGTACCTGAAGGGCTGCTAGCTACTGTAACCGTTTGTTTGACTCTGACGGCTAAGAGAATGGCTAGCAAGAATTGTCTCGTTAAAAACTTGGAAGCCGTGGAAACTTTGGGATCTACATCAACAATCTGTTCCGATAAGACCGGTACATTAACCCAAAATAGAATGACCGTCGCACACATGTGGTTTGACAACAAAATTGTTTCATCTGATACGTCCGAAGAACAGAGTAATGGATCTTACAATACTGATTCTCCCACGTGGATGGCCTTGGCTAGAGTTGCTATGTTATGTAACAGAGCAAATTTCAAACCTGGTCAAGATGATATTCCTGTTCTAAAACGAGAATGTAATGGTGATGCTTCAGAATCGGCCTTGTTAAAATGCGTTGAGTTATCTATTGGACAAGTATCTCAATATAGAGAAAAAAACAAAAAAATCTGTGAAATCCCATTCAATTCGACTAATAAATATCAAGTTTCTATTCACGAAACTGATAATCCTGAGGACAGACGCTACTTAGTTGTTATGAAAGGTGCACCTGAAAGAATTCTCGATAGATGTAGCACTATTTTTATCAATAATGAGGAAAAACCTTTAACTGACGAGTGGCGAGAATCATTTAATCAAGCATATTTGGAATTGGGAGGTCTCGGTGAAAGAGTCTTGGGATTCTGCGACTACTTTTTGCCCCTTGACCAATATCCTGAAGGCTATAAATTTGATTCTGATGAAGAAAATTTCCCCCTTACTGGTCTAAGATTTGTCGGTCTAATGTCTATGATTGATCCCCCAAGAGCCGCTGTTCCTGATGCTGTAGCAAAATGTAGATCAGCCGGTATTAAAGTTATTATGGTAACCGGAGATCATCCTATCACTGCCAAAGCTATTGCAAGAGGTGTTGGTATCATTTCTGAAGGAAAAGAAACTGTTGAAGATATTGCTGAGCGTCTTCATGTTACTGTCGGCGAGGTTAATCCTAGAGATGCTGAAGCATGTGTCGTACACGGTTCTGACCTAAGAGATATGGTTCCCGCCCAAATTGATGAAATCTTACAAAATCATTCTGAAATCGTATTTGCTAGAACTTCACCCCAACAAAAACTTATTATTGTTGAAGGTTGTCAAAGACAGGGACAAATTGTAGCTGTTACCGGTGATGGAGTTAATGATTCTCCAGCTTTGAAGAAGGCTGACATTGGTGTTGCTATGGGCATTGCCGGTTCAGACGTTTCAAAGCAAGCTGCCGATATGATTCTCTTAGACGATAATTTTGCTTCAATTGTCACTGGCGTGGAAGAAGGCCGTTTGATTTTTGATAATTTAAAGAAGAGTATCGCCTACACTCTGACGTCTAATATTCCTGAAATTTCACCCTTTCTTATGTTTATCTTATTAGATATTCCACTACCCCTTGGAACAATCACCATTTTGTGTATCGATTTGGGTACTGATTTGGTTCCCGCTATCTCATTGGCATACGAACAAGCTGAATCTGACATCATGAAAAGAAAGCCGCGTGACCCCGTTAACGATAAGTTGGTAAATTATAGATTGATCAGTATGGCCTATGGTCAAATCGGTATGATGCAAGCTGCTGCTGGTTTTTTCGTATATTTTGTAATCCTTTGCGAAATGGGATTCTGGCCAACCAGATTATTTGGCATTCGTGAAGAATGGGATTCAAGAGCCATTAACAACCTGGAAGATTCTTACGGTCAACAGTGGACTTATGCACAGAGAAAAGTTATTGAGTTTACATGTCATACCAGCTTTTTCGTGTCAATTGTTATAGTACAATGGGCAGATCTGTGTATCTGTAAGACTAGAAGAAATTCCATTGTTCACCAGGGTATGTTTAATAAGCACTTAACCTTTGGTTTGTTCTTTGAAACGACTCTGGCTGCTTTCTTGGCCTATTGTCCCGGTTTGGACAAGGGCTTAAGAATGTACCCTCTCAGATGGACATGGTGGATACCTCCACTTCCCTTCTCTCTCTTAATTTTCATTTATGATGAAGTTCGTAAGTACTTGCTCCGCAAGTTTCCAAAAAGTTGGATAGAAGAGGAGACCTATTACTAGAAAGTCATCAAACGAAAATCTTTCTTCGAAATTAATATTGTATTAGTGTTTTATTTCTGTAATAACACAAAACGTGTTTTTTGGTCAGTTAACGCTTTTAATTTTTAGGTAAAATGTCTACTGTTATATTTTTTTTTGGCTTGTGCTTTCCAGCAGCTAAAGTAGATTTTTTGTTATTTTGGCAATAAATTTTATTTTATCCTTAATAAAGCACCAATACATTTGATCTTAATAAATTTAATTTAGTACATTGAATTTGTTGATTGAATTTTTTAAATTTTGACGCTTTAACCAACTAAGGCCTAGTTACTTTTCGATATAAGTCGATTTTTTTTTGAATGTATATCGATACGGACAATTATCGCTCAATGAAGTGAGCGATAATAAAGGAACAACTTCAGAGCCACAATGTTGTATTTAGAAGATTATTTAGAGAGTAAGATAGAATTTTGATAAGATAAATACCAAATATAAATATCTAATTTTTAATATAGTGATTGAAAATCTTCCCATGGAGATGAGAGATAGATTTACCGAAACCAGAGAACTAGATCTTCAAGTTCAAAGCTAGTTAAAATTAGGCATTCACGAATCGCTTTCTAATTTTTTATTTTCTCTAAATCCTTATAGATCTGATAGATAATTTAAATGAGAAGGAGCGACAATTTTTTAGGAAATTAGAAGTGGCGGGAGATACTGTTAGGCCAGAATGGAAAGAAGAACAATTTAACAAAATAAAACAAGTAACTCTCTAAAATAATTCATAAAAACTACTTATAACCAATTGTCAATGATTGTAAAAAAAACAAACAATTTTTCTAATAGTAAAGCGTTTTTAATTAAGTTTTTTTCAATTTTCAGGAATATACCAGTGCTTTAGAATTTGCTGAAGAAAAAGTTCAAATTGTTTCCCAAGTATCCGATTTAGTAAGTATCTAAAATTTTAACATTAAAATTGTCTATTAATCTCTAAAATTATTCATAATAACTGAAATTTGAAAAATTAGATTGAAAGACATCTTCGAAAATTGGATATGGAGCTCGAAAAATTTAAAATGGAGCTTGAAGCTGATAATCCTGGTATTACCGCTATATTAGAGAAAAGGTCACTCGAATTAGATACTGGCGATAAACAGAATGGGAAACTCTCAGAAAATCTTTTGAAAAGTATTTTTCTGATTCTAAAAATATAAATCATTTACATGAAATTTGTAAAACTTTTAGAGAGAAAGCACTCCCAAGCAACTTCTATATCAGGTTCGGCAGGCGGTATTACCGTTCAGCATGATGCTAAACAAAACTTAAATCGAGGAATGTCATCTACGTTATATCCTACTCCGTCAAACGACCCACGGTCGTCCAAATCAGAAGTTCTCACTTCCTTAATAAATTCTAGCTCTTCGTATGGCTCTCAGAGTACCGCTAAAACACCTTTCGTTGCTGCCGCTCAAAAAGCAATAGCTCTAACATCAGAAACATCTACTGGTAGGAGGACATCCAGCCTCAAAGCATCCTATGAAGGATTGGTAAAGGGTAATGTTGGTATATCTCAAAGCCCCCCTCCCAACGTCGTCAGCACATCAGTTCCGAGTCCAGGCAGTTTTCAGAGAAAACCGAAAAAAGCGCGTACGTTTGGAGGAAAGCCAATGGAAGGCTCTCTTCCAGTTTCCACTGAATGGGGATTGGATCCTAATGAGCCTAGATATTGTTTATGCAATGAAGTATCTCATGGTGAAATGGTTGGCTGTGATAATGAGAACTGTTCAATAGAGTGGTTTCATTATGCATGTGTAAATTTAAGTACGGCTCCCAAGGGCAAATGGTATTGTCCTCAATGTACCAATTTGAAAAAAAGAGGAAGAAAAAACTGATATTCAGATATTTTTTCTATATTTTCATTACACTCTGCAAACCAAACGGTTATTTAGAAAACCAAAAAGTTTCTCTTTTTTTTTACCAGATAATATTTTTATTGGTAAAATACACATAGGAACTTGTGACTATGTTAACTGCCAGCTTCGAAATATTCATATGCTATTGTTTTCTTCATGTTTTGCGTCTTCGTGAGCAGCACTAATTTGCTGCAAAGAGCAACTTCTGATGATTGACCTCATCCTTGAAAAAAAACAAAAATATTGAATGTTTTTGAAAATCATAGTTATAATTTTTTTGGCTCTAACTTACTCTTCGTTCTTTCTGACTTTGTAGAATTTGTCTGCATATCCTGTTCTGCCGAGTAACTCTATGAAATCTTCATCGTGTGTGATAATTACGAGCTGAAAGTTTCTTTGACTAGCTCTTGTTCGTATAATTCTGGAAATAAAATTAAACTAAGATAAATATGTCAAATAATTCTACTTAGGTATACTCGTTTAGAGCGGATGCTAGAGCTTCAATGTTTTCCCGATCTAAATTCGTCGTTGGTTCATCCAGGGCTAAAATTCCGCAGTTAATACAAAAAGTTTCAGCCAACGCAAGACGAATGATTAGACTCGCTAAAACTTTTTGCCCGGCGCTGCAACGTCCTCTCATATCAACTCTCGTATCTCCCTTAATCATAACGACTCTGTAATTGTATTGCTTTCTCTTATCTGAGCTGGATTCATGTTCGCTACAAATTTCAATTCTGTCAATATCTTGTCCAGCGTAAGTGTTAGCCCATAATTCAGCCAGAATTCTGTTAATTTCTTTCATTTTAGTGTCATGATAAGTTAATATAGCAGCGTCTAAAGCAAGTTGATAATTTTTGAGATCATCAAGAACAACATCATGCAACTGAAAAGATTATTGATTTAGCAATAGATATGAAATACATAGTACGATTGAAAATAACTTCGAATCTAATTGACTTCTCTTTATAATCATTATCAACATTTTTGTATTCAGGGCTTTGTAGTCTTTTCTTTAAGGATTTTATTAAATTTTCCATCTCTCCCAATGATCCGTGCAATCTTGTAATCTGATATATTGTTGTATTAGTAATTTGTAAAATTACGCTGAAAAAAGTTTTAGTGAACCTCCTGTTGCAGTTGGTTTAATTTTTTGCCTTTTTCTTCAATAACTTTTTGTAATTCGCTTGCATTTAGAAAACCAACTTCTTTCTTAATATTTTCTAATTCTTTTTCAGCCATTTTACAGTCATTTTTTAAGCTAAGTAACTTAATATTGTCCCGCAAATTTCTTTCGTCAATCTGTAAAAGCAAATTTAAACGCAAATGAAATAACTATTTAAAATAGAAACTGGTAAAAAATAGCAGCAAACCTCTTGTGTGGCCAACTCGTCTTTAATCATTTCATGTTCTTCTTGCGTATTTTTTAAATCATTTTTTTGCTTTGAAATCTTAGACTCTATGATCTTGATCTCTTGTTTTGCTTTTAGTAGATGATCTTTTTTGTTAGATTCTATGTATCTGTGAATATTAGGCTGATAGCAGAATAGCTTCAATCATAGAAAAAATATTACTTGTCTATAGTGGATACTTGAGCTTTGAATTCTTTTTGGTCCGATCTTAACTTCTCTAAATCATTACGTAATACTAGTAAATTATTTTCTCCTTCTTGCTGACGCAGCTTTTTCTGACTAAGTAGTTTTTCAATTTCTTGATCAATTGGTGCCAATTTATCGAGATTGGACTATAAATATATTTATAGACTTTATGGTTAAATTAATAAAAAAAAGTTGAAAAAGGTACTTGAATATTTTTTTCAAACTTGGCCATATTTTCCTCCATATCTTTGCATTTTTCTCTGAGATTATGAGCTTGTTGTAGTTCACTTTGTATTTGAACCTTTAGTAATCTAATCAATTAGAATTTTATGATTGTATCTTATAATGTACAAACTTGTTCACTCTGTAATTTCATTAGTTTATCATTCATTTGATGTTGTTTTTCATATTGCTTGTGGTATTTTTGTTCTAACATTTCCAATTCCATGCTCAAACGATCACTTTTATTTTAAGAAAAATAAGCAATTATATTAGGATTTTATGGAAAGAAGTATAGATATTATATCCACCTTTCAGACTCCAATTCATTCTTTTCGTTTTTCACCTCTTCAATAGACCTACCAACAGCTAAAATTTTTCAATTAGGAGTGTATTCACGTTAAAGAACGGTACTTACAAGAGTGTGGTAGACTCATCTGCTTGTTCATTAAATCCCTCTTAAGTTTGTCCACTTCCTTTGCACTATTATCAATTGTTGTTAAATCTCCAATACATCTTTGGGCGTTAGCAGTTTTTTTCAATAGTTCATTTAGCTCCTCTTCTCGCTTGAATGGAAAAAATTTACTGCCGTTTTTGTATTGAAAATTAACTCTACTACTTCTGATATTTCTTGTTGTTGATTCATGGTATCTTGTTCCATTTCTTTTATCTTCTTACGTACCTCAGGTAAAGAAGATTGAGCCTTTAAAATCTGAGTTTAACAGTTGTAGTAATGTAATTACCGTTTATGCCGTTATTTAACGTTACCATTTCTTGTAGAGGACGAAGGTTATAAAGTTTCTCTAACTTTTCTTGTTCTTTATTCTTAATAGTCTCCTCTTTCTTTAGTAACTCTGGTGCTTCGGCCATTTTTTCTTGTAGCTACAGGATATTTCATGTTTTCTTAATTCTTAATAATCAATTAGGATCAATCTTAACTTACATCTTTTGCAATATCTTCGGCCTCACCTCTTGACTCAAAATTTCTTTTACAGACAGGACATGGATCGTTATTCTTTAGCTTTTTAACATAAGTTTGAAATAAGCGACCAGAGGCTTCAATCATTCCACGTCGACTATTGACAAATAAGGGTTATTCTGGTAGAAAAGTTTTGATGTTTAAATACTAACCTCTCGATCGTCTCGATACTTTCTTTAGCTTCATTGATGACTCTTTCCAAATCGACATCTTCACAACCAGTAACTTCTGTAATTTTCTTTTTCGCGTCTGAAGGAAGATAAGTTTGGTTATTACAAAAGAATTACATATAGTAAAAATGAATAACCTTGAACAGTTTTCTCTTTATTTTCCAACTCTTTTCTACAATCAAAAAATAGAATAATGATATTTGAAATGTCATTATGTAAATGCGATGTATAAAACCTTAAACTGTGCATATTAGATTCACATTTTATCTTTTCTGCCTTGGACTTGTCAAGATCTCTTCGTTTATCTCCTTCTTCATCTTGCATATTTCTATCGAACGCATAGTTTTTATCTTGTAATTATATTTTTCGTTTTATATAGAAAAAACCTTATTTTATTTTGAACGCTTGATCTAATATTATCGTTTGGCATTCTACCCAATAGTGCACGAATTATGCCAGCATGTTTATCTCTTAAAGAGCGAATTTCGTCACTTTTTTCTTGAATATTTTTTTGCAACATCTCTATCTGAGCTTTCTCTTCAACATACTCTTGAAGGCTATCTAATTCGTCCCTATTTAATTGTAATGTAGTTAATATTTAATCGATATATTAAATAAATTTCAAAAAATCATTGTAGAGATTTTACCTTCTCTCGCGAAGTCGACCATCAGTTTCTTTTCTATCATCCTTACAAGATTCCATGGTCTTCTTCAACTCATCCAGTTTATATTCACGTTTTGCTTCTTCAAGATCAGTTTTCTATAATTCATAAAAAAGTAAATCTTAACGATCGATTCTATATTTTGATTTTACCGCTCTAGCAATATCCATCTCCAAGTCATCCAGCTTAGATGCATATCTTTCTATATCCTCTAATTTTCGTTTAATGCTTCTAATTTCTTGCTTGTTCTCGTTCTAAAAATGTAATAAGAATAGTAGAAATCATAAACTGAAAGCTAAGACTTACCAGAGATGAACGATTCATGTCTATTTCTGTTGACAAGCCGGCCTTTTCGGTTCTTTTCTTATCGATTTCACTCTGAATACCTTGTTCAATATTTCGAATTCTCTCCTATATAATATATTAGAAAATTGAACCTTGAATAGCAAAATTAACTAATTTTACATTCTCTTGGTGACTTTTATCAGATATTTCGTCATGAATTTCTTTTAGGCTCACTGTTATTTTCCGACATAATTGTTGGTTAAATTCATCAGTTTCTTTAGGAATGTGCACTATGAAAAATAAATAATTATTAGCTTTCAGAGTGTATTTTTATGTAAGACTCACTCTTCATTTTGTGAAATTCATTTAGTTCCGACATTCGACTAATGCAACTTTTAATATTCGCCACGTGATTCTGTTGAAAGAATTTCGTCTAAAATTCAACCGTCTCATATCAATTGTAAATACCTTTTCTTCAGTCTCAAGTGTTGCAAGAGATCTTAATTTCTTTTTCAAATCAAATTCACAATCGTCTATTTCTCTTCCTAATCTTGAAAGATTCTCTTCAATCTTACATGAGAGAGCAGTTTGATAAATATTTTATAATCCAAGTTTGAATTTTATAAACTTACTTTATTAAGTTTACGCTCCTTATTTTTCGTGGTACTCTGAAAGTCTTTTAGGTCTGTTTGCAAATCTTCGATTGATTTCGATATCAAGCATTTTAGACTAGATTTAAGTTCTTTTTGCTGTTGTTCGTAAAACACAACTCTTTCCTCCAATGATCCTAAAGGTGAGAAGAGAAAAATAAAACAACTCTTGTTCAACTAATTTTTCAAGCATTTACTTTCTTTACTGCGCATGTCATTTATCTCTGCTTGATCCTCTTGAAGTTTAGCATACTCCTTAGTAAGTGGGTCGTTTTCTTTTTTCATATCATCAATTCTCTTTTTATATTGCTTAAACTTTACTTCATTCTCATCTAGTTCTTCCCTAACCTACTCAAAAGACAATAATTCTTGATAATATTAATAATTTTATAAACAAACATTCTGTGCTCCAGTTTTGTTTCTATTCAAATGCTCTAGGTCATTAATCAAAATCCTTCTCTCTTGTTCCTATTAGATCATAAGCAATATATATTACTCGTCTAATGCACGATAAACTTGTTACCTTTTGCTTTCTTATAACTTTTATTTGATCAACAGCTTTTACATACTGTGCAGAAGCAAATATTTCATCAAATTTTGTTTTCAATAATTTTCCTTCGCTAAGAGGCCAGCACGAGTCTTCTTGATGACAAAAAATAACGTTTTCAAGAATGGGTTTGGAAACCCCAAGCAAATCAACCATCTAATTTCACATTTCATGCATTAATATACATATACATCTAATATAAAAAATTATTTTTATCATACTTCATTGTTTATGTCAATACATTTTTTACTGATGCTTGTCTTGTTTCGTAGAATATTTTGTTCCAAAGTTTTTGCAGATACCGTCGATGCCTTTAATATAAATAATGATTAACATTTGAATTTTAACGAAGACTTTATGTTACTTTTTGTGTAGCAATAGCGCTTCTAGTTACAACTGTTTGTATTCCTCTGATGTCGTTGAAGAGTAATTTCACCTGAGATTTTACTTCTCTTTCCTTAGCAACCTATAAGTGAATTTCTTTAGTAAATCATTAGCTACTATGTTATCCCCAAATCATTACTTTTGGATCATGGATGAAAGCCGAGAGCTTGTTACTTCCAGGTGGTGTATCACCAGTTGTAGCATACTTTAAGCATTCGATGATTGTCTATTTATAAATATATGTAAAAAATTTGTATGATTTTGTTGTAAAAGTATTTTTACTGTTTTTCCAGTTCCATTAGCACCTAAAATCAGAGTTAAAGGTGTGAAGAAAACAATGACTTGTTTATCGCTATCATCAGGTCCAAAACTTCTAATTCCTTGAATGGCTAATTTCGAAATTGATGACATCTTCAACAGATCTATATATTGAAAATATAAGTTCCTAGAGACGCAAATTTAACTTTTTTCAAAGTTACTATGTTTCTAGTGTCAAATACACTTTACTATCTTTTGTCAAATATGAATTGAGAAACTCTTAATGATTTTGGAGGATTTCAGCTAATTTAGAAATAATAGGTGGCATTGCGCAATTTTCCAGAAAAAAATATCAAAAAACATTTAAAAAATCTTCAACAATTTATTTAAATCCATTTGGGGGTGTACAACAGAAGTTAAAGATTCATGAAGCAACTTAAGAAGTGCTCAAATATTCCCGCGTGAGCGATAAAATACATATTTTGCCTAAAAATCATTTCTCGAAGATAAATATAAAATTATTTAAAGAAAATTTTTTCCCATTTAATGAGTGAAACAAGAAATTGCAACTTACTATTCCAATCCTTGATTTCGGAAACAAATATTCTACTTTTTGTAGGAACCGCTAAAAATTCAAGACACTGCAAAATAGTTGAAACAAATTTGATTAAGGATTCGCCATTCTCTAACCTTTACCTTTAGAAAAACTAATACTGTTTTTCGAAAATGGTTCGAAGAAAACAGGCGATTTTGCACAAGGTTTCACAATCAAGTAATTTACATGGTAGCGCAGAAAAACGTAATTATTTAACTGGACTTATTTATTCAAAAACTTTATTATTTTTTTCGTTTCTCACTTTTATATTCCAGAGAAAGATAAAGGGAGAATAATCGGAGGTGCAGTTCGAAGTAATGATTCTTTTCTTATTATTACTGTGCAGAAGTATACAATATTAATTTTTTTATCTTAAAATGTAGGAAGATATCGACCAGGCGTGAAAGCTCTGATGCAAATTCGAGAATTTCAACGCAGTACAAAGCTATTGATCAGACGTTTGCCATTCGCTCGAGTTGTAAGGGAAGTTACTCAGGAAATGTTTCAAGGAAATTGTGATTTTAGATGGCAAGTAGTGGCAATTATGGCCCTCCAAGAGGCAGCTGAAAATTTTTTAGTCACCTTACTGGCCGATTCTTACTTATGTACTTTACATGCTAAGAGGGTTACTTTAAAAGTTGAAGATATCCGATTATGCAGAAGAATTCGAGGTGTTCAACACATGTGGTAGTTTTTATTTATACGTATTTTATTGTTTAAGTCTTGTTTAGACATTGTCTACTTGTCCACAGAACTGTCGAGTTTTTATGTTCTTATGTTTATCTTAGTTTAAACTGTTGAACTTGTAGCTATATTTTAACTTTGTTAATTAACCATTTTGTTCATAATATTTTTTCTACATTGCATTATCGCTATTGATATTTTATTGATCGTTAAATATCAAGTATCAACCAGCGTTAATAAAAACATTAGAATATTGTTTGTAGTTTTAATTAAATTTTACCTCGACCGTAGTTCATGTCCACTTAACTTCTCTCAAAATACTCTATGTAAACCTTAAAAAATTACGTTTATAGAATTAACGTGGGTGGATGAAGTGCTTGGCATTGTATACATTTTATTACATCATGCGTGTTTTATGATATTTACATAGGTGGCTCTACCTTCAACAACTTTTTTCCTGTTTTCGGCAAATGTTGACTTAACTATTAATTCAGACACCCCTTTGCTTTACTTAGTTAATAATTGAGAGAATGAACGTTGTTTTTCTTCTATCCTCTCATGTTTTATTAATATTACAAAGACGACAATTGTTATTCTACAATTAAAAGATTAAGTATTTCATCTGTCAACTTTATTCATATAGACTATAGATTTATCAATTTCTATAGAGATATTTATAAATTCTCGTGTTTGTTTAAGGGCATACTAGTAAGATAAGTTTGCAATTAAATTGATACTTGACTATTGAGATTAGTCTGGCGTTAAAGTAGATAAATTGTCTATGGCCTAGTGAAAATCTTCTATCAACTTTGAATATCAGCTTGAAACAAATTCATCATTGTTTCTCTCTACAACAAAATGTTTTCATTGTAAGCTTGTCAACTGTTGATTTATTCATTGTAAATATAGGTCTAGCCTGAAAGGATCCTTTTTCTGTTTTGGACCAAGAATTGTATGCACAAATCATTGGTATATTATAGAACGGAGATTTTCAAATTTCATTCCTTTATTTTTACAAAATTCTCTAAATAAAGATTATTCAAAAATATACGTAAATATACTGTATAATATATTATATATCGACTGATAGTTATATAAAACAATTGAGTTAAAGGTTAAAAGGGTGACCAGATTCAATCTTCCTTTTCCTTATCGTTGTCTTTCCTGTTTAAATACATAATTATCATTAATAAATTTTGTCGAAGAGTTTGCAGGAAAATTAAGACAATATAGGCAAGCAAATAGTAAATGCTCAATACATGTGAAACAATGATATAAGACAAGAAAAGTAATGCTAATAATAGTAATCATAAAAGTGCATAAGCCAGAGTTGTAATTGTTTATTTTTGGAGAATATAAAATGTCGATAATAGAAAATAACTTAATAAAATGTTAAGAATTATTATATTACTCCAAAAAGAACTATTCAACTAGAGAGTGTTGTTCTTAAAGCTGAATATCATATGCTTCAATTTCTGCGTGTGATACGACATGTATTAGGCTTGTTCTGTAACGTTTTTGTGATGCAATTTATATTCAATTTAGCCAATAATTTTTTATATTACTACGGTTTTTGTTTTTGACCTTTCTATTGGTTCTGAACTAGTAGGTTCTCCTTGTTTATCTTCTTCTTCAATTGGTTTTTCCTCTGTTTTATTTGCTTCTACTTCGTCATCGTTTTTTATTGTATTAGTATTATCTGCTTCATTAGACTCTTCCTTTTCTTTTACTTCATCTTTTTGTTCGCCTTCAACTGAATCTACAGTGTCTACATTAGCTTTATCATTATCGTTCTCTTTAGATTCCTCTTTATTTATTTCGTCATCGTTAGTTTTTGTAATACTTTCCGCATTATTATCTTCTTTATCAGATTTATGGCTGCTATTGTCACTATTTTGTTGCTCTTGTATTGAAGTAGCCTGCTTACTTGTCCTGAAAAACATTATAATTCAACCTTCTATAATTTACGTGGATATCTGGATATCCTTGGGGAAGGGAGAAGGAATGCGGACTTTTTGCTCAATATTGCTTTTTATGGAGTTTGTCTTTTGGAATGATTGAAATTACATTTATTCTTTTATAATTTTAGTTTTGTTTTTCATGTGCAAGAGGTTTAAAAACCTGTTCGATGTTTCCATCCATGATGGAATTTCCTCCCTTTCCACGATACTCTCTTCTCCATGTGTACATGGTTCATAATGTTGTAGAACCGATTTCGCTAATCATTTTTTATCAACGTAATAAATAAACAGAATATTAATTTAGAAAATAACTTAATTAATTGAATGATTAAAAAAAAAATATTTGAAATTTTAGAAATTCCAGACAAGTTAATAAAACAAATAATAAACTAATTAATTGAGATTTCAAATAATGCTTTAGGTGTCATAGGATTAACCGGTGTTAAATGAAAAACATATTCTTACTCTTCCTCCTCAATTTCTTCTTCGTCTTTATTTTTAGAGATATTTTCTTCAGGTTCAGGTTCAGGCTCAGGTTCAGGTTCAGGTTCAGATTTAGGCTCAGGTTCCGGCTCAGGTTCAACTTCAGCTTCGGGTGTTGATGATTTTTCAGCTAAATAATTTGTGAAAGAATATTTGCATAAGCTAACACAAAGGAATGGACTGTCTAGCATAGGAAAAGGATAAAAATAGACATCCTGCTAAAGGCTAAATGGCTGGAAAAAAATAGCGAGGGAACTGCAATAAAAGAATAGGCAGAGATACTAAAGGGATTATCACATTCTAGGTTTGATTTTCTACCGTCTTGGTTCGATAGTGCTTTCTTTATCTGTCACTATTACGTAAGGATAATTTGGTTTATTTTTACAAACTAAACATAAGAGGGCCTGTTTAAACTTTCACGGTAATCGTAAAATAACTCTATAATTCTTATCTTTTTATAAATATCGAATAAAAAACTTACGTTTATCTTGTTGTTCATCGTCGGTAGGGGCATTTTCGTCATCTTCTCCCTTTTCTTTCATACCCTTAACAATTTTTGAATTGACATCTTCTATAGCTTTCTTAATAGCCTTTTCTGCCGCATGGTCTTCTTGAGCTTTAGCCATGTCCAAGGCTCTTTCGAAAGAGTCTAAGGCCGCTTGATAGTCATTTAACTTTACTTCAGCCTGAGCAACTAGAACACTTCCGTTCAATTGCCAGATATCATCTTCAGCCTCTACAGCAGCAGCTAACGACTTTTCACCGTAATCTTTGGCCTCACTAAAGAGAGAGAGAGACAGATAGAGAAGTTTGTAAATTATACAATGTTTTCCATTAGCTCATTTATTCCTACCTGTATTTTCCAACTTCCAAATAACATCTACCAATTTCATGATACAACCAAGTGGACTCTAACGCTGATTTCGACATAGGTAACTTCTCTTCCCATCTATTACAATTAATAGGAGAATTAGATTAAAGAATAAGATGTAATTTTAATACAAACACTTGAATAGCTTTGTCGTAACTTCCCTTTCTTGCATAGACTCTGCCCAAATTATCTAAAGCCCTCGACTTAGCATCTTCGTCGTCACTAATGAATTTAATGGATTATTGATCATTATTAATTAAAAATTTAATAATTAATAATATTTATTTACTTTTGTTTAGCAATTTCTAAATCTAATGTATGCTCTGATAAAGCTTTGCCGTAATCTCCCAATTCTAAATAGGAGTTACCCATACAGGAATGTAAGTTTCCAATGATTGCACTTCTCGTATTCAAGTCGCGTTCATTGTATCTGAGTATTTTTAGTAGAGATATTAACATAACAAATAAATAAAGAGGCCTAATTACTTTTCAACTTCTTTCTTAGCCTTTTTAGATATGTCCAAACTCTTTTTAAAATTACCTTCCGTTTGAGCTTGAAAAGAACATAAATATTTTTATACGAAAATTAACACGAATAATATAATAGTACCATTATCAATATCTTCCATTTTTCTAACTATATAATCTTCGATGTTTATCTCCCTTTTCATTTTATTTTCACCCTTATTTTTCAGTAATTTCCTTTGGTGAATGTCTCTTTCGTGCGAATACATAGGCTTTTGTTGTTGCCAGAATTCCGTTCTCGTATCTAAATACTTTATTGACGAAGGATGAATAGAAGTGAAATTAAGAAATGATTATTAATTTTATTTAAATAAATACATCTAATCCTTGTTTTGCTAAGCGTTTTATTTCATCGTTTGTCTTTGTCTTTGCTGCGGCTCCATCTGAACAAATGTAATATATTCATGCAATTCAAGAGAGAGGGAGAGACAGTAACATTAATAGCGTTTATAGCCTTTGGGCAATACGCTAAGTATCCCTTTTTCTTACCTAATCCGCTTAACAATTTTTCTAAGAATTGCTTATCCTCGTATAATTGCCCTAATAGTTGTTTAACTGTTTTAGGATCTGTTGGAACGGTTGATCTTGGTCTTTTTTCCTAATTAAGTAATTTAAATAGGTTTAAAACATATTTCACAATAAAACAGGTTTTTCTATTTCTAGTTTCTTTTTTATTGGTTCTTTTTGCAAAATATAGAACGGAATTTGACCTATTTTCTTTTTTTATCTAAAATTTCTTTCAACAATATTAAGAAGAAAAAAAAATTCAACCTTTTCTTTCGGTTTGGCGCCAGGTTTTTGATAGCCTCCGGCAGCGGCCTGCTTTTTCTTCGCTTTCTGTTGCTGTTTATTTATTTGTTTTTTTTTTTTTTTTAAAAGAAAAAGAAAATTTAAATTAATCAATCTTTCTATTCAACTTATAGAGAATATAATAAAAAGACACTGAACTAAAATAAAGGAAATATATCAACTAAAAAAGTCAAGAGATACATCATCGTCCTTGGTGAAGAAGAGAGAATTTTTTTTTTGTTCTAAACAGTATTATATTAAATATTTCACTATTTAATATTTAATACAATTCAATTTATGAATAGGGTGCATAATCAAAGATAATAATATTAAAAAAAAATCATCAAAATCCACATATATAGTTTAAAATAGAGAAGGATTTTTTTATATAGATTTTTTTTTATTGGGTATCACCTCATTTTCATCCCCTTGTGCAGGCTTCTGAATTTGTGTATACACTCATATACAGTTATGTACATAATAGTATTGTATGTAAATATACAATAGTTATGTAACCATAGTAATAATAATAATAATAATAATAAAAAGGCTTGTGAATAAGAATAAATTAAATGCACACTCTAGAAAAAAAAATTATATAAATCGGAGAAATAAAACGTTAAACAAATGAATAATTTATCATTTGTTCTTATATCTCATATAAAGTGATTGGGTTGTTTTATAGTTTAATTATATAGTTTTTTTCTACCTTTTTTGCATCTGCCTGCTATATTTATATATAAGACACATACATATATATTTTATTTGTTTATATTAGTTATAATTAATGATTAATTAACTAGATTAATTTGTTATTTAATTTTTAATAAAGTAATAATTAAAACGAACCTCTTCGTGTTTATAGAAATAGCTTAAATCTCCATCACTTTTGAGTTGAACTCCCGAGTTATCTATTGCATTGTTTTAGGAAGTATTCTAAATAAATTGAATGAATAGGGTATAATATTAAGACAATATACCTCCGATACTATTATCAATAGCTTCTTCGGTCTTTTGGATACCTAGACGGAATTCTTTCAACTCTGGACGAAGTTTATGACCTCTATGATAGAAGACTAAAGCGAATTCAAAGTCTCCTTTCTGATATAGTGCCTCGGCTTTTTGGTAGAGTCCTTTAGTATAGTCTTTATCTTCTTTTAAAGTTTCTTCAGCATCCGCTAAAGCTAACTCAGACTCTCCTAATTGCAGATAGCACTGAGACCTGGAAACCAAGCAATGCTTTTCTCCCGGTTTCAATTCAAGGGCCTGAAGCAACAACAGTAATTATTATATAACTAACGATAAAACTATTATACGTTATACAAAATTATATAAATACTGTATATATATATATATATATATATATTTATTTATTTTTAATTAAGATTATATATAATATAGATTCAAGTAAAAGAATATTTATATTTCAGAAAGAGACAAAAATCTCAATTCCCTAGGCTTAATGCTATGATAACGAAAAAAGCGGACAGCTTAACAGCTTAACAGAATATAAGAATGATTATATTTTTTTTATAAAAAAAAAAAGAAAATAATAACATTCTCAACTCTATCTATCTTATCAATTTGTATATAATAAAAAATTTTTCTATATAGAAATTATATAAACTTGACATCATAGACTAAAAATATTAGATTGGCAGATAGTATAATTTTCAATTGGGCTTTTTTTTTCTTTTGCTCTACTTATACTTAAATACATTTTCTTTTTCTTAAGTAATAAACCTTGGTATAGGCATCGATTGCTTTTCTATATTCCATAATAGACTGATAGGTGAGAGCCTCTGAATAGAATACATCGAATGTAGCAACTTGCTGAACCATCTCCGTTTCGTCCTCATCACTATCGTTTAACGGATCCTTCTTTCTAGGCGTTTTTTTCGGGTAAAACGATAAACTACGCGGTAAAGGGACGCTCTTAAGGGGCATGATTCTCAGTTTAATAATAACATACAATCCTCTTCGTTATCAACGTCACGTTTTCAAATTTACTATTTAATAAGCAAATATAAAAAAATTGGCCTCACCAAATTATAGCTATCTAAAGCCTTAGTTAAATCGCCTTGTTTGAAGAGCATGTCACCTTCAGCTCTATATACTTCGAACGTACTTTTGACACCCCCGACACTACTTGATTCTTCTTCATACATCTTTATTTTATCCCTTTTTTCTAGATGATCAAATCACTAGACACCGAATCGTAAACTAGCGTTTATAGGTTGCTATTGGATACCGTCTGCTAGATAGTTTATAACCCATACTTTACTCTCGAAATATGCCTCAAAGGTGTGTCAAAATTAACGAAAAAGATTCAGAGACCCCATATAGTTAGATCTATTTTTTATTATTTTTAATTGATAGTAATTAGTGCGGTCCTTAAAAGAGCGCGGGAAATTTAATTTATTTGACCCTCTAGCCTTTGCTTGCAAAGGCTTTTAAGAGTTTTACGATGAATAATAAAGCGTGAACATCTGCTGTATTTACTTCGCAAACATAGAAAACAGTTACACTTATAAAATTGAAAAATAACACCAGATACATTTTACGTCCTCTTAAGTATTTTATAAAGTATTATAATGACAAACAAAGAATATCTAAATTGATTTCTGTCCTCCGAAAACTTCCCATGATGGCGTCCCTTCCAAAGAAATAAGAGTTGTCAGCACATCTGTCGAAATTAACAACATGTTAGCATTCAGGTAAACCAAGTCGATTTGCTTTAAGGTGCCTTAATCGACCAACGATGCAAAGAAGCTAATATTGTAGCACCGAAATTTTGACCATAAACTCTCTAAACATAGTTTTGGAGATACCTAGGTGCTTTTAAACAAATATTTGTATAATAACTAACTTACATTTCTGAAAAGTCTTCTAAATGATTTTCGTCCGTTTACGAACACATAGTTGTTTAAGCTTTAAAAAAAGCCAATACGAAATGCATTAGTAAAGCAACCAATTTATTTACTAGTAATTCACAAAGAATAGTATACTTACTTTCAGTCAATAAATTTTCAAACTTCTATCGAATTACTTCTCTTTCTTTCATCTGTAAAGACATTAACTGATCAATAATTTTATAGATAGTGTTGTAGTCATCCTAAAAACCAAGTCAATCTACAAAGATTAAGAGGCAAATTGACCAACGATGCAACAAATGACTTTTATATAGCACCAGAAATTGACCAAAGATTCAGAAATAGAAAATTTGGAGATACCTGAGTGCATAGAAAACATCAATCAAACCCTTTTTTCGTCATTGTGCTTTTTGCTATGGTCATATACAATTAACGGTAAAGAATGTCAACAAGAAACTGTATAGCAGTGTTATAGAGCATTGTTAACACAAATATCGATAATATGGCCTACTTTTAATCTAGAATATTAAAAATGCTAAACTTGCGGCTACTTACTCTTTAATAATTTTCTTCATTTTAATTCATTTTAACTGTTACTAACCCAATTAGTTCAATCTGAAAGTAAATAAAAAAAATCAACTCTGAAATAATAACCTTTAATCTCTTACCTTGCTATAAATTGAGATGAGTTACTCGTCTATACATTCACTTATCAGAAGCTATTGATATCAACGTAAGCCAAGATAATTTAAAAGTACAGAACTTCATGGTCTTTTAATCATTTTATAGTGTCAGTATCGATACGAATATGTTACGGAAAAAAGACAAGAAGCACGAGAAAGAAATTAAGAGGCTATCCTCTCTAACTCAGGAAGACTTGCTTGAACATTATAAATCAATAGCCGAGGACGCTTGGAAGAATGCCTTAGAGATATTAGACACGAACGATGGATGGAAAACCGAACAAGTGAGATTTTATAATTATACAGTTAAAAATATGCTTATAAAAAAAATTATCTGATATGAAAGAAGTGAACACTTTATATGTTATATAATCATTTACAATTACCCTAGGGTCAATGTCGTATGAGTCTTCAAATTATTTTCTTGTTTAGATTAAGATGATAAATATCAAAGCGGTCAATGTAAACCTCACACTCGGGTAATCTTAAAAGTACCTATAATTATACAAAACAAGCTTCACTTTTATCTTGTTTCCAAATAAACGTGCTCACTCATTCGTAAACTTACTTAATGACCCGTAAAGAGCATGTAATAAATTGGTAGCTATTATTTTTTTTATAAAAGTTAGCTAAGTATTTTATCAAAGGTCAATGATTCGCGTAAAACTACAACAAAAATTATTTTAAGACAATGAACTCTAAGTAACAAATAGGCCAGTTAAAAAATATTATCAATTTTGCAGGGAAGCTGTGCTAAAACAGGTATGGTAACTAGTCGTAGTTTCGACAATTTTGGTAAAGTATTCAAGTTAGTGGGCGAAATTGATGCATCAGCCGAGGATGTTTTTGAAGAACTAGTCATAAACATCGACGGAGCACCCAGCTGGAATCCTACATTGTCCGACACTCGCCTTTTACTTAAAGTTACAGATAACATTGATATATCTTATCAAGTCGCTGCAGATGCTATAGGCGGTCTGGTATCAACGAGAGATTTTGTTAATCTCAGGCATTGGGGTCCGTATAGAGATTATATTGTGTCCTCCGGATGTTCTGTTATCCATCCAGATTATCCCCCCATTTCAAAGGTCGAATTTCAACTTTTTCACATATTTAAACTAATTACAGACGGATTAGTGTCACCAGTCATTCAAAATTTTTTATCATGAACCTAAATTATGTAAATTAGTATCATTTCTGTTATCTCTGAATGCATTATCACTTTTAAGAAAAGGATCAACGTAAAAGCTAATGCCGTCGTAAAAATGTCAAAACTGAATTATTTCAAATCTTTTGAAAACACGCTAGTACTTTCCATTAAAACCATATTAAAATAATGAAACCTAAACAATTGGCTACATTAACGAGAAATTAAAATTGAAATTCGACCTAAATAGTGTGTTAGAGGCGATAACAAAGCGGGTGGTTGGGTCTTCCACAAAACGGGCAAAAATAAATGCACACTTATGTGGCTCGTCTCAACAGACCTTAAGGTAAGACGTTTGAAATGATAAATTTAGAACAGTCAAGCACCTGCTACCTACAGATTTTCGCGACAGGTGCAGACATTCTGTGTATCATTGTGCCTTTAGAGCAACCAGTATTTTTTAGACACTTTTAATTGCAGGGCTGGCTTCCGCAATTTACAGTTGATTTGGCAATGTCGAAAACGTTAATGCAATTCCTTGACTTAGTAAGAAATCGCATGAAGGATTTAGGAAAATAAATTTACAATGCTGACGTAACTTTTAATGAATTAATGGCCAGCTTGTACATAAAAAGCACAACAATAGTTTAATGAGTTTTAAACTTATCAATTCTCTGCTGATTCGCCTCCCGCTACTGCGCTTTCGGCTGCTTTTTCGGCCTTCTTTTTCTTCTTCTTGGCAGCCTTTCGACTAACAGCACTCGACAATAGCTCCTATATAGAAACACAGGTGCAAATAATGCCTTAAGTAAAATTTCCTGATAAAAACCTTTATCTCAGCGTTTTCAATCTTTCTCTCCGTTTTAAACACATCAGCATCAAACGGCAGACCGGTTATTCTCATTGGTCCATTTGGCATAAGTAGAATAGTGAATTTGAATTGGGCCACAAATTCACCTATTGAAAATAAGTGCTCGCTTAAAGTATCTACCCAAGCATAAAAGACTTACCGTCTCTTTCGTAGAGAACATTAAACGGATCTATTAAATTATGCTTTACGCATTCCACCACTCCCATTCGAGCTTTTTTTTCGTCTTCCAAACTCCTGAAATCCGTTATTCAATCATCAAAGAAATACTTTTTATAGTTATTTGTAACAGTTTACTGATATTTAATCTATGAATTATTTTTTTTATTTACCTAATTGAGAAGGGCATAGCACCGCACTTTCTTTCAATTTCTGAATAGAATTGGCGACTGGCTTTCATTTTCAGATTATAAACAGAGTCCTTCTTTTTATATACTGTGCATCTTGTATCCTGTTCGCGACCTTTTCCTTCCCCAGACGAAATTAGGATATCAACAGCATAGACTTCGTGAACTTCAATATTCGCCTTTTCATGCTCTCGCCTTAATATTTATAGAAACTCGAATTAGTTTATTGTTTTAACAATAAAAATCCCAAATCAGTGACTTTACTACCCCGATGACAAAGATACAAAGAGAGATAAAAAGCAAATCTTGATTTATGCTCTAAAGTTGGCATTCCCTTCGGAAAATTATCGGAGTAATATATTAAGTAGTAAATTATAACTACTAAATACATATTTAGTATTTAAAAAAAAACACACACACACACACCTGTGTACTTCGTTGGGATTCTGAATGATTGCTTTGTCACCATCAATTACATTTCGTTTAAGTTGGTGAGATAGCATTCCTGATAGAAAATTATAGATTTAAATAATAGGAAAATCGCGTATTTCACATGTACCTTCAATGGGTTTGCAGCCATACTCTTCAGAAACCTTCTGAATGGTATCAGTAACTAGATAATTCTGTGAAAAAATTAGCTTTTAGTAGAGATAGCTATCAGTGATTCTGAGATATACCTCGTTTCCAGGTTTAACAGTCCTAATTGCCGCTTCAGCGCATTGATGAGCTGCCCACATAACATCGGCTTTCTTTCCAGTGACAGGGTTAGTCTAAGGAGATTGTTTCATTCTTTTAATTGTTTCAATTAGTAAATTTATAACTTACTTTCGATGCTCCCAAGACCAAAGAGTGAGCAACAACAGCTATATATCCGTCAATATGGGCACCGAGGTCTCTGGATAAATAAAAAATGTTATTCTCTAAGGATTACATTCAAAAGAAATTTTTGACTATTGCTTGGTATTTTCTTCAAATTCACTCATTTTACATATTGGGACATATTTATCTAATTCTTTACTACAAAACTATGCTTTACTTAAGAGATATAATTAATCTTTATTGCTATTCATAAAAAATAATAGCAGAGATTTTAAGAAGCTTGAAGGGATCATATTTTTTCTAGGAAGCCTTTAAAATTTCCTACGAACAACAAAAATAGAGGCCAATATTTGCTTACGAAGATTATCTTAAAAACTATAAGGTCAATATAACAAAACTACTTGAGTGTTTGTCTCTTAATCTCTACGTGTCTTGAATGACTCTTAAATCGCAAAACTTTAGTATTAATAAATGGATTATTCTAAGAAAACAACTCTAGACTACTATATAGTACGAGAGTTAAATATTTAGTTATTCTAAAACTTATGTCTTGGTGATATTTGAATTAAACATAGCTACCAAATTTTTAAATATAAGCATGATAAATTGATTTCTTAAAAAAATTATTGAATTTGAATTTTGTAGCGGTTAAGTATTAGATTTTACTACTCGTTCTTGCTTACATTTTGATTAAATCTCCGTCCTTTATTTTAATATCTGGATCACTTCTCAAGGGAGAGTAGTGGCATATGCAGTTATTCACCGATATACATGTCGGAAATGCAATTCCTGAAGAAAAAAAAGTGTCATTTGATTATGCAATATTGAATTCACTCAATAGTTACCTTTTTTCATGGTTTTCTCCTTTTTATAAACGCTTGAAGTTTCTTCAGTCAAGCGTTTATCTCCAAAGAGACATAGCTCGAATACAGAGGCGTCTGGCTCGCATTTTTGGACAATTTCAGATAGAACCTCTGTTAACAGGATACACGTGGTAATTGGATAATCATAATTTTTTACAGTTTTATAATGTGTAAGTTTATGAAAAGTGCATAAAAATGTTTGAATATATTTTTTAACTTACTATTGACCATCTCTGCGGCCATTTTATACTTAGTTACGACTAAATCAGTCGCTACAGTATCAGACACCGAATCAGTTTCTTTCTCCGCCATTTTGTTTCACGTTGTATTCCGGAAGAACATTAAAATGTGGCTCCCCGATAGGAATTTTTTAATCAAAATTTTAACATACACGAAGGGGTCCAGTCTTAGTGTGGTTTGCATTCCGGATCTATTTATTTTTTTCCTTCTGAATGAAGGGCGTTGAGGAACCATACAAATTCTTTAAAATTAAGTACCCAATGAGCATTCACTAGTATGTGAAAGTTTACTCCGAATGCGACTTGACGAACCGATTTTAGTTTAGCTGGAATACTTGTGCATCTAAAGTTTCTTTTAATCAAGTTTGGACAACAAAAGTTTTAAATGAATATTTTTTAGTCAGAATGTATTACAGGTTTGTTGATTTAACAAACTTAGCTATAGAAAAGTGAAAGTAAATAGAGCGATATTATGTGCAAATGACAGTTCTGGAAGTTACGTAATTGATCGTTGACCACCGGCTCTTAACCTATTCTTAATCTTACATAATCGAGTCATTAAATTAGAAGAGATCTTTAATTAAGCGCTATCTCCAACCTTGCCAGATTGACCACCCACGAAGGGAGGACATAAATCAAGCATGGCCGAGTCTCCCTTATCCTCCTATATGAAGGATATAAGGGATGAAGAATCGCTTAAATATGAGGAGGTTGCAGAAATAGGCCGAGGTGCTTACGGAACAGTCTTCAAAGGAAGAAATCTTCAGGAGGACGGCCAATTTGTCGCAATGAAAAAGTTTGTTATACCACTTGCTCTACAAGAAGGCGTCACAATGACAGTTTTAAGAGAAATAGCTACTTTGAAACAAATTGATGGATATCGGCATCCAAATATCGTTAGGTAAGTAAAAACACTTTGTCTTCTAAAATCTCTAAACGACCGCGAATAATAAAAATAAAGTGGGGGAAACTTTCCCACAGCATCCCAAAGATGCATAGATAAAACTCGTCTAGCTATTTATTTAAAAAATAACGATTAGCTACGGTCTATCGGTAACGGTATTGAAGATTGTGATTTTTTTTTTAACACTGAACAAGTTCTTCGCATCGCACGACAAAATTTATGACTGTTTAATAATAATAGTAAAATGAGAAATGGGCAATTTCTTGTTGGGCAAGTAACCTCTAGCACTTTTTTTCATATACTTAAGAAACCTGAAAAAAAAGGCAATAAAATTTTGGTTGTAGAGCTCATTTTTCTAAAATTATCTAGGTCGTTTCTGAAAGAGGAACAATATACCGTTATATAATTTGTTAGATTAAATAAAGTTCAGATATCGTATTTGTAACGTGTTTAACTTTCGGATCGTTATTCAGCGAGAGTTTAGAAGCTTCTGCTTCAATAGTATGTATTATATGCAGAAGCTCCATTCTGAACTGGTCGATCTTGAAGGCGTAATCTATTTAACCCTTTTATACGTTAAATAAGACTATATTTATATATATATATGTATTTAAATTTAGAATATATAAATATATATTTATATATATATACACATATAAAAAAGAAGAATTTATTAATACCGAGGATTAAATATGCCCTTTCTTTTTTTGGAAAGGAAAAATCAAGACGTTTCTGTCTAAGAAATTGCCTTTTATGTATATAACTTTCTGAAATCTGGTATGACTTTAAATTTGCTCAGTTATGTTAGATTAGTCTGAATAATACAAAGGGTAAAAAAAATGCGCATTTCATCAACTTTGAATTAAAGCAAATATCACAAATTTGCTCACCATTGCCCGTTTTTCTTTTTTTTACGGATTCGACATTCAACAATCAATATCAAAATTGAAAGATATGAAATCCCCTTTGAACTTGTCCAACCTCTAAGTCTATAAATAACTATTTTAACGTAGGGCAGTTATGTTTCTTAGTATATACGTCCAAAGCGACTAACGGAAATATTGACATCTAACGGAAACTACCAGCGTAAACTTTCATTTTAATGTACTGTAGAAATGTTACGTAATTACCTCCTTTTTCTCTGAGGGGGCAGTGTAAAATGAGAAGTAGGTACCATTGAATAAAGAGAAAGAGGGATAAGATTTTTTTTTACTATATATAATGGCGAAAATATTTTAGAAATTGCCTCAGATTCCGTTGTCTCCTTAGCACCTTCATAAGTGACGAAAGGAAAATGGGGTGGAAATTTCCCTCTCTTCAATTTAATTTATACAACCTATGTCAAATATATAACCGGTGTATACAAGCGAGCGGTCTACAATAAATATTAAAGAGAAAACGACCCGCATCGAGGACAGACATCCTGACCACAAGGCAGTGTTGCACCTGTTTCACCAGAAAGACGCAAACTGCGTCTAAGAAAATCTACTTACTTAGTTTCCTTTTGTATAAAGAGGCGACCGTTGGTCAGTCGTAGGTCACCTGGACCGTGTTATCGAAAAAAAAAAGAGAAGGGGGGCTGCTTTTGTCAACAGAAAATATTTGATTAGCTACAGATTTTGGCCTATATAGTTCTTATTTTAGTTATTATCGTTATTACTATTATTAACGGGGAGGGAAAATAGATCTTTATCGTTTTATATTTATACCCGTCGATTCTTTCTCCACGCTCACGTGCGTCAACGCCAATATTACTCTTTTGATCAGAAACATTTCTTTTTTTTTCTTTTTACAAATATTTTCGTTCAAGGTTAATTGAAAATTTTACATTTTTTCCTAGGTTACTGGACGTTATACCAGGTGGACAAACGCCTTTGGAGATGAGAATATGGTTGATTTTTGAATTAATTGATCAGGACTTAGCCAACTTTCTCCAGAGTTCACCACCTCTCAAATTTAGGCAAATACAGGTAACAGATCTTATCATTGGATTAATCGAATTTCAAAGCTGTATATAAATTTTGAAAGCTATTATTTCGTCTATCAAAAGCCTTGCTTAGATTAACAGTTTGTTTAATCCCTTTTATACAGGATATAACGCATCAAATTCTTTCGGGCATTGATTTTCTTCATAGTGAAAGGGTTATTCATAGAGATTTGAAACCTCAGAATATATTAGTTACAAGTAGAGGAGAAATAAAAATTGCAGATTTTGGCCTATCTCGTATATATTCCATTGGAATGAAATTAACTACAGAAGTGAGTGGACCTTTCTATGTCACTCTTTTTTTTTTGTAGACACGTATTAGATTTCAAAGAGTGATTTTATTTTGTTTGTTTATAAAGGTAGTAACCCTATGGTATAGGGCGCCGGAAGTTCTGCTCAGATGTCAGTACGCGACTGCCGTCGACATGTGGAGTTGCGGGACCATCTTTGCAGAATTATATACAAGAAGGTAAATTAATATCATATTAAATCATTCTCCAGGCTAGCGCCATCTGGCGAACCCAATCCAATTAATTAAACTTTTAACTGGGTCGTTTAAACATGCTAATTGGACAATTTAGTTTTCTAATTGATTTTTTTGTCTGTTCATTGTTTAGGCCCTTGTTTGAAGCTACTTCAGAAATTCAATTGTTACATAAAATCTTCGAAGTTGTCGGTCTACCTCGGGAGTGTGAATGGCCAAGGGACAGCACTATTCCATGGTCGTCTTGGTCGAATTTACCTCAACAACCCATTCGTTCTCTGTCCTGCCTCTTACCCGGTATTTCGCCTTTGGCCCTAGATTTTTTACAAGTAAGTATTCTATTCAGACACTAAACTGAGAACCTGTCATAAATGACAATCGTAGTTTTTTAAGTAAAAAATTTGAATCAGAGGGAGGTATTAATTTGTGTCTGAGGTTACAGCTCAATATAAATGAACACGTAACTCTAAAAAAGACCTTTATCTCTTAAGTATTCCCGTTTATTTCATTACCTATTCAAACCTTTTTCAATTACTTTTTATCGCATACTAACTCTTTTCCCTCTTACATCTTTTATAGAAACTTGTTGCCTTTGACTATTCCAAAAGAATGTCTGCCAGAGAAGCATTACTTCATCCTTTCTTTGAGCAAGAGGAAAACGCTAATACGCCTGAATTTAGACTAAATAATCAACAGGATAAACAAACAACACACTATTTAGCTAATAAACAAATGAAATCCACCTCAACTGTTCAATCGACAGCTACAAGCTTTATTTCTAGGTAAAAAGGATTTTATACAAAAGAAATTATTGTTTTTATCTCATTTAAAAAAAGAAAAAAAGATTACAAGACATACTTTTTTTTTTACGATTGTTATATATTTCTTGTTATTTGTTGCAACGAAAAATTTCATATCATTGATGTATGATTTTTGTTGATTAGTTATAAAAGTATATATATATATATATTATATATATATATATATATATTAATAATGTATATTTTTTTCTATATGATATATTTCAGATTTTTTTGTATACCTTTTTTTTTGTACCTCTTTCAAAAAATATTAAGAATATCTAATAGTATTTGAAAGAAGAAAACCCCCACCTTTACACTAACGTCTCTAAATATTCGATAAACTTTTCGTTTTCTTTTTTTAATTATTATATATCGTATGAGAGAATGAAAACGAAAAAAAAATTATAAATGAATAGGTTTCATTGATGACAAACTTGAAAAATATATTTTGTTATCATTTGTTTGTCCAATCAAGTACCTTTAAGTGCCAATTAGTTATAATCGTGGTTACTCTATTTCCTGTGATTTTGATTAAGTGTTCCGAAAACAATTGTTACGATGATTGGAACTTGACAATTTGTTTTTTAACTTGTTTGTTTGTTTTTTTTTTAAAGTATTCTTGTTTGTTTTGATACATAATTCTACATGTATACCTCGACAAAAGATAAAAAAAAAGAAGGAACAAATCGGGACTCCACTGCAAGCTTTAATAACATTTTATTATAAATTTTTTGACACAAAGAAAAAATAGAAAGGGAACAAACAGAAAAGAGAGAGAGAGAGAGAGAGAGAAAAGATATGAAGAAAATAATGATGATAAGAGAAAAAAAAAGTATATTAATTCATACACATATCCGTATTATTAATAAGTTTGTAAATATTCATTTTTTTGTTTGTTTTTTTTGTTTATTATTTTTAGTCTCATACTGTAGATTTATGCAGAATTTTCCTTTTTTTTTTTTTGAAAAATGTTCGTATTTCTGTAAAGAAAACAAAGAAAATATTTTTTTTTTAAATATAAATAGAACCTTTTTTATGATGCAGAATTATTATTAAACAAGAGTATAAAGTTACAATTTTTCCTGACCCTAGAAGTGTCAGAACCCGGTCAAGAATTTTATATGAAAAATGTGTACAATATTATATTGCATATATAACCTTGCATTAGGACAATGGTGATAAATATAAGATGGAAGTTGGAATGCGCTGAGCCGCTGCCCTTTGTCAAGCTTTAGCAATTCAGGAATGTTAAACTTGAGTAGGGTACAATCTCCTTCTTTATCGTCCTATTTGCGATAAGTAAAGTTATATTGGGTTAACGATGTAAAAATTGATAGAAAGCGATAATTCAGGTTGAAAAAATAAATAATAATACCTTCACTTTGGTTATAAAAGAAAAATAGAGGAAAATGAAAGCGACTCAAAGAGAAATGGCTTTCTTTTGTTATTTTCAAATTTATTATGGTCTTTATATTGAGTATAAGAATCACGAGTTTTCAAACTTCGATAAGTCATAATTTTATTATAGAATTCTTTTATTCTATTCGTAAAAGGTGTTGATAATTAGCATAATTATCCGGTGCCATAATAATTGATATATATACATATATATATATATATATATATGTACAAAATCTATATATAAATCTGCATATAAATTTATATATATATATATATATTAGTATATATAATGAACGAACTGAATATGTACATAAGTGTGCTATCAAATTTCTAATATTTTGTATAATAAATGATAGTTAAGCCTATAAATTTCAGTTAAAAAACGACGATTTACGTCAACCTCCTCAGAATTGAGAATTTAAAATGTTTTATCTGATAGTATTAACGACCCATTGTCTGATAAAGGATGAATTTTAAAGATTGCCTTATCAAGGAAAACAACACCGGAACTTGCAAGAAAATGTCCTATTTGAGGGTAATTGCCCCTTTAAGTATTAGTGCGAAAAGAATATTGAAAGATATACGGCATCAAAAAGTAATCGGTTAGTTCAAAAGTCTACCCATAGGCTAAATGCGGTCGATACAAAATATTCTAATTAAGCCTATCACACTCGATTAACGCTAATAGGTATCATTAACGTATGAATTCTTGACAAAATTCTTTATAGAATTTATTCGATACAGTATTATACGGAAAGGGAAAGTAAAATATTACAAATTCCTCATCATATAAAGGAGCGGAGCTTAATTCTATTTTTGAAGGAGTGTTTCTATTTCTTTCGTTTTTTTTTAATATTGCAGTATTAATCATGTATTTTCAAAGATAATTATTGTATGTACAATAGACTGATATTACTCTCGTAACAATTATAGCACTTGTACGTTTTTTTTATTATCTGTATATTTATGTCGATTACCAAACATCTTCATGATATCTGTGATGCAGCCTCATTTGCATGAGAAATTTCCCAGCGCTTTCAAGATCCATATCTAAAAATATAATTGAATAAAATTTGATTATATCTCTCTTGAACAGTAATTTGTTGACGTACGTTGTAGCGTATAATGCCTATGCATGTAGACGCTACATAGACTGTTTAAATTGTATATTCAATATTTACTTTTACCTGAATGATTAGCCAAAATTGTAGAAAATGCTGAATTGACATCTTTACTCATATTCTTCGCATCGCCGCAAACGTATATAATTGCATCTTTCTCTAAAATTAATTTACTTAGTTCTACAGCCTCTTTTCTGATTTGATCTTGAACGTATTCATGATTATCTTCTCTTGAATAGGCTACTCTTAATTCAGTAAGAATTCTCTTCGAAAGGAAGTCATCCAAGGACTGTCTGTGGTTATAAAAATAAAATATACATCAAGTTTAGCTTGAGAAAATTTAGATATTTTATTTAACAGAGTTATTAAACAGAATATTTTTCTATAGATTCTGTGCCTATTTGACCTTATTGCGGTTAAAGGATTGGTTTATACCAAACGCATTGAATTATGAATGAAAGAACTTTCTATTTACTTGAATAAGAAGTCTCTTTCTCTATGTCGGCAGCCGTAAAACAACCATCTTAAATTTACTTCATTAACCTCTTTTCCCTCAAGATGCTCTAAAAATCCAATAAAAGGAGCTACCCCAGTTCCTGGTCCAACCATAATTAACGGTCGATCTACGTCTTTAGGAAGTCTAAAGGATGAATTTTTCCTTTTGAATATGCGAAGTTTGAAGGTCTGTTTGCGGCCTAATCTCATGGCTCTTGTTAAATGCTCTACCCATCCAGTAAATACACCATCCCTTTTGTAAAGTCGCCCATCCCCTGATTCAATTTTTATGACGTTGAATACAATACGAATTCTTGAAGAAGATTTTAGAGGTGAATTACAAACTGAGTAAGGTCTGGGCATTAAACGAGGTAGGTGTTCTGAAATGAATCATAAAAACACTTATCTCTTTTTTTAATTTATGCAAAAGTACCATTAAACTGTACAAGATTAACAATAAATAGCAATTCATCTTTTGATCATTAAACAGTAAACGGTAAATAAAAAGTGACTACCTACCAATCAGCCTCTCAAAAGAGATTTCTACTGATGGAAAGTGTAACAGAATATCTAATACAGATAGGGACATCTGACGGATATATTTCATATATTCGTCATTTCCCTGCCTTGAACACAATTCCAGAAGGCGTCTTTTCTGATCGGCATTTCGAGCCAATTCTCCCATTGTACGAATCAGACCCTTTGTTTTTTAATGTTTTGTAAGATTTAGGACGGTGCGTTTTTCTAATATAATAAATATTACTTACCTTACTAGGACTACGAATGTCGCAACAATACGTTAAAACTTCCCTAGGAGTACATTTTGTAGGAACGAAAGCAGGAACCGCTGCTCTACGTTTTGTTGTTCCCTCCTTAACTGACAATTCGCAGAAATCATCTGCAGATTCGATCATGTTGATTCTAAATGCAATACAATAAGAAAAGTATATTTATTGTTGAAACTGTACTTGAAAGTTAATTTTTATAATACCGAGTCAGTAGTTTATCTACTTCTGTTGCCTCATTCTGACAAAATATACCAAAAGCGTCTCCAGGTTCAAAATCAACCTTTTCCTATGACAAATTACATTATATATATATATACTGTATACATATATTTAAAAACTTGTCGTACTGGCAAATCCATTTCCAACATAATGGCTAGCTTTACAGCGTCCCTCGATGTTAATTCTACGGCATTTATAACTTCACAATTCATAATAGAACCTTCTAGGAGATTCGGAGGAGCATTGTTTTGGCAGACGGCAATTTCATTATTCTAGAGAAAAAAATTTTTAAATTAGGCCTATTAAGTGAAATCTTTTCTAACTGTATTATATAATAATTCTTTTTATTTACTTACGTATTCGTCGTCGTTCTCTAATGTCTTTACTGCTAGAAAATCAGCTGGGAGTGCAGGAACAGTTAAATTAGACGATTGTAGACTTTCACTACCATTTACGATACTTTCAACAGTTTTATCAATTATCCATTCTTCTTCATCTTCGATTATTTTAGAGGACCCATCACTATTTTCATTGGTAGTTATGGCTTCAAGCCGATTAGCTATCTCATTAACGCATGTTTCACCAAGAACCGCGGGTAGAACTTTAAACAAACCATCTATCCATGGCTCAACAACACTCTCTAAACCAACAGCATCGTCGGCAAAACCTGTTTCATAGAATCTTTTCGCTCCTATTTTCTCCAATTGCTCATCACACGTACGCCCATAGTTGCAGAACGAAGTGTAGTTTGTATCTCCAAGCGCCAAAACGGCATAACGAACATTAGACAAACTTTTTGAAGATCTCACTCTTCTTAGGAATCTGAGAGAGTTAGACGGCGGTTCGCCGTCACCAGTTGTTGAAGCAACAATTACAACAACTACGCTTCCCTCAAATTCGAACTGGTTAAGGAAAATAGATTATCGATATTAAAGTTTTTTTCCATTATAAAACAAGTTAATCAAAAATTTACCTTTCTATTAATATCATTCAAACAGTATCTCAAGGGAGCAAAGCCTTGCTTTTCTGCATTATCTGCAATATCCTGTGATATAGCTTCTGCTTGTCCCGTTTGGGATCCATATAAAACAAGAAACTTATTTTGTTGCATCATTCTTTTTTATTATAACAATTGGATCTTATTTAAAACTTGACTTTTAATAAAATCGTAATATATTGTACATGTAAATTTCTTATAATGATTTTAATGATATATGTCAGCTGTCATTTAATTTTGTTAGCTGCCCTCCTGGTAGAGGCAAATGAGGCAGATTATCGCCGAGCACATGTTTTTATTAAGATACAGCATTAGTATTGTAGCGCGATACTTAAAGTTGGATACAAATCCACTACTGTTCTTAAATTAACATTAAGGACGATGAACCGGAACCCAACTATAAGAGAAGTAAGGGTGGTTTTCGTAATATTTTTGAATAGCTTTTAAATCGGATCGGAGTTGGAATCCACACATTACTTCCCGCCATGGACATAGATGATATTGAAAAGGAATATGAGAAGTGGTTTTTTTTCTTGGCAAAGGGATTTAATGTGCTTGTACAAGGATCAGGATCCAAAAGAAGTTTAATTGAAAACTTCCGGACAAAACACCTGATCGATTATGACACTCTGGTGATCAATGGATTTTTTCCAAGCCTTTCAATCAAGCAGGTGAGATCTCATACATTTCCACTTTTGCCCATTTCATATTTGTATACAATTAACAGATACTTAGAGATATATGCAAAGAATTACTCGATATTGATGTTCCAACTGGAAAGCCGGAAAATATATGCGATGAAATTGTGTCAACTCTAAAGACGGCAGAGAGAGATATTATTTTAATAATTCACAACATTGACGGTCCCAATTTACGAAATTTTAAGATTCAGAATATATTTTCCCAACTCTCTAGAAGCAATCGAGTAAAAATCGTCTGTTCAATTGATCATCCGAATGCTCATCTCTTGTGGGATAACGTTCGAATGACAAATTTGAAATTTGCTACTTTTAAAGTGGACACAAACGAGGATTACAGTGTTGAGCAGTCGTACGAAAAATCAACAGCCAAGAGGAACGCTCAACTTAGCGTTTCGGCCGCAAATCACGTTCTCTCATCCCTAACGCCAAACGCAATAAAGATATTCTTTTTACTAGCTGAACACCAGTTAGAACATGGAAACGAGGAAGACTACAACGGCCTATCATTTACCGATTTATATTCGCAATGTCGCCGAGAGTTTCTAGTAAACAGCGATCTGACTCTTAGAACTCAATTAATCGAATTTAAGGATCATAAACTAATTAAATTGAAGAAAGGTGTAGACGGTGCAGAAATGCTCACAATATCTCTGGACGATGAAAGTTTAAAAGAAGTTATGGAAAACAATCATTAAATTTTCCATATTTTTCAATCTAACAATTAAAAATAAACAAAGTCTTTTTAAATATATGCATTATACTTTATTCAATGTCGTATAACAAATAAAGGACACGAGTTGCAACAACATTGTTTTATAGCCAACTTTTTTGAACGGCATTCCCGGAATTTTTAATCTTGGTAAAATTTTAAGTATGGAGAAAAACACCAAAGATAGACAAACAATTTTCAAATTTCTACGCGACAGTTTCTTCAGTTACAAAACAAAAAAGTGAAAGATAGACAAACCTACAATAAAAAAAAAAAACTTTTCGTAGCTTCTTTTGCCCAAAGACGAAAGTTTTTTAGATTTTCAAATATTAAGCATTTTCAAAATAAATTGTCCAGTTTTTAAAGACTTTATACAAAAAAAAAATATTACTACAATTTCTTGATAAACGATTTTTTGCTTGCACATTGTTACATGATTTCAATTTTTAAAAAGGGTATTTGGGAAAACTATTTACAGCAAATTATGCAAATTATTTACAACAATTTGATTTGTTTTTTTTTACACTATCTACATGGTTAATTGCAAATTTTTATGACCATCTTTTTAAATAATAACAGCACAATACTACCTCTTCAAATCAATTTTTCATAATCTGCACGATGTTCAAATATAGGGCGAACTCTTATTCAACAAGAACTTTATACTGCTCCTCCTTCTCCTCCTCCATTAGCGATTCAAACAGAAGGAACAGGAGTCGTCTTAACCAACGGCATTTCCCCTTCAGGCAAGAGAATCACCTATATAATAAATTGAATAAAAAATTAGACAATAATTACAATAATGTATTTATAAATTTTATACTAACAGTTCTAAAAGTGATCAGATTTTTCTCGATCTTGCCAAAAACCAGTTGGTGATTACGGTCTTTCTCGAAGACGACTGAAGAACCTTTCACAGATTCGTCCTTTTATTCACCTATTCGTTATATAGTGAGCAATTCCCAAGAGTAGATTCACTTACACTACTCTAGATGAAAATAACAACTTTGTCCCAACTACAGACCTGATTGTTTATTAGAATACAGCTACAACTCGGATGCTTTCTAAACATTTTTTTTTCTAATCAACGTCCTATATAAATTTATAATCAATTTGATATTTGCAACTTTAGCTACAATTAAAGACTTTTGCAGAAATTAAATTTTTAACTCTAATTAACCAGGTACCTATTTACATATCAATCTAGTTCAGACTGGTTTTTTGAGTAGTTAATTTTTTATGCGTCTGGGTTAAAAAAAAACTTTAGAAAAAAAAATTACATAAAAAATGCTTTCGTCGAGAAATAATTTTCTTTGAATATACGATAAAAATTGTTAATATATTCAACAATAGTTTATACTAAGAAAGACTAGTGAGAAAACCCTATTATGGTATATAAAAATCATAATTGTAGCCTAATTAGTACATAAACTTGTCATTAGAGGCGTCTAAACAGATTAGACGTCATTTTTATTTGTTTGTAATTGTTTTAGTTTGTAAGCACTCACTTTGTTTTACGTTTCTTTTAAGGTTTTCTCTCAAATAATATATCTGAAATATGAATGTATAAGAATGGCCCAATAAATGGACTGATGATAAAGACCTAGTATTTTACATAATAGGTCTGTAAAGACCTATTATGATAATAATAACGTTTTTATCGGTAAACTACGATCTTGAAGTTAATTAAATCAATTTTTGAAAAAAAAAGATTTATAATGACAATATTTAATATTCAAATAAATGAAGAAAAGTAGAGATATTAATAACGTTTGGTCCAATAACCTATTAAACTGTAAAGAAGATCCAAAAACTTGTAAAACCAGTTTCTTTTGTCCTTGTATAATTTATGGGAAAAATTCGGAATTTGTAGGTATTTTTTAACGAAATGAACCATGACTAAGCAATATTTTTTTTTAAATTATTTCCTAATAGCTGGGTTATTCATTCAAATTAAACACTTTTCTATATTGTATTGGAATGATGACTTGTACATGTTGTATTTTCGGTATATACCATAATAATTAATAGGTATATTATTATTCTAAGGATATATTCATTTCATAGGTCAACTCATGAGAAGACGAATAAGACAGTATAAGAATATCAATGAATCATTCTATAACGATATAATAGTTCATTGTCTATGTCCAATTTGCAGTTTAGAACAGGAATTCAGAGAATTATATTTATTTAAAACTAAACATATCATAGGCAAACAGCCAAGGACCATAACATCAGTGGAGGAGGTGAAACTACAAAAACTAGAAAATCTTAAATACTCTCATTTAGAACCATTAAGCTCTGATTTTAAGAGTTACGACAGTATTGATCTAAAAAGTGATATAAAAAGTTCAATTACTGTTCCTAAAGTTTTAAAATCGGATGATTTCTCCTACTAAACAATGAAATATTCCTTATTAAATCATTATCACATTGATATACTGTATATATATTTAATAAATATAGTCATTCTGACCTCATAAGCATTGCAGTATATTTATTTAAATATTTATAGATATATTGTGTAATATATGTAAAACGATAACAAATAAAAGCCTTATATTAAGTACATAGAACAAAAATAGAAAGTTTATATTCAACCTAATCATTAATTTTTGATCAATTACATCATATTGCCCTATAGATTATCTCTGTTGAGCTTTCAAGGAAGTTTTTTAAATAGATAATAGAACTATATTATGCTATATATTCATCATTAATATCGATCTTAAAAGAATACTTTGGTATATAATTCATTTATTATTAAAGTAAAAAGTTATATATAGCTTCAAATTAAAGGGCTATCATACAAGACGCATTGTTTAGATGTGTTGTTAAGCTTTATCTATTGCATAATTGTGTTGATAACTTTCTTTTCAAAGTTCATTCATTCTTCTCAAAGAAGATTATTTCTAATCACGAATTATATAATAAGTTTGGTAAGAGAAATTGAAATATTTCTTTTAATGTTTCTTTTTATAGGATATAATAAGGACAAATGTCAATATCAATTTCACAACTATTTGTGCGCTCATCGAATTCCTGGTATGCTTGAAGAGACCTCCCGCCCCCTCCCTAAACAAAAAAGTAATATTCGTATAACTCGTCATCTATTATTAAAAAAATAACTATTTAAATTATGACATTTTAAATATAAATAGCTAATTGTTTAGTGATTAATATTGTGTGCTTTGGTACGAAACTGTGCTTACGTGAGAAACTGTGGTTATTAAAACTTATAACCACAATTGTGAAATATCTATTATGTGGTTGCATAGCTAAGACGTTACATATTTTGTTTCCTACGTCAATATCAGAGAAATTAAATATGATAATATTTGAGACTTATAATAAACTCTTTCTGTTTTTTTCTTTTGTTTATTTCTCTATTTTTCGAGTGCTTTCAACAAGCATATTCTTATAAACTTAACAATTTTTTCCCTCATCTATAATTCCAATAAATATCAGAATTTCTGGTAAAATAAACCTTGCAAAGTAAGAAACAATCGCGTGAGACTATATTGTCCATATTTCAAAGCGCACATCTTCAAAACTTGTTTTACAAGTTACTTTCTGAAAATTGTAAATAATAACTTTTAGAAAATAAGCATTAATAGGGAATTACTTATTAATGCTTTTATGGCAAAACAATTTAATGAAGTAATTTGTTTTCTTATAAAATTATTCATTATTACGAAATGCTTTTCCTTTCGTTAATGAAGTTCAGCACAATATTATGCAATTTTTTCACGGCTACATAACATGACAAAGTTTTATAACCAAGCATAATGTGGTTTCAAACCGACTGTATGGTTACATCCATCTTTCAGACAGTTGAACTTCATAGCCACATGGCTAGGCCATTTACTTCAATATTCTGAAATTTCCTATAAGAATTTTCATATTTTATTCCATTGACACCTCAACCAATTGATAAAGTCAAATATTGTACCAAAAGAACTTATTAAATATAAAAATAAAAACGTTAATCGGAAGTGATGGCTAACCCAGGAGAAGTATCGAAAAAAGGCAAGAAAAAGACGAAAGCTAATAAGAAAAAATGGATGGAAGAACTATCCGACGAGGAAGAAATAGTTATACCGAAAACTGTGGAAAAAGTTTCAAATAAAAGAGGTAACGTTGATACACATATGTTGGTTGATACGTAAAATAAAATGCTTACGTGTTATTCGATAGAACGAGGAGGAAAGAAAGACCCCAAAATTGAAAATCTCAAAATTGATTCGGACAATGACGGCAACGACAAAAAAGAGAATGGAAATGAGGAAGAAGTTGAGGAGCAATATTTTGGCGAAATTGAGGAAACCAAGCCGGAGCCGGAAGTTAAAACTGAAAACTTAAGTAGGAAAGAAATGAGAAGATTAAAAAGGAAAAATGAACTTTTGAAAAATTATCCAAAAGAGAGTAGTGATGGTCAAAATGGTTTGGACTCTCAGTTTTCAATTTCTCAAGCGACCCAAGGCAAACGAGCAAACGCCGCCCTAGAAAATCAAGTAGATATCAAAGTCGATAAATTTTCAATTGCTGCGAAAGGAAAAGACCTTTTTGTTAATGCATCACTTCATATCACTGCAAATCGACGTTATGGCTTAGTGGGTCCAAATGGCCATGGAAAGACTACACTGCTAAGACACATTGCTCTGCGAAAACTTTCTGTTCCACCAAACATCGATGTTTTATATTGTGAACAGGAAGTTATAGCTGACGACACCCGGGCTATAGATGCTGTTCTTAAAGCCGATTCTAAATGGTTGTCATTGAAGAATCAAAGAGAAGACTTACTAACCATTATTAACAGTGGTACTGCATCTGATGAGAAAATGGCTCTATACAATAAGCTTGAGGAGGAGTGGAATATTATGAAAGGTGATACAGCACAGTCTAGAGCAAGTCGTATTTTAGCCGGTTTAGGATTTACAAGAGAAATGCAACAGAGGCCGACCAAGAATTTCTCCGGTGGTTGGAGAATGAGAGTTTCCTTGGCAAGAGCTCTGTTCCTTGAACCAACTCTATTATTATTGGACGAACCTACAAATCATCTTGATTTGAATGCCGTAATTTGGCTCGATAACTATCTACAAACATGGAAGAAAACGCTTTTAGTAGTATCTCACGACCAAAGTTTTTTGGATAATGTCTGTACAGATATAATCCACTTGGATCAGTGCAAATTATTTTATTACAGAGGCAATTACGAGGCTTTTAAAAGAATGTTAGTTCAAAAACGAAAGGAGCAAATGAAAGATTGGGAAAAACAAGAAAAAAAGCTGAAGGAACTAAAAGCAGGAGGTAAAACGAAAAAGCTAGCTGAAACGAAGGTGAAAGAAGCTCTAACCAGGAAACAGCAAAAAAATAAAACAATGCACCAGAAACAACAGCAAGATGAGGATGATAAACCTCAAGAATTATTACAGAAACCCAGGGAATATCTTGTCAAATTTAATTTTCCAGACCCTCCCCCTTTGAACCCCCCAATTCTTGGGTTACACGATGTCAGTTTTGGATATCCTAAGCAGAAGAAATTATTTGAAAATATTAATTTTGGTATTGATTTAGATTCACGTATAGCTATTGTTGGTCCCAATGGCGTTGGAAAATCAACTTTCTTAAAATTGCTTGTAGGAGATTTAGAACCCTTAACTGGGGAGCAACGTAAAAATCACCGACTCAGAATAGGAAAATACGATCAGCATTCGGCTGATCAACTGAGGCTAGATTTGAGCCCAGTTTTGTATTTGAAAGAATTATTTGATTTAGATTATCAAGATGCAAGGAAAATGTTGGGAAAACTTGGCTTGGCCTCGCACGCACATACTATACCTATAAATGATTTATCAGGTGGTCAAAAATCAAGAGTAGCTTTGGCCGATCTTGTGTGTCGGAAACCGGATGTACTTATTCTTGACGAACCTACAAATAATTTAGATATTGAATCAATTGACGCTTTAGCATTAGCCATTTCCTCTTATAAAGGTGGTGTCATTATTGTGAGCCACGACGAGAGATTGATAAGAGAAACAGATTGTCAATTGTGGGTCGTTGAACATCAGAAAATTGAGCAAATTGACGGTGATTTCGATGATTACAGAAAAGAATTACTTGAACAGCTTGGTGAACAGCTGGCTGCTACACCATCTGCAGCTGCTCAATCGGCAATATAAACTTTCCTTCTATGATTTATAAATTTGAAATAAATTTATCAAATTATATAACGAATGGTTGTATTAGTTAATTTCTGAATGTCTTTTAAATCTATGTAAACGTATATACATTTATGAAGACGGTATACAACGTTGAAAACATTTATTTTTTGTGTAAAAATCATTTAAGAACAGGAAAATAGTAGACTATACATTTTTACCAAATCAATCTATATTTGGACTTTAACTAAAAGAAAAATAAAAAATACATAAAAGAAAATACGAGATTCAAATTCATATAGTCACAATTAGACTTTCTAATAAAATATTCCATAAGTTTATTGGTGTAAATAGATCATTTATCTTTAGAGAGTAGTGTCGAACCAAGCAGCCATCTGACCTTGAGAATCTTGCGAAGTGTTCTGATTATTTTGTGGATAATTACCGTCCACGGGACCGTAATGATCAAATCCTATTTGTGAAAGTCTGTATTAAATAATAGTATGTCATTTGTGTACAAATTCCATACCTTGTCTACTGTCTCGGCTATCATTTGGGTCCACCCAAGCAGCACTACTTTCTCCTCTCATTAATGAATTTGTCAATTCACTAGACAACCGCTTTCTATAGTCATTGGGTTTATCTTCTGACATACGGAAAAGTACAGCGGCAGCATAGGTTGCAACCCCTTCGTTATGAGAATGAAGAAGTTCCGTAAGCGGGCTTGTAGCACCCTCTCTCTCAATCATCTCGGCACCCTCCTTGTCCGAAGCAAGTTCGCAAAGAACGCCTGTTGCTACTCGCTGCACATTTTCGTTGTTTGAATATAGCAATTGAACGAAAATGGGTACAGCGTCTAAGTTTCGAATAACGTTTCTGTTTGTAACATCCCTGGCAAGTATATGAAGGGCGCCGACGCATGCCTCAACTATTTCCTCCATACGAATACCATCAGTTTGATTTGGGGGTGCTCCTTGTCGACGTTGTGTATCTTGATGAGCTTTTACCATTAAGTGGACGATTCTTGGAAGGGCACCGTGCTCTCTCAAAGGTGTATGGTTTGAGGGTAAAAGAGCCAAATTTCTGATTAAACCAACTACAGCCTTTATTAACGGCCATCTACTGGGCGGATGAAGAAGCTTAACAAGAACAGGAAGTCCGTACTGTTGCCTGTTTGGAAAAGAAATATTGTCTATATATCTATTACCGTTCAATCTTCAACAGTCAATAAACAATGGAATGAGACGGAAGTCCTAATCAATTTCGTCAATTGATTTACGTCAATCAAAGTTATATAAAGAGGTACATGCATGAAATACTTTCTAGAAGTGCCGTTAAAAGCATAAATACCTGATAATGTCTTGCGCAACTGGTGCTTGTTCGTGTCTGGAAGTTAAATGCCTTAGAGCACAAATTGAAGGTTCTGTAATGTCTTCTCTATCGCCGGCTTGCAAAATAGTTCTCACTAAAGCCTCAACACCTCCTCTTTGAACAACTGCCATCTTGTTTTGTTGATTATTACATGTAAGATTACTGAGTATACCAGCCGTGCAAGTAACGATATTGACATCCTGATTTGATAATAAATGAATGAGCATCTGTAAAAGGTCATCCAAATTGTTCACTTTAGTCGCGGCATCTGAGAGGTTTCTAAGTGTCCACAGGCAATTTTGTACTAAGCGAACACTTTGAGAAGACAGATGTAAAGCTAATGCTTGTAAGCCACCTGCCTCGACAATGGCTGCCTTATTGTTAGCACATACAGACAATACTTTTAGGACTCTGGAAGATGTCCATAAAAGCTTTTCATAATTGTATTGACGCATAATTCGTACAAGTTCAGCCGGTCCCCCGCTTGCCAATATGATTAATTTTGATTCTTGATTGCCATATGTTAATATTTGAAGGCAGTCGGTAGTGATTGCCAGAAATTTATCATTGTGGCGTTGTAATAAGGCTACCATTTTTTGCAAACCCCCTGCTAGTCTCACTGCCATTTTGGCCCCATCTTGGTGTAGGAGGAGGTTGTGTAGTGTTGTTATTGCGTAAAACAAAACACTTTCAATATGACTCCCAAGTAATTTTACCAAGGCTGGAATACCACCAGATTTAAAAATAGCTAAGAGGCCTTGCTTATGGTGGGAAAGATTGTGAAGAGTTCCCGCAGCACAGCGGGTCGTCTCATGGTCAGCCGTATTAGACATAGCTCTAACCAGAGCGGCCACCATTTGTTGGGAATTCATTATAGCATGCCTGGAAGCTTCTTTTTTCGACAATTGATGGACCATCATCGCTGCTTGGGAAACAACTACTTGGTCTTCATCATTTAATAGCTTTGTTAACTCTGGAATAGCTCTCGTAGCCAAATCGGCATCATCTTGATAGTTGATGAGGTTGACAACAGCCGTCTTGAGCATTTGAGACGGTTCCGATAGTCTTTGGACGGCGGTCTCTTGATCCGGATGAACTTGAGTTCCCGGTATTTGTACTCCTTCTTCCAAAGTTTCTGGAAACATTGCAGCTCTAACGCGAGCCGATCTTGATTGATTTAATTGCATCTCATCAATATCGTCATTGGCGGGAGCGTATTGTTGTTGATCCATATCGTACAACATAGTTGAAGTATCCATACCTTCGCCAGGTGGAGCAGGTGGGGGCGGAGGTTCAAGATCATCGTGCATACTATTCGCAACGCTTTGAGCGCCTGTAGTAACTCCTGATTGAACACCGCTGTCCATGTATTGGTTTTGTCCCCACATCATTACTTGACCTTTTGCATCGACATCTTCCATAAACACTGTAGTAAGAAAATGAAAGGAAAAGATAATTATCAATTCAATAGCCACTTGGACATTCTAAGTTATACTGGTTACAGAATCTTTATATCTACAATAATATCAATAATCATAAGCGGTTACTAACATAGTTCCATCGATCTGAGTATGTCTTATTACGCCAGTTAATTATATCTATTTAAATAGACAGGCCTACATTCTTCGAAAACCAAACAGGACTAATAAATTTTTATAAAGGAAAAGTAAAAGTGCGTATACCTTAGAATAAAAAAGAATGACAGCTGATAAAATGACTTACGATCAATGTTTAAAAAACAACTGACATAAAATACCAGAATTTACCTTAAAAGCCAATTGATATTTATAACCCATATAAAATTCACACATTATCCGTTTTCTTCCTCTATCAAAATTTATTAGATAAAATTCCTTCGCTTTTTTTCTGATTATTATACAAAATAAATTACACAGGAAATAATTTAAATTTCCATATAAAAATAGAAAATTTATTGTTTTTTTTACTATTCGATAATAAAAGTGAAAAAATTCTTTTTATTTCAATAAGGTTTATTATGAAATTATTGATTGTTCTTAAAAAAGAATAAGTTCTGATATTTTATTCTAAATTCTTTTAGACACTTTCGAAAGTGCGATATGACAGTTGTGAAAATTTATGATGCCTAATCCTGGTCAAACATCGTCTAAGGTAATAAATATCATAACAAGATCATAAAAACAATATAGACTCGCATTGTATAAATCGATCAGTTGTGTAGCAGTGATCAGATTAATTACATAACTTTAAAGCAAAAAATAAGTCACTTACTTTGTCTTGGTTGTGCCGCATTCTGTCCGTAAGACATGGTTCCTAAAAAAAAATTTAACTTAGTTTACGGTAAGAAATGATTAAGGCCGGAAAGCATGTCTTTGTTATAAAATATGCGAATCAATCAGGTGAGAGGCAAATTTCTACAAATCGCGTTAACGTACCTTAAAAGAAAATTAATAATATGAGCTCCAAGCTTATTATATGTTAGTCTTTTTTTATTAGAACAAGTTAAAGGTCGATTTTTATAATAAACTCGATCGATTGGGCGGCGAACAGTTATTGATATTTGATATTCAACATGGCTGCTACTAAACAACAGTGGCGCCACCAAAATTGTATTTCTGCTAGTAAGCTGAAGCGTCACCTACAATAGTATCGATATAGCATAACTCAATTAGAAGGCTAATCGGTTCACACAATTAATAATTTTAACTTTGAAAAATAACTGAATTTATTATTAAAAAGAAAAAAACAAACGTTCAAATGGAAAAATAATTCATAGTTAGTTAATACCAATAGGTTTTGGCTCTTTTTTTTGTTTCTTCTATTCCCATAATTTTATTAATTTCTTCTTCAAAAGTTAATAATTTCGGTTTATAAGTTACTTCTGTAACTTCTTTTTCAGTTGTGTCTTTTTCGGTATTCTCTGTTTTTAGAACACAAGTATTTTTTATTGTTTATGACTTAATAAGAATATATTTTGATTGAATAAAAAACCTAAATATGTAGCTGGTGTTACAAAATCTTCTAATTCATCGGCTCCAACAGGCTTAGGGATAATCCTTCCACTTCGAGATGATACACGGACTTTTCGGCCATCTTCTTTATATCTCCAGTCGATATCAGTGGGTTCACTATTACATAATTCATTAGTAATTAGATAACGATTATTATTTGTGCATGTGTACTTAAAAATTTTCTGTATAATATTTATATTATTAAAATAATTGGATGTGTTATATATAATGGCTTGTAAGGCACTTACTTATCGCCTGGATCAATTAACTTTACTTGATCAGGTACTAATAGTGGTTGCTCAGTACGAATACAAGTTGGAGGAGTGTCTGGAGATGCTTGTTCTGTTTTGTACTCTACATTTAAGCCATCTACAAAAACCCAGTTTCTCTCTTTAATAATAGAGTTTATTATCCCAATTTTTCCTTTATCTTTTCCAACCATCACCATTACACGATCTCCTTTGAACAAAGCCATATCGTCAATATCCTGAACATAGATCTTCTTGTGTTTTTGATCGGGTGCATTGGCTCTTTTAAACTCATCTGTCCACGGTCTATGCTCGTTGTAAAACCAATCAGTTTTTTTAACTTCTTTCCATCCAACAAAGGGATAATGGCGTCTAATAAGTCGATGACCTGAGTTTTCATACATAGCCCGTTCAACATAACGTTGCCAGTATTTCATTTTAACTTTTCTTAACAGAACTTGTCCTAGCCGCATGCTTTTTTTTTAACTTTTTGTATTATCGTTCATAGGCAATGTCGGGTACACCTAAATTGTGAAGGAATGGGTTTACCAAAAGAAGTTAATAATTGAAGTAAAATTGAATTTTCACATTATGGCAAAGATATATATTTAAAATACAAAACAACATGGTTAACGTGCTGATTTTCTTATATGTGTTAAAAAAAATAATATCTTTAGATGTGTCATTTATGTAAAGTTTTAAGTTCAATTTTCAACAGAAGGCCTGTTATACTAATAAGAAACAATAAGAATTGCTTTATTAAGAAATTCAATTACTTTACTAATTCTTACGATATCTTTTATTTGAAGTTGTTTAATTTAAACTTCGTAAAAATTCCTCTCGTGATTTAACTAGACTCATGAGAAAGCGCCATCTGGGAACCTTCTATTTCCGGATTGAGCCTATCACGTGTTTAGTTCAATTATAGGCGATACTCCTAAGCGGACGAGTCTAATCAGATAAGAGAAAAACGTCGCACTGCTACAGAAAGTCTGGAATGAGCGCTTGCAGTTGTAGTAAAACATATCGAATTATTAGTCTATAGATCTCTTTGTTTTCTTCTCTGTACAATCCTGTACATTTACAAATGGACGACGTAAATTGTATAAAAGAGAAGTTACAAAATGATCCGGACGAAAAATCTGTTAGCAATAAATGAATATTTCAGGTTTTATTTTTCAAGTAACAAGTCTCTTTCTTTTACAGATAGTCAAACTATTCAAAAAGCTCGATAAACTTGAAATTACATTAGAAATTCTTTGTGTGAGTTCTTAGATAACCCCATTTTTTTATGACAAAAATGTCTTGCGCATGCGTGTTTAACAGATCGTTTGGAAATATCGGGTGAAAAATAAAATTAGTGTGCTAAAAGATGGTTTTGTCATAAGCTAAAATTTGCGTAAAATCTGTTTTAGGGGTCAATCTATTTAAAGACGAAGACTCTTAAATTATGAGCAAAATTTTACACTTTAGATAATGGATTACATAATAGTTTCCTAATACGCCGAAGTAGTTTAGTAGTGCTAAATAAAGCAAATAATAGATCTTTTAGATTACATTTAAAGAGTAATTCTAGGTTTGCGATTTCACAGAAAACGAAAATAGGAAAGGTAGTCAATAGTTTTAGGAAACATGATGGACGCGTCGGCGATATGGCTAAATTTTTGGTGACAAGATGGAAAGAAATGGTTCCACAGAATGTCATGTCATCAAACCCTAATAATACTGGATCGCCAGGTAGCATCATTCGTACAGAAACAGTATCAGAGACAAACCTTGACGTCGACAAGGCTCCGAAAATAGATGTTATGAAAAAAATCTCACCAGAAAAGACAAGAGAAAAAGATTCAGATCATAAGAAAGATAAGAAAAGAGAGCGAGAAAATCGAAAAAGAAATCATTCGCAATCTGTCTCATTTGATGATCAACTAAATTACGACAATTCGAAACCTCATAAATCTAAGAAGAAAAAGAAATCAAAGGATAAGGACAGAGAACATACTCACACGCACACACCTAAGCCATGTATAGTTCCTGAAGTTCCCAAAGTTCCTGAGGTTGTTCCTGAAATTAAAATGCCTTCTCCAAAACCTGTAAGTAAATCTTAACCACTTCTTCCAACTGCATACAAATGAATAATTTTTCTTATTACATAGGAAAAAATTGACATATCATCAACTTTACCTGAAATTTCACCGTCGTATAAACCACTTCGTAGGCCTTTTGAAGACGAGAAAAGAAAAGGTAATTTTTATCTCTTGTCTTTGAGTCTTTAAAATATTTGTTTTATTAATCTAATATCAGCGAAAATAGGAATAATTCTATTTATAAACTTATATAAATAACCGAGACATTCTTCAATTACCTGAAAAGCAGTTGTTGATGAAATTTTGCACTTCTTTTCAAAACCTTGTATAAATGTATATATATATATATATACTGTATATACTGTATGTAGTAGATACACACTATACAAGTGTAAAATATAAATTTGTGTATATCTACACTATATATATAGTTATAGAGAGAATTATACTGATACTTAATAATACAAATGCAGATTGTTACTTAACCTCTTCCAATTAATCTACTTTTCTACTTAACATTTATAATTTAATAATATTTTTTATGTAATAGCCGCTGTCCACATCGACACGTCACATATTGGTAAAAGAGTTTATGCAAGTAGAAAAGTGTATGCTGGTAAAAGGACGAGATATTTAACTAGTATGTTGAAGTAGACATAAATATTCAGACTTCAATATTTGTTTAAATTGCTTTTTTAGAAGTACCAAAGCTTTTCGATTCTTGTTTACAAGTCCTAAAGGACAATGTACAATGTAAGTTTTTTAAAATGTTGGATTAAATATAAAAGATTGAATGTGTTCATTTACTATATATAGATATAGAAAATGTTGGAGCTATTCCAGCGTCACTACTTATGCCTATCTTAGAGGCTTGCACACCAGAAAAACTTTATGAGTTGGAAGATTTTAATCATCAATTTTTGGGTGAGACTGATGACTTATGGAAAAAATTTTGCAAAGTTGACTTTAAAAATTCAACACCGTCTGAATTTGAAAGCTGGAGGGAATTGTATTTGGTAAGTGATAAAAAAAACTATTCAGAATGTTCGATAAACTATACAAAAGCGATACTAGTTTGAGAATGGTTACTATTGGATCTGAGACAGCTGTTTTTTTTTTTAAATAGAGGCTGGCTGTAAGGTGAAATGTATTTTACAGGAGATTTTCTTTTAAATGGAGCCGAAAAGGAATATAAAGGCATAAGTTTATTCCATTACTCTGAAAGTATGAGGTGGATTTTAGTCAAATCATATATTTAAAAGCATTTACTAATTAGGGAAGAGCTGAGAAAAAGTTTAACATTTAAAACCATTAGGACAGGAAATGATTTAATATAGTTTCTGTAAAAATTACAAAAATTTGAACCATCCAGATGCTTTGTAGGTAATTGCTATATTTAGAAAATTATCAATTAATTTATAAACCAAAAAAGTTCTTTTAATATTTCATTCAGGTTAGAAAATATTTTGATTTCCAAATAGTATTCCCAAAATTTGTTACGTAGATCTGCTCACATATCTATTTATAAAAGGATATTAACTGGTGTTTCACCGCGACTTGCTACGATTGTCTAAGAAATCCTAATAATAGTATCTTTAATATTTTCAAATAGAGATATGAGTATAAATCAGATATATATATATATATATATCTGATTTATTAATAAATATCTGTATTTAGAAATACAAATAATTATCTTGGATTTTATCACGCAGCGTCTCAAAGATGAACAAGAGGAAAAGCTAGCACGAATAACGGATAGGATTTCACAAAGAAATAAGAATAAGGGCGATCCCAAAAGGAAAACAAAATTAGCTTTCGAAAACTCTATTGCTAAACCTCCTAGAAGCGTATTGAGAAAACAAATTAAGAATGGAGTGACTACACCTCATGCGCTCCAAGTAATTAAACCTGGCGCTAGGCCTTTTGTTTCTAAACCTAAGAAGATAGTTCCTCCTCTCATGCAGAAAACGCTCAAACTGTTGAGAAACGTGCGTCGTTAGAGGGTTATTTTATCATTGATTTGTTGATTTATAATTTTAATGTGTGAGGATATTAAATAAATATTTGTTCAAGTCGAATAGCAAAAAAAAACTTGTCTGTCTGATAATTTCTATTTATTTTTCATTTTGAGCGACCCATGATGCAGGCATGTTTAAATGTTGCATATTGGTAGATAAATGATAATAGATTGTATCTGAAACCGTAATGTCTGTCAAAGTAGCAGGAGCCACATATGTCTAATGCAGCTGTTGTTACCTATTAGCAACACGTGCATCTCTTATGGTTAGAGCAGAGTTTATCGTAATGTATCACAATAGAACTATATAAGAAACAAATGCTATATTGAACAATATTTAATATTTTTCACAACATGTCTGTCTACCTACAGAGTTGACTTAAACTTTCTAATTTATTTGCTTTGTTTATTAAATAAAACTTACCATTTAAAGCTGATATTAATTGTTTCTAATCCTTTATATAGCTGTTTTCAAACAAAAGTTCACGGAGTATTTTTTCAACTGATTTATCCTTAATTTTCAATATAAACTACGTTTATTTATTTGTTTTTCAACAAGTGTCTTGTAAATGCTACCTGTTTATTCTCACTGATAAAAGAATTCTTGTTACAACAGTTTTATACCTCTTCGTTACATAATAAATAACTTTGATTAGAGATAGTCTAAACAATCTGATTGGTTTTCATTAAGAAAAACAACAACTTATGCTACGTTTCCAAAACAACTCAACCTGTTTCTTTTTTTTCAATTAAACGTCTTTTTATGGCCATTTTTCTGTTTTCTTTCAATTATAATTTCTTTGAATATATTTTCCATACTACATTAGCAATCAATATACATTTTACACTTTTAACCATCAATTAAAATGTAGAATAATACAACTTTAGCCATATTTCTATCGATTATGATTTGCATATGTACGACTTTCTTACGTAAAATGGGCTAATAGCAATTAAAAAATATTGGAAAAAAACTTGTATTTCTAAGAAATTTACACATACAGATGGCGCTACAGGAGGTTAACTTTTACAAATTGAAAAAAAAAACTTATCTCATTAACAGCCGTTGTATTATTCGTAAATATTTAATGAAATAATCATTGAAAAATTTTTTTCGGAATCAATAAATTAAAATAAAAGAAGAATAAAAGAATACGGCACCCAGTGTTCCCAGGCGGTCTCCCATCCAAGTACTGACTGGGCCGTACGTCATTTAACTTCGGTGATCGGACGAGAACCGGTGCTTGTAACGTCGTATGGCCGTATACAACAGATTGGTTAAACTAGTACTATTTAACAACCAGAGTTACTACTAGTCTAAGTCTATTTTCTATTGAGAACAAATTTTAATAATCCTATGTATTTTTTGCAAAGATGAAGGGAAACAAAGACCATAAAATTTCCTTCAAATAGAAGGAACACTAATTTATAGACAACATCCTAAAAATCAAAGCATTTGAGAACGGTTTGTCTCTTAACAAGGTTGAGTTATAGCTCGTCAGCTTGTGTCTTAAAGGATTTTTTCGCAGTCACAATGGTCTTTTAAATAAAAATTGTATCTTTTTACATCAGTAAAAAGATTATTGATAAAATTACCAAATTAAAATAAACATTCTATAAAGAAAAGCTTCATCTTTATTTTGGAATTGAGAGTCTCATTTTTAAAGATGGTCTAATATTGGACATAGTATAGCTCATTATATCATGTTTTTGATGATCCTCTTTAGCATATTCGAATAATAAGTGGAGTCATTATTTCAGACAATGATTAGATCAAAGTACCAGGAGAGAATAGTACTCTTATTATTATTATCCATTTACATATCTATATGATTAAATGGATAGTTTACATTGAACAATGGAATCATCAAACGCATTAATTTAAATATTGTCATGCCATAATTCCTATTTTTTTTTGTTATCTCATCTTGATAACCAAATATATCAGAGAGATTTTAAACCTTCCTTAAGAGAGATCGTATTTTCTTACTTTTTAAGCTTCCTTATAATAAAAACGACTATTGTTTTTAAGGAGAAAAAGAGATAGAAAGAGGATAGAGAGACCTTGAATTATGATTCCTCATAACTTTTACATTGCTACAAAGCATCCCTTGACTATATTTTCGTTTTGTTATTCTGACCTTTAACCTTGGCTATACGCACTCAGGAGGCCTGATCATACGAGTTTAACAAATCATTCTTTAATTTGCATATTACTTAACACAAATAAATTAGAAATTCCAATCTATATTTAATTTTGTCCTTTATCACGATGGCCCTATTTACAGATAAAATTATGTTGATATAGTCAATTTCGTTAATAAATTCTTTAAAATATCATTTAATTAATATTCATATGAAGGAAATGAAAGCTAAAGATATATTATTCTTTTTTAGTTTAACATTATTTCTTAGTTTTAGAGATAAAAAAAACAATAATATAGTTTGTCAAGAATATCTTTGTTTTGTTAACAAACAATCATATGTTTTAGATAATAAATGAAAAGTGAAATAGTATAAGAATTATATTCTACCGGATGGATTATTGTTTCTTTATTTCTTTATTTTTTATTGGTTCGTTATTGTATCAAAAGGGTTCTAATCTCGTTCTCAAGTGATTACCATAGAAACCATTTCTAGATCTTCAATTCGGCAACTCTCATTATCCTTCAATAATGGGTTTAGAAGCGTGAGAAGAACGCCAAATTGTCTCTTGAAACATCTCTTTCAAAATTACATGGAATCAATTAGATTGAATTAATTTCTGTTTTTATTGTCAAAGAAGGGCTCACTTGCGATGATAACATGTGGTGTTAGCCTTAAGGAAAATGGTGTATTTCTTAGTGATTCTCAATGAAAACAGCTATATGATATCCTTATCCCTTTTCAAAGCGAATTACAATTTGATAATTATTTAGTATCATTAAAAGATAACTACATTTACGTATTGTAATTGGTTATAAATAAGTGGTTTCCTAATGGATCAAATTAACAAATAGATGGCGTTACTTCCGGTGAAAAGAAACTCTCTAAGTTTACCACTCAGTTTTTTGTCTCTTTATCGATTGTAAGAGGTGTTTTAAGCGTTTTTTCCGAAGGAAAGAGTAGTATGATAATAAATACAAATACTTTTTTAGATGAAACGAAAGAAGATGAGATGATGCATTTACTTTTTTCTCCTCACCTTTTCTTACGCTTCAATTCACTAGCACTTTTCGTATAGTAATCTTACGAATATACGTCCACATTCAGGTGAATGAAACGCCTACTCTCATAATTTTAAAGAAGGAATGAATAGAGAAAAAGTAATATATTTCTCTGACCAATTTTTTTTATCAATGGAAAAAGTCAGCACAGGTGTTTGTTATTAAGTTAGTTCATCTAGGGCTGTATTATCATTTTATTGCCTGGACACACGTATTCTTTAGATTAATTTTTACGACATTTATGATTAATTTACCTACTGAAACTAGCTAAGAGTCTACTCATTTCTTCACTTTATTCGAATTCTTTAGCTAATCGTTAGTTTATTTCTGCTTGATTGATTGATAGTATTCGACCATAACTTTCCAAGCTTTCGGAGCCATAAAACCTTCAGGAGGGTTTTCACCAGCTCTTGCCATACTTCTCATTTTCGTCCCACTGATGAACAAATAATCGTCTTTTTTGGAGAAATCGACAAAATCCATGGCAGATTTGTTTTTATTGTATGCTGCTACTTTGAACGGTATAACCTCTAATTGATTTAGTCCTGGAGCCATAGTAAGAACTTTAGCTCCATGTGTTGGATTATACAAATCTTGCTTGGTATCTGGATGAGGCATTCCAGCTGGATCTCTACCGACAATGTAAAAGTTTGTTCCTGTTGCCATTCGAGCTTTGCAGTGCCATTGAACTTCAGTTGGTCCGGCATACATCATTGGCGAAGGGAATATTGCCAAAACGGTAGATTCGGGATCGAGTACACCCTCATCCATAATGGCTAAATGCTGCTTGATTCTCCACGCAAGTGGAACATCGTCTTCCTTGGTCCAACCTCCTAAAGGATGTAGCAGAAGTACGGGTTTTTTATATCCCCGCTCGATCAACTTTCTCTTTGTATCTGTCATTAACAGAGCATGTCCGTTATGCACTGGATTACGCAATTGGAAAGCAAAAACTGCATCGGCATTCATCGATCTGAACTTTTGTCTCAGTTCAGTGGGGGTTTTTCTGTACTCGTCGAGACCGTCATTCCAGCGGATTCTTTCAAAAACCTCCAGATCACCACCACACAACCAATCTCCGCTCTCCATAACCGTTTTAATATACGGATGACCAGGATTAGCAGTACCCCATTGCCTACTACATCTTTCTTCCTTTCTATGCTCGTAAAATTCTGGAGTACGGAGGATTGCAACGATTTTTCCCTCGTAGCTTAATGAAATAGCGGGAGAGCTTGCTAAGCGTTCTTTGTTTTCTGTTGTAACTGGCAAAACGATAGGAATTGATTGGTTAGAGGTACCACCGTCCAAGCAGAGAACACCAAAGTGTTGGGAATGCAGAAATTCGCTCTCTCTCATAAATCCTGAAAGTGGTGTCGCCCATCCTTCACTCAGAACTTGAACCCATTGCAGGTCTAATTTGTTGATTTCCAAAACAGGTAAACCTGCTGCTTCGACTTTTGCAGCTTCAATTCGGTCAGCTGGCACGAATAACTCATGAACCATGTTAGTCGAGGCCATTGGAACAATACCATTTTTCTGGAGTAATTCAACAATGTGTGATACACATTCTTCTACAGAACTCTGCCCAGTTTTAACGCGTAATTCTGGAGAGTGAGGTTCCTCATACTTTGAGTCTATTCCGGTAAAGCCTTTGATTTGGCCTGCCCTGGCCTTCTTATATAAACCTTTCACGTCACGTTCTTCGCAAAGAGAAAGAGGTGTATCGACAAATATCTCGAAGAATGGAAGGTTTGCGGATTCGTGCAATTTTCGAGCTTTATCTCTGTCGTTCCTATATGGTGAGATAAAGCTGGTTAGACAGACTATTCCCCCATCGGCAAAAAGTTTTGAAACTTCTGAAATTCTACGAATATTTTCCTCTCTGTCCTCTGGAGTAAAGCCCAAATTCTTGTTCAATCCATGACGAATATTATCTCCATCCAAACTATAGGATGGTATACCCTGAGCAACGAGGTATTCTTCCAAAGCGAATGATAAAGTTGTTTTACCAGCTCCAGATAAGCCTATTAAAAAATAAAACATACGATTTAAGTAGGGACAAAAACAGAGTCTATAGGTACTCGAAACAACTCGTACTTTGATCCATATTAAGACAATATTGTTACTAATCAAAATAAGTAGAAAATTTATCTTTTCCTTTAATTCAATTATTAATCAAGTTCCGACATTTGTACTCGATATAAGGTGCAAATGAACTTCCTTTTCTATATATATATATATACTTTATATATAATTATTTTTAATTGAGCGGAAGGTGAAAAAAAGTAAAGTTCATTTCAAAATAAGTAGGGGACGGTGAATATATATCTCTTTCTTATTCAGTTATACATAGATAATTTAAATCACGATAAATAATTAAAATGGATGATTAACGTCTGTATTTTCTACCAAGACAGCTAGTTAATCCCGCACTGTCACACAAGAATCCTTGTTTGTCCCGAGCGTAAAAAATAGGATAATAAATTTAAAACAATGGAGATTGAGTACATTTAAACTTGGTTGTCATCAATAATACTATGTATAGCGTCCTTTTTAATCATTCAAAAACTATAATTAAGTGAGTGAACGAACGTCAATTATTTTTCTTTTTTTTTGTCCTTTACATACACATAGATTTATTATCTTTCTTTCATTTTTTTTGTCTGTTCTCTTTTAGAATGATAATTATGATAACCTCCATTAAACCTTAGATAAAGGGTAATAGATTAAAAAAGAAAGGTATGATAAATAATTATGCAAATTACTACCTTAATTAAATCCCGGATTTAATTAATTATATATTATTTATTTGCAACAAATAGATATTTCTATATATGAATATGTTTAAAAATATCATTTAGTTTATATATATATATCTATATACTGTATATCTATATATATATATATGCAGTATATATAGATATACAATTTGTGAGAAAGGTATTTTTTCAAGAAGTCACGAAAATGAAAATTGATCGAATATCACATAATAATCAAAAAGTAGATGGGTTATATGGTGTAATATTACGGAGAGTTTGTAATTACAAATGAACTTGATAAACGATAGACGTTTTCGGATGGTAGTGTACAAAAAAAAAACTGGGGAAAAATAGAAATAAATCTTTTTGCGGCTTACCTGTAAACCAAACTGTACAACCTCTAAATCCTCCTTTCTGCCCTAAAACTTTCGCTCTTTCCTGTCTTGAAACATGCTGCGCTTGGTACGTGACATTCGTCGCCCGTTGCAGATTCTACAAAGCATAAAATAATGCGAATTACAAGGCGAACTCGAGTTTTTATGTGTTGCATTTACAATCCTAATAGAACGGTCGATTTTACAGACTCTATCAATCTTACTTCATCTGTTCTATAGTCATTGGAAATGGGAGGAAAGGGTCAGACAGACTAAACTGCTCCTATCCCAAATAATCACCTTATACAATTAGTCTAGAATAAAAATAGTTGTAATTATAAATTTTAACTTGTGCTAATATCTTTGACAAACAGATCCGGCTTATAGGCTTACTAAGGGATTATTTACAGTATTTTCTGTACTTTAACGCGACTTCTAAAAGTAGACAATAATGCAAATTATGTCTATAGTTTCCAGTTTAGCTCTATAATTTTAGTTTTAACCTGTTGTATAGTATTTAAAATTCCCCTAAAGTAAGAGTAATATAACATAAAGAGGTTAAATTGACATGAACCTGGCCAACAGTAAGGTTATTTGCGGTTAAACGGCTTCCGTTGAGTACATTATAATAAGGGACGGAACGCAAATTACTTACTATCATATTGTCAGTTAACAAACTCAATCAATCAAACTCATCCCCTCAGTAACGGCGGTGGGAAAGTCAGCAAAATATTTGCGGAATACAAAAATGGAGGTCCGGAAAGCAAGTTTTTTCCCAGATCGACCGTCTCATGTCAATCTTTTTAATTAACGATCTAAACAAGTAATTAATCCACACAAACGAACGAAATAAAAAAAAAAACGAGAAAATATTCTAACAAACAGAATAAGATAATAGAATTTGTGATATAATAGGTTTTAATAGCAACATAAAGGAAGAAAGAGAATAAAAATTATCGTCGACGCCGACACGCGAAAAATCGGCTGGCTTTCCGGCTATCAGTCTAACGCAGCGTCTCTCGACGGTCGAAGGATATCGACCGTCTCGTTCGTCATCTTACGCGTCGACGTCTAACGAAACTAATTTTACAGACGTATTTTTCTACTACTCCTCTAGTACGTTATTGTTAGACACGGTTCGTCGTTAGAAAACCCATTTTCGAGTTATATTTCAAGTCACGTAAACATTGCGATCTCTAATTGAAAAATACCTATAAAGGTATGAAAATTTTTGTATCCAAGTATAGAATATTCTTAAAATACTTTTGTAACGTTAATTCTTTCTATTTATAGCTGCTTTTTTTTATCAATATCTTTTTTCCTCTTTCTGTCTCTCTCTTCTCTACCTTCTTATCATTATACTTTTTATTATCTTGCTGAAGGGAAAATCTTTAAATGTATTTACTAAGATCCTCAATATTTTAGGAACATCAATATTAATACGAATTAGTTTAAAATTGAAGATCAGGCTAGCTAACGAACAAATTTAAAACTCACATAAGCGCATCAATATAGACGCACACCCACTAAAACATACATAAAACACATTCAATGCATCTGTGATGCTATTTCAATGTCTATACGCATTAAATACTTCTAAATTATCCGTATTTTATTGACAAGTAATTGTCTTAAGAAGGTCAGTAAATTTACTACTGTAAAGGGTTTATCATGATTTACTTCTTGAATATTTAGACTTTTTTACTCAACGGATTAGGGTGTTTCCAATCTATTTTCTCTCATCTTTCATTCCTAAGCTTATCTTCATTGAGTTTAGGATATTTAAAAAATTAAAGGAAGGAGTAAATAAAAAAAACAAGTAAGATTAGAAAAGAGGGACAAACTCCCCACCCAATTCCTCTTTCTACAACCACCCACTTGCGTGCTTTGTCTACATCACGTCCAAACTCAATCCAATCGTAATGGATTACACGGTTCGCCAACGTCACGTGACCGTTTCCGGACGGCGATTTTCCAGAATATATGTTGTACTAAATATAGAATAAAAATACGATACAGTCTAAAGCCAATCAGGAATCGGCAGTGCGGAATTTTTTCATCGCCTTTTTCCAGCCGACCGTGTAATATATATAAAAAAGAAAGCGGAAAAGGGTGGGGATAATAAAGGGAAAACAAAAATCGAATTATCTATTGTCAATTGGTAAAAAACCGAAACCCGTTCCTATTCGAATAATTAAACGACTAATGAGTAGACGTGTTCAGTGTTGACGTCAACTAGTCACAGATGTTTTCAGTTGTACCCTATCGATTATACTTTCAATTTCACATATGTCCGATTAATTCACAATGTACACACATCCTTCACTTGTATGAAACAATATCATTACAATAATATTTCCTATGTTTCTATTAATTAAAATTGACTTAAAAAACGTTTAACGTATCAATTATCAAATGATTATCAAATATTGTATAATGAGAACATTTATATATATATATATATTAGAGAGAAAGAGAAGTATCAAAGATGTACAAACTAGTTTACTAGAGAAAATACCAGCTACAAGAAGAAATGAAAAAAGTAAACAAAATGTTATGGAGACATGGATAGAGTTCCCAACACAACAAGAAGATCTATTTCACATGAGACATTCTTTTCTTTTCGATTATTTTAAAGTAATTACAAAGGTTTTATCAAATAAATTCGCAATATAATCGAATAGAAAAAAGTTTTCTTTTACAAAAAAAAAGTCAAAACAAAAAAAGTTGAAAAAAAGTTGAAAAATATTTTAAAAGTTTGACTTTTTTCCAGTGGAAATGAATGGATATATAATTATTTCATTTGGGTTCTTTTTTACAAACAATCATATCATAATTCGACAAGTAATAAAAATGATATTATAGATTAAAGTATGAAAGCGTGTTCTAGAATAAAACTGTTCTAATTAATGTTAAAAATATTGTACAACATCGATCTACCCGTATAACCTTGATTTCAAATTCATGAAAAATATATTTTTTAAAAGAATATTCCGCAATAGATAAAAAAGAGAAGAGAATTTTTTTCAAAGTGTTCCATAGTCTGTTTTGCTTTTTAGAAATCTCTAACTTTTTTATCATTCTATTCTTTCATTTGTAATTTTTCATTTGCAAACTTGAACAATCAATACAAATTGTCATTAGGGCGGAAAAGAACTGCTCGATATGTCATTCTCTTTTACCTACTCATCATTTTCTCTAATGACAAAAGCTTAATTACTTGTTTTATTTAACTCACTTCTACTAATTCCGTACATTCCCTTAGTTATTACTGTTTATAAATAATCTATTTATTAGCTATTTTTTACCTGTCTCATTCCATAAGGATCTGGGTTGCTATTCGAAGTCATTTTTAAAACGAAATAATTATTTTCAACAAACGCCGGGAATATATAAGCCTGGTTGTCAACCAATAAACGTTCGAATTTAAAATCACGTGATAAAAATAGGTAGGCGGGGTTTGTAATATGTAAATTATTTCTCTGAGAATTCCATCAGACTAGAGACGCTTCTAGTTGTTTAATAATCGATCTAGTGACTAAAAAAATTCGGTGATAAGATTATTCTGATAAAGATAGTGTAATCGGACACCGTATAGTGAAATAATTTAATATTAGACTCAGATGAGAAAAGCATTAATTAATCCTATAAGTTCAGCCTAATACCAGATTATGCGGATTATGCACTATAAACGTCAGAATACAAAAGTTAACCAAAATTTCAATAATACAAATAACTTTTCAATTAATTGTTTTAAATTTCATTTTTAGTGTAGCTCGAGGTGACATCTGTAGGTTTATTAGGGTAAATAAATCTGCGATGCTCTCCCTTAGCACATTATTGAAGAATAAAGTTGACGAAATTTTAATATAAGGACACGTTGACTTCTTTTACGTGCAATGAGAGTCGATTTGTACTACTGTACTTTTCTTATCTTAAGTTGGGTTATCGAGGTGTGTTCTTACTTTAACAAGAGAATCTTAACAATCTCAAATGGTCAAACATGAGGTACACTTCGATATAACTACAAAATAAATATTCATATAATTATTCTATTTTCATATATTATAATCTTTGCATATGCAAATTATCCTATTATAAACATTATCATTAAATCTTACAATTATTACGTACGGTACAATAATACTGTACAAGCTATTCAAAATTATTATTACTTTATTAACAATATCAACTTGAAGAGAAGCCTAGCAAGAGTTTATTTAATAAATGTGCTATTAATAAATAAATAATATCTAAATCTCCTTCTAAGCTTATTTGCTAATATACTTAGATTTTACGTTAGCATGATGTTAACAATACGAGATTTTCTTCTCAATAGGACAAGATTTTGCATATTAGAGCATGTTTATCGCTACTATATAGAGGATAACAATATGATAAAATTGACTATTTAAAGATACTAAATAAAACATATTAATAAATAAGGCTGTATTTATTATTTAAGACTATGTTTTACAATATTCTTGATATAAGACAAAGGAGAGGAGGAGAGAAAACTCATTTATTCTTTGGGTACTCTCAAATAAATCTGTTGAATGATAAAACATCCAGATATTGGATTGAGTGCTAGAGTTACAGCTTCTAAATAAGGACAGATTATAAAATAAGGCCAATTGAGTTATATAAACATTTCTTCGCTATTACGTTCAATCTCTCACAACTAATGTCTTAGGTACAGGCTACAAAAGACTGTATTATATATATACAATTCTCTTTTCAACTATAAAAATATTAGTAAAAGCATTTTAACATTCTATTGATTGGAAACGGCATATGCGCTTTGTCGAATAAACAATTTTTGAAACAGACATTTTGACATATACAAAGTGAAATAGGAACTTTAAGACATATTTAAGCTGTCAAATTTATTATACATTTAAAAAATGAAGTTTGTTGGTGAAAAAGTAAGTCTGATACAATTTAAAAAATCAATATTTATATTCCCTCGGTAGTATATTAAAATATATTTATTGTATATATTCGATCAGAACAGTCAAGAAACTATACGTATTATCGAGAGAACTAATACTCTAACATTTTTTCCCTTTAATCATGACTGTAACCATATGAAAGCACAATTCAAACAATTCTTTAAATGTTGTTTGAGTCTGTTATATATTTTGTTGTTAAACATATCTCTAATTTGTTTCCTTCCATGCAAAACTTAGTTTCTTATTATTTAAAAAATTATACCTGTCTTCTAAACTCAGTAAGGGAGCTTCTGCCCTTTATCGATCCATTCATTTTTCCGGTCCGTTTTTGAAGATTTGTATACTACTTTTACTGACGTAGAATAAAAGAAAATATAATATTGATTGAATCAATAAGAGAAATTATTTTTGTGTATAAACTAGCGGCTCCAAGAGCAGCAGACGAACTTCTGCAACTTACAAAGAGTATCTCTAGAATATGGATCCGCTGAAATCCACTAGAATAATAAACTCTATAATTATTCATTTCTAAGTTTATTCTATTGATATTTCCTGAAACAATAGAATGGTGATTACATATCAAGAAGGACCATCTTTATCAGATTACTAACTAATTAATAATGCATCGTTAAACAATAAAATTTTGTAATTGTTCAGCTTTTTAATAAATTACTGGTTTAGAAATATAAATCTTGTAATTTTTATCCTTATCACCAATTAATATTTGGTAAGGTGAGCAAAATAAACTAAAATCGATAGTATTTGAGGCAATTACTACAAAACATAAATATCATTATTTGTTAGTAGTACCCATTCACTGCGAGGGTTTTAAATATGTCTGCTATTGCGCTAATTCTTACATCTCTAGTTTTGAACTTCTCTTTTTCTTTCAGTGTAAAATACTACGGCACTAAAACACTCTATGAAGAATCATTTACAAATGAAGAGTGGAAAGAAGTTCTAAAATCAAAACTAGATCATCCAAAAACTTGCCATCCCATATATTTATCAGCAATATTCCGGTTAGAAACTAATTTGTAAAATTAGAAGCTTTTCTTTGTTAGAAATAGACTAGTTTACAATCTCTCGCATCCATTTAAAACACTTAGTACCTTTTCTATTCCATGATTATTTTATGCATTCATTTCTTTTCCTCAAATTGATTTCTATAACTTAATATTCTAATTTCTGTAATATTGTCATTACTATTGCAGACATGGTACGAGATCGCCCAGTACGTCAGCCACAAAGAAGACGGAAGGCTTTATATCTAGAATTAAATCGTACTATAATAAAATTGGAAGGGATAATGCTCAAGGACATGCTGAAAAATTGTTAAACTGGAGCAATCGCTTTTCCAATGTTAAAGATTCTATGTCATTGGCTGAAAAGGGAAGGGAAGAAATGAGAGATTTAGCTAGCAGATTCGCAAAACGAATTGAACCTTATATTAATCCAACTGCTTTAAGAATGGCATTTACATCCAGTAATAAAAGCAGATCTATTCAGAGTGCTGAATCTTTTAGAGAGTCCTTTCTATCATATTATTCAATAAAAGATGAAATACCAGTCCAATTAAGCGATATTCGATTGAGATTCTTCTCTGATTGTCCAAAACTGCGTAATACAATAGAAAAAAATAAAAATGCACTCAAAGAATATTACAGTTTTCCAGAAACTTTCGCTGCTCAAGAAGTAATAAAAAAGATAAATATGGCTTTAAATATTCCTGGTAAGATATACATTTTTCCACAAATTTAAGAATACAAAGTAATATATTGTAACAGCTGATCTCGGAATTCAGAAAAATGAATTAAAATCGGTTTTCTCTTTTTGCGGTTGTGAAAATGCTGTTTTTGGTCATTCAAAAATTTGCGACTTGATTGAAGAGCATAGAACTGTATTTGAATATTTATCAGACTTGAAAGCCTATTGGAGAAATATGTACGGTTATAAATTAACTAGTAAAGTCTCGTGTACCCTTTTAAAGGATATTTTTGAAGATATGCTCCTTGTTCAGCGAGATCATGAAAGAGGAATAGAGAATTTCGAACAATTACACTTCCAGTTTGGTCATGCTGAAACGCTTATGCCGATTATAGCTGCTTTGGGTAATAATTTGTATATTTTTCATAGTCCAATATAAATATATATGTATATATATATATATATTTAGGGCTGTTCAGAGATTCTACTCCACTTCGTGCTGATGAATTTAAGAAGAATATTGATAGAAAGCTAAGAGTCAGCAAAATTGCACCATTTTCCACCAACTTGGCATTCGTGTTATATCATTGCAAAGATGAAAATAAAGAGGACTACAAGCTTCAACTACTCTTTAAAGAACGTCCAATTCCATTTCCTGCTTGCGAGTCGGAAATTCTATGCGATTTAGAAAAGGTTTTAAAGTATTACCACTGGATTATGAACGAATGCCATAGAAATAGCATGTGCGAAATATTAAGGGATGAATTATGATGAATCAAAAAAAAAAAGAGGTCAATTGGTTTCTTTTTAAAAAAAATAATGTTATTTTAAAAAATTAAAGAAACTCGCTGTAGTTTTAAATAGAAGAAGCAATATTTATTTATTAAAAAAATTACATGCTGTTTGAATATGTATACATGTTACTAATATATTAAACATACCATCACAACTGTACGCAATATTCAAATAAGTTTTTCTAAGCTTCAAGGATTGGATCATCTTCAATTTTGTAATCGTAATCGACCTTTTCTCCCAAAATGACATCATGTAGATATTTGTTCAAACCTACAGTATGTGTTTTCTGTACACAATCCACAGTTAACATATTACTTATCCATTTGCTGGTGTTTGGTAATTTCTTCAGAATTTCCATTTCTTTTATTTCTTCAAAGACGGAGATCTTCTGTATAAAAGGCCAAATATGAATATCCAACATAGATATTTCATCTCCACCAAAGAACTTCCTATTTGCTATTTCTTTTTCAAAATGTTGAAAACTTTTCATAAAATTTTCTATAGCTTCATCAATATTTTGCCCAGTAACGATAGTATGAATTTTTGGGATTACACTGCCGAAGGCATCCATTAGCATTCTTTCGTGATATCTTTGCTTCTTGCAGCTTGGAATTAGAGATGCCCCTTCATATTCTTCTTCCAAGAAATTATTGCAAACCGCAGATTCGAATATAATATCATTATCTCTTTCAATAGCTGGTACTGTTCCGAAAGGATTTTTGTCAAAAAACCAGTCTGGTTTATCTTTCAAATTAATGTTAATTACATCGTGTCTGAAACATGGTTATAAGTAATATAATACGTTATTGGGTCAATAAATCCTGCTATTTATTGCTTACTATTTGAATTCAACGAATAATTGGTACTTACGGGATTTTTTTATGCCATAACACCATTCTAGTTCTTTTGGCAAATGGACAGTATCTCATATTGTAGAATCTAACTCTTCCTGAGCTGGAAGACGGGAGTTCATCTCCTAATTTTACATGAAGGAAAAACATTGAATTTAGCAATTAATTCTTTTGTATATTATATCTTCTTGTAAAAATCTAATGATTTTACCTTTCTTTAAGTGTTTAGTATTCATTTTGCGGGTTCAAATACAAATAACTCTGGTTGAATATTTAGGTCTTCTAAAAAAAGAAAACTCATTATCACTTCCAGTATTAATATACAATATATAATGATATTATATTTGTTTTAATAGAAAAAAAGATGCCCACACATAAGTTAGAAATACTTATGAAGGTATCAATATGTTAGAAAAATTAACATACCTGTTATGGAAGCGTCGTTCAAACTGTTATGAAAAACCTTTATTACAATATTCGTTTATACCGGTTATCTCCCTAACCAAACTCAAGCGCCATCTATCAAAAACGCTTAAATACTATAGACAGGCGCCGTCTAACATTACCTTTACCCGAATTTACGCTCTTGTTTTAAGGCTCTAAAATCATTGTTTAATGGTTGAAATTATGTAATTTTTTAACTATTGTTTATTGAAGAAATATTGCATGAAGATTAAGGAACAATTTTTGAAAATTCCAAGAAATTGCGCAATGTCCTATACTTTGACCCGAGTCCCATATTTTAACCACTGATCCTATTTATGAATATTACTGGTGACTGACTCTAACTTTTAACATTCTATGTGCAATGTCATAAGGAATAAGGAAATTCGCCCAAAAAAAAATGGACATATTTACAAACTGAATAATAATGTGCTATAATGTGTAAAATAACGTTATAGACCCAGATAAGACTAGGTCTAGTTATCATATTGATCAATCTTCTTACTTACCATCCAGACTATGTAGGCTGTATAATTTTTATGTGAGAAAATTCGAAGAAAGCAAAGAGAGAGAAGTAGCTGTTAGAAATCTTGTTTGTCTTAGTATATTATGGTTATTGATAATTCTTTATTAGTTCCATCTACAAGGTATATCTTTCTATCTGATAATGAGTGGTTTTTCTAAAGGGATTCATTCCATTTTGTACTAAGAACTATAATAATTTTATGGTGTAAAATGCATATAATTAGTCTTCCTCTCCTGACTTATTTGCATATAATAATAGTGACTCTTTCAAAGATTGCTTTAGATAGTAAACTTTTCATGTTAGAGATTGTCTAATTTTAATAACAATTGCAATTCAGTCATGATAATGCAAATATTATGAGAAAGAGAAATGTCTAAATGCGTATATAAAAGTTAAAGATTGATATTGAAGTACACAAGTTTAAAGCCTCTTTCGTCAATACCTTGCATAGAAATTATTTGATTTCTTATGAGGTAGTTATCTATAATTATTCATGAATTGATTAATATATTAGTTTTGTTTTTATTACATTCCATAATTCAAATGGTTTGAGATACAATGACGATATGGGGAAAATAAAGTATGGTAAACTACACAACTCGACTTATACTGTGTATATTGGAAATTTTGACAAATAGATGATTTTATCGGAAGTACCAAATTATGATAATTCTATTGAAAATGATCCAATCTACAAATACAAAAATGAATAATCCTATATAACCCATTAGAAATAGTATTATTCGACCTAACTAGAATAGAAAAAAGATTGTTCGAAATTTCCTCCTCTATCCAACGATTCAAGATTTTTCATACAATCTCCTCTAAGCCAGATATTGATATGAAACGGATTACTAAATTAGTACTCAAGTACAAATTCAATTTTCATAATTTTCCAATTATTAATTCACTTATAAAAATAAATAAGTAACGACATCTGAAAACTGTTGAATAAATGAATTTATAATAAACTTTAATCTTTTTCTTCGTATAAAAGCTAGCTTTTTTGTTTTAAGGCTATTTTCAATGAGGTAAAAGTCCATATTTATATTTATTCATATATATACTGTATATATATATATATATATATATTATATACAGTATATAGATATATAAAGCTCTTTTTTCAATATAACTGCAGATTAAACAGAAGTTTTATTATCGATTTAAACTAGACAGCATAAAGTAAATGAGAACTTTGTTAAAAATCCATTGGAAGGTGACGATAAGAATACACTATAAGAAAGAAAAACAGGATATTTAATCCGAATGGTCTTATTTTACTAGATTAGAATAAGATCGTGGTTAGTAGACTTATGAATATATATATATATATAAGGATTAATTAATAATATCAAGAATTCTCAAATTCTTATGTAGATGGTACGATGAGTAGATTGATAGCAGATAGATTAAATGATTAAACAAGAAAGATCTCTAAATCAATTTATAATGCCAGACTGTTTTTTTTTTAAACAAAAAAAGAAGGAAAAAAAAAGAGAGGTACGATTATATATATTAAAGACTAATAAAGACTTCCATAAGGAGCGTACATCTTTGTTTCTAAAATCGATTGTTTCCTCTAGTTTGAAAAAAAAATAAGATGATGGGAACACAATAGGCAGTTTATACTTTTTTACTGTATATGTACATAATAGATTATAAGGATCCTATTTGGTGTTCTATATAGATAAGATACAAATAGAATTAGAGAGACACAAAGAGGCAAAAGAGAATAAAAACATTGTTGTAATTTGAATTTTGGAATGACTAAGGGTGTATTTCCGCTTAAATACGGCCTATAAAAGTCATGTACCGAGCATACAAGTAAATTTATATATGCACAACAGCATAGGCCAAAAGCTGCTCTGGCCTAAAAGTTTTGCTACAGTATATACATCACTCAACTGGCATATCTCGCCGAGAATCGCTAAGCGGAATAACCTGGCTAAAAATTATTTAAAAAAAAAGGAACAGTAGAAAAATCATCTTATCGCTTAAAAAGTTGATTTGTTTTCTAGAGTACAACAATTTCTACAGAAAGAGGAAGATAAAGATCAAAAGAGAATAGCGAAGAAAGAAGGAAAGAAAGGAGGATTATAAAGAATAAATTACAATTAGGAAGATAGAATAATATTAAAATTATGATGAAATACTTTAAATATCTTCTATTAGCGTTTATGTGCATCAGTGTCACTAGCTGCGAAGATGAAGTAATATTCAAGAACGTCCATCAAGGAGAAATACATGAAAAAGTTATAATTGTAAGGAAACAAAAAGAGCTTATGGCTTTGCCGGATGATTGCAGATTTGGTAAAGTAACACTTTTTGCGGGTTTTTTATTATTATTACTCCATACATAGATTAAAGTAAATGATAATTGCCCTATCTTCCATTAGATGGGTATTCTAATTGCTAAAAGAACGTTTAGAGTGCATACAAATATATTGAGCTGTTACGTAATAGTTACATTGTTTCTTTCTTAATATTAATTGTTTTTCTATCTTTTTTATACATTGTATAAAAAGATAGCTGCCTGTCTGTAACTTATTTAGATTTATAGCTGAGAGGCAAAATATGTAGGCCTAAAGGGGGTTTTATTAGTTTATCATTCTTTCTTATCAAACTAGCTACAGGGATTGATATAAGGATTATTGTAATTTTTTTTTACTTTTTTGATAGATATGTGCCAAGAAACGTCATCTACTGTCGTCGTGGGTGGTCTCGTGGTTAATTGGACCTGGCCTAGAACATCAGGAGGATATAGAGTTAGTGTTAAATGTCCGAATTCAGTAAACATTGGTACACCTCCCTTTGATAATCTTCAATATGGCAATAGAACGTGCCTTATGAATAATACAGCATTCTTATGGAGTGACATTGAGGATTATAGCGAGTGCCCCGTTTCATCTATCTTTGAGAGGGCTCGTATTTATTATTCTAAAGAAGATTTCCGAACAACCCCGAAAAGTTTAAGTGCTATACACACCTTAGACAAGTTATGTTCCATTTTTCGAGAAAACCCTATGCATAAGAAAGACATTGTAGCTTTATGTAGTATATATAAAGATTTATCAGATTACGATAGCTGGATTAATTTCGACGATGCTAGATACAAATATTTAAAGATTTTTGATTCGTTTAACATCGGTTATAGTTCTGATCGTAATGAAGATGCCGATAGTTCCCTGTAAGTATAGTCGGATGTTTACGTTTTATACGGTTAATAAGTATCTGAATTAATATTGAGAAATTTACCAGAGTACAGAATATGGAGGCAGATAAAATAGATAAATACGACACTTTATTAAGGTAAGTAAACAAGTTGTTTTTGTTTATTTGAAAAATTGAAAGAAAAGGTTAAGGAACGAATATAATTTGTTGTTTAGCAACGAAGATATTCAGTATGATTTATAGTAAACTATGGAAAAGTTTATAGAGTATTCCATAGGTGCTTTGGTGCATCAGTAAGCAAACTATCAATTGTCTGTAAAAAAAAAAAAGAACTAACAGCTACGCTAACTTTCTTATACTCTATGATTTTTTCTTTATCCTTTTCTTATGTACATCTTTTGGTCCTCTCTTTCTCTTTTTCTCTCTCTCTCTCTCTCTTTCTAACTATCATCTATTTCAATTAATTTTCTTCATTTACTAACGTAACTGATAGGCTCTTCGAATCTCTTATCAAGTTTGTAAAATCGGTTGCCAAGTTAAAGGAAGATATAACAGTAAAAGCAAATAGAACTTGGATAATACACAAAACTGGTACAAATCAAGCAGAGAGCTCAGATATAAGTTCCACTGTTGCTCTATCTAATCTATTCGACAAAAATCAAATTGATGCAATTCGTAAGTAATGAATATTTATGACTTGTGCTAATATTTATTTCTTTTTTTAGCTAACTGCTCATTAACAACTGCGATATTTACATCACCAGTTTTTTATAAATCAGCTGGATTGCTTATACCAGAGATTGTACCGGCTATATTTGCTAAAAAAGGAGATGAATGCTTATCCGAACAAAGGAAATTACGACTTGAATATAAGATTTTTATTAAAAAGAGTAACGAGTCATTTGTGTCGAGGGTAAGTTTTGTTTAACCTAATTAAAAAAAGTTTGTAATTTATTCCTTTATTTTTAATTATACAGTATAATTAATTAAATCAAAATAGTATAATTGATTAAGTATATTGCGATGCCTTTTTTATTATAAGTGTAATTATGTATTCACAAAATACAATATAATTTTCTAAGTACAAAAGGTCAGTAGTTTAGAGGCTGGTCGTACCATCTATATAGACTTAGGTAAAAATCTAACAGGATGTTTATTGCGCAATAGACTATCGTTATAATTGTTTTGTTCAATTAGTAATATATTTCTTTCTCTTTTTTCCTTTCCCTCTCTATCCAACTGTAACGAATTTTAGTGCTCAACGATAAAGTTAAAGAATAATCGGGCAGTCAGATCCAAACCTGGTTTATGCGATTCCGATAAAGCTATATGGAAAAATGAACTAGGAGGATATTACGAACACGTTTGCTATTGTGAATTGAATACGGAAGGATCCTATTTCGCATTAGAAGTATATTCAATGTTTAAGGAAAGGATTAAGCTAGGAACTTGACTGATTTTATTCTTTTTAATTTTCATTATTCGATTTTACTTTTCTAAATTCTTTATTTTCATTTATTTTTTTTTACGCTATAAAATTCTATTCTATAGAGAAATAGTCTTTAATTTTTCTTTCTATAAATAACAATTCATATCAAACCGAACTATTTTTGTTATATAAAACAAAAAGGAAGAATAAGAGACTTTATTCTTAAAACTCTGAATTTGGCTATATTAGTATATATATTTTCATATATATATATATTCTAATACATTTGTAGTATAGTTATAGCCTGCTAGATATAGATTTTCGTTCGGTTTTTATATGATGAGCGACAGTTTTAGTTGAAATGCTTCATCCTTTCCTATAAATTTTTTACTCTATGATCATTCATGATCTTCTGCAGTGAAACTTTTTCGTTTTTCTACTTTAAAATGCTCTTTTCTTTTTTTTTTATTAATAAAACTGTATAAAACATATTTATATCTTTTTTTTGTTTTTACTCTTTAACAGATGAGCGAAATTGAAGGAAAGTTTATTAGACCTACAGATGTTCCGGGTACAGATCATAGAAGCGGATCTTTATCATCAGTTTTCGTATGTTATATATTTTTAGAATTATATAAATAGTAGAGTTTATATTGACGTCAGTATTATTATTCTATTGCAGAGATTCCCTTATTCGGATGGTTTATATTATTTCGAATTGGCTACTAGAATTATATCAATAGCCTGTTTATTAGCAACTTTAGCAACATTCGCTTTATTTAAGTAAAAGAAAATAAAATAGAGAGGAAAGATTGTCTATTGTTTTTTAAAATATGATTTTTTTGTTCTCCAATAGGAAATTAAGGCAAAGTACGCCTGCAAAAATTCTTATTTGTCTATGTATATCCCTCGTTCTTTTGAGCTCAGTCATGTTTATTAGCGAAGGTCTTGTCGGAGTTGGTTTTGGGGTTGGATGTTTAATAGCGAACGCTTTGAGATTGTATGCAGTATTGTCGTCCTTACTTTGGAATGGGGCTGAGGGCATTAATATGTACCTTATGCTTGTCCAAGTGTTTGATGTTCATGTACGATATTACGTTCTCAAAGCAGGACTAGTTGCTTGGGGTCTTCCAATTATAATTATTGGTATAATAAACGCATTTTCAAAGATGTCTCCAGTAGGTGAATGGAGAAATTGCGTATTCTAGTAAGTACAATAATATGCTTGATAAACTGACTTAATGAAATTTGTGAATCTTATGTAAAATTCCTTTTAAACAGTTGTACCTTATCCAAAACTACTCTCTACTTTGGTCTTTTTTTACCTATGGCCATAATAATCATGATCAACTTAATCATCTACGTAAAAGTTGCTAAAGTATTGAGAGAGCACGCTAAATTACGTAAAAGTAAGTATTATTGACCTTTTTCATGTTTATAGATTATTTAATGGTATTCTCTTTTTTAAATTAGCCAAAACTAGCGAGACTCGTAGTGAAAGAAAAGAGAAAGTTATGCGATTTCTTGGTGATGTCGCCATGTTATTTCTCTTAGGAATACCTTGGGTATTTAGCGCTTTCGGCTCTATAGATTCAACTGGAATGCCAAATTTAGAGTTTATGGAAGGAATATTTAACATCTTCTATATATTACTGTTGAATTTACAAGGCCTCTTTATATTCATCTTTCATTGTTTACGAGTACCAGAGGTAAGAAATTCCTGGACAAGCTTATTTTCGAGTACATCAAGCGGTGGAAGAGATACAAGATTATCGAAAATATCTTTGTCAAGATTAAAGCATAAAAGACAGAGTGAGGATAAAATTCCCAAGATATAAACAAAGTATTTTGCCTACGTTCCTATCATCCTTTCAAGAAGAGCCAATCAGCAGCCTCTAATTATTTTTACATTTTTATTTCGCCTATCCCTTTATCTTTTTTGTTGTTGTTGTTCTTCTAGGTTCTTTTTTTCTATTGTCTTCCGTTAAAAGTATTATCTAGTAAAAGAGAGAAAGAGTGATGATGATTTAAGCGAAAAAAAGAGAAAGAAACCGCCCTAAAGATAATAAATTAGAGCAGTCATTTCTTATTGTTTTTTTTTATATCTTCTATTTTTATTATCTGTAATTTTGTTTGTTTGTCATATAAAAATTATTGCATTATTTTGATGAAAAAATGAAAAAGAAAGAAGAAAAAAACTAACGACATCTAGTGGTTGTATTTGATAGGAAAACACATATTAAGTTATTTTTTTGCTTTAACATTACAATATGCGCATAGTTTTCACTTAAAGAATATGTAAAAATAAGTCTATTTAACAGGCGTAATGATTAAATAATTGTTTAGTACAGCATTTCTAATAAAACAAACAATCAAACATTTAGAATTCCTAATGACAATAAAAAAATGTAAAGATTACTACATTTGTAAATAGTATTACTATAAAATAGGGAAAACAGAAATAACAAAGAAAACTAAGCTTTCGTATGATTATTATCGCCATTACCATTCAATTCTTTCATCTCTTCTCCTCCGTCTTCTTTATTTGATGGAGGACCGTTTGGATCTGGCTTATTTCTTGTTTTAAGATAGATTACCACAAGGAAAACAAGAGCTAAGAACATGAAAGTTATAGTAATGCCGTGAAGGTAGTATCTAAAATATGGAGCATTGTATTTAAGGCACACATTTTTACCATCTCCGCAATCGGGAGCCAATAATATACATGTTGTATCAATAGCTCGACCGTAAAGGATAGGCGCAATCATTGTCGCAAATAAGCTAGTAGCTATATTGTTTAAGCCTAAAGCCAACGATTTCTGCTTTTGCATTACGGATCTATAAATAAAAAGAACAATATGTAATCTGTATCTTAGTTTGCGGTAAACTTACCGGATAACCATGGAAATAATAGGTGATTGACCAAGACAAATTGAAAATGTTGATATGAAGATAACGATTGTATATGGAATCAAAAGAGGACAGCTCCTTTTGCAAAAGCCACTTTTAAGATTCTTATTGGGTCCTTCAACGCAAGTACAATTCGTATATATCTGTATGGAGTTAATAAACCATAAATAATATATCTATCAAGATAATAATTGTATTTTATTCATTTAATCTTACTATCTCTGGGCCTTTTTCTCCTTTACTATAGCTGACGATATCAGAACATCCCGCATGGCAGGGGGAATAAAATAATTGTTTATTATCTTCACTGCAAACTGGAGTGAAAATATCTGTGCAATTACAGCTGCTTTGGCAAGTGTCGTATGGTGGAATTTGTCTGTTTTTTTCATAATAAAAAATTTTAATGAATAGAGAAAAAAGATAAAAACTGAGTATAATAACAAGTTTGCTTGTGGTGGTGTTGCCAGCTCTGACGGTTCACAACCAAGAAACATAGATATCACAAAGCATACAACTCCAGTGAAACAACCGAAAACGATAAGTTTAGCGGAGCCAGAAATGTCTAGGCCTCTGGCTGAAACAATCCAGCCACCGACAAAGGTACCAGCAGCTATCGAACCAGCCATAGCAATTGCTGAAATATTTGTCAATCATTTATAAATGTATATATAAACTATTGCTTATAATTTTTACATGTAATAATGTTTGCCATGTTTGCTCCCAATGCGAATTGATCTTCAATATATTTAGGCAAAAATGTCATAACACCCCCAGCCAAATACGACATACAAATCATAACCATAGTGGCGCTAAGATAAACGACTATAAAGATAAAGTTTACATTATTAATTCATTAACAATATTGAAATTTATCATTTAGTTTACCATTTTTGAATAGGCTTGGAACTTTTTCTTGTAAATCTGTTCGTTTAGAAGAAACATTAATTTTACATTAGCTATAAGATAACAATCGTTTCTTTACCTTTCACATCACTGATTTCACTAACTCTCCTTTGCAGAGCTTGACGCATTTTTTCGGCTGTAGTCTTTTCCGAGTCAATATGAGATTCAGTAACTGTTACTGGTTTTCTTAAATGTCTGGGGAACAGGAGAAGAGGTAAAGCGGCTAGAAGCATAAAGGACTGCAGAACAAGCGATCCTAGCCAATAAGCACCTATCCACTCAGGATCACTTGGCTTTAGATTAGTGGCTGCGAGAAATTTTACCAATAGAATTGAACATTATACACTTAAAAACACCAAACAAGATACTCACGTCCTAAATCAACGTATAAACTAGTGAATGTGGCACCCAATAGGAAGCCAGCTATAGCTCCCAACATGGCAACACTCATGACAATGGCAACGTACAAAGAAGAAGTTTGCGGATCTGTGTTGTCGTCGATATACGTAAAGCTGACAGTGACGTAAGGAGCCAAGCCAGCGCCGATAAAACATTGGGATAGGATGAAAAGGACAAGGGCTGTTGTAGACTCGTTTGATGACGTGTCAACGCCGTTAGCTGCTGATTTATTCGCTATTAATTCACAGGTGCTTGCTCCCAAGCTGGAGTTCGACAAGCACACTCCTAACTCTGAGAGTGGAGGAATTATTTCGCTTAAATTGCCTGCTTCTACTACAGTAGCTTCAGGCTTTGGTCCAGGTCCGAAAATGAAATGAGGAAGAGCCCACAGAAGAGATGCAGTAACAGTCAATAAGGCACCAACGAATAGAGAACGTGGTTTATGAACTCTATGACCAAAAACGGAAAAGAAAGCCAAAAGTATTAAATGACCCACATCTGCGCTAGCAGCTATGACACCGTTCATAACTGTTTGAAAACCGAATCTTCTTTGCAGGGTCGTAAGAAGGGAAAATCGAATAGTAACATCAGTTGTGACGAGGAAGCCCAGAATAACAAGAATGCCAACGTATAGTTTCAATGTTATATACTTTCTAAAACCCTGTTTAGGTTCTTCTTCAACCTCTCCATGTTGTCCGCCATCCAATTGGGAATAAGAGCTGGCAATACTCTGATGACTGGTTGCCAAACCGGAAACTTTAATTTTGTCTTCATTTTCAGTTTTAATCCTCAGTGCTCTGATAAATAAAGCATCCAATAAAAGTTGGACATAAAAAGCCTTACTATTCAATTATTTTAGTATATCACCTAGAAATACTCGAAAAATTATTCACTAAATCAATATATTTACTACTTCAATCTATAAAAAATGAACGTTTACTTTTTAACACTCTACTTTCAAATGTTTTAATATTTTGCATATCTACGACAATATAGGACTATTTAGACCTACATAACTTTAATGAATAATTAGGCAAATCAATTGTTTAATGAAAAATAAAATAAAGAAAAAGAATTTTAAAAAAGAAATCTTTTTTTTTAATAAAAAAAAAAGATTTTGATAAAGAATTGAAGAGGAAAAAATGATTTTAGAAAGAGCTTACTAAATAGTATGAGGTCAAGTTTGATTTACGACTTGTACCGTAAAAAATCCTTTATACTAGGCTATAAACTAGCATAAAGAGTTTACTGGCTTGTTTGCATAAACGTACTTGAAATAGTTTAAAATTACACCTATATATATTTTTTGAAAGAGTAAAATACATCCCAATCATTTCTCATCTCCTTTTACATAATTTATTAGTCATTTTAATACATATTTCATATACTAAAAAGAGAACAATTGTGCATAAAAATCATCTAACTATTCCAAGATCGTTAAAATTTTATTACGATTTAGAGATTTAAGTATTATTAACAAACTAAAAAAGAAAATAAAATTGAAGAACAATTGAACATAAATCATTGGCAGTTCTTTAAATGATAATAATCTTTAAATATTCTTCTGTCATTTAATTGCATCTAATATTACGCTTTTAGTAAGTAAAACACGTGCCAAAGTTATAAATATATCATATATATAAAGTATATAATGTAATTGTTAACTATATGAAATTGTGTTCTTTTATATAAGGGAAAGGAAAGAGAATAAATTTAAATAAACTTATAAGCCTAATTATTCTTTTTCAATTCATTAAAAAGTTTCAAAACTATCGAATTCTCTATTTTTATCTCTAATTATGGAATTTTTTTTTCTACAACTTTATCAATTTTGTTTTCTTTTTTTTTTCTTTAAAAAAAAAAAAGAACTATATTATACAAGTTATTGCTTTAAGTAATTCACTTTTGAGAAGAGTTTGTTCAACCTACACAAATATACTTAAATATACAAAAAGTACGAAAGAGTAAACATAAAATTGGGATTAAATTTTGTTATCTATGTTATCTACCTGAGTAAAAATGGTCAATTATTGATTGATTGTAAACATAGACATAATATACAGTTTATACATTAAACTGGAATATATATATTTATATATAAACGAACGAAAAGAGCGGGAAACTATTTTCAATATAATGAAAATGATTTTAATAAGATAGATCATCCTTAAAAAAACCTCTCATTGTAGAGATTAGATTGTTTAGATTATTTAACAAAGAATTAGACAAATAATACTTACTCAACAGATGCTGACAAGGCCCTATTCATTGTTAATTACTTTTGCTTTAGCAGAGTCGTATCGGCTGTAAAATGGCAAATGGCAGCGACGCGGTCTTACTCTCAGTTTTAACAAGGGCCGAACGGCTATAAATTTCTATTTGTAGGCCTGTTTAGAAAAAGTCAGTGGCGGATCCAGGATATATCAAAATATTCAATTCTTTTCCTCATAATCCTATATCTCCCCTTGTCTAACTTCCATCTTTCTCCAGCAGTATTTGTAACCGAGTTGTTCATTGGACAATTTCGAATTGCAGAAGTTTTGCAGCGGAGCAGTTAGTATTTACTACACGTAAAAAAATTGTGTATACAGTAGATAAAGCGAGCTGATGGATGGTTCTTTTAGTAATTGATCTAATTCGCTTATCAAATATGCATAGATGTTGGAAAAAAACGACAAAAATATATTATCCTCCAATGCATTTAACTTGTTTAATATTATTGTTTAAAATTATTAACACAAAGATTGACTTTTTAGAATACCTACTCTAATATGTACACAACCTGTACAGGATACGGACAAATTACTATAGGCCCATTATTTCCAAATACAACTCTACCTAATACTTTATGTCTATTAAACCAAGTCATAACAAATAATAAATGCGCTATTTAATAAAAAGTATCTTAATATTTTCTTCATTTTTATTATTATTATTAGAGATTTTTAATCAAATTTCTGCAATGAAATAAAGAAATTGAAGATACTTGAATAGTTTAAAAAAAAAAAAGAAATTCCTGCCATACTCCTCATTCAAAACCCAAAAATTAATCATAAAAAATATCTGGATTCACCCATAAAATATAATTTATATGATATAACTGAATTATTATCCTACTTCTTTAGGTAATAAAGTTATTTTTGTAACATTCTATGAAAGAGATAAATGAATATGGCATTCTTTTTTTTTTAGTTCAAATATCTGATTTAACTAATCCAGTTGTTAATCGATATAAGTTAAAGTTATAGTTATTACTCAAAAAATATGTTATATACATATATATATATATATTTATTTATTGAATGCTTAAAACAGCAAACAATAAAAAGAAAAAAAAGTAAGGCAAGGTTGATGGAGTGGGTTTAAAAAGGCGAACTAATCGACATTTTGTTTATAAAATAACTTAAGTTTATATTTAAAATTTAGCGTATTTTATTTTCTATAGTCTATAATTTACTACAAATATATAAATATTTAATGTATCTTATTACATGATCTTTGTGTTGTATTCTTAAGTAAGAGTTTCCGTCAATAAATATCATATACATTTATAAAGTTAGAAAATTAATCGAGCTACTTATTGTTCAGTATTTAACTGGTAATTAAGCTATTTTTTATTTTAAAAAAATGAAAGATAACCCATTAAGTTACTTCGTAGGTCAATTATATCATATATTTAAGGTATTTTTATTAAGTAACTGACACTTTTATTATTATAATCCTCGAGTTAAGAAACTTTTAAGTTGATTTTAAAATGAAATTTTATAGATATTTTGGATAGGAGAGGAAAAAATTTCTGAATTAGTTCGGTGATTTGTTAAAGTTGTAAATTATTCAAATAGCTCGGTTAGCCTTTTTATTTTATCTTACAATTGTTTAAAAAAACTATATAATGATAATACAGTTGTTACTAGTTAATAAAATTCGTAAAGTTCGTCATTATCTCTATTTTCCTCTGTCTTACCTTTTTTTTATGTGAAAAATAGTAAAGGTACATATTTTCTAAACACATCGTAAAATCTGTACGTAAGTTGGTAAATATACTAAAAACATTAGCGTATGAATTGAAAAAAGAAAATTCCTTCTTTATTTCTTTATGAAAATTTTTGTTTGATACGATTATTGAATTGATCAAGTAAAACAATATATTAATTTTGGGGTTTCTTTACAGCAATTTTTTCTAAAATTTCACTCTTATTTGAGAAATTATGCTGACAATTAGAGTATGCCATTCCTAGGCCTATTCCGGCTCCAAATATAATTGGCCAAGGGCGTCCTGTAAAATAAAACATCTCGATGTCAAAATAGTCATTAGTGATATGATATATTACTTACGTCGGAAGAATATGACGGAAAATACTACTCCTAAACCGACTCCTCCAGCTGTAAAAAAAAACAACTTATCAGAAAAATCAGGGATGAGCGATAATACATGTAAGGCGTTTGGAGGAATATTAAAAATAAAATATTTACTGATAACAAGGAGTTATAAACAAAGCAAATAGACATATTTAATAAGTAGGTCATCGAAAATTACTAACCAACTTTAATCCCGGCATCACTTAGGCATCTATCCCACTTTCTACCCAAAACATCTTCCGACCGAATGTTAGATGCCATTTTTTCCTGTATATTTCGCCTATATGAAAGAGTTAATGAAAATATCCCACTTTGAACAATTAAACTTTACTAGAAAATGATTTGACAATAAATGATATATAAAGTAAAGTTATTATTAAGAAAAGCCTAATTAATTAACATAGAAATTGATATTCTAAATAAAAGAATACTTTATCTTTGAGCTACCTTGTTCTCTTTTTTTAACAAAAGGAAGCCTAGATAATTTTAAATTTAACACTACTCATATTCAATATAAAACTACAGGTTTTTAAAGATTACAACAACTACTGTAGTAAAAATAAAAATATAGAGTTAAATATATGAATATGAATGAAACTAATCCCAATAAATCAGTAAAGAATAAGAATATTATTTCTATCAACTTTCTAGTTGAATAGCATAAATAAAAAGTTAAATTAGGGCGAAATGGAAAATAAAATGGGAATGTGGAAAGTAAAATACTTGAAAATAATAAAATAAGTGCAAACTTCAATCCCGTTGTTGTCTGTTTTCTTTTCCAAACATTTTATCTTATAAACTTCTACAATTGTGACAAAAACCAGTTATTCATACAACTACTTGTATCAATTAACTCTAACACTGTTGAAAAATCGCTCTCTTATACAGTTCAATGTTTACTGGATAAGCTTTATTACTTGAGAATACAATTAAAAACAAATTCTTGTGCATTTGTCATGTATATTTGCCAATATGGAAAAAAAAAATATTCCAAAAGCTTTTCAGTATTCACATTCTGAATTCAATAATGTATATTTTTGAATTAATACGAAAATATTAATAATTAATAAGTTAACCCCGTATTTCCTGAAAAAAAAGAAAATAGAAAAAATACTTAAATAGTAGATATAATAAGCGATGGAATAAAATACAAATAAGATATAATTTCATTTCACTTTTCTATGTGTACATTTACTTAAAGCTAATGAAAAATAAAATATGTCAAATGAAGAGAAAAGAAAAGTCTATTATATCAATTTGTTTTATGGCGGTTTTTTTCATATGATATTTCGGCAGAAATTCCTCTCTTTCTTCTAAAGAACACTTCTGTTTTCAAGTTTTTACTCAACAACAATTGTTGTAATTCTCCTAGAACTTGGATACATCATAAAAAGTAGCAGTTGGATAGCACTTAAAATAGTTCCTAAAGCATTTGGCGTCTGCAAAAATAGTTTTAGGGTTTAAAATTTGCATTCGTCTAAATTAAGTTAAAAAGAGATACTTACAATCACGTATGTGTCATTTAAGATATATCCATATACAGTCCATTCTGCGCATACAATAAAATTGGCTAAACTTAAAGGAAATGGCATGCATTCTGTGCTTTTGGTCCTAATAACAACAAACTAGAAAGTAAAAAGTTTTAGTTTAGTTATTTATTTTTAAACCTTAAATACAACTTACAACTGCAGATAATGGTGATGCGACATTAATGACTGAAAAAGTTGATGCCACTGTACCAAGCATTTGTATAGCTTCATCTTTCACTGTTGCATAGAACTTTATATAAATCAGAATAGGGAATAGTATGACAGCAGCAAACAAAAGATGACGATATAAGAGAGACTGTCATTAAAAAATATCTATTAATATATATTTATACAGCATACATATGTTCATTAAGTATAAATGTATTCGAATAAATAATAGATAAGGTTTTTTTTCAAATCAACACGTGTTAGCTTTCGAAAGAGCCAAATATATCTCACCTTTTGAGGAGTGTGAAAGAAGTAGAATGTGATGTAACAGAACCCCAGCATAAATCCTATGCAGTTGGTTAGAGCCAATACTTGATCAGATTTTAATAAGCCATATTTAAACCAAAGTGTTGAGCTGTTGAAAGACAGTGTATTTAACACAAATTCAACGTTTTGTTTCGCTATGAAAACTTTTTAATAGTCTAGCGAAAACTTAATCCCTAAATATACCTTAGAGCATGATTTGTTTTAAATCTTAATAAAACATTACATCCCTGAAAAGAATACACTAGATTTCACCCGACTTGTCTATTTTAGCTATATTCTTGATAGTTTCTTGAATTGAAAACTCACCTACAAAACATACAAACTAGAGGCAAAAATGGCGTGTCTTGACTATTACCCTTCGTATACACTTTACGACATATTGAGCTGAAAGAACAGAAATTAAATAGCTCAAAATTGGTAATTAAAAGTACACCAATACTAACAATCCGGTTAAAAAGTAACCAATTGTACACGTGGTAACTACCCATTTGTAAAATTCTAGAAATACTGCATCTGGCATTTCAAATTAACAGAAGGTTCTTCTGCTGGACGATATAATGCAGATACTTTGAGTCAATGGCGATTTATATAATTTCAAGTAGTATACACGAAAGCGAATTGGTGAGCTATGTAGACATTTAGAACTTCAGTTTACTTGAACAGTTAAAAGCAATAACTCCACAGATTTGTTACCGTTTTCACAGAATATAGTTACACATAATACACGTAAACAAAGTTAACCAATCAGTTACTGATCGGTTCAAATATATTTAGCATTACCCAATGTTTTACATTTAGACATACCAAACTTCCGGTGACGTCGCTCTACTGTTTAGAAATTTTCTATACTTTCTATATACAGCTATTATTTGATTTGCAATGTCCCTCAATTTTGATTTTGTCATTAGTCTCTTACCCGAAAGGGTAAAGAAAATTCCGATTCATATGGTGAGATAAATTTGTATATACTTTTGAGTATTTTTTAAATGTTGCATCTCATATTTGCTATATACTTTTATTATCGCTCATCGCAGGATTTTGATGGTCAACGTCGTGCTGAAAGACTATTTCAAGTTATCTTAGTTCTCTTTGGAGTAAGTGTTAGAGCTTTAATGAGACAGATTCAAATTAAAAAATGATTTGATCCTTAGGTTGTTGGATTTATCTGGGGCTACATATGCCAGCAATTCTCTCAGACCGTATATATCCTAATCGCTGGATTTGTTTTGTCTTGCATTGTTTGTATACTTTATACATATTAAAACTAAAGAAAACATTCTAATTTTGACAATTTATGCCATTATAGCTTACATTACCACCATGGCCTCTCTACCGTCGTAAACCCGTAAAATGGTTGAAAATAGGCGCCAAAGAACGTCAAGCGAAAACTACTGAAACTCGTCAAAATAAAAGAAGAAAGTAAACTAGCTGTTATGAAAAATAATTGTCATTTTCAATCTTTAATTTCCTTCGTTAGCTTGTGAAAATTAAAACAAAGACAGATATTGTAATATTTAAATAAATGTATGAAATATTCTTGTTACATTTGATTCGAATCAAGTAAGATGTAAAATTAGTTTCGTCAATTAATCTTCTTTAGAGAGATTACTAAGAAGTAAAATTTCGGATTATATAAAATGCAATTGCAAGCTCAGTGGGCTATCTTCTAATTAGATTAAATCTTTATCCAAAAACCAATCACCTTTCTACAGACTCCTAGTATATCTTTCCCACTGTTGTATAAGGCAATTTCTTTAAAAGATCTTCTATCTTTCTTAATATATGTTAATACAATACACTCAGTTTCTCAGTTAGAAAGTATTTGTTTGGTGTTCATTTAAGGAAGTACTAATGAATTTAACAAAACTTAGAGGAGCGGCTCTGCTCGCCTCATTTACTGGTGTCTTGGCTTTTAGAAATCGTTACAGATATCATAAAACAATTCAACCATTGTTGAATGACAAATATGTCCTAATTACTGGTTGTGATACCGGAATTGGAAGGTCAGCAATTAATAAATTGTCCGAAGCTGGGTTCCTTGTTTATGCCGCTTGTTTGACAACTGAAGCTGTAAATGATATCAAAAAGGAGTTCAATGATCAAGTAATACCTTTCGTCATGGATATTTCAAAGGAGGAGAGTGTTCAAGAAGGATATCAGTTTGTCAAATCAACTATGCGTGATGAAAAATGTAGAGTAATTTTTGTTTAGTCTTGAGCTTTAAAAACATTAATTGCTACTATCTTTACAGCTTTATGGGCGGTTATAAACAATGCTGGAATTCTCGGTAAGTTTTGTCCGTTTGATTGGCAAAACAAAGAAGATTACGAGAACACTATCTCCGTCAACTTCTGGGGTAATTTCAACGTTATGAAATCGTTTTTGCCTTTGCTGAAAAAGAGTAATGGACGACTTATAACAACAACTAGTGCAACTGTTTTATTGCCTCTACCTTTTACTAGTTCCTATCTTGCTTCTAAATTTGCGCTTGAAGGGCTAGTCGAGTCAACAAGGGAAGAAGTTGAAGATTTTGGTGTTGGAGTCATCAACGTTAGGCCTGGTCTTGTTTGGACAGACATGACAAAAACAACAAAAATCAATTGGGAAAAGTCCTGGAAATCTTGTCCTTTAGAAATAAAAAATCAATATGGAAAAGAGTATTATGAAGAAGGTACTTAACAACTTAATAAACTATATCTAATATAGATTTCATTTAAGAATAAAAAACAATCTGTTTTCACAGTGCTCAACAATCAGCCAGAAGTACCTGACTTCCTGAAAACCCCACCGTCATCTGTTGCGGATATTTACGTCAGAGCTGCTACTGCTAAATTCCCAAGAGCAACTTATTTTATTGGCTATGATGCTTATATATACAGATTTTTCAGTCATTTTTCACCTGATAATCTTATAAGAAGTTGGTTTATCAAGAAGTTAACATTACTAAAAACTAAACCTAAAGCTGCAATTTCAAACAATGAGAATTAGAGAGAATTAAATTCTCAAATATTTACTCTAAATGTAGTAAACAAATAGTATTTATATATGTTGTACTTTCAATTAGTTTGTATCATATTGTTATTAATCTTATGTAGCTAGTATATCGGATTAATTTAAATAAAGGATTAATCACTTTCTCCATAGATATATAATTAATTGAAACATATAAAGCTCAAAGAATATTACGTATTAATTACTATAGGAGATTTATATTTCCCTTTGTGTTTAGATTTTAATATATTATTCTTTTTTGAGTACATAAAACACTATTCGTAAAGATTTAGATGATGGCGCCATTTATGGACACCGCAATAGCCCATGATCAATGGAAACAACTTTTGTTGAAATTCCTGTGAAATTTCCAAGCCATATTTAAAGGAACTATTTTTGAGCTGTGAGCAATATTTCCGAAAGGAATACAATCCAACCGGCAAAATTGATAGCAATATGTACCACGATGACGCCAGATACTTGAAAAGGTTTCAGATTCTGCCAAATTTTCAGAAAATACTTCTTTAATGAAGGGTTCTTTTTGTTCGTAAACTTAATATTATTTTCTTTATACAGGCGCGTAAAAGGAGGGAATATAGATGTACATCCAACTGAAAAGGCCTTAATAGTTCACTATGAGCTAGAAGCCACTATCTTAGGTTATGGAGGTGATCCTATGCTAGGAGAAAGAAAGGAATGTCAGAAAGTGTTAGTAATACTTTGACTCTTTTCTTAAATTCTATAGCAAAATTAATAAAATATATCCAAATAAACTTCCAAATTTAGTATAAGAGTGAAGACATTAAATTCTACTACTGATGTTTCGGGTCTTGCTAAAGAGATTATTCAAAAATGTAATTTAATACATCCTCAAAAATTACCAGAAGTTGAACAATTACTATACTATTTACAAAATCGGAAGGAAGTTACTTCTGAGGGTAAAATATAGCAAAATATGACTAATAAGAGGTTCATCATAAATAAAATTACAAATTTTTAAGGAACAAAGAAAGGTAAAATGACAGGAAAACTATCCGAGCCACAACCATATGAAGGAACTGAATTAGATGATACTGCCAATTTAAATGACATGGAAGATTATTTGTTAATGCTATACGAAGATATATCTGATAAAATTAAAGGTTCTGCTTATATTTTGCAATTGGCCAGAAACCCAGACAATTTGGAAGAAATATTTGAAAATGGTTTAATTATTAATTTTTATAAAAGCCTACTAAACTTTTATAATCAATTGTTTCATTTTTTAGAAACTGTTGTTGGAGCATTAGCTAGAGTATTAACGGAAGATTGGAAGGAGTCAACGGAACTTGCAACGAATATAATATATGTATTTTTCTGCTTTTCAAGTTTCTCTCAGTTCCACGGTGTAATATCACATTTTAAGGTATTTATAATTATTTTAAAGTCTACTTTTTCATCTAGTTTTATTTATTAAACCATAAATTGACAGATTGGAGCTTTATGCATGAATATTATAGAACATGATCTATTGAAGTATGATCAATGGGCTAGAGAGCTTGAAAATAGAAAACAAGCTTGTAAGTTGAAATTCAAATGTATTTTAGTGCTTCGTAGCGAATTCTATTTTTCAATTTAGATGAAAATAATAAAGGAAATTCAAATGCGAAGAAAGAATATGAAAGAGGAAGGAAAAAGTTTACTGTTCTTGTTAGGAAGCAAGAACAACTTTTAAGAGGTTTCTTTTTTCTTTTAAAATTCAAAATATTAGTATTTAATTGACTTTTATCAATTTTTTTTAGTTGCTTTCTACCTTCTTTTAAATTTATCGGAAGATTTAAAAGTTGAAATGAAAATGAGGAATAAGAGTATTGTACGAATGCTTATTAAAACTCTAGATAGAGATAATCCAGAATTGCTGATTTTAACTGTTTCCTTTCTGAAAAAATTGAGTATATTTTTAGAAAATAAAGCTGAAATGGTAAATATTTTTGACCAAATGCGCTTTTTCTTTTAACTTTAGTATTTTTATTTCTAGGCAGAAAGTCATATAATTGAAAAGTTATCAAGGATAATTCCCAGTGAACATGAAGATTTACTGAACATATCTTTAAGATTGCTGTTAAATTTATCGTTTGATAAACTGATGAGATCAACGATGATAAAAGTTGGATTATTGCCCCGATTGGTTAATCTTCTACGTAATATTTTCTATTGTGCTATATTCTATTGATTTTTTGTATTATATATCTTATTTATTCACTCAGAAAATGAAAATCATGCTATTGTAGTTCTCTGCATTTTGTATCATATAAGTTATGATGAAAATTGTAAGTCTATGTTCGCTATGACGGACTGTATTCAAATGGTTATGCAAATGCTTTTGGAGTCTCCGGAACCTGAACTCGAGTTGGTTGCATTGTGTATCAATTTAGCGGCAAATGAAAGGAATGCTCAGTTAATTTGCAAAAGGGACGGACTCAAATTACTTATGAAGCGGGCCTTTAAATTCAAAGATGCTCTATTAATGAAAATGATCAGAAACTTGTCCGAACACGACGGTCCGACCAAAACTCTCTTTATTGTAAGTTTTTAATTAATATATACCTTATCTATAATATACAAAATATTACTATGCTATATAGGACTATATCAGCAAGTTAGCTTCGGCAATATTTGAAGTTGATAATGAAGATTTCGTTTTGGAATGTGTTGGCATTCTAGGAAATTTAACAATCGCTGATTTAGATTATGAATTAATTTTAAAAGAATATAATCTGGTTCCATGGATAAAAGAACATCTAGCACCAGGTTAATCTTTAAATTAAAAATTAAGTTTCAATATTTTTAATTATTTCAATAACATTAACAACAGCCAAATGTGAGGATGATTTTCTTTTGGAAGTTATTATCCTTGTAGGGACAGTTTGTAACGATGATGCCTGTGCAAAATTATTAGCGCAAGCTAAAATTATCCAAGCTTTAATTGACTTATTGAATGGTATATCTTACATAAATCCCTTATAAACCTTCCTAATTATTAATATTCTTCTTAAGCTAAACAAGAAGATGACGAAATTGTTTGTCAAATTGTTTATGTCTTTTATCAGATGATCTTTCATCAAGCAACCAGAGAGGTTATCATAAAGAACACCCGTATGTTTTCTTTTTATATAAAATATTAGTCCTGAAAATGTTTGCTTAACAAACAACAGAGGCTCCAGCATATCTTATTGATCTGATGCATGATAAGAATACAGAAATTCGAAAAGTCTGCGATAATACCTTGGATATCATTTCTGTAAATAGAAATACTTAATGTTTTAATTTTTGAATATTATCTATAAGGCGTTACTCTTTTGTAATAAATAGGAATTCGACGAAGAATGGGCAAAGAAAATACAAATGGAAAAGTTTAGATGGCATAATCAACAATGGTTAGAAATGGTTGAATCACAAACCATTGATGATAATAATATGCCTCAATACGAAGATCCAAATGGTTATATGCAAGATAGCGATCTACTAAATCAGCCTCACTTATTTGTAAACAATCCAGGTAAATATTAAGTTTATCAGCTTTATATCTTATAATTGATTTAAGATAAAACTGCATTTACATTACTATAAATTCATTTAATAAGAAAATTGCAATTTAATCATGAAATTACAATAATTTTGATTTCTCGCCGATATTAGACCTGTATCCTCAGGATCAATTTGAAGGCTGTAAGTTTATTACAAAATTTGAGAGTTTATATACTTTTTAAGTTATTCTGTGAATTTGTTTTAAATAACGAAAGTCTTATCTTTTGATTCGGCCATTTTCTACTGTTTTTATTATAACACATTAATTTAGTAATTGCGACATTTTTAAAGAGTCTTTAAAGTTGTCTCTTTGGAAAAATAATACTTTTGCTGATAAATGTTTATTATTTCCGTAACTTTTACTGAAGTTAACAAACGATTTTATCTTGTTTTGTTTTATTTGACAGTCTAATAATATATATATATATAATTTCTTTGCACAGTTTTTGCTTTTAGTCTCTTTTGATGCTTTTTTTTTCCTATTCGAAGATTTCTTCTAAAGTGAACTTACTTTTTATCTATCCTTGAACAGATGGTTTTGAAGGCGATCTAGTTGACAGCCTTGAATATGAAGGAACGCCTGGTGGTTATTTGAAGACAGCGAATGAGTAAGTAGTATTTACATAACTATATGTTCTGTTTTTAAAAATTCAATAATAATATAATATTTTTTCAGCTATGACCCTTACGAAAGACCAGATAGTCATGTTGGCTATGTTATGAATGGGCAACCTGTAGACGAATACGGCACACCAATCAATCATCCTTTTCAACACGGTCAAAGATCCGAATACGCTGAATACTCAGAAGAGGATTTCGAAGAGATGAGAAGATCGTATAGAGGATCCGGTGGAGGTGGTGGTTATATTCGCTAAACAGGTCACAACAACTTATATTTAATTTTTCTGTCTCATCTGATATTTTATTTATATGTTTATCAATTCATTCTCAGTATTAAATGAATAATTGTCCATAGAAGATTTTTTGTTTGTTCGTGATTTTCAAAAGAGTATTTTTTTCAAAATTATTTCTATATTAATGAAAAACGAATACAATTTCACTGTATTTTTTTATGAAAAAAGAGAGTTCCAACGGTGAAAATCTATGTTCTATAATTCATCTGAAATTATGCATGAACAGGCTTTCTCTTGAGAATGTAGGTAAGCTTGACAACCTAAAGCCATAGCACCGGCGTAGAGTAATTGAGAATTTATTAAACAATCTATAAAACAACCAAATTTGTTATTGATCATAATATTAACGATATTAAATAATTAGTTACCTGAGCGTTTTTTACTTGATTTTCTTTTACAGGCTTTTTCTATACAATTTTTAAAATCTTTATCACATTTAGATCTTTTCTTATTACATGTTCCGTAACAGATATCATGGACATCGCAACATTGACTAATTTCTGGCGAGAATACTTCGACCTAACGTAATTGATAATTAGCAAAATTATTCATTATTCTTTCACTTATCATTGTAATTTAATGATGGTAGTTTCTTACTTGTATCCCATAAGCTCCACAACCATTTGAATGAGCAGTATAACCTCTCCTTGGAACTGTTTTTTGACCTGTTGGAAAACTGTAATTATTAGCAAATTTTAATTATGAGAACTTCTAAAGACTTTTACCTCTCGGACATGAGTATGAGCACTTTTCATCAGAAACTTTTCCTCCAATAATTCCAGCTATGTCACCAATAGCTTTCAAGCCCTCTCCCAAATTATCACTATTAAAGTGACAATCGGAAGTATAAAAAAAACCCTGAGAGAATCCTATAAAGAACACATGAACCAGTTTCATTATGTAGTTGTTAGACGTGTTCTTGTTATATTTCCGTTGATCGGTTCCGGGTATTGCGCATGCGTACTTACCGGTAAATAACAAGGTGAAGGTATAAAAGTTAGGCCTATTCGTCTGTCAAGGTAAGAATAATCTTTTCAAAATAAAAAACCTTTAACTATTGAACTAGTTAATGATGTAATTTTCCAAGTAGTTAAAATGATATAATAATTATCTTTTACAAACTATCAGTCCAATCAATCTGAAGAGATTAGTCTCTTTGATATTTAGTATTTTTCATTTATACTATCTCATCATTTCCTCCTTCCTAGAAGTATTGTCTATATCTAAGGATTCTTTTCAACAAAAATGCTATGTATATTACAATTCTATCGTTCAAACACAAATTAATTAATAGTCTAAATTAGAGACAAATATTCAGATAAGTTTCGATAGTGTTAAAGAACAACCCAGCCAATCAGTAAATTTTAAAAAGTTACGCCTTATTGACATAACTAAGCCAAAACTTTTTATTAGTTCCTTTTTTTTATATTCTTAACATTCCTTATAAGTTTTTTAGGCCTATTTTATACAAATATAGAATATAATAAGAGAAACTATTGAGGAAATTTAGTGTTAATAATTAGTTTATATAACATTGAACATCCTAATTGAAAAATATATTGTATACTCAATTAAAGTATAGCGTATCGCAAATTAAAAGAGGATTAGCCTAAGCCTATAATAATATATAAGCACATTAGAGTAAGTTTGTAAAATAGCTCTTGTGTGATTCTCTTTAGTAATATATTACTTTATTAATAAATTTAAGATATTTCCATTAAACCTACTCTATTTATAAATTCTTTAGTAAACTTATCACTTTTTATACTAGTTACACTAACAAACAAAATTACTTAAATGATAGGTTAAAAGTTCATGCTAAAAGGAAAAAAAAACAGGTCTTATCTGAAATCTAAGCAAATTTATAATTAATCCTATATTTAAAAACTATTTTACTCAATTCTGCTTTAAATTACATACAATTACTTTTTTTTATATATTTTTTTCAAGCTTGTTCTCTTTTCGTTAAGTAATGTATATTTCAGAGTAGTTACAAGCCCAGTTGGAAAACAATGTCTGATCGTCTTAACAATTTGGTAAATCGTTTAGAAGGCGTTACAAAGCGTCTAGAAAATGTATCTGTAGGAAATGGAATGGGTAGTTCACCAAAAGTAAATGGTTAGTATGAAAAATACTGTAACAATTAATAGCCCTATTGGCGAAAATAAGTATGATAAAATGCTTTTAGTCACAGCCAGCACTAGGTATTGTTTGTCATAGTTTAATTAAGTATAATTTACTCGTTCAGACAAATCTATTGTTAAACGAACTGCATTTTATCATTTCTAAAGCCCAGTTGGAAAATGTCAGGTGAATTTTATAACATTTATATGTTCGTTTAATCTGAGGTTATCTCGAAATTTCTGTATTTGTGCCTTATCAATTTACGATATTAGTTATAACATATTCGTATAAATACGTGTATATATAAGTTAATATAAATTTTTTTCTGGTGTTTTGCATATACCATCTACTGTATAATATATAGACATATAGTATACCTTGTATATATTTTTTGATATACAGTATACATACATATATATATATATATTTATCTCATTTTCAAATCACTGCGTTGACATTTATCAACTATGGCTGATTCGTTTCGCAGTAAATTAGCTCTTTTTGAGAATTTATCAGCAAAAAACGCTTCAAACGAAACTATTTCGAATGGTAAGTATATTTAAGATTAATTTGTTCCCAAGGAATTTAAAGTACACTTAAAAAATTGAAATCTTTAGTAAATTAATCAATAAAAGCCTTTTTTTTTTAAATATTCGATTCTAAAATGTAAACTATCTTAATGAAATCGTAAAAAAAAAACACATTTATTTTTGTCTCTGACAAGTATTAATCATTATATTATCTATCTTCTGTTTTTTAATGCATATGTCATATTTCAAAGTCTAGGTGTTTTCTTTAACAAAATTTATCTGATAATCATTCTATACTGTTCAATATACATTTTTAGTTTTTCATTGGTTAAAGATTAAATCTAATGTAAAGAAGTATTTCGATATTTTACATATGTATGTTTAATGTAGATAGGTAATGCTTGTTTTAACTGTATAGGACTTAATAAGAATAATTTTCGATTATTTTTTATGTGCGTTTGGTATGTCTATACAACAAATTATTATATCATAAAATATATTAGTCATATATTATATATAATAAATTATGTTTTCCTAGGTGCTCCCTTAGCAGCTAATGTTCAGAATTATGACTCTGAAGTTGTTCCTGTTCTTCAAGAGTATGCTAGTTTGAGTAAAAAGATTGGTGGAGACGTTGCAACCCATTCGAATCTCGTTTTGGATGCTTTCAATGCCCAACGTCATGTGATAATACTGGCTTGTAAATGTAAGCAACCGGACGATGCTACTTTAGCTGGCTTGATTAAACCACTCTCGGAAAAAATTCAGGCTATTACTGCATTTCGTGAAAAGAATAGAGCTTCTAAATTTTTCAACCATTTATCCGCCATTGGTGAAAGTGTTACAGCTTTGGGTTGGGTTACCGTTAAGCCAACTCCTGTTCCGTATATTAGGGAAATGTCGGATGCTGGACAGTTTTACACAAACCGAGTTCTGAAAGACTTTAAGGAAAAGTCAGTTATTAAATATATATCAATGTAAACTATAATTACTTATATTTCACAGAGATACTACTCATGTTGATTGGGTAAAAGCTTGGCTTCAAACTTTAAACAAACTGCAAGGATATGTTAAGCAAGTTTATACAACTGGCCTAACATGGACTGTTCAGGTATTTCCTAAGAGATTAAATCAAATTTCCGACAAATTTAACTCATATCATTGCAGGGAACGAATCCTAGCTCAGAGGTTGGATCTACATCTGCTCCACCACCACCTGGACCGCCTCCCCCACCTCAAGTTGATGATGTTGGCTCTGCTGGAGACTCAGAATCGAGTAGGGCTGCTCTTTTTGCCGATCTAAATAAGGGTTTGAGTGTAACTTCTGGGCTAAAGAAAGTAACTGACGATATGAAGACGCATAAGAATCCAAATTTGAAATCTCATGGTGTGGTAACCGGAAATAAAACTTCCAATGCTACTTCTGCTGCCGGAAAATCAAAGCAGGAGGTCAAGAAACCTCCGATGAAAGCTTTACAAAATAAGAAGGTGCAGTATTTTTCATACTCCAGACAATAATTGAAATTGTGTTATTTGCTTGATCTTTAGTGGATTGTTGAGTACTTTGACAATGATACTGTCACAATCGATAAGACTGAGCCCAAGCAGACAGTTTACATTTACAAGTGAGAGATTTTAAAATATTGAATATTTTATATATACAGTATAGAGTATATATTTCTGAAAATATTTAAATTTATAGATGTAACAATACTACTGTTCAAGTTAAGGGTAAAGTTAATTCAGTCGTTTTGGACACGTCAAAGAAAACGAATGTAGTTTTTGATGAAACTATTGCAACTTTTGATGTCATAAATTGTCAGAGTGTTAAATGCCAGGTGATAAATTTAAATTCATTATCTTCCCTTTTACGAATAAAAGTTTTTTTTAAGGTAAGCTATAAAGCTCCAACGGTTTCAATTGACAAAACTGATGGCTGCCTAGTTTATCTGAGTAAGGAATATGCCAACACTCGGATTGTCACAGCAAAATCTAGCGAAATTAATATTTCTATCCCAGAAGGCAATGATTTTGTAAGTTTTTGAATAATTTGCAAAATCGTATTTTGTTATATTTAATCTTTTATTGTAAATAGAAAGAAATACCGATCCCGGAACAATTTGTGACTCTTTGGGATGAGAAGAAGGGAAAGTTTGTAACTTCGATTTCCGATATCGTTGCCTAGTTTTGCATACACTTTCTAGATCACAATTAATAATATTTGTGGAATATACGTAACTAGTTTCAAATATTATTGTTTTATCAATATGAAAATGTTTTAAGAAGCTGGTTCAAGCACTTCACAATCATTTTCGCTATCCATGTATTTAAGTTTATTAAGATAGCGTAGGAGGCCCCTTCCTTTCGATTCAGCAATAGCCCTGTCTTTCTTTTCAATTTCATCACTTTCCAAAATACTTTCAAAGGTGTCTGCTTCATTTTGAAAAGCCTGAGATAGAAAATTTGAATTCGAGTCAAGACCAATTTTAGAAAAATATCACTTATATTTCTACAGCCTGGCATTCGTAAATTAGCGAGAATAGGATCAATCTAAACTTACGTCTTCGTCAATGATTGTAAGTTTTTCTTGTTTTTCTTTCTTTGGCCCTCTTAAACTTTTCTTCTTTCTCTCTTCCAACTTTTTGTCTAAGTAACCTGAAAAGTTATATGCTAATACTTTCATTAATATGAGTGACTAAAGAATTTAATTATTATTAAATTATATACTTCTATTAGTAGTTTCCATTTTATAAATATCACTTCTATTCTTTGTCTGAAATATCATGTGGTATATACTCTTCTCATTACAATTAAACATCCGTTTACTGATGTCAACTTTCATATCAGAGTCATTCTGGGGCTCTCTTTGAGAGTGGCATTCACTGAAGAGTTGTCTTTTTGGAACTGGTTTCTCCTGAGATTTATCCGAGCTATTACTAGATGCAGTGGCTATGTCCTCTTCTGGTGAATTTTGCGAAACAGAGGTATCTATGTTAATGTTTTTCTGAAACTTAAGATCTTCGTTAGTTGTATTTTCTTCAAGACATTTTACATCTAGGTCATCATTGTTGAAGTGATCATCACTAGAAAATTCCTTCATGGACTCACTATTTTTGTTTGACTTGCGCTCATTAGCATCATCTTCATTGAACTTTTGTTCATTAGAATCATTTTCGTAGGGGTTCTGTTCAATACATTCACTGGAGTCTTCCTCGTTAGAATGACGTTCGCAGGAATATTGTTCATCAGAATCATATTCATCAGAGTCTTCCTCGTTAGAACCACCTTCACTGAAATTTTGCTCATCAGAGTCATTTTCGTAGGGGTTCTGTTCAATAGAAACACATTCATTGGAGTGTTCGTCTTTGGAGTCATATTCGTAGGCATTTTGCTCATTGGAATCATATTTATCAGAATCTTCCTCGTTAGAACCACCTTCACTGAAATTTTGCTCATCAGAACCATTTTCGTAGGGGTTCTGTTCAATAGAAACACATTCATTGGAGTGTTCGTCTTTGGAGTCATATTCGTAGGCATTTTGCTCATTGGAATCATATTCATTAGAGTCTTCCTCGTCAGGATCACCTTCGCTAGTATTTTGCTCATTGCAATAATATTTGTCGGAATCTGCGTCGTAAGAAATATGTTCGTCGCTGTTTTCCTCGATGAAGTTATTTCTAACAAACTTTTCCTCATCACAATCACTTCCATCCACGTCTGTAGTAGAACAACTTGGGAGCCAGTCGTTCTCACAAAAATCGCTCCCATCCTCGTCTGTAGTGGAACAGCTTGGGAGCCAGTCATCTTTGCCATAATCGCTTCTATCCACATCTAAAGTAGAATGGCTTGAGAGCCAGTCATCATCGCCATAATCGGTCTCATCCACGTTCAAAGTAGAATGGGTTGGGAACCAGTCATCCTCGTCATAATCGCTAGATCCATTCCCGTTGATACATTCCTTTTGACTTCTATTTTGTCCATCAAACTCATCTTCAGTAGAATTTTCATCAGATTTACTCCTTTCACTTCCTGGGTAATTTTCAGGATAATCATTTGCATTCGAACGTTCTCCACTAAAGTTAACCTTTCCGTCTACATCTTCCTTACTTTCAACTTTGCAGAAATCTTCGTCTTCATAGTCACATTCAGCGGGATTCATTTTACAGGAATCATAATTGTCAAGGTGATTATCATTGACTGTACCTTCATTAAAATCTCTTTTAAAGGATTCGCCAACAATGAAATCACTTTCCTCAAAGTAATCCTTTTCAGAGGATTTTTTAACATGATCCAGGGGCTCATCAATGCTACTATCGCTATCATACGCTTTTTCAAATCTTTTATCATTAGTGAAATGATTTCTATTTCCGGCTTTACATATTGGTTTATCGAAACTACTATCACTATCATACACTTTTTCAGACGTTTTATCATTACTGAAACGATTTCTATTTGCAGTTTTAAATATGGGCTCATCAATACTAAAATCAGTATCATATTCTCTTTCAAATGTTTTACTATTACTGAAATGATTTCTATTTCCAGCTTTAAATATTGGCTCATCAACACTGAAATCAGTATCATATTCTGCTTCAATAGACTTGTCAATACTGAAGTTACTTTTATAACAATTATTTTTAGGTTCATTAGCAATGGAATCACTATCTAACTCTTCATCAATTGAATTACTAACAGTGGAAGCAGTGCTAGAGTCTCTTTCAAAGGATTTTTCAAAAGTGGAGTCTATTCTATTTGATGGACACTGACTACGATTATATCCATAGTCTTCATCAGAATTGAGAGCAGGTTCCTGATTTAGTATTCTCCCAAAAGATTTTCCTCGTGATGATTCCTCTTGCTCTAGATCTTTAGGAAATCTTATAGAATCGTCAATATCTGAAGAAGTTTTATTGTAGCCGCTGTACATTTTACTGGACCCGTCTGAAACTTTAAAATCAGCTTTTGTCTTGTTTCCCATACTTTTCGCTGATGGTCTCGAAATTGGGGTAGTTTCCCAACCTGTTTCCTCTTCGGATGATTCACTCTCAAAATAAGTATGTGCAGACCACTTATCTAAAGTCATTTTCGTCTTGACATTCACAGCTGCAATAGATTGTCAATTATATACATACTAAATGAAACAAGGAAATCTCTAACATTTTCCACTAGTGCAACCATCAGATATATAGCGATCTGGACACTCATGTTTAACATGTGCTTCAAACTTATCTTTACTTAAATAATGAGTAGAATTATAGGGGCAGACAGATAAACCATGATTAGGATGTTTCTGAAACGTCGTGAAATTAATAGAAATTAAATTTTAATTGAGATATTACCTTGGCGCATTTACAGATGTGGTATTGAAAATAATTTGCCCTAATCTTATGATTTTTATCAAAAGGGCATATTCTATGCGTGCTTTTCTCAATATGTGCAAATTCGTTTGCAAAACTTGTCATAGTCTCTTCTGAAATCTATACTGAAAGACATATGCTTATATGAAGGAAATATATCTATATATATCTACTGTATATATAGATATATATATAAGATAAATTTATACATATACTGTATATAATAAAGCACATGTGAAATTCAAGTGGTTGGAATTGATCTTATATAAAGAAAATTGACTTAATTAAGATTACGTTAAGTAGGAAAAGTCTTTATAAATAATTAAATAATCACATAGTAAGTTTTAGGCGGATAAATAGGTTTCTTTTCAGGACAATTGTGCATTAGGCAATAGTTTAAGAAGTGTTTGGAAAAGGTATTTCCAAATCAAATTGTTCTTCTTTTTAAAATTCTAATACATAAATATTATAAAACAGCGTAATGGCACAATAAAAATTAAAAGAAATCTAAAAAAACATACTTTTCACTGAAGAACAAATTCAAATCTAACAACTTCAAACGTTCTAGAAAGTCACGTTGTGAATAGAAAGCTGTTCCAGACCTTATCTTAATATAAGCGGTGTCCAAGATGTTCCGTCAGATAGCGCTAATTTTCGTCTGCTATTCAAAAATTGACTTCAACATATATCATTTATATACTTGGGTTTAAGAGTTTAATTGCTGACAAAGTTTCGTCAATGTTTAAAATATTTTCTGTCACTCTTCTTTACATCCTTTTCTTGGATTGTCTTTTTGTATTTGCCGAAGAAAATAATATATTATTAGTTCAAAAGGAAACAGCGAAAGACAAAGGTAGTCTAGAAGACAGAAAAATAAAGTAAGAATACACGAAAACAAACTTATTTAATGTGTAAAAGAAATAATTTTTCATTTTAGTAGTGAATGGATGGAAACAGTACATATAGCTGTCGTGGCTTGTGGAGACAGGCAACCAGAGACAACTATCATGATTAAATCTGCATTAATCCTAACGAAAGGAAAACTTCATTTCCACATTTTTACTGAACAAGCATTGAGAGAACACTTTAAAAGTGATGTAAATGCTTTTTTCCATTCTTTAAACTTTATTATTTCAAGAAAGATTTAAAGCACATTTTTAAAGAACAGTACTTAAAACAAATATAAGAACTGAAACCAGTTAATATATTATTATCATATTAAGTAAATTTATACAAGAATAGAACATAGGGATACTATTTTATTTGTTATTTATATGTAAAGTATATTCGTATCCTTCTCTAATCACTGCGAAATACTGTTGTTCTTGCCGACACAGTCTTTTCAACATATGTTAAAATGTGATTTCTTTTTTTGATAGTTTTTAAAGCTTAATTTTTTATGTGCATTTTTATTCTAGTTCGATTCTTTCCCTGCAAGTACTCAAGAGAACTTTCGATATGATTTCTACGATATTCAATACCCAAATGACATTGATATGACCGAATGGAAGAAAATTTTTAAATTATGCGCCACCCAAAGACTATTTATACCGGTAAATAGGGGTTCTATTTACATTGACTTGTGTAATATTTTATTACATATTTTTTCTGCTAATTCCTTTTCAGGACCTTATACCTGAATCTGTGACTAATAAACTCTTGTATGTTGATACGGATGTTTTATTCGTTTCGCCTCCTCAGGAAATATGGACAATTTTTCATATAATGAACGAGAATCAGGTATAAAAACATTAATACTGTTAATGATGAATTATTAAAAAATATCTTATTAGATATCAGCACTGGCACCAGAACACGAAGATCCATCTACAGGATGGTACAATCGATTCGCTCAACATCCTTACTATAAACCTTTAGGTAAATTTTTATTCATTCGATTATTATAATTACATAAACAATATAAACGAATAGGTGTAAATTCTGGAGTAATGCTTATGCATTTGGAAAGAATAAGAAATTCAAGTTGGAAGAAGGATATGATTAAACATTATCAGCAGTATAAATATAAAATTACTTGGGGAGATCAGGATTTAATTAATATATACTTTAGTGAGCATCCAGGTAAGATTAATAGCAATAATTTATTATTTCCTGTACTATATTGTACTAAAGATAGTTGTAATTTTAGAACAACTTTATATATATACTTGTGAATGGAATTATCGTACGGACCATTGTATGTACATGAGTATCTGTAAGGAAGCTGAAAGGTATGGTATTAAGATGCTGCATGGTTGTAGAAAAGCATTTACATCTGATAGTCAACCAGAATTTAGGGTTATATACGAAGAATATAAAAAGGTACCTATTAGGTCATAGCTTATTCTAGCTGTTAAATTCTATAATGTTTTATTTGATATGACAGTTCGATATGGATAATGATAATGTCCTATCTATACTACCAAATGTTCGAGAAGGTATTGAAAAAGTGCATGATAAAGGAAAATGTAACGTTATAAGTGATCTTATTGAAATTACACTTAAAAAGGCTTTTGCGGATGAAAAAAGGTACTAGTCGAAAATACTCTCAAGGATAAATGAATTATTAAAAAAAACTTAATTATCCAGACAAATTAGTGATAAATTAAATGAACATGAAAAAATAAAATATACAAAGGAATCGAACATTGATATTGATTGGGTTTTTAAACATAACACTACAATACACATCGCCGTTGTTGCATGCGGAGACAGACAAAAAGAAACAGTAGTGATGATGAAATCGGCTGTAATTTTTACAAAAGAGCCGATAGTCTTTCATATATTTGCTGAAAAAGAGCTACACGAACAATTTATTAACGATGTTCGTAAATTCGTCTATTTTATAAGCTTACTATTAAAAATTTATATTTTTATAGTTTGCTAATTGGCCAAAGAAGACAAAAAATCGGATCCGAATGACTCTTTACGATATAGATTACCCTGAAAGTGTCAATGAAAGACAATGGAAAAGTCTGTTTAAGTTGTGTGCGACACAAAGAATATTTATACCTGTAAAATATCATCACTACTTTACATGCATTTAATAACATTAACATTATTTTTGAATAGTATATCATTTCTCCCGGAGTTACTAATCGAGTACTGTACGTTGATACCGACGTTCTCTTCTTACGTTCTGTTAAGGATTTATGGGGATTTTTTGATCATTTTAATTCTAGTCAATTATCAGCTTTAGCGCCGGAACACGAGGATCGGGCTATGAGCTGGTATAAGAGATTTGCAAGGCATCCGTACTACGGAGAGTTAGGCGTTAATTCTGGTGTAATGTTAATGGATCTAGAGAGGATGAGAGCCCAAAAATGGAAAGAGAAGATGATTGAGTACTTTAACACATATGAAAAGAACACAACTTGGGGAGATCAGGATTTAATAAATATATATTTCTCTTTTAGTCCAGGTTTTATTTTTATATGAAATGATTCGTTTTTTCTAAACCGTACTATTCACCATTAGATCAATTGTTTATTTATGACTGCCAATGGAATTACAGACCAGATCATTGCATGTATTGGAGCAATTGTAAGGCGGGAGAGGAATATGGAGTTTCTGTTCTTCATGGTAGTCGTAGATTCTTTCATCTGAGAGAAAAAGAGCCAGCTTTCTGCGAAGTTTATGATGCCATTAATAATGTAACATTTAACTTTAGTCTTGAATTTAATTAATCTATTATTATTCATTTTAAAATTTCAGTATCAGCTGGAAACAGAGTTTAGGACAAATTTATTTGAACCCCTTATTACAAAGTTAAATGCACCTGATATAAAGAATTCAAATTGTGGAAAAGTTTCGCATTTCTTTTACTACCATTTGGAATATCATTTGATAGCTTTGGAAAAGGAGAATGTAGATTATTAGAAACTTCTAGAATTTTTAAGTACAATTCAAAAGGAATCACTGCTCAGATTTATTAGTCGTGTATATTTTTTATTGAATAAATCTATTTTTAAAAAAGTTATATCAATTAATTCAGACTTGGGGAAGTTGATTGAAAGATCTGAAATAACAATAGACAATTATATATATATATATATATTTTAATTAGAACTAAACCTTCTTCATTAATTTACAATGTAAACTCAAAAAAGCCAATTTTTACATTCAACTTTTAGGTACTTCTAAATAACTTAATAGAATATAATCCAGGTTATTTATAAATATTTTTCTCTAATAGATGAGAAACTAATGAATTTAAAACGTTATAGTGTGTTTTGTTTAGGTATTGGGAATATACACAATGGAATTTATCATTGTCTATAGGGACATAATAAATTGAGTTGTGTTTGTTTTTTTTTGCATGCTTACAAAATTATGACATACTTTTTGTATTTTGTATAGATATATATAATATAATCAATAAAATATAAATTTAGTTTAACTATTTGCAGCATCATCTTTAACAAGAATTATGGCGTTGAATAACAAATCTTCCATTATACATGCGTTATTTTGATCAGTTAGAAGGATATATTACAAAAATGATGGTTATATTAGACGGCAGCTACACAAAGAAAAGGAAAACTTATCATACAAATTTTCTAATACTTGTATATATCTTTAAAGAGATTACTTATATCATTATAAGGAATATCTCCTGAGAATAAAAATATATATAATCCGAAAGAGAAAATTACCAGATCTTATTCAAGATCTTCAATAATTAAATATTTAAGAAGGAGATATTACTATTCACTCTATCTTTTACTGCCATAATCAATGTCGGAATTATAGCTCATTTCTATTATCTCAAAGTGAATGTTGTTGTAAGGAAAATCGATATTAAAAACAACTTCTTTGATGTTTAAATACAAAAGTAGTTTCTTTTACTCATCCGGGAGTCAATCATTGATTTTATCATTTTCGTTTGCACTGAACTCGACTGTTAATACACTATTATACTCTTGAAGATCTCACGTTAAGTTACGGTACTTTAAAGTATCATGCAATAAAAGCTTTTTACAATAGTCTTACTAAAAATACTATGTATTTAAAAGTATACATAAATTTGAATAAATTAGAAGAAAGTTATACATTATTGGCTAAAAATTGTGAATATATAAGGATATTTCGCCAACTTTCCTAAATAGAGTTACTTTCATTATATTCAATTATACAATGATGCTTGAAATGCCTTTTAATTAACTTTCATAGAGATGTTAAAATATTATACAACCTTGTAGAGTAAATTTATAAATTTTATCAATATTTAATTGGTTATATAGTGCTTTTTCTGATACAAAAAAAGAACTTAGGAAATCAAATTAAACATTGATGATTTCTTTCTGAAAGACCGTTATTCCGAACCACATACCAACATCGACGATTTATTAATTTGATTATTGATTTTTCATAAAAATATAATTAAAAAGATTGGAAAGAGGATAACTCAGAAGGAAATCTATTGCCTAACATTCTTTTATTAAAATATTTAATAAATTTGAAGCAGGATCTCCGAATGGAGGAGAGAAAGATGTAGATACAGAAATAAAGATTAATAATTCTAATATATATACATATATATATCATTTTTTATCTCTTTACTATGAAAAAAAAAGAGTATGTAACATATTTGATTAATTTATTAAAGGAGAGTTCAATTTAAAAGCTTAAAGCATGTCAGAAATGCTTTTGCAGAGATGGCGGCAAACAAGAGTGTAAACTTAATAATAGAAAAGCAATACAGATTTGCATCAAGCTAGAGAGTGTAGGAAAGTAAGAACCTCAAGCAAATTCAATTTTATTATCTTTATAAGTAAGAATGTTAAAATAGGTTAAAGTTTAACTTGGTACTATTTTAAATTAAAATTTTCCACTTTTTTTTACCTTGAGGCAGGCCTAAAATAAGATAAAAATAGGAAGAGAGCTTTGAGTTATTGACTGACTTTTCTAGTAAAATTATCAAAAAATTCAGTGTTCCAATATTTATGAAGGGTAATTTATAAAAGTATTATTTATGTGAGATACAGCATATGACGTAATATATATATACATACAGTATATATAAAAAATAGTCAATAGAAAGTTGCTGCATCGGCAAAATCTATATTCTAAGAAACACGAAGACAATTAGAGCTGATAAGAATAATTTTTAATAGTGGAAAATTGTTCAATTTAATATCAAATAAAATCATTTATAATTAATGTGTTTAATCATCATTTCTTTATTAATAAAGACTCAAAAGGGAAAAATAAAATTATTTCAGTTTAATACCAATTTTTTTTTAAAACTTCATAAGGCCTATTATATAAAACACTGTTAAATAATAAATACTATAAATTAAGTTGCTGTTAAATTGAATCAAAGTTACATTTGATTAACTAAATAAAAAAGAATTTAATAGAAAGAATTAGTCGGAAAAAGAAGGAAAAAAGAGCGAAAAATCAATTCTAATTATAAAATAGACTTTCAATTAAACTTAATAGCAACATAGTAAAAAATGAAATACTAGGAATATCAATCTAATAGGAAAGCTTTAATTCTATAATGAATTTAATTTTAAAAAAATACATTAAACAATGAAAAGCAACTTTTTATTAAAAGTCTACTATTTTATAGATAAGGTTAATATGAATCTTTTAGAAGGGAAAATCTTTAGAGATATTACAAACCATTATAAGGAAAGGGCTTAAAAGAAATTTTCTTGTGAAGCCCCTTCTCTCTATGTGCTGTTTAATCAAGTTTTGAAATTATTCAGCAAAAGATTTGCAGTTAATTATGTTATAAAGTATTTATACCTACTTGTAAACTACTTTTTAATTAAAGCAGCCTATTTTTATGTATATCTACCGTATATACAGTATATATATATGTATATGTAAAGCTTCTTATCTATTGAATTATTTAAAAAAGATTTTAAGCATTAGGTTTTATCTTTTTGAAGCAATTTTGTTAAAAGATAGATGGCTCTGTCAATCAAGTCATTTCCAGAGCCTAAAGAGCGTAAAAGTAAAGATTAAGACGTTAATCCCTTGTTTGAAAGGGAAAATATTCTTATGGAAAGAAATCATTGAGAGAGAAAGTGAATGAAAGAAATAAGGTAGGATGAAAAATAGAATGGATAAATAAATCAGATAAAGTAGACTTGTTTGCTTCCTTTCTTTTTTTCCTATAAAAGGAAGTTTTTATTTGGCAGAAAGAATAAATTTATTTGGCGATTCCTTAGGAATAACCTTCGCAGTTGAAGTGAGTTAAAATATCAAGAGTATAGACCGTATTTATCTGATTAATATGCCGCACGCAGCACTATTCGCTTTAGGGAATGAATCCAACCATACAAACAACCAAATTCACTTATTTTTCTTTCCTTTGAAATAGAAAAAGAACCTGCTAAAGGTCTAACTGTTACTCCACTTTATTTATGTATTGATATAATAGCATTTTATATGAATATTTAATAAACTATTGGATTTTTTATGAAGGTATTTATTTTAATATTAAGCTTCATAAAATTTAACATAAATGTAGGTGTATATCATAGTTCTTTGTAAATGTAAATGTATAGGCTTAATTTACAGTAGATTGTAAAGTATATATAACATCCTCCACAATCGGCTAGACGTCTAGACGCTACCTAAAAACGCCATGATTGATGAGACTTTTGCATGTTTCAACACATTTTCGCATGGTTTTTATTCCATTTTCTTAAAAAATAAATGATAATCTTTTAAAAAAATAAAAAAACATTGTTGGATATCTATTAATCATATTTTACATAAGTTAAATATTTAAAGGATTTGGATTAAATAGGAATTTTTGAATAAAATGAAAAGCTAATTAAAAATTATTTCATTCCATTTTAATTAAAAAAAAAAAGAATCTTTCGTCTTTTGTATAGATCTAGTTGTATAATTTCATAACTACAATATCTACTTAATAGCCAAAAAGGAAATTTTCTTTCAAATAGAATAAAACTACTTGTAATTATATTGCAGTATTTTTGATGGCCTAGTTATCTGTATTATTTTTCACCGTTTAGGTATAGAAGATTATATTGTATGTTTTCACTGTTCTTATTTCTTAAACTGTGCAGCTTTTGATAACGATTGCGTTAGTTCTCTAGAGACGTTAATCAATATTTCCTTCAGTGCAGATTAATATTCACATAGTCTTTCGCTTTCAATTTAATTAATAAAGTAGAAAAAAAAAATATTTAGTCCCCCACCTCCCTCCCCCCTCCCCCTTTTAATCGTCGACTAGAAATGGAAAAGAATGAAATTTTTCTAGAGAGAGAACTAATTGAAAAATTCTATAGCGTCTCCTCTTTTCGTTTACAGTTTTTCGTAGTATGGCTAATCGAAAAATTAAAAAAAATAACCATTTTCTTCATAATGTAAAACGAAACAAAAAGGGAATTAATAAGAACGCTTTGTAGATAGCCTTTTCTTTATATTTTCTTCAAGAACTTCAATAATACCTTAATTATTAATTAAAACTTTTTTCTTTGTCAATTAATGATTACTAGCAAGGGGTAGATGGTTGAAGAATGTCGTTCATCTTCTTAATATCTTCCCCTCTGTGTCTTCAAATTAACGCCTTAAAATGAAATCCAGGTCAACGAAATATATTAATAATATATTTGCCCCATCCCTTACTGAGATGTCTTAGAGTCTAGCGTTTCAATGTTAATCGAGGCTTTCCAAAAATATATTCCTAATATTATTTAACAATGGCGCTTTCTATGCGATTCTTTAAATAAAATAATACAATCTTTATCCTTTTACTCTCGTAGAGAAATAAAGTACTGTTCGAGAGGGAATTTTCAGGCTTTTTTCAGCCTATAGCTCAGTAAAAAAAAAGTCGATTCCATCACGGATATCCCCCTCCCTCGTCTAGACAGTTTTTAGTTAAAAATTGGTATCCCATTTTTTCCCCGTCTTATCAGCATTCTGTAATAAGATAAGAAAAAATCTGAAAAAACAGTCTTAAAACATATATCCTAAATAGCATAAATTAATACATATAAATAGATAACTTATGAATATTAATGAAATGAAATTACTGCATAGGAATTAAATAACATTAAGAAGAATCAGATTTCCCCTTATGATGATATGTTATTTTTCTAAAGAGAATAAAAAGTGGCAAACTGGAGGAAATACTGTAAATCGTCGTATCGAATATGTGCGTTGTGGTCGATAAATAGGCCTAAAATTCTTGCCATCTAAAAGTTCTATGGCTTAATTATATCTATGTAACAATATGCTTATACACAGGAAAAGTATTGCAATACTAAATGAGATTCTTTGTACAAATCTAACTTACAATAATTAGTAAGTTTTTTTTATACCAGTTTACATTATTCACTATTTTATTGGACCGATATATATATAATATTTGATTAATCGATAAGGAATATCATGTACAAATACAAAATAAATAACATCAGTAAAGTAGACAGTAACGTCCAGTACTTACAATATTAGAAATGTATATACTGTATTTATATATATACAGTATATAGATACAGTATATATATGTATTGGTCATTTTCTGTTTATATAAGGAACAATGGTCTCTCTTAGAACTTCATCAACTTATCTCTTAGATGGTTTCATTAAGTTTCTTTAATTTTGTTATTCTTAAAATACGATTTTCTAGTCTTATCAACAGAAAGTATATTAGTTTTCTGTCGTTCGTTGCTCTCCTCTTATTATCTAAACCCCTATGTTGCGTAACTTTCAATCGATTCCGTAATGTGTCTGTCATAGGCGACGCAGAAAATTTTTTCTCATTCTCCATAGTCTATTTTTGGAAAGGTACTTGTAAGTCGCTAAATGGCTTCCGTACGTCTGTTTAGTAAAGCTAAGTCTGTTTTAAATTAACAATCAGACGAAATATCTTTATTAGTATATGTTAAATAAATAGTATTTTAATTAGCGAAAGGATACATAGATAGACTATCCTTACTAACAATTCCAACTCCATCCCAAAAATAAAATTATTTTTTTTTTCGTTTTTTCGTTTTTTTGCTGACTCATCAAAATAGTTACCCTTTTACTTTTTATTTATTTATCCTATTAGCTCACAAACAAGGAAAAAGTAAGAAAGAAATTTTTAATTTATTAATTATTAATATTATTATAAAGTAGACCTAATTGCCAGAAATAAACAGTTTATTTAAGTTTAATTTTTATGTTTTTTTATAAGTAGTAAATGAGTTCAGACTGGTTAATAAAAAGCTTTCATACAAATCCCTAGATGACACTGTTTTTTACCTTTGAAATGGTGAACAAATCCATCAATTATCGACGTATTTTTTTTATATAGATGATTTATCCTTTTGGTATTATATGCCTCGCCTAAACTACAAACTATAATAGAGAACGATTTCTTAGCTGCTAACTTTGAGTTGTATGCTCAAGTATAGAATAGAAAATGAAATAGTTATTTCTATGAGAGATAATTTTTAATAATGATTGAAAAGGGATTGGAGAGAGAAGAACAATTGGGAATGAAAAGGGAAGGATGTGGGCGTGGAAGCTTGGTGAATTGGGACGTTTTTGTAATCTATCTTTTAGAATTGTTGTCGTTATGGAGTATTAGAAATAAATGATGTAGACAAAAGGAAAATGGCGGGAACGTGACTTTTGAATGTAATTGATTTGGAAATGTCAACACCCTTCGGAAATGTGTATTGAATGATACTCGAAGAAAGCGGAGTAAAATGGTTGGAGAATGCTGAACAAGAGTGTTAAATAATGCCGACGACCTTTTGAAGATCTAATAATAAGACACTACTCCTAAAATAAAATACCATTGACCCATTTAATTATCTCAAAAACCTTTGAAGAATTGAACTGAATTCCTTAGTTACCCAATCGGATATTCTAATTCGTAATAGAGCCCTTAATTGAAACTGAAGGGATACACCTAAACTTTATATGTGTACTGTGCAGTCTCAGGCAGGGGAACAGCAGAGACTGCATCGATTTTCTACTACGCATGCGCTGTTTGTAGTAGTTGGTTTGCATTCTTCAGAAAAAAAGCCGGCTGACAAGCTAGAAAAATTTTTCATTTCTTTTCAATTTTTCTCAATTTAAATGCGGGCTTTTGAATGATTTTTTAGATTTGTTACTCATCTGTGATAAGCGGATTTTATAGGACGAATAAGTCTGGTAAGATTTTCTTTGTACCTTTCCCTCGTTAACAATTGGACTTATTAGTGTATTATTTTAATTATTTCTCACCTCTTTGCTAGGTTGCTAACGATCTAATAAACCAATAATGATTTTTCCTTTTCGCTCTTTTAGTAAAACTATTGGGAAAGTGTTAAAAATTTCATATTTGATTGATCAGTGTATGAAATTTTACCTTCGTTTCTTTTTATAAATTCAGTAATCTAGTATACATTTTCATTGTCAATAGTTCAGTCACGTTTTTGATACGTGATGAAATTTATAGCAAATAAAGAACACAACCTTTTCTTTTACAACCACTTATCCTTCGAAATGAAGAATTTTCCTCTCTTCTAATGACGTTTACTCCTTTATGTAGTTTATTATGCAAATGATGCAAATGTTACATAAAGAATACATAAAGAACCAGGTGGATTGATTCTTTATTTCAAAATATAAATAAAATGAAAGTTTATCTTCGTAACAACTGTTTTCATAATATTTTTAATTCTGCGCATTAAATATAAACGTTTAAACGTAAATTCTCTTTCTCTCTCTCTCTCTGTCCGGCAGTTGCAGCCATCTTCAATATTTTTTGTGTATTTATATCTAAAATTCCCCTTCAATTGACAAACAAAAAGAGAACCAATACTATATAAATGACTTTGTCAAATACCTAAGACCTATTTTGCTTTCTTCTAGCAAGGCTCATTAAGTTATTCTGTTGAGAGCAACGCTTTAAAGCTGGCCTCTTTCATTCAAATTCTTATTGTGATATTACTGTATAAATTTAACGGTGGAGCAGAGGTTGACTGCTGCTAATTAATGGATATTTATGAGTAAGGAAAATGTGGTATAAATAAGAAACGCTTTGTAAATAGAAGTTTTATAGCGTTTTTTTTTTTAAAGTTATTTTCATCGATTCATTCTTATTTCGTTTTAAAAAAACAATATTGTATATTTTATAATTAACGAAACCGAATCGACCTAGAAGCAAATAGTTTATGCAAAGATATCATTTGCATCTTCATTCATGAAAGATGAAATGTATATGACTAAAAGAGAGCGAGAATAGAAAGCGTGAGGGTCTATGTTTATATTAATTTAGGTCTATGCTAAAGCTATTTAGCTTAGAATTACAATAATATACAAGAGGTCGCAGAAGAGAAAAGAATTGATGAAAAATTGAAAATAAAACGCAAAAAGAAAGGATGAGAAGAGTAGGAGGAATAGATAAAAATATGAAGAAAAAAAGAGAGAGTAAATTCTAGATAATTTATTATACACAGGAGCTCTCTTTATTCTATGAAAAAAAGAATTAAGGGAAAGGAAAGATTTTCTAAAGATTCTATCATCTATTTCTATTTTGGATAGTAAATAGGACTTGATGTTTTGTTTTGTTTTGTTTTTTAGCTCGATTTTTGCGTAGAATGTAAAATAACATATGGAGTAAGAGTATCAAGTAAATCAATTATAGGGTTAAGAGTAAATGATGCATATTTATATAAAATATTATATATATTTATATGCTTATATATATTAATATATATCTACAACGTATAGTAGTATCAGACTAAATATAATATTTAGAGCGTTTTTAAATTATGTTGTATTGCTTTTAAGCCTAAGGCAAAAGTTGCTATTTTTTTTAGGGCATATAAGAGAAATTTATGACAAAGCCAATACAGCTTTTCCAGGAGTCAGCTTTTGATATTTGCAGTTGTTTTCTTAACTGAATAAATCACTGTTTTTTTCATTAGTAATAGTACGAAAAATACTATGATTATAGCTCTTCAAAGATTTTTTATACTAATTCTTTCAATAAAAAGAAGCAAACAGTATCTTTTTGATCAATAAGCTTGAACAGCAGCTGACGTTAGTTTGTACTCTCTACATTCCAAACATACTTTTGTGTGAGTAATCAATTTTACGATGAAAGATGAATAATAACTTTTTGCTATAAGAGTCAGCTAGTAAATGATACTACAGCATTGTAGAAGGATGTATATATATATACTAATATATATATAGATATACAAGTATTTTTGCACAACTGATGAAAGTTTTGCCCGATGTAAAATACTAAAAAAGTTTGTAGTCAAAGTTTGCCATTGTAATTAGTTTCTATTAGAAAGTTTGACATGAAATTATAATTAAATACCTTTTAAAGTTGGTTGTTGTCTGTAGTTATAAATCATTAATTTCTACCTTAATTAATTCCATCTTACTCTCCAAGTATATATCTAATTTATAAAGTAATTTTCTATTCACATTTATTATTTAATTCCCTTTTTCCAGTTCTACTCGAGACAATATTACGTTCTATACAATTTGTTCTTTATAATTCGATTTTTTTCCATATAATTAAAAAATTAACATTCTTTAATTATATTTCCAAAATCTAAATTACAAGGGTTGTTTAGTCTAGCTTGTCCTTTGTCTTTTCTATTTAGTTTATGAGGTTAACGGAAGCAACAGTTTTTGATATTACCTGCTAATTCCTCCTGGTTCAAAGCTTTGTAATCGATTCTTTGAAGTTGGTACAGGTATAAAAAATGTCATGCTTAGTATTTGCTACCTGTTTATGATACTAGTTTTCAATCGGAAGGTTAATTGATACCACTAGTATTAGGATTAATTACACCTTATTGATTAATAAAAGTAGGCGTTTTAGGACATTATTTTTTAAGTTTGAACTATAAGGACGAATAGATTTGAATGAAATATTCCAAAGTGTACCTGTATTTTAATCGCATTTGTTTTATTTCCTGATCTTCTCTAGACATGGATGAACAAAATCTCCTTCAAGATAATCCAAATAATCCAAATCTCTTTCACACTGGTGATACAGCAACAATGGATGTACCATCGATTCCTGATGACAACGCTAATCAAGCCGAAGATAAGAAACAGGAAGATGAGGATAACGGGAATACACAACGTCTAGACGTTATGCAGACGGGCGTCTATGGAATGGATTCAATGACTGGCAGCATGATCGGTGGTTTATCTGCCAGTGCAGAATCTATAGAATCAGAGAAGGACGAAAAGCTTAGGGAATTATTGGAGAACCGTGATAATGGTAATATGGAAGATAGTACCGAATTTATAAGTGAATCTTATCTAATTAGTGAGAAGAAGGATACTGTTGTAGAGTTTGATAAGGGTCCTTTTGACGATTTTGCTACTCTGTCCAACATTGGTAGTCGACTAGAAGAGAAATTCGATTCTGGTGAAGTTTCAGAGAATTTAATTACGCCGGACGAGAAGCCTTCGAAAGGGGAAGAAATCAGCGAGGAAATGACAGATCCCCAAATTTCACTTGATAATCAAACTGATTTAGAGGAAGAAAGACTTTTTAAGAGTGACGAAACGGAAGCAGACAAGTTGGTTTACCAAAGAGATCTAATGGACCAACAAAATGAATTATCTCAATTATCTCAATTAGAAGAGAGAGATGAAAGTAAAGAGGCAAGTGCCTTGTACGATGTTGGACAAAAAGAATGTGATACGACTGAACTGTTTCAAACTCGAAGTTTGAAAGAATCAGTTCAGGTAGAAGTTCAGAAAACTGAAACTAATTTGATTATGACGGAAGAAAGAGTCGAAACTGTTGAAAGACAGGTGGAAATTGTTGAAAAAACGAGTCTTGATTTCAACAATCAGATGGCACCAGCGTCGAAAAGTCTTGAGGATAATAGTGATGATGAATCCCAAGTATTAAGGGTAGATACTGATGAATTTAAGGAACTGGAGCAACAGCCTAGAATTGGAACTGATGATGAATTTCTTAATGATTCCCAAACTTCATTTAGCGACGAAGGTATATCTACGCCTATAACAGCAGACGTTGCCCAAATACAAGAGTCGATGGATGATCGAGGATTATCATCCCCGATTCTAGAGAATTATGAGTTATCTGTTGAAAAAGAACACGATAATTCAAATATTGATGATCATACTGTTGAAAAACAAGATCTCTATGGCGATGTACGAGACGAAAGTTCTGTTAAAATGGAAGCAATAGAAGAGGAAAAGCTTCTTGAAATGGATATTAGTACTTCTAACGAGACTACTCCAAGTTCTTTCCATCAGAAAGAGGAAGCGTGCGCTGACGAAAACGTTCAATCACACGCTGAGATGTACTCTTCAAGTGTTGTAGATACGGAACTAATAGAATCGGCAGTTGTAGAAACAGTTCAAGAAGATAAACTAATTGATGAAAACAAAGAAAGTTTCTTTGATGATAACAAAACGAATGCTGAGGAGGAGCAAACACAAGAAATTGTTTCCAAGGAAGAATCTGCTATCTTAGAAGAGTTGACATTGGAGAGAAAGTCAACAGATCTCACCGAGGAAGAAAATTGTGAGTCAGTATTAAAGAAGGAAGAAATAACCGATAAACTAGAAGATTCAATCAATTCAACCAAAGAAACAGATTTTGAATTTAGAGAACAAGATGACTATGAGCAAAATCAAAAAGATTTCCTAGTCGAAAATGTAACAGGAATAGAACGGGAAGAATCCACTGCGGATAGTTCAGGTATAGAGGAAACTATCTCTGAGTCTCACAACTCACAAGATTTGTTAAAAGATCAATGTCAAATTGATGAACAATCAATTGATGAACAATCTAACAAGGATAATATGAGCGCATCTCTTTATGATGAAAAAATTGAAGAAACGTCTCATATTCAAGATAATAGAGATGAGAAAGAAATACTAACATTTGAGGAGGAGGACGAAACACAAACACAGGCTAACTTCGAACATTGTGAGAAAGCGGCAGAAGATCTTTTGCCTGCTTCTAACATAGGTGAGGAAAGAAGCATTTTAAACCCTGAGGAAGCGCATATCGAACAAGAAATAAGTCAAGAAGAACTCCAACTCAATACACCTACTGATCCAGAAGAGATAGCGACAGCTCAAGATGTAAAAACAACAGAAGGCGTCATCGAAAGCGAACAATTGCAAGATAACAATGTAGAAAGAGAAGAGTTAAAGGATATTGTCAATGAAGATAACCAAAACTCATTAGCTTCTCTTGAGGAATTAAAGGAATCTTCTGATACTAGAACGCATTTAGAATCTGAACAAAGTTTTGCAGCAGATGAAGAGGATTCAAAATTGAGCAGACAGTTTTCAGAAGAACCTCAAGCAATTCCATCAACATTTGAAGAAAAGACTGATATTCCTCCAAGTATTTTGAAAAGCGTTTACAAGAGTCTTGATGATGAGCCATCGAATTTAGAGGAAAATGCAAAGGAACAGGATTTGGATACAATTGTGAAAGACAATATTCTTGTTTCTAGTGACGAAGATGATAAAGAAAAGGAAAAAGAAGAATCATATACTCTGGATGGCACAGGAGATAAGTTTAATGAGACTGAGAAAGTTATCACAGAAGAGCAAACAGGTGAAAAAGAGAATGTGGCAGATTTTCAAGAGGCAGGTTTCGATGATAGACAAGCAGAACATGAAGAAATCAGTGTAGTAGAAGGTAAAGAATTAGGTTTAGGAGATGTGTCAGGAGAGCATTTAGAAGACAAACAAGAAATTGGTTTATCTGAGAACCAAAAAGTTCTTTTTGATGACAAATCCCAAGAGTTTGCTTTAGACAAAGAGACAGAATCTGTTGCAGAAGACCACACTAAAGAGCAAGAAGAATCTCTTCAAGAAAATCTTCAAGATAAGATTGAAGACAAGATTGAGGAACCATGCAGGCTATTAGAAAAAGAAAGAGATGAGAAACTGTTTGAAGAACAAAACGAAAAAGATATGGAATATGTGGATCAAAAATTGGACGAACCAACCGAAGAGATACCACAAGAAACGGCCGCAAACACGATGCAAGAGGAATTTGCTGGTGAAAGCGTGGAAGATAATTCTGGAGAGAAGCAGTCTGAGATTGCTGTGGATGACGAAAGAAATAAATTCGAGGAAAAAAGTATGAAAAGTGACCAAGAACTCCTATCCACTGAAATGGATGATTTTGCGAAAGATCAAGAACTTCACTCTATGGATAGTGATATTTTAATACAAGATAAAAGTGAGCCTAATACACCAATTGATTCGGGAGAGGTAAACGAGGAGTCTGATGACGAAGATGCTAGTTTAAGAGAGCAAATAGATAATTCTATAACAAAAGATGATACCTTGACTGATATTGTTGGCGTAACAGATGAAAAAATCGAAACGCATGCGCAATCGCAAATGCAAACTATAAGCGACGAGACCTTTGTTGGGTCAATGCAGTCAGCACCAGGTGCAGAGGATGTAACAGGTGTTGATGAAAAATTACCGATTGATGAGGAAAAACATTCTACTACAACCTCGGAAGAGATTATTGAGGAAGACGACGTTCTCTTGATGGAACAATCTTCTTTGGAAAATTCTGCGCCGGTCAGCAATGACCAGGCACTTTTAGATTTGGAAGACAAGCCTGAATTAGAGACTAATGAGTCAGATGCAAACTTATCGACTGATGTTAAAACAAATATAGCTGAAATTCAACATGACCCAATGGAAGAATGCGGGACAACAATCGAATCGAAAACGGAGCATATTACCGACACATCTTTCGCATCAAATGATAATGGCGATGAGAACTTGCTGAATAATACTAGCACATTGGAAGATAAACAGACAGAAGAAAATATTGTTGTTGAAGAAGCAATTAAAACAGAAATAGAAATAGAGGAAGCAGCAAATGAAACTGTAGACGAGGCTATGGAAGAAATTAAAGAGAGAATGACGGAAGAAGTTGAAGAGAGAATGACGGAAGAAGTTGAAGAGAGAATTACGGAAGAAGCTGAAGAGAGAATTACAGAAGAAGTTGAAGAGAGAATTACGGAAGAAGCTGAAGAGAGAATGACGGAAGAAATTAAAGAGAGAATTACGGAAGAAATTTCCGAGGAAGTTCATGCTGCTATATCCACAACGGAAGAGCACTCAGAAATTAACAAGAAAACGGACGAACTTTTAGTTAATGAAGAAGACGAAACTTTAAGTAGATTTGCATCCTCTACTGAGACAATAAAAATGGCCGATAGTTTTCAAGAATTGAGTGATAAAACAGAAACGGAATTAATAAAAGAAGCGGGACCAGCAGAAGTTATTAATGAAGCAATTTCAGCAACGAATGAGATGGAAGAGTCTTTCCACCGTGTCGAAACCACTGTGAATGAAAGCGTTGTTATAACTACTTCCTCTATAAATGAAAGTCTAAACATAGATGAAAGTAATTTTTCGAAGGAAATTACTGTCGAGAAGACAAATGGAGGAGAATTTTTCGAGAAGAAAACAGCCCTGCCGTCAACTCCCCCTAGCTCCCCTGTTAAAGTTGAACAAACCTTAGCGAGCGGTGAAGTTAGTCCTCTAGAAGGAATTATTGATAAGAAGCATGTCACTCTTACTCATTCATTCAATGCTGAGGACTTTTCGGAAGATCTAAAGCCTAAGGTAACTCTTAGCCCTGATGGCGATGATCTCTTTGTTGAAACCTCAGCCGCAGTAGTAACTGTAGCGGCTTTAAACACACAAACGGTAGAAAAAAGTGTATCAAAGCCTCTGGAATCTCCCGTTACATCCGAAAAATCTGATACTAGCACGAAGAGTTCCACATCTGCGAAAAAGGTACAATTTACCAGAAAAGTAGAGACGCAAACTTCAACTATTGCAGCTAAAACTAAATCGAAACCACCACCAAGTCCAAAGACTTCCTCAAAACCTCCTTCAAAACCAGCGTCCGCTCCTGCTCCTAAGCCTAAAATAACGCCTAAACCTACTCCTAAGCCTGCTATTTCAGCTCCAAAGCCTAAGACATCACCGACAAAACCAAAATCAGCACCTGTATTATCATCACCAGTGAAATCTAGTCCGAAAAAACCAGTTCAAAAAGATGCTAAGCCAGTATCAAAGGCTAAACCTATCAAGTCTAGTCCAGTTAAATATGCTTCTACAGCTGTGAGCGGTAACGGTAATATTCATAAATCTATGGATAAGAAAAGACAAAGGAGTCCTAGTCCGCAAAAGGCTTTGGAAAGCAATAGAGGAAGATCGAGAAAAGAGGCGTATGATGCTCAAGTACAAATGGTAGAGCGACTCTATTATAGAGCTATTGCAATCTCACCTCATCATAAAACAGGAAATCCAATTACTGGAATAGGAATGAAAAGTACTGATGAAATACGCGATTCAATCTTGGCTGCTTCTCAGGGAGCAAGATCTAGAAGTAAAAATCCATTAACTGGTGAAGGATACGACAGAGAGAACACCAACCAGCAAGGGAAGGTTAGAAGTAAAAGTTGCGTTGCCATAACCAGACGGAAAAACTTGACTGAAGCCGGAGAGAGTAGAGAAGAGATCAAGGCACGATACACTCGAAGAGAAAATCCTATTACGGCTAATACTTATGATTCTTATGCGGCTGTTTATACTGGTAAGATATACTATAGAATTACATTCGATGTTGACTTATCATTTTCCTTGCTATTTAACAGATAGACAACCATTAAACTCTAGTGTACATGAGAATATTCGGCCGGAAAGGAGAGAAGTTGTGAACACTGCACCGAAAGGTGAGAGGTCACGTTCGACCCCGAGGAAGCGAGTTCGTAGTCCAACACCCGCCAGAACAAATCCAATCACTGGCGAAGGCTATGACGAACTCGTTCAACCTCTATCTCTACCAAAGTCGTTTAGTCATCACGGTGGCTTATCCGGAATACTAAGCACTTCAAGACCCAATCCGATAACTATGAGAGGATATGAGATAGAATTACACAGGGGAAAAAGACGTTACGATGTTGCTCCTTCCTCATCACCTTTTGCTATTTCAACAGACGAGACATTTTAAAGAAATGGTTCGACCTAAGTTTTCGATCTTCTCCTTATTACTTTTATATACAAAAATCTTGTATCTTTTCGGTTCCTCTTATTTTCGAAGGTAAAGAAAGTGGAGTGATTTCTGTTGTTTTCCTTTTATATCACTATCTCTTCCCTTAAAATGCACATATTTTATTTCTATACCTTTTTTAATCTATATTAGACTATAATCTGCTAATGATTTCAACTAGTTTTTGTTTAATAGCTATATACAGTATAAGGAGTTTACTTATTCCCGTTTTCCTTCATAGATTCTATCGATGTGGTTAATGGAATTCCTCAATAAGGAGAAGGAATGTAAGTCTTAATTGAATAAAAAAATATGCCTTTTACGGTTAATTAATTGAATTGTTATTCATTACTTCAGATGGTTGAATCAATTTCTGAAATTTGGGCAAATGTATCGTCGTCTCTCACTAAATTGCAACTGTATAAATTGAAAAAAAATGCATTGGGAAGGTTATACAGTATATCTTACGTAACTCTCTCTTTCTCTACCTTTCTCCCTTCTCTCTCCTCTCATTCTCTATCAGTCCCTACTATTACCACTACTACTACTACTACTACTATTTCTACCTAGATCTTCTCTATCTCTATCTCTCCATCCACCTTTTAGCTTCAGCAAGTGCAAGTCTATTATGCATATACTAATCCGCTCTCTAGAATGTTTAAATGTGTCAATTCGTTACTACTATTATATTCTAAATATACGTAATATATGTTTCTTTTTGTCTAAAATTTACATAGATTAGTTGTTTAGGACGTTAAACGCCCTATTTGCTCTTGTTCTAAGTAAAAATTGATTTTTTTTACTGATGGTGAATTGGTTTTCGTATTCTCAATGCTATAACGAGCACATATTTTAATGGTACATTCTGTGCTTTTAAAACGCTTAGTAAAAAAGTCTAATAAAGGACATTAAAAAAAACATTTATTATTGATTGGTGTGAGAGTTAATGTATGTATGTATGTGTGTATGTATGTGTACGTATGTATACATATATATATATATATAATATAGGCAGACTATATATATATATATATAAATTTATATAGCAATTATTGCTTTCATTACAAAAGAAAGAGTTTAAAAAGATTAACCCAAAAAAGGGATTATAGAAAGAATGTTATTAAATTGAGTGGTTATGTATTTTTAAGATTTAAATAGGATAATTATCTTATAAATTGAATGAAAAGCCATATAAAAAATGAGATATAGAAAGGATATAATAATTTCAGAAAAGCGAGTAATAAGACTAATAATAGTTTAGATTATGAATTGCTATTTTAATTTAATACTTTTTTCAATATTACAGTATAAAAGAGATTAATGTATCCATCTATCTTTAATATATTTAAAAAATATTCAATTACTCCTTCTTTCTCTCTATTTATAAATTCTATTAGAATTCTTTTAAGATTCTACTACTTGACATTTATAGAATCTTCTGTATTAAATCTAAAGTGGAAATTGTTAAAAAAAATATAGAAAAGTACTTAAAAAGTTTCTTATTTAATCCACCTGGAAACTAATAGGGAATCTGTTTTATTAAAAATTGTGATACTTGAGTAGAGAGAAACTGAGTCAAAGTGAATCAAATGTTACTTTAATTTGAAAACATCATCACTAAAATGTTATTTTTAGACCTGTAATCGGATAATTCGCATTTTCATTTAGATAGCAAATTCAATATTATAGCTATCTATTTTGATTAGGAACTAGGTACAACTAATCGAATGGTAATTAATGGGAAATTATCATTTAAAGTGGGAGATTCGCGCTATGATTTAGACTTAATGGAGAGATTTCTTCCAATTTCGTAAGCATCAGCATACAGAAGTTTGTGTTAACTAAGCATCACATTTCCAAAAACAGTAAATACTAATAGCACTCCAACGTTAGAACCTGTTATTAATCTATACTCTTGTTATATTTTAACACTGACTCTCTGCAAATAAGAATAAATTATGCCTGTTATTTCGTTTGTTTATGTCAAATTACCATTTTGTTGTAAATTCCCCAGGTATTGTCAAAGTCTATTAACAGTAATAGCCGTACTTGATAAATACCCCTAAATGCTATTTGTCTGGAGGAATACCCTTATAGGCTTAATTTATCAAGTTATCCATTCATTTTTTTATATTTATTTTTGTAATGATTTACTTATATATACTATGCTTTTATACTCTTAGAAGAAGAAAAAAAGAAGGGTATTTCTCCCTTTAATTGTATTTAGCAAACGAACTAAAAAGCGAGAAACTATCCTTAAGTAAATGAGGGAAAATACTCCTTACGGGTATTGGGACGGGACGATTCAATGAGTAGAATAAATCAAATTAACAGTACCGTTATTTAGAACGTTAGGTTAGAGTTGGTGCAATGTTCTCAAAGACATTTCCTTATTTTTTGCATATAGCAAATGTTCATTCATTCTTTAGAGAGAGAGAGAGAGAGAGAGAGAGCTCTTTGCCCCTAATTTTCTCCAAATACCATCTTAACAACAATAAAGGAAATTAGTCTATTGTCTACAATAATCGATTGTTTTTTTTTTTACATAATTTCTATGTATCGATTAGATTTATCATTTTCATAAACAAAATAGATTATACATCCCATTTTAATCTTTGTTAGAGATTTATACTGAATATTTTTATAGATTTTTCTTTTTTATAGAACAATGAAACAAAGATAAAGCAGAACTATAGGACTATTCTAATTCAACATATAAAATAGAAGAGATATTTACGCTTCCAATAACAGATTTTTAAATAAAAATGATGTGTACATACTGTATATTAAAAAAAAGTGTGTTACTATTCATTCAATTAGTCGAATTATAATGGTTAAATATGTTGCAGTATATTTAATATATGCAACATAATTTGCATAAATGCAAATAATAGTATTTATCTCTCCAATAGATATTTTAATATATAGATATATATATAATTAGTTTACTTTTAATTAACAGTCAAAAACAGAATATTCTTTGTATTTGCAATATAAACATTTTGCTTAATAATTGAAAAATTTTATTTTTAGACTATAGATAATTATTAACTAATCAAAATTCAAATTAATTCTTTGATGTTGAGTTGATATCAAATATACCTGATCCTTTTCCTTTTTTAGCTTTATTATAAAATTTTCTATATTGATTTATTATGAGATAATCGCTTATGAATGATGGAAAATATGAGAGAAGTATGTTAAGCTTGTTATTAATTGAATATCTTTTCTTTGGCCATTTAGCAAATATTGCGTGTTCATAAGCATCAACTATCATGTCTAGTCTATCTGAAGCTTGTTCATTTATTATAAATTGAATTCTTCCAACTATTAGTAATAAAGAAAGATTGAAATTAGATCAAATATTAATATAAATATTATTATATTATATTACTTAAGTTTATTTTATCTTCTTCTTCCTGTTTTTTAAATTCAGCCTTGGTTAAACGTTTAAAACCTGCTTCATATTTCTCCTTCTTCTTTTCCAAATCCTCTAGCCTAAAATCGCCTGGTTCAATTACGTGAACAGAAACTGGCTGACGGTGTAATTTCATAACAATTCTATTGTTGAACACATGTTATTATATTTAAAAAAAACGATTCTTTGTAAAAAACCTTACTACCTGTAACAGTCTGATAATGCTTCTGTTGCTGCTAGGCTCATACAACTTGGTACACTATGCGAAGTCGGTTTAATAAGTCTTCCGGCAGTTGATGTTACATTAACAATTCTTCCTCTGCCTTTAATAAGTAGAGGTAGAAATTTTGAACTCATGTTGGCAACCGCTAAAATATGCCCTTCAAAAACTTTTTTATAGTCATCAATATTTAAATTGTCAAAATCCGTATAGACAGTTTCGTTCGCCAATTCATTATTAACTAAAGCATGAAGTCCTATTCCATCTAGCTCACTTTTTAAATATTCAGAAAAATCTTCAATGTCATCCTCTTTCGACAAGTCTAAGTTAACAGCTTTTAGACGACTTGAGCATTCGTTCTGTAATCTGTCAACCCCTTCTTCAGTGGCACACGTTCCAATGACAAAAACTCCTTGTGTGTCCAACTTTTTGGCCAAAAGATAACCAGGACCTATTGTTGGAGGAATACAATTATCGATAGTTCAAAAAAATTGAAAAATTGTTACAACACCTGAATCGCATCCTGTGATTAGAACATGCTTTTTAGTTCTATCTTTAATGTAAAATGATCTTAAAAATCTCTCGATAAGTTTAAACAAGACACAGCTACTCAAAGTTATAGCAAAAATTTTGAAAAAACCGCATACACCTATCATTATTGACTCTCAACTAAGACTGAATAAAAAATTACAACTATTACATCCGTTATATGACTGCAGATGTTAACTTTAATTACGGTTATTATAATCTAATCTATGCTATCTCTGTGATCAAGAACAGTTGCGCCATCTACCATATATAGATTCGGTATATAAAAATGTATTGAGTTGGCAGTAAAAAGATAAATATACAAGAATATTCAAAACTACATATAAGAATATATAAATACATATTTGAGTACATAAATCAGATGCATTTGTATAAAATATTTCACTTTTCATCCCGTATGAGTTATCTGCTACGATTAAAATAAGCTTATTCGTAACATCTGTTGACAAATGAATACAAGAATTGTTAGCGATCTTCTTTACTTCATTCTATTTTCCTGGACAACATTTGCAGTCTTTGCAAGTACATGGATTGCATGTACAGCATTTGCAGCTATCTCCACATTTACATTTACCACCAGTTTTACAATCGCAGTCATTACATACACAAGCTTTACCAGGACAGCATGTGCAAGGATCACAAGTACATGGATCGCATTTACAACATCTGCATTTGTCTCCACAACAACATTTTCCTCCATCTTTGCAACCACAATCTTTGCAGTCACAGGTATTCTTTCCGGGACAACATTTACAGTCCTTGCAAGTACATGGGTCGCATTTACAACAACTGCATTTGTCTCCACAACAACATTTTCCTCCATCTCTGCAACAGCAATCCTTACATTCACAGGTATTCTTTCCAGGACAGCATCTGCAAGGATCACAAGTACATGGATCGCATTTACAACAACTGCACTTGTCTCCGCAACAACATTTTCCTCCGTTTTTGCAGTCACAGTCTTTGCAGTCACACTTGTTCTTTCCGGGACAACATTTACAGTCCTTGCAAGTACATGGGTCGCATTTACAACAACTGCATTTGTCTCCACAACAACATTTACCTCCATCTTTGCAACCACAATCCTTACATTCACAGGTATTCTTTCCAGGACAGCATCTGCAAGGATCACAAGTACATGGATCGCATTTACAACAACTGCACTTGTCTCCACAACAACATTTTCCTCCATCTTTGCAACCACAATCTTTGCAGTCACAGGTATTCTTTCCGGGACAACATTTACAGTCCTTGCAAGTACATGGGTCGCATTTACAACAACTGCATTTGTCTCCACAACAACATTTTCCTCCATCTCTGCAACAGCAATCCTTACATTCACAGGTATTCTTTCCTGGACAACACTTGCAGTCTTTGCAAGTACATGGATCGCATTTACAACAACTGCACTTGTCTCCACAACAACATTTTCCTCCGTTTTTGCAGTCACAGCCTTTGCAGTCACAGGTATTCTTTCCTGGACAACACTTGCAGTCTTTGCAAGTACATGGATCGCATTTACAACAACTGCATTTGTCTCCACAACAACATTTTCCTCCGTTTTTGCAGTCACAGTCTTTGCAGTCACATTTGTTCTTTCCGGGACAACACTTGCAGTCCTTGCAAGTACATGGGTCACATTTACAACAACTGCACTTGTCTCCGCAACAACATTTACCTCCATCTTTGCAACCACAATCCTTACATTCACAGGTATTCTTTCCTGGACAGCATTTGCAGTCTTTGCAAGTACATGGATCGCATTTACAACAACTGCAGTTGTCTCCGCAGCAACATTTACCTCCGTTTTTGCAGTCACAGTCTTTACAGTCGCATTTCTGGTTGCTTGAACAACAAGTAGGGATTGTTTCTGGTTTCGAAGCCATTTTATTTTGTTATTATGCCACTAAGTTATATTGTCACACAATTGAGTCGTAGTTGAAATGAAAGCAATCTTGCTTATATACTGATACCAAATCTCGTTTTCATCTCATTTTCCCATTTTGGCGCACGGAACCTTTTTTAAATCAATGCTTCAATACACTTAAGATAAATGTGAGGCGATGTTACGTGAAGCATGTGAAGGCATATGTGAATCAAATTTCACATGTCGCTGTTTCGTTTTGCACTCATTTCTACCCAGTCTTGGCAAAGCTCCAAAAGAAAGGTGCTATGAAGACACATGTTTTGTAAAATAGGATATTTTCCAGCTGGAGAGATTATTATAAAATGCAGATAATCTTAAAGAGAATAAGAATGGGAGAAGAGAGGCTGTAACTTGAAAACTCTTACTTGAATATTGTAAATTTAAACACTTAATAATATTAAATATTCATTGAAATTATGACAAAACTTTATTCATCAATTCTTTTATATTTGAAAGAAAAGAAGTGAATTTCTTATTAGTTTTCTAAGAAATCTGTGAAAATTTGCTATGCAAAAGGCATATTATATTGATCTAATAAGCAAAGTAGGCGAGAATAAGTGCTTTTGACTGGTATATATATATACTGTATATTGGTAGACATCTAATCGACATTTAATTTTCGGAAATACCCAGCAGTGTCACCATTATTGCCCGGCTTCTTCTCAGGATTGTACTGCTTTTTCGAAAAATCCGAAAATTCCTTGATGATATTATGATATTTCTCCGTAGTTACCAGTTTTGCTGTATCCTCTGAAAGTAGTCGGAAAGAATGCATAATTGCCTTTTATTTTTAATTCTTTATTTACATACCAGCAATTTTTTTACAAGATCCAGGACAAGGTCCATCGTATTCGTCAGGTAAGTATTCCTCGGGCAACATTCGGAGTGGAATTGTCTTATATAGAGACTCTAGATTACTGTGTGTCTTTATCTGTATAGGACAAAAATGACGCTTTTAGACGTTTCGCTTTTAATTATTTATATACAGCATACTCTTTCTAATTGTTTCGATTTGAATGAGGGTTTCATCACCCCTAAAACAGCTTCAAATAGCATTCCGGCATTGTAAAAATCTATCGACTTAACTCTTCCCACTATTGAACCCTAGCATTGATAAAAAAAGAAGTTAAGGTTTTATACCTAACCTAATAATAGATAATATTTGCCATGTGGTCTTTCTGATAAACGCTCAATGGTTTCGTACCAAAAGATGTTACGAAACCCAATGATACATTGGTTAAATCGAAGACGAGAATTACTCCATTGACTTGAATCATCTCGTCGTACATAAGATGATAAAATATACAATGCCAGGCTCTGATGCATACTTCTACAGTAAACTCTTTAAGAGTTTGAGTAATTGGTTGTACAGCTAAAAGAATGAACAATACAGATTATTATGAATTATTTTTTGAAAAGTATTGAGTTTACATTCTCTATAAAAAAATATCTTTCTGCCTTCGTCGTCATATCCGGGAAGAACTAAAATTATCCTATAACAAGAACAAAAATAATTGTGGTTAAAACACATGAATCATAATATTCACCCTCTCTTGATAAATTCTTGAATAGCATGGTCACGACTGTCGATATCTTTACAAACATTCTCGTGTTTAAACTGAAACTTTAGTATTTTTTCAATAGTTTCCCTTGCTTTTATCTGACTGAATTTTGCGTGTCTCAGTATCCTTAACAGACTTCTAGTACCTTAAGCATAAAAATATATTTCAATTTGCCATTAAGGACTACTTATTTGAATACTTGTATCATATTTTAAGTAGTCTTGATCGTTAACCCATTTCCTTAGAGCTTCAACAGAATCTAATCTATCTTGTTCATTTTCTTGCAACTCATCTTTGGCTTTCTTAATATATTTCGGTTCAAGACTACACGTGTACTCGTTCGCCATTGTTCACAAACAGGAAAATGAAAAACAGTCAAGCCTTTTATAAGCTACTTATAACCATGGTTGAGAAATTGGATATTTACCCTTTGATGACTCACTAGCACTTGGATGAACACTAATTATTTATAAGTTTGAAATAAATTCTTTCATAATTGCTAACAGTAATCATGTTAAGCGAATTTGACACTCTAATGTATAATAATAGTAAATTTGTATGTGTATTGAAGGTATAAGCCGTTAGGGAACTAAACCTTTTTAAGTTAACAATACTTTTTTTCTATTTAATTTAATAATAAAAGCAAAAAAGACACGTTTTTGTATGGGGAACTATACTTCTTCTTAAAGTAGCAGTTAAGTGGAAGAATATCTGTAATACGAAGACTTAGGGATATTTTGTCATTGATACTCGTTTCGTTTAGAACTCGTATATTACAGAATTATTACTCTTAATCTACAGCTTATCTTGCATTATCAATTAAAGATTATCGTCTTGTAAGCATTTAAGGTTCATAGAGTTAATTTGTTAGAATTGCTGGATATTGGTATTTTTTTTTACAAGGCCTTGCAGATCTTTAGTTTCTTATAATTAAAATGGCGGATAATATACCCGTTTTCACAATACAAGAAACTTCTTATCCTGAAATTAATAATTTGCATAAGTTAATGCACGAAAATGTCTCTTGGAATATCTCTAGAGATTTTTTACAATCAATATACGACTCTTTTGAAATGAAAACTTTCAACGCCGTTGCAGAGGATGGCGAAATAATAGGTTAGTATAAACACAAATGAAGACACTCTAATCTTCTCAGTATATATCTAATATATTCATAGTAAATCTTTAATTTAATTTATAGGAACTTGTTCAATGTCACCTATCGAGGATATTCCAGATTGCTACATGTTTACTTCGTTTGCCGTGAAAAAATGCTATAGAGGAGCCGGTATAGGCAGAGAACTATTGGAAAAAGCTGATAATATAGTTAGAAATAGTAACGCTTTGGTAAACGCCGCCGAGGGTACTGATGATCTGTACAATCGTAAAGGATATACTCTAACTGATTTTATTATTCATGGCGTTTGTAAGTTTTAGAAATACTTCTATAAATAGAAGACGTTTACTATAAATATAATTTTCAGTTGATGTCCCCATTCTAAATGATGAATTTAAACAGAATATCAAACAAGATACAGCTGTTATCATTGAAGTGACGAATGGAAATGATAAGATAATGGAAGAAGTATTAAATTTTGATCAACGCGTTGCCTATTCGAAGAGAACGCAATTCGTTAAGTCTTGGTGTCAAAAAAGCGAATATACATTAGTGGCATTAAGAAATAACAAGTGCGTTGGCTATACTTGTTTATGGTATAGCGAATTCTACAGAGTTGGTCCACTATTCGCTGAAGATAATGATGTTGCATCTCTCTTATGGCAAAAATCTGTTGAAAAGTTGTCCGGGGAGAAGATATTGGTTGAAATTTTTGAGGAAAATAAGGATGCTCTAAGCCTATTTGCCAAAAGTGGTTTGACAATAGAAAGAAACAAAAAATACGTTAACGTTAGATTTAATAGTAAAGAAATTGTGAAATTTAATAGGAAATATGTCTATGCACTCTCTTCAACTGATTGTCCAATTCTTGTCTAAATCGCATTTTGAATGTTATTTGAATAATTTAACACCTAATGATAATAGTAATGCAATAAATAACAATAAAACTGCAATGTAGCTACTAGACAAAACTGCAATGTAGCAACTAGACAAAACTTTGTTTATTTATAGAAATTAATTGCTGGAAAAGCAGAATTATGCCACGTATCTGAGCAATTACTCTTTTAAAAAGTGTTCACACGGCCAATATATCGGTAAACGGGCGCAAAAATAGGAAAAATGGGCATGACAAACGTGAGCCTGATTCACGCTTTTTCACACGTTTCACGTTCTTCACGTTCTTCACGTACTTGATTCACATTGTGCTACGTCACGAAAAAATGAAAAAACAAAGAAAAAGGCCTAAAAGAAAGAAAAAACATTTTCCCGCCCATAACTTCACGTTACATGAGTTTTAAATATATTATAAAACCGGTACTGCTTCAGAAGAAGTTCCGTGTGCCAAAATGGGAAAATGAGAGAAAAATGAGAATTTCTATCAGTATAAAAGCAATATTGTTTTCATTTGAAGAAAAACTCAAGTTTTCTTAAAACAAAAATTTACAAATAAAATAAACTGAAAAATATGGCTTCAAAACCAGAAACGACAACCACTTGTTGTTCAAATAAACAACAATGTAGGGATGGCCACAACAGACAAGAAAAACACTATTCTTCTGATGACAAATTCTCTTCTGACAAATATATTCAAAGTACTTACAAAAATTGTAAATGCTGGAACAAAGACATCACTTGTGAATGTCAAGATTGTCGTTGCAAAGATGGAAGGACACGCTGTTCTGGGGTAAATTGCAGCTGCTGCAAATGTGATCCGCGTACGTGTAATAACTATAAATGCTTTTCTGGAAAGAATACCTGTGACTGCAAAGACTGCGACTGCAAAAACGGAGGGAAATGTTGTTGCGGAGATAATTGCAGTTGTTGTAAATGCGACACATGTACTTGCAAGGACTGCAAGTGTTGTCCCGGAAAGAATACCTGTGAATGTAAGGATTGTGGTTGCAAAGATGGAGGAAAATGTTGTTGCGGAGACAATTGCAGTTGTTGTAAATGCGACCCATGTACTTGCAAGGACTGCAAGTGCTGTCCAGGAAAGAATACCTGTGAATGTAAGGATTGTGGTTGCAAAAACGGAGGAAAATGTTGTTGCGGAGATAATTGCAGTTGTTGTAAATGCGAATCATGTACTTGCAAGGACTGCAAGTGCTGTCCAGGAAAGAATACCTGTGAATGTAAGGATTGTCGTTGCAAAGATGGAGGAAAATGTTGTTGCGGAGACAATTGCAGTTGTTGTAAATGCGACCCATGTACTTGCAAGGACTGCAAGTGCTGTCCAGGAAAGAATACCTGTGAATGTAAGGATTGTCGTTGCAAAGATGGAGGAAAATGTTGTTGCGGAGACAATTGCAGTTGTTGTAAATGCGAATCATGTACTTGCAAGGACTGCAAGTGCTGTCCAGGAAAGAATACCTGTGACTGCAAAGACTGCGACTGCAAAAACGGAGGAAAATGTTGTTGCGGAGATAATTGCAGTTGTTGTAAATGCGAATCATGTACTTGCAAGGACTGCAAGTGCTGTCCAGGAAAGAATACCTGTGACTGCAAAGACTGCGACTGCAAAAACGGAGGAAAATGTTGTTGCGGAGATAATTGCAGTTGTTGTAAATGCGACCCATGTACTTGCAAGGACTGCAAGTGCTGTCCAGGAAAGAATACCTGTGACTGCAAAGACTGCGACTGCAAAAACGGAGGAAAATGTTGTTGCGGAGATAATTGCAGTTGTTGTAAATGCGAATCATGTACTTGCAAGGACTGCAAGTGTTGTCCCGGAAAGAATACCTGTGAAAGTAAGGATTGTCGTTGCGAAGATGGAAGAAAATGTTGTTGTGGAGACAAATGCAGTTGTTGTAAATGCGACCCATGTACTTGCAAGGACTGCAAGTGCTGTCCAGGAAAGAATACCTGTGAATGTAAGGATTGTCGTTGCGAAGATGGAGGAAATTGCTTTGTAGAGGATTAAATCCGGTGACAATGGAACATTTGGTTTATGCTTGTCGAATGACATATTGTATTATTAATTTCTTTTATATATGTTTAAATGTTTTGGTAAAATAATATATTGATGATCTAAAACTCGAAGCTTTTTTTTTGTGAATGCAGTATGAATTGATTCACTTTATAGGATAGTGCTTGCCGAATTATTGCAATTGGAATATTTTTAAAAAATAGTAATTTGTTTAATGAGTGAATAAAAGGTATTTTTTTATTAACGAACTTTAAGTTTTGTAGATATTTAGAAGCGTAATGCTAAAAATCAGCGTCTTGAATAACTCTCGCTGTTTTTTTATATTGTATTTCCATTTATCGTGTTAGAATCTTTTTTCTGTTAAAAAATGGTAATTAGTAATATTTAAGAATTGTTTGCCTATATGACATACTATTACATCTTCTTATTAAAAGGTTAAAAAACTGTATGAGTTTTTAGGTACTTGAAATTAACTTTTTGACTTATTTAAAGAAACTTGTAAAATAATATTAATGGATCTATTACCTTTGATCAATTTCTTTTTGGTAGGTACCATGAGTAGAGATCTTAATTAGTAAACCATATAAAACTACTGCATGATGAATATTAGTTGCCCATTCGAGTTCATTGTTGGAAAATCTAATTTACAGAAGTAATATTCATAATTTTTAATATGAAATGTTCAAAAGTATGATTTTTACCAACAATTTGTCTATTGCAGCTGTAGCTCCAATAGTTTCTGGCATTTTTTGAAAAGTGTCTGGCTTGACGAGAACTTGAAAACTAGTCTGAACCTTGTAGTGTTTCCAGCTGATAACGCAATCATTTACTTAGTAATAACTATAATAATTCAAAAGTGAAAATGTGCGTACTTGTGAGGAGAAGCATAGTATCCAGAATATACTATTGAAGGAGATACAAACACGCGTTTATAATCGAAACCTTTAGGTCCGTAATTTTCTCCATAATGCCCAAATAACTCTTTCAACTCTTTACCAGTGTACAAAACATCACCTGGCATACACAATTGACCAGTGCGTAAAACGTCTCCAACTCTATTTGGTTGTGTGCCATGATAGGCTCGGTAATAGCACTCGAACGAATCTTCTAGAGGAGTATATAATTTTAATCCGAATCTGCACCATCCAACAGGAATTGCATAGGTCATTGGAGGCTTTCCTCTTGAATAAGATTCTCTATCTCCTCTTTCTTTGTGGCAAACTCTGCAGTAGCAAATGTTAAATTGTTCATTCATATAGTTATCTGTCATAATAAAGATTTACTATATTAATAATAAAAATGTAGTAAAAATATTTTTCAACCCACCGTCTAGCTTAAGCTCTTCCTTCACATATTCTTTCGCCAAGTCTTTTAAAACACAAACTGAAAACAAGGGAAAATGTATATGTAAATAAGCAATAACTTAATGTTATAATAAAAATAAAATAACCATTTCCATCAAGAGGATCTCCTTGAAAAAAGGTACCATCACAACAAACATTGCTTGCCATATTTCCAATTATAGATTCATAAGAAAAGATTGATAAAAATCAATAGGGAGACTATTCTGTACTTGATATATATTCTCAAGTCAGTGATGTAAAACTAAACAGCAAGAAAAGAAAAGAAAAGTAGAAAATTTGTTACATTAACATATTTCTTCTACTTTTATTTTCGTTCATTTCATACTATTTTTTATAACGCAAAATATGTTTCCGTTCTTTTTTTTGTGGTTTTTAAATTGTATGACGATCATAGGATCATAAAAGAAATAGTTGTATATTGTTGTATATGGAATATACGAAGTTGAACTAGAGAATACGAAAATCTATCTTCAAAAGCTTAATATTTCAAAAGTTAGGCTAAATATTTACAAACACATCAATAATTTTGTAATAGTTTTTGTTTTACTTTAAGTCTATTGTGTATACTTTCAGTTTTTATATACTGTATTCATAATAATAATAGTCAACTACGTATTTAAAGGTGTCTAATATCTTTTTCTCTTGTGAAGTTTATTATTTCTGTCTTAAATCTGCTTTTATTAGTAGGCCATAGATAATTAATGAATTATCATTTTCAACGAACCATTCTATTTCGGTGTTGGAAAATCTGCAGAGAAATTCAATTGTTTATTGCATAACGAACAAGATTTAGGTGAATACATACGATGGATCAAATTGGAGTTGTTTATTGCCGTTTCTACCTTGAGCTGTATAGCTATCGGGTCTTACTAAGACTTGAAAAGCCAATTTAATGTCATAAGCTCCGTATCTTTTAAGTAAAAATGGAATATTAAACCGACAAATATTTAAAATCTCCAACTGATTAAGTACCTTCTTGACTGAGATGTGTAACTGCAATATTTAATTGATGGAGAAACAAATCTAGTTGCTGATTCTCGGATTTCTGAATTACGACTTTCAATAACTTCTTTTACACTATCGCTGAAAGATATTGGAAGATAGGCTCTATGCCAATCCTCAAAGTCGTACACGGTTGCATGGGTGTCGTGAACGTTGAGCCCTATCCTATACCATCCAAGAGGCAAAACATATTTTCTTAAAGGCTTTCCCCTATGATAATAGTCATTGTCTTTTCTATAAAGGTGGCAATTATGACAGAAACATTTGCTATGTCTTTCTGCTTTGTAAGAATCTCCTATAAGTTTAAAAGTTGTAAACAAATTAGTTGCTTCGTTTAGCTGTTAAAATAGACTAACTTATGGATAATTCAGTTTTAAAATATTTATCACATAAATTTTTTAATTGACAAATTTCTGAGTCTTTTATCCTCTTGATTTCGTTCAATTTTAAGATACAAGTTGAAATTAAATCATCAAATTCGTTTCCTTTTAATTTTTCCAATTCCATTATGAATCTATCTGCGTTGAAATTCCTCGGTAAGGTGTCTACTTTTCTAATAGTTTTAATAGTCATTGAGAAACAGACGCTTAAACAATTTAAAAGATGTTCACAGGACGTTAAATCGTTTGGGTCTAAATTTTCCAATTTATTTCCCAACATGTTCATTATACCCATATCAAACAAATGTTGGTAATTCCTTTCATTTCTCAAAGCATACCTTAAAATTTCAAGAATTAACGTCGATTGGAGTTTATCATTGAAATATTTTATCAGTAAATTCGCACAAGTTTCTATAAAAGGAAAAACAGTTATATAGTTATTTAGCATAGCTATTTTTTTATTTAAAAACAACCATCAAGTTCAAAGGTTTCTCCACAAAGAAGAATACTTATCGTTAGAGTAACTAGTTTGATGTTATCAGGTGTGAGATGGCATCTTGTAAAGTTAATATAGTAATCTCTTTTTTCCAAAATTCTACCTGATATCTCCGATATCTTACAGCCCTGTTTAATTAACTGTAAAGTACACAGCAAAATTCCATTCGGATTTAACTGTTTAACAATTAAAATATTAATGAATTAAGATGAATTTTAAAATAATTATATTGTATTGTACTTTAAGTTTTTCGGCCTCCATTACAATGTGTAAAAGATCAATAAATGAATTGTCAAAAGCCAATTTAGCGAACATAGCATTCTTCTTTGAACAACTCTTGAAAAATTTACACATCATTCTGTAACTTTGTTGAATATCATGATCGTCCATATACAATGTGAAAAATCTCAACATTTTATTTGCAACCTCAAAAAACTGACTTTTCATAATAATGGTTAGAATAGTTTCGTATAGGATACTATCACAGTAGCATACTCTTAAAAATTTTAATAGTTTCTTTAAAAAATCTTTAAAAAGAGAGTATTCATTAATTTTTGCTATAAGATCCAAAATTTTAAGAAGAACTTTAGTAAACGTTTCCAAATCGCTATAATATCCTTCAGATTTAAGAAGATACGGTAGTTTCGCAACGCTAATTTCACAGTTTTTACTGGAGATGCTTACCGTTAGGAACAGATTTTTATTCTGTTTTGTAAATAATTCAGTTATTCCGGTAAAACATATACCGTAATCTATATCATTTGTTCCGAATGATAGAGTTCCTCTTTTAAAATCGACTATCATTTTGAAATAGTCGGGAATAACGAAGCTCGGCGAACAATTCTCCGGGTAGCTATGAATTACTTCATTCTTATAATAAAATTCTTTACTGTTTAAATCCCAACCAAATGAATTCTCATTCTGACCGCAAAGTGGAACGAGAGAGCTTTCTCTTTTAGAAACTGAATCGGTTGATAAACCAATTATTGAGAATTTACCTCTTCTCGTTTCTTTAGGCCAATATATTTGATAAACGTGAATTCCTTTGTATAATCCTTCTGTACACTTAGCTAAATCTGAGGAGGTTTTGGAAATATTTTTACGAATCGTTATCTTTTCATCGGTTATTGTAAAGTTATCTGAGGAATCGATCTTATCCCATTGAAATACATTTTCTTGTTTGAACCATTGGGGTACACAACCTTGTTTAGCTTTAACAGGATTAACTTCATACGCTTTAATACGCTTTTCCCAAGCATCCAATGGAAGTGTAAACTCATCCTGAAAATGATACTGTCCTTCATAATTATCTCTTTCACAATCAGTACCGGATGCATTTCTTATTAGAGTACTTGTTTTCGATTCTATATCACCTAAATCGCTTAGATTGTTACCCATATCTGTCTGTGATATATCTGCTTTCGTTTTCGATAAAATGGCGTCTGGTGGTTACCGAAATAGAAAATAAAATGTTTCATACGTTGTATTTAAATATTGAAGCTAATTCATCATTTTTAAATTTTTTGGACAGGGAACCTAGTTTTAAAATTCTACTTTCGTTTTTAAAATAGTAAATAGCAATAACAACAATTGAAAGCTGATATCATACTGTATTTTGTGTAAAAAATAGTTCTAAATGTTAGTGATTATTTATCGAAAAAGAAAGTTAACTTTTTTCAATAGGTTCTATATTAATCAAAAGTCCGTAGAGAGCATGACAAGCACGTTGCATTGTAAACCATTCAAGTTCGTCGTTGGAAAATCTGTTAAGATGATTATTAAAATAAATATTAATTATATTATTTTAATTGATTTTTATACAAAAAACCAACTTCTGATCAATTTGTTTGCTTTGTCCAATTGTTTGTGGTCCAATTTTGTAAGTATTTGGTGCCATTAGAACTTGAAAACACATTTTGACAACGTATTTATCTTTCCATCTATAGAATATTTTTTAATTAATAGATTACTTTGTTTAGTGTAATAATAGATAAAAGTTGATAATTACCTTGATCCTGGGGAGTAGTGGGTTGAATAGCGAAGAGATGGAGATACAAATACACATTTTGTATTGAATCCTTCAGGTTTTCTCTCATCATTAAAGTGATTTGGCAATTCTGTCAGCCGATGACCACTAGCTGTATAATCACCGGGTAATAACAGAAATCCATGACGTAGAATATCAGGGATAGTCTCAGTCTTGGTACCGTGATAAGCTCTATGCCATTTTTTTACGGCTTCTGCCTCTTCTGCAAAAGGAGGTAAAACCAAACCAAACCTATACCATCCAATAGGCAATGCATAGGTTCGGGATGGCTCTCCACGTGAGTAATAATCTTGATCGTTTCTTTTAGAATGGCAGTTGATGCAAAAACATCTATCGTATTTAGAGTCAAAATATACCGAGCCTATAAAGAAATAGAATGGTTGTCTTCCTATTTTTGAATAATCAAATAAAAGTATATTTACTAAAATTTAAACACTGCATTAATTCTGCAGTTAAATCTTTCAGAAGGCATTTTTTCTCTACAGCTACTCCTTTCTCAATTTCATCTAATTTGTTTAGGCAGGAATTAATCTGGCATTCAATGCTGCTTGAACCGCTTGATAAGTCTTTGAGAGTTTCTCTTAATCGCTTTACGCCTACACTATCTCTGAGAGAACTATTATGAGAATTTTCCCTTTGTAATTCGACAACTTTCGTTAATAGTTTAATTAGACATTGTAACGCTATAGTAAGACAGTCATTTTTTTCTTTAATTCCATTCAAAATGCCATTAAATTTACCAGTAACCCCTTGACGTAACAAATACAAAATATTCTGATTGTTGTCCAGTACTGATGCCAATGTATCCAGAGCTTCTTTTGGTAATATGAAAAAGTCATCTCCGACCTTTCCATCTAGGGCTGCAGATTCAGCGAAAGAGGCAATGATATCCAGAAAATGTGCTGAATTTAACAAAAAAGCTTTGTTATTATTCTTATATTCTATATATATTCATATATGCATACAATTAATGGTCCATTTAGATCTCGAATCTTCGTATTTTATATAGCCAAGACTCATAATACATAGTATTGGAATAAATGATTCGACGTCTACACCTGCACATATATTATCAGAACAATGTTTTTCAAGCAATCCGTCAATTTTCCTTTGAAGAATTTCATCTCTTATTGCCGATATCTTAGAGAGATTGCATATTAGGATGAGGATAGGGAGTAGAATATCTTTCTTGATCTGTAACCAATTGATTTAAATGATTAGAAAAGCTATTAGTTGTTTGTTTAAGTAATACTAACTGATATTGACATATTTGCTTTAATTATGTCTGAAAGTACAGTTTCCAAAGTATCTAAACATCCAGATTCAAATAGTGACGTGGAAAATTTTGCAAAATCGTGGGAACATGTTCCCATCAGTTTAGTTATCTCTATAAAATTCGTAATCGCTGCTGGTTTCCTTTTTTGTTTATATGTATATTTCTGATAATGGCACATTATGTTAGCGTCTTTCGCAATCATAGACATATATATCTTATACATCCAAACGTCTTGTTTAGCTTCCTCCAAAATATTATGAAACTTGGCAATGCTTTCATATATAAGTGAGGAGTCATCTAAGCTTTTGCTACGCATCATCTCTATTAAAGTTCTCCAAACTACAGAATTTTCCGATAAAGCAGACGTACTTCTTGTTGAAAACAATTGATTAAATGTACTCTTCCCCATGCCTTCGATTTTTGTCATTGATACCTTATCATTGAAATTTGTAAGATTAACTGTAGGATATAGTTTTACATTCTTTTTGGAGAAAACTGCATCCAATCCACTACAACAAATTCCAATATCTCCGTGTTCATCTTTAAATGAGAGGATCCCTTTCTGCAAGTCTAGGATCATAAAAAAGGTGTCTGATACTGAATAACCAGGATTCCTGTCCTCCGGATACGTATTCAACACCATTCCTCCGTAAAGAGCTTTATTATTTACTATATCCCAACCTAGTGAGTGCTGATTTAGACCACATAACGGTAGGCATTGAAAATTTTGAATGGGTGCCATCTGAGAAGAAACACCAATAACTGCACACAAACCCCTCTTTTTCTGAGGCCAATGTATTTTAAATATGTGTAATCCATCAGTATATCCTTCAGCTGCTTTTGCAATATGTGAACTAGGTCTTTCTGCAATTTTAGACACTGTCAATCCGTCAGCTTCTATTCTGAGAGATGAAGATGTCTTTTCCTCATCCCATATAGACGCCTGTTTTATCCTAGGGCTTTTGACTGCTTCTGCAGGCCTTTGAGTGTTTCTCGTATTGGAATTCTTGAGTGCACTCACGAAAATTTTAGCTATATCTTCTTCCAAGTCTGACAAATCGCCTTGAGCATTTCCCATTTCTGCAATGCAACTGAAGCTACACTTCCTACTTTCACTTTAAAATAGAACTGGAACCATACTAAAAAAGAGTTTATAAGTACAGAAATTTGTCATGAAAACCAGAAGAGAACCATTTTAAACTTCAAATATGGTTTAAATTGATTAATATATAACTATAAATGATAAACTCTTTAATGTTAAAACAAAGTTTGTATGCAATAACGTTTTATTTACTTTATAACGATAGGCCTTCATATACGCCTTATAACAATAGAAATATAAACGAAAATAAAAACAAGATGATTACACGATTACAACTTCAATGATATTTTTTATTCTCTTTACGATTCAATTTCAAGTTTCTGCGTTTCTTTTTTTTTTTAAAGAAAAAATAATTAAAAATAGATTGTAAGAGTAACAAAGTGATGAAAGACAAAAACAGAAAATCAAAAAAAAGATAAGTATTTAAGGTTGAAAATTTGTTGATAATAATATTTTTCAACAATATTTTTTAAATTATAATTAATTAAAAAAAAATTACTTAGAAAACGAAAGTAGAAAAAGAGTTTATTTTTCGTTCTTTTCGATTTTAATTAGTAGACTGTGCAGTACAACAGAACTTCTATTTTCTGTAAACCATTCGAGATCATAGTTTGAATACCTGAATGAATAATTAAAAATCAATTAATTCATTTAATTATAAAGGAGTAGTTTTAGTTTGCATTTACATTAAATCAATTTGCTTTTTAACACCAATTGTTTCGGGTCCAATATTATAGCAATTAGGCTTAATTAGAACTTGAAATGCTGCTTTAACTGTACAACCGTTCCATCTTTTGAAAAATAGGAGGGTTTTTTTTAAATTGTTTCTATTGCTATTCTAATTATTTAGCTTACTGTTTTCCTGGAGAATAGTAATTTGCATAGCGAAGAGAAGGTGAGACAAATATTCTCTTTGTATTGAAACCTTCTGGTTTATTATCATTGTTGTAATGTCCAGGTAGTTCTTTTATTCTGTGACCGTCAGCAGTCATCTCTCCTGGTAAAAGTAGTTCCTCCTGGCGCAAAATTGTATAAACCCTATCAACTCTTGTTCCATGAAATGCTCTATGCCAAGTTTCAGAAGCTCTTTCCGATTTGGCTTGAGAAGGTATTTTAAGAGCAAATCTAAACCATCCAATAGGTAAGGAATGATATCTTGGTGGGATACCATGAGATACCCCTTCGGCTTCATTCCTTATCGAATGACAAACTGGACAATAACATTTATCATATTGGTTCAAGAGATACGATTTATCTGTGTAAAGAAACGAGTATTTCAGTGAAAATGTTAACTATATATATATATATAGTTTCTTACTGTCAATATTAATATATTCTTTTAAGAAGCGTCTACTTAAATTCTCTAAAATGCATTCGCCTTTTATTTTTCCTATTGTAAATTTTTGTATCTTATAAAGACATATTTTTGACGTCATTGAAAGATAATTGAAATCTCTCTCGTCCAACTTCTTTAATACATCCACTAAGCCATTAACTTTAACAATTTTTCGATATTGTTGATCTTTACCCTCATGAGTCATAACAATTAACGTAAATAATTTATTCAAGCATTGCTGTGCTAATTCGAGACAAACGTTGTCATTTGATAATTGAATTAAAGCGTCGTTTAAGATGCCAATTAAATTCCTTTTTAATAGAAAATGACAATTTTCCGCACAATCCAATATTGCTAGTAAAGTTTCCAACGCTTCTCTGGGAAAAACATACATTGTTGAAAATTTTGCATGTCCTTCTTTTATGGCTTTTATAGTCAATTCCACTAAGATTTCTAATAGTTTTTCTACGTATTTGAAGAGAGTAGTATTTTATTAGTCATAAAGTTATGGCCAATCCCTATACAAACCTGGCACTATCCAAGCTTGTCGATTATCGCTGTATAAAACGTTACCTAGAGTCATAACGCTAATAAGACAAACTGTCGGTGGATATGCTATCGTATCGCAATAATTCTCCAAAATTCCATGAATCCTCTTTCGTATTATTTCATCTTTTATTATTGTCACCTTTGACAAATTGTGTAAAAGGCCTATTGAATTTACTAGAATCTCGCTTTTTACCTAGAATTTTTGAATAAAGAGAGTAGTAAGAAATTATATCTATATTTTCATTATTACTTACGTCTTGCGCTATTGATAGTTTAGGCATAATTTGAAAAGTATCTATAATAGTATCTAAGCATTTTTGATTAACGAGTGCAATGGGAAAAAGAGCATTTCCCCAAGTATAATAATACATAAGTCGAGATACTGCAATGAAGCATTGAACACCGACACTATCTCTTATTTGTGTTAGGGAGAATATTTGAAAAAGATTTAAAGCTCTGGTATCATCAAGTTTTGTCATCATTTTTAAATATGTTTTATACATCCATAGATCATCTCTAACCATAAAATTTAGTTCCAAAAATTCTTGTATAATTTGAAGTATGACATTGACCTTATCCGAACTTTTATGTATCATCATTGAATTTAACATACGCCATTTAACTGACATCTCTAGTAGCATTCCAATCCTTCTTTTGGAGGGATCATGAGATGAATTATGAATTTCTACCACGGTAACTTCGCTACCAGCTGATGTAAGATTAATAACGGGATATAGTTTAATCCCCTGTTCAGCAAATATACTATTTAATTCACAATAACAAAAGCCAAATTCCTCGTCATCCGTTCTAAACGCTAATATGCCTTTATCAAGGTCTAAAATCATATAAAAATTTTCAGGCACTGCGTAGTTGGGATTTCGATCTTTGGGATAATTCTTAATTAAATTCCCATTAAAAAATGACTGATTATTAACGATATCCCAACCAAGAAGAACTTCGTTTGAATCGAAAATCTGAACAATTTGTGAACGACAAACTGGAACTTGATCTGTAGATACACCTATTATAGCAACCTCGCCTCTTTTTTTCTTAGGCCAATTCACTTTAAAGATGTGTATGCCTTCAGTATATCCAGATGTACTCCTAGCTATATCTGCAGTATCCGTAGATAAACATTTTTTTACTGTTAAGCCAAGATTACATATTTCCAAATTGGGAGAAGACTCGTAATTATCCCATTTAAAAGCTGTCTTTCCAGCAAAAGTTCGAATAATCTCTTTTGTAGATTGTTCAATTGTAGATTTATTATCGAAATCCGAATTGCTTTCCATAATTTGTATGAAAAATGTCGAAGAACTCTATATCTAATAATATTTATTAAACATTTCACATAAAGAGAAAAGACTATTCTCGCGTAAAAGTCTCTCCTATAAAATAAACAGTTGATAGTTTTGTCGTTACTCCACTCTTCAAAACTTCTGTTTACTCAAAAGTAAAATTCTATTTTTTTTTCATTTTTAGGCGACTGATTCACATGAATGATTTCAGTATTGATTCTATTCTCCTAACAATTTACTAATATCATATTGGGTATTAATCATATTTTTTTTTTCTTAAATATCTATCAATATTCGAATTATGAAGAATTTTAATATTGTATGAAGTGGAATTATGCTCAACGCCCTTTCTTTTCTCTTTTGAACAATACCCCCTATTTCAAATACGCTATTCTGTCCATTGAAGTATAAAGCATATAATATAGAAATAAACTTGTTATATCTTTATAGTTGAACAAACCTACTCTAATTACCACTAACTATCAAATAATTATACAAGTATAGTAGATATTTTCTTATATCAGCTTTTATTACGTAAGAGAAGGAAATAAGAAATGAGAGAACAAGTTAGTACGGTTTTAATGCTGCTGGCTTCTATGAAAAATGAATAGGATCATAAAATTTGTTGGCTAATATATTTTATACTTTTACTGAAAATATAATAATTTATAAAGTAAGAAGACTTTTATTGGTCTTTTTAGGTCTTTCGCTGACCTAGATAAATAGTTCTACGCGTAGTTAAAAATGCCTTTTCATCAAAAATATGCGATCTAAGCCTATACAATAAAAAATCATTTAATCTAGAATGGCAGTATTCAGTCTTGAATATCCCAGTTATAGGCTATCAATAATCTCTGAAAAAATGAGAGAGGGAAAAACAAGTGCCAATCAACTATGAGCTAAATGTATTTATTGTTTATTTACTTTGATATTTATCTCTAAATACTCTAAATAGTATCAAAACAAAAACGTAAATATTATTAATTAATTTGAAAAAGCTACCATTCACAATTCCTTTTAAAAAATAGATTCATTTGTTTATTTATCTACTAAGTCCAATATAACTATAAGTATAATTCTATTAATTACAAATTACATGGTTCTTTGAACCTGAATAATAACGCCTGGCATACTGATAGTTAGCTTTTATCCCTATTGGTCTTATTTTATATATATATATATAGGCTAAATACTGCAAAATGATTTATCTTAAATAGTAAAAGCATTGTAGTTGATATCGATATTGAATAAAAGAAAAAAAAACATCAACAACAACAAACGTTATGCGCAGTTTAAATATTTTGGAAATAAAAGAAATCTTTAAAAGGGGACAAAGTTCAATATTTTCTATATATATATATATATATATATATAAACAGAGAGAGAGAGAGAAAGAGAGAGAGAAAATTTTATGCCTGAACGAATATTCTAAAAGAGAAAATAGCCCCTCCCTTTTTTTCTGTCCATCACCCTTGATTAAATTACCAACTCTTATTTTTTAAATAAAAAGTCCTCTAGTCCTCCAGTTAATCTAAATATCATAAATCCGATATGAGATACATATATAGGATATATAGAGTTAATTTTAAAGATGATATCTTCAACAGAGACTACTCAAGATGGCTCTTTTTTTTCACACTTAGTAAAAAAAATGAAAAAAAAGAATAACCTTGAAAAAAACAAGGTCTTGTATTCTTCTCTTTCTTATTCTGCTTCTAAAGAGCAAAAATCATAATAAACTAGCAATAATAGATTGTATACAGTACACCCATATTTTTTTATTATTAAGTTATCTATAATTTTTCTTCTAGAATATTTATTTTATAAAGAATACGAAAAGAATGGAAAATAAATATGATAACATATATAATTTTTAAATTAAAGACTCTATTGTTAGATAGGGGGGGGAAAAAAATGGAAAAATCGAATTTTTTTGATTATTTATCAATTGATTCGAGAGTTATTACATTTGAAGAAGATAAATACGGAAATTATAAATCGAATATAACATTAAAAAATAACTTGAAGAGTAATAGAGTTAGATTTTTATTAAAGACGAATAAATCAAAAATATTTAATATTAAACCTACAAATACAAATATATTGGATTGCGATGAAAACATTAATCTAAAAATATCTTGTAAAACTGCTAGTATTGATGAAATAGAAAATAGTTGTTTTCAAATATTGGCAAATATCGTTAATGATGAAGGCCCTGATAAAGATAGTAATCAAGTAGTAGAAGCAAGATTACCTTGTAGATTACAAAGTCGTGAGCTTATCCTCCCTGAAAAGGGAAAGCAAAATGTGGAAAAAATGTAAAGTAGTCCTTTAAATTTCTAGATCGATATCTATTTATTCTATTATCTATAGGTTAATTAATATAACAATACTTATGGTTGGTTTTCTAATCGGTATTATTTTTGCCACATTCTTTTTGAGGTCATATTATCAAAGATTGGATAAAACTGGTGGAATAACGGATTCTTTAACAAATTCTCTTTATTGGATGTTTTTTACAAATGATAAATACGATTAGAAATTGTTGGAAAAGCATTAAAGAACACAAAATGTCCAATTAGCATATTTTCGGTTTTTAATATAGAAATATTTATATAAAAACTTTTTTTTTTAAAAAAAAAAATATGAAATAAAACATAGCTTAATAAATTTTAAGTAAATATATCTTGTTCGATAGTTGAGTGTCTTTCCCCCTGAAGGCTATATATTGTTAAGCTTCCTTGAAATATTGACAATAGTAATAGAGTAATTCCAATAATTAATAGTCGGGAAAAAAATTTGCCTGTCATTTCAAGAATTGTTATAGAAATTTCTCTTTCCAAAAAGAAGAAACATCCCTGTAGAGAGAAAAAGAAAAAAAAGAAGAGTGTTTATCATTTTTACCTAAAAATTTGTTTATTTAAGTATAAAATACTGTTTGATAAATAGCTGTATTCGAAAATGGAGAGGTTACAGAAGAATTTGAATGTTTCGATGGTTTCTGGCTAAAGCAACTTTGATTTTTAGGTTTTGTTGCGTAAATACTACACGATTCTGGTATTTTTCCATTCCAATCTTGATAAGTATTAATTCCACAACAGTTGCACTGAAAAATTAAAGGAGGTAATAGAAAATTTAAATTAATAGAATAAAATATTACATCAATCTGCAAAGCATCCCAAAATCCTCTATCGTAATGATTTTCATTTGCATTATTCTGAACGCGTTTTAATGAATTTATCATAACTCTTTCAGCAGATTTCCTTATCTATTTATTAATTAAAAGAATAACTATAAAACTTAGAAAAAATGATATTTTTACCTCTCTAAACAAGTGTTCTGTATAACTATTAGCGCATCTCATTCTCGAGTAGCCACAGAAGATACAGAAGACAGATCCAAATAGAATAACAATTGGCTATAAATGTATACAGATAAGAAAAATAGAAAAAACTAGTTAAAATATTATATAATCATTTTACCCAAAAATTAGTTTTTCTCTTATTTAAAGCAATGCAAAATATACAAAATCCGCAAGAAATAACAATTGAACTCGATAGAATTATTATAATTTCGTTTGTATTTATTTTTGAGAAACTTTCATCTTGAACCAAATTCAACCAACAAAATTGTTTTCCAACTTGAAATTTGTTTATTCTAGTTTATAATATTGTTTATATTGTTTGTTGATTTTATATTTTATTTTTTTCAACTTTTTATGAACTTACCTGCAATTTTTTTGAGATGAAGGATCTATCGTTTGAGTAAATACTCCTATTATTATTAAAATACTCCCTCCGCACATCATTATTAAGATGCTAGATAAAATGAATAATCCAAATCTTACTTTTAACCAATTTATTTGGAGCGAATGTAATGAAATTAAACTTGAAAATATATTTGAATTTGCTGAAATTGTCCTCTGTAATAAAGAATCGTTATTATTTAATACTCTTTCACAACAGCAACTCATGCTGGCAGTTTCTTCTTCTTCCATTTTCTCCTGATTTTATTTTTATTGGGTGTAAACAAAATTCTTTCGCAAGGGTCAAGGACGAATAATATATTATCGCTCTCTATACTGCAATTTATCATTAATATCTAAACAATTTAACGAATAACAGCTGTTCACATTGAAAATTTATTGCGAATATTTAAAGGACGAATTTTCTATTGCAATTTAAAGTTAATTTATCCTTTCACAAATTAGTAAAACAGTCTCTTCATTCAATAAAGTAGTGAAACACCATTTAATCAAAAGTAAGAGTCTATTGTATACTTTATATATTTAAGTATAATAATAAATTATTCAAGTAATATTTAAGAATAAATGAAATGAAGAGATAGATTATAAATATTCCTTAATAAATATTGTTCTAAGAGATCATTGAAATTCCATATTTTACAATAAATATTCATTCAATAACTGTATTGACAACCGATTGTTTAAATGGAAAGGAACTTATGATAAAAATATTAGAAATAAATAAACCAGTCATTTATAAATTACGTAATTACATGCCTCTTTTCATAATTTCTGCTTATTGAACTTTCACCAGGAAACCATATAAGAAGATTGCGCCACAATGATAAGTCATCCACTCTAGCTCGTCATTAGGTAACCTTAATAATATTAAAAAATAAAAAAGCAGTATTTTTTTTAATATGACAATAAAATATTTTCTAGAAACTACCTTGGATCGATAGCCGTAGTACCTAGATTCATAGTCTCTGGTCCTACGGTGTAAACATCAGGCTTTACTAGAACTTGGAAAGCTGTCTTAAATGTCTTATCTTTAAAGCTAAATAATGACAATATATCTTTTATTTATCTTGATATTTGTATTTTACTAATGGATTTACCTGACTTGGTCGCAATAAAGTTCCGAATAAAATATCGAGGGGCTCAGAAACGTTTGATTTACATTAAATCCTTCTGGCTTATTATCCTCTGTAAAATGCCATTCTGGTGGTCTAATTTTTTTACCATCTAGGGTAGTATCACCAGGCTTTAAAAAATTACCATGCTGCAGAATGGGAACAATATTATTATAAGATGTTCCATGATACGCAATTTGCCATTTTTTTAAAGCATCAATTGACTTGTCTGCATGTCTTGAGGGAAGTTTCAAACCAAATTTAAACCAACCAATAGGAACAGGATACATCCTACTAGGTTCACCTTGCGACTTATAGTCACTTCCTCCCCGAGCTAAATGACAATTTCGGCAATGGCATCGATTAAATCTCGAATCAATGTAGGTTTTAACTAAATAAAGAAAATGACTCTCTGTTAACTATTCTATTAATTAATTATTTACGTTCATTCACCGTCAATCTTTAAATAATCTCTTACAAAGCTAGTAACAATTTTCTCTATTTCGCATTTCTTCTTCTTTGCGGCTCCATTGGTAATTTCATGTATTCTTGCTTCACAAATTTTTGCAACATTTACGATCGATGGTTGATACTTAGACGAAAACTTCTTCAAAAATTCTTGTAATTCGCGATTTCTAATGTTGGAGTATACTTCATCAGTTAATAAACTCTTGTTATCCTTTGAAACACTAATCACGGTTTGTAAACATCTACTTAAACAATGCAAAGCCAACTCTATGTGATGAGCATGTTCCTGCACTTTATCTACTTTTTGAAATATCTTTAATAGGCTTTCTATAAGACATCCTTTAAGCAACGTTAAAGAATTATTGTCACTTGTTAACGTTCCGGACAATAGGCTGAAAGCTACTCTAGGATAAATTATAATAAAACATTGATCGGTGTCATCTACTGCTGACTCTTTGTCGTATTTTGAAAGTTTGCATCCTACATATTTTGATGAATCCACAACTAGTTTAACAACTAAGCGAAGTGCTGAATCTGTGTTGTTATTAATAAACTCTCTGCATTGATTCTGTTGCAAGAAGAAGAAAATTTACCTTTCAAATCAAATGTAGCCTTTTCTTTTTCACTTAAAATATTCATCAGGCAAATTAAATTCAATAATAAACAAGAATCTTTATCCTCTTTTTTATAAATCTCCATTAAAGATGATTTAAGATCTTCTCTATTCATGACATCTTGAATAGCAGATACTGAAGATATATTCATTATTAAACCAAAGACTTTCCAACGACAGGAACGTAAATCCGTCTATAAAAGTGTAAAGTTATTTAATTAGTTTATTAACTTTTCTCAAAAAATTGGCTTTGCTTACAAATTGATTTACACGAAGAATGTTGTCCAGAATTCCTACGATAATATCTAGACAACCTCGGTTAACGATGGTTTTCGAAAACTTCCGACTTTTTGATGTAAATCTCAAGAGAAATGATAAAATACTACTAAGTGGATTAGAAAGATTAGTTCTTTTACTCCTATATTGCAAGTATTTCAAGTAGTTAATTAAGGATTCTGTCTCGTCGTAATCAATGATAAGATGTGTATACATTGAAGTAGTTAGAGTATCTGCAACTCTTGGAATGTTTGAAAACAACTTTAACTTTTCATTAATATAGTTTGTGGAAGAGAGAGATCTCACTTTCATTTTCTCCGCTAGCTCTTTCCATAGTGATGAATAGGTAGAAATATCACCGATGTCGTCATTCGGTGAATTGTTACTATAAATCAGGGCCATGCTTACTTCACTGCCTTTTGATGAAATATTAACGGTTGGATAGAGGGGAACATTTCGAAAAATCCTTTCAAGACAAGTACAACACGAGCCATATTCAACAGAATCCGACCTAAAGCTTAAACACCCCGAGCGCATATCTAAAATCATATAAAAAAAGTCTGGAGCCTCAAAATCATCCGATATATCAGCAGGATAAGGCATTTTCCGGCCAGAGCCCCAAACGGCATTGTTTTTATTTAAGTCCCAACCAAATGAATTATTGTTTGATCCACAGAGCTGTTGTTGTTCTTCTCGATCAAGTTGGGCATCTTTAGTCGAAAAGCCAACTATACAAATTTTTCCCCTCTTTTTTACTGGACTGTTTACTTCAAAAATATGGATACCTGACGTAAAACCTTGGTTGCCTTTTGCTAAATTAGACTTATCCGAGTAATTTTCTTTATATATTGTCAAATTATTATTTTTCAGTAATAAATCATTGGAACTTTCAGATGCATTCCATTTAAATCGTGTTCTTTTCTTGACAAATTCTAAAAAGTTCTTTGTAGCCTCTTCTCCCTCATCAATCGATATCTTTGCAGGTTGAGCTATTGCCATTTGTAAATGATTTTCGTTCTTTAACACACCTTATTTCAATACAAAAAGTATTCAATATATCTAATGAACTTGTAAAGAATACGATCAGTAAATGACAAAATGATCAAATTGAAAAAATTACAAATAAGCAAAGGTGAAGTGGCTACTTTCGATATCAAAAGTAATCAGTGAATAAGTAACCAGTCTAATAGTGTAAGGTAAATATCGAATGACCTATTTAAAAGTACTTGATACGAAAAAAAAATGATGACCAAAGTAGAAAAAAATCTCTAAGTCATCTACATTTATTGCGTGATATATTTACATTTTCATTTCTCTTCTCTTCCCTCCAGTATACTTAGCTTAATTAGTCATATTTTATATAACCTACTTATGGTTATAATATACAGTATACAGATGACTTACATTTTAATTTCTATAAGAGTTAAAAGATCTTAATCTACTTAAAATTATCACGTAAAAATTCTATTTATTATTTTGCATTGAATTAGATTTTCTAGTAAAGAATTTGCGAGAAAAAAAACACCTTTTAACTCTAAAAAGACCTTTTAATTCGTTATTCTGAAATACTACAAATATGTATAACATTTTCTACGAAATTTATAATTACTTTCCTCTCTCTTTGATGATTAAAAGAAATAGAAAAAAAATAATAAAAAAAAGTGCTAAAATAAAATACTTTGACCTAAATGTAACAGAAATTTTTTGTACTTCTTTCGTTAGACGACACTATTAAGGAGGAGTTTTTACAAATAGAATGTTTAATTATTTACTTAGAAGTGAAAACATTCTTTTTTAAAACAATAATAATAATAACAAAATATTTCAATCCTTTTTTTGTTTACGTTGTTTGCTTTAAAGAGACAAAAAATGCATCTTTATTTGTTAAACAGCGTTAGTGTAAAATATTTTTTATTAGTTTTTTTGTTTTTTTAAAAAAACAAAAAGATTCTTTTTTTCGAATGACTAAACAACTATGAAAAAACATTCTCGGTTTATTTTCATAAAATGCTTTGTAAACAAAAAATTATCATTTGTATATATATATTAGTATATATATAGAAAATATATATAGAAAATGTGATGAAAGATGAAAGGGGTGAGAATATCAGCCTTGGTGTTTTATTCATTATTTTTAATGTCTAAAAGGTTAATATCTTATATTTAATCTGCACTCTTAACTAAATCATACTATTTTTTATTTTTATTCGAGGATGAATTTAAAGAAAAAAAGACGTTATTTTAATTAAGGTACAGCGATCTTTCTAAATATAACGCTATTATATCTTTATTAAGTACAATGACTTTAGCGAATCCTTTATATCACAAAGAATGGCAGAAATAGAACATTGAAATTTTTTTTTACTTAAATTTATTAATTAATTCGATCTCTGCACTTCTACTATGCATGCAAAAAACACACTTTTTTTCTTTTTGACATTGTAATTTGACCTCGAGGATTTTCACTCGTAGGGTATAAATTATAGACCATCATAAGCATATTACTCATTTGAATCAGAAGTTTGAAAGATGCAACATACGGCTATATACGAGGATATTTCTTTCACTCTACAGGAAATTCTTGTATCTTTGGATACACTTGTTGACTGTCCAAAGAATGGTAGTTGGATGATTAAGAATGGGCTTGTTGAAGTATTAATTGGTATTTTAAGAACGCTGTCAACTAGCGAAACAATTTTCCATTTAACAATGGTCATCTTAAATAAACTGCTACATCAGGATCAAAATAAAGACGATGACCAGTATTTTCTCGAAATCGATTCCGAAAAGTTATTAGATACTTTGGAGATACTTAAGGAAAAAGAAAATCTCTCTTTTTTAACTTCCGCCGAAATTTGCTTAAATAAGATACTTTTGTTAAGAAATGAAAATATCTTTTTGGATTGTCTCCTTGAAGAGAGATGTTATAGATTTTTAAGAGAAGTTTTACATATTGATGGTAACTTTTCATTTATTTCTTTTTTTTTATTGTATGTCATTGTCACATGATTTTGTTTTTTTTTTATAGAAGATGCTTACCTGGATCCTAGATACAATAAATGCTATTGTACTCGTTGCCATGCACAAAGACAATTAGACGATTACGATGAAAGGGGTAATCCTCCTAGAACTTATGCCGTACCTACTGGATGGTATAGATTTGCTTTAAAAACTCCACCCTTTGCTGCAGGTGAATGTGCTTTTGATAACTGGCATAGAGCATATCACGGTACAAGACCAGAGTACATTCCAGAAATATTACGTCACGGCTGCCTCTTGATGCCTGGAGATATAACGTCCAGAGGTGATGTGCTGAAAGAAATTGAAGAAAACCGACACGACGAAAATCAACCCGAAAACTTTAATTCAAAACAAATCTTTGTATCTCCTACAATTAAATACTCGGATTTCTACGCTAACGGAACAAAGTAAAATCATTAAGTTTAATTAATATTAATTTATTCACATATTATAATTTACGCAACGAATATTCAACAGATGGAATAATTTTACTGTAAAAGTTGCTTTTCAAGTTCTTATCAAGCCAAACTCTTACAGAACGGGCAGAGAAACTATCGGTCTAGAAGATCAAATTGATCCAAAGTAATTACTTGATAAATATTCTAATTAATTAGTTAATTAATTAATTACATAAATTATGATATTTTGTAGATTTTCAAATAATGAAGTTGAATGGTTTACAAATCGTCGGGCATCTATTATTTTATATGGACTTTTAATTAAAATGGATTAAACTTCCTCTACTTAAAAAACATTACCTTGGCTATAAAGCAAATATAGAATACAAATTTTCCATTTCTTTCCTTCTTATCCCAACTATAAATAGAATAGAAGAAGATAATTTATGAAACAAAAAATACCGTGTGGGTGGAAACATAATAGTTTTGATTGTGTGATGAAATTGAAACAATAATGCTTGTTTTTTCTTCTTTTTCTTTTTTACTGGTTTAATACTGTCTATATAGATTTTATAATGTTCTATATATAGTTTAATTGAATAACTTATATACTCTTTATATGATTACACTTGTAAAATATACTGTAAATGTATATATATATACATATACAGCATATATATATATATTTCTATTTATACTAAAATCATTGTTAGTTATGTTTTATATTTAAATAAAATTGTAAAATATGAAAATGAAAGTAGATTAAAGAGTGAATTTGATTTATTGCTTATTGTTCTTTACGAGGATAATCATTGGTTAAATATTTTCAAATTAGGAGGCCTATAAGACTATTTTTGTAGGGAATAGCAGTTAAAAATATATTGTATTTCAACCTTTAATATAAAATTAGACTTAGGAAAGCCAAAAATTTATAATGACGTAGAAAGTCTCCAGAAAAACACAATGTACGTCACAATTTGATGCAAAATTAAATCGCCTTTTGTGGCTGAATCATAGATTATAGATTTTAAAGAATAATAATAAAAAAAGACCATAATATGGGTCTTTCTACCAGTAAAAAGAAGAAGTTGCATCATACAAATACAAATGATGATTTACCTGAAGTGACCGAAAGTAAAGAGGATAATAATTCTAAATTATCAACAAGTCAGACCTTTTTCAAGTGGGATATTAATAGCTGCTCAAAAAATTTGGTTATAAGTGATGATTTTTCTACAATCAGTAAACCATTTAAAACAGGAACAATCGACTCTGTCCGAAGTAAATTTGGATATAATTCAGGTCGTCACGTCTACAGAGTAAATTGGCCAATTGATCGACGAGGAGAAGATATTGCTGTAATAGGATTCTCCACCAAACACCTACCTCTTCAATCTGTTTGTGGAAGTAGTGAAAAATCATTCGGCTTGAATTTAATAGACAATTCGATAATATTTAATAATGCTAAAACGAATACAAACGCCGATGAGGAAGTACCCGATACCTTTATTGTCATTTTAGATCTAATCGATGATTGGTGGATTATCAAGATGGATAATAAATATATTAAAATTTCATTAAAAGAATTGAAAAATGTTATTGAAAAGGAGAATAATAAATTATATTTAACAACTAGTATGACGAAAGATGGTGGAAGAGTAAATGTTAACATTGACTGGAGAAATCCATCTATTCTATTAGAAGATGACTCACCGCACATACTAGATTCAATATCAATGAAATACGTCTTTGATGTTTCAATTCAAGAATCTTGGCTAACATCAAAAAGTATTTTAAAGCAACTGATCTTAAACGATGGAGATAAGATTAAATCTATAATTATCCAAAGTATTAATCTCTTTAAGCTTTATCCAAATATGCTTGAATCATCAATTGCAATCTATAGTGCCGACGATAGTATTAAAATAATATTAAGGTATTACGAATTATTGTCAAGGAATTTGGAAGATGAAAAAGTACATGCATGCTTCAAATGGATGACAGTCTTCCTATTTTTTCTTACAAATACAAATTCAACTAATAGCTTTTTAGCGGAAGAGAATGGAATATTGAAAATAATTGGAAAAGTTCTTAAAATGTTTCAGAATAAAAAAAATCCAGTAAGTTGAGTCAAATTTGCAGTTTATTGTTTAAATAAATGATCTTTATTTCTTCTTACGTAGAAGCCATTTTTATTAATCAAGCTATTATTAAATTTATCCAAACCTATACAAATGAGAGAAAAGATAAGGCAAAGCAGAGTTTATGATATAATTTCGTGGTTTAGCGATAACGACGACGTCGAATCCTATAAAATGTATGCAACAATGATAAAAGCAAGAGTAATGAATAGTACCGAAAGAAGTCACTGGAATATAGATGGTATAATATATTCTAATACATCATGAATATTCAAAATGCTTAATTTACGTTACAGAAACAATTTTACAAAGTTTAACTATATCAATAAAACTTCGAGACGAGAATGGTAATATCGACTTTAAAGAGATGACTCTCAATTTATACGAAGTTTTAGATTGTATCAGTCTGATTTGCGAAAATTCGGATAATGGAAAATACTTTCTTCGTAACGGGGTCACGTACGAACTAATTGATATTATAAGTATTCAATCAACTCATACTTTAACAGCTGAAAAAGCTGTTCATTGCTTAAATCAGCTATTTAATCAAATAAAGAAAAGATTAGAAAATGGTAATCTATCCGATATAGATGATATTGCATTTCTGTTCAAATCCGATAGATTAAATATGATTCTTCATAACTTACTTGGAAAAAGCAGCGATGTTGACCTACATAAACAAATAAAAACGTGTTTGATAGAAATTCAAGATATCGCAAAAATTTGCTCAAATCACAATTGCTTTTATAAGAATTTATGCAGAAAATTCATAATCAATAACTTGAAAATAAACGGTCAGTTTCTATATTCAAAACAAACAGCTAGTAATGAGTTAACTATTATAATTGTTTCAATATTTCTAGATGCTTTCTTAGAGCCTGCCTATGACATGTGCTACTGTAAATTCTGCTTTACATTAAGAGGTGATAAGGAATACTACGCTCGAGGATATCCAGAATCTACATATGCGTTACCTATAGGATGGTATAGAATTGGATTGAAGTTACCACCTCGGGCAAAAGTTGAAAATGCTTTTGAGAAATGGCATAGAGCATTTCATGGAACCAGAGTTGAGAATATACTTAAAATATTACAGCACGGTGATCTGTTAATGCCCGGAGATATTACCGCCGAAGGGCAACAGTTGAAAGAATTAGATGGACATTTTAATCTTGATTATAAACCTGAAGGATTCGATACACGTCAAGTTTTTGTTTCTCCAACCATTCGTTATGCTGGTCTTAACGTTTATTCATATAAGCAAAAGTAAGTATAATTGAAAGATTAAATGTTTTAAATTAACAACAATATTTATTAATAAGATGGAAAGACTTCAATGTAAAAGTAGCATTTCAAGTATTAATTAAACCAGGTACGTATAAAATTGGTAAAGAAACAATTGGAACAAGCGAAAGAATCGATCAAAGGTAAATAGAATTCACTTTTAATAATCGTTTAAATCTAATAACAATCTTCTTAGAATATCTAACGATGAAATTGAATGGTCAACAAAAAGGAGAGGAGTAATAATACCATACGGACTTTTAATTAAAGTTACAAAAGAGAATTTATCATAAAAAGAACAGTTATTATTCTTTTAATATATAATTGTTTTTATAAATAGATAGTAAAAGCTGGTTTTTTTATATTTGATTAACGTTTTACCTGATTTATCTTCGTTTAATTGTTATTAAATGAATAAAAAATGCTTTAATTATAATTTACGATATTTGAAATAATCCATGATTAAAGACCTTTAGCGGATACATTTATGTATTCCATAGTAACTTGACTTTCATTAGGCATGCAGCCGGATGCAAAGTTAACTTTTTGATGAATTTTTATTCCAAGATTTTCTAAGCACACTCTATGACATTTATCATTGGCGATAAAAGATAAATATCATCCTTTAGTCAAATCTAGAATCATGTAAAAATCCTCATTGACTAATCCAATTAATTACTAATCGTTGAATAACTCTTTAAATATCTAAAATATTCAATTTTTATCAATACATATGATTACTTGTTCACTGAAATGTATATAAGCCTATTTATTTCAAAATTATAACAATAACCATAAAAAATATAGCGTTCCTTTTGCGTTACTTCTTATTCTTTTTTTTTTATAAATCATACATATTTATTTTTTGTTTTAACAATAAATTTGAATATTCATTAAGTTCATTTTGGCACTTTTTCGCTAAAGTAGCATAATTAATTGTTCCAGTTTCTGAAATTTTCTTCAACATTTTCTTTAATGTATCTTCCTCAATTAATTTTTTAACTTTTTTTCCATCTTTGATCAATTGAATAGCGTCTGCTAAAGATTTTTCAAGGATATCTAAAATTAATCTCATAAGATCATCCTCTTGTAAAGTTTTTTTCAAGCAGATTGCTAATTCATCAATTATTGATGACATTACAAAAAACATCCCATATTCATAATTATGTTGCAATATATTACATAATTGCAGGATATCTTTTACATGAAAGGAAACTGTACTGAGTAGAGTATTTCCGGTTGTTGAAGAATTTTTCAGCAATTTCATGATTAAAGTCAGCATCGTATCTTGAAAAGAATGAAAAAGTTTTGTTATAAACTAATTAAAAATTATTGTGTACCTTCAACTTTTAAAGAATTGAGATCGTGAAAACTCAATAGATTAGACAGAGACATTACACTAAGAAATGGAATTATCTGATATTCTTCATGCATATTAATGTATCTTAAAAGGTATTTTATTAATTTACTATCCTTAATCTCTTTACTAATAAATGATACTTTTGAAAAACTATAGATAATTGCCAAACAACTTGTCTGTAATCTTAATTCAAGCTGAAGAAGAAACGATTATTGGATTAAAATCAATTAGACAACTTTAGCTAAAACAAACTCTTGAAAATTGGTCTTTTTCAATGAATGTTTCCAAAATATCCTCAATGATTTCAACGTATCCCAAATGGAAGAATGCCGATGAATAGAGGGAGTTATTATATGATGTATTTTGAACAAAATGACAAATGGTTAAAAAACAATTTATAGCACAATTTAAATGAATTCTTCTCCACAGAAGTTTGTGATAATTGACAATTGATTTCATATCATTAAATTCTATCATAAGTCTCAAGTAGATTAAATACATTCGTTGATCATTTTGAAAAGTTTGGCAGACGCTTGTTAAACTTAGAAAAAATTCGGATATTTCGTAAATATCTTTTAAATTGGAATTGATCATTAAACTATTAATATCTTTCCATTGACTTTCATTGCTAAATAGTGGAACGGTTGATTGATTATGATGAAATATGTAAGGAAGTATATTCTGGGAAAAAGAATTTAGATTTTCAACAGTTACTGTACTTTTCTGAGAATAGAGTGCAGCTGTAAGATATAGAGATTGTATTTGCTCTGAAAATATGTCATTTAAACCTCCAAAACATATAGATATCTCATCATCAAATTCAAAAGCTAGAATGCCCGAATATAAATCCAAAATTACTAAGAATTCATCCTGCACTGCAAAGTTTGAGTCTCTATTGCTCGGAAAATAACGTACATTCTTCTCATTATATACTGCAGTATTATTAACGATATCCCATCCGCATGAAAAACTATCATCAGGAATATCCGAATTACGCAGAGTTTCGTCAGATGGAATAGATAATGATGATGAATTTCCAGACGAAATTCCAATAATTGCCGATACTTTTCCCCTGTTATTTTTTGGCCACTTAACTTTGAAAAAGTTTAAGCAAGTTTTAAATTCTTTGACGCTTCTAACAATGTCGTAGGAAGGTGTATTTTCTGCCTTAGTTACTGTTGAACCATTTGAAGATATGTTCAAATTTTCAGAACATTGACTGTTATCCCATTTAAAAGCATCTGTACACGTGAACCGATATACTGCATTTTCGTTATCGGATAATGATATATTATCGCTTACATCGTTCAATAATAAGTCATGGAGTAATGAATCAGTACTATCAACTTTAACAAGAGAACACTGCCGATCAATATCTTTAAGTTTAAAGAAAAACAGAATTGAACAAATATACATACAGTATATTAATATATTAGCTAAATAATTAGTAAGTTATTTAGTCAAGAAAATATACCTCTTTCTTCTACATTGCCATTGATAATTGTAGAAGATACGCTGGAAGAGCAACCCATGAAAATATCTAGTTGAACAGATTAATTAGGCTTTAATTCCAGCTCTAAAAGGTAAAAATAATAATAATTACCTATAAGTCAACTGTCTTGAACGATTGACCATCAACCTTCAAACATCAAACAAATCTCCTTCAATTTCTTGTACGGTCTCTAATTTGAAGATACAAAATTCCCTACTAAACTCAGTTTTCTATTTTCGTTTAAATATTCAATCCTATAATGCATGACTCATGATAATATTGAAAAAAGATATATAATTCTTTATATCTCGACTTCCTCAATCGCAGAAGATTTATTTATTGATTTACTGATTTATTGATCTAAAATATTTAAATATTTAGGTTGTTTAATCAAATTTTAATGGGAATACTTTGTTGATTTAATACACGTATTTTTATTATTTTAACAATTATGAATTATTAACAGTCTTGGAAAAGTAGTAGTATTAAATTAGATATTTAAAACTATAACAGATTATCAACTATAAAAGTCTAAGAAACTATTAGATAGGTTAGTTTGTTGAAGTATTCGTAATTTTCAATAAGAGACCATAAACGAATGTCGTCCCTTGTCTATCAACAGACCATTCAATTTCTTCGTTTGCAAATCTAAAGCAAGAATATTCATTTGTATTTATAATTATTATAAAGTTTGTAGTTATACTTACAGCGGATCGAGAATTTTACTTTCATCTGTTGTACCTTTCTGAGTTTTGAAGGTGTTGGGTTCAACTAAAACTTGTAGTGCAGATTTTACTTCGTATTTGTCCCATCTGACGAATAATATTTTAGATATTCAAGTAAGATTATTAGCTAACTTACTTGGTTGCTTTTGTGTAATAATCGCAATACCGAATGGTTGGTGAAAGAAGAATTCTTTTAAGACCTTCAGTGTCAGTAGGCATAACTTGTCCATCTATAGTCCTGTGACCACTCATTACGAGACTTGGCTGACGTAAAATGCTTGATAACTTGTTGATATTCTGCACCTTGTAGTAGGCTCTGTACCATCTTTCAAATGCTTTTGTAGCTTTTACTTGAGGTGGAGGTTTTATACCAAGGCGGCACCAGCCAATAGGAAGAGCATATCTTCTTGAAGGATTTCCCCTATTGTAATGCTCATTATCGTTCCTTTGGACGTGACAAAATTGACAATAGCACATTACAAACTGGTCGTCGAAAATTCTACCTGGAAAATTTCTTCATATTAACAATGATTAAAATGAGGATAATTGAATGTTATACTGTCTATCCGCAGGACGTCCTTTGCATATTTTTTGCAGAGGTCTTGTAGCCAGCACTTCTCTTGACTTTTACCTTTGAAGATTTCAGATAATTTTATCAAGCAAGTCTCTGCTACGGCGGAGTAATTTTCAGATTTCACATCCTTCTTCTTCTCTAAGACTTCCTTGAGTCCATTTATTTTGAGATAGGACAAAACACTTTTTACATTGGGTCCTCGTGAGCTTCTAAACTCCCCTAAAATTTGAGTAAATGCCTTGTTCAAGCAAGCCAAGGCCAATTCGACAACCCTAGAATCACTTTCCCTTTGAAGAATCTTTACTATTTCATGAATGAGATGGCTCTTTATGAAATAATTACAATTATAACTGCAATCCATAAATGCATGTATGGTTTCCAACATCTCTTCCATAACAAGATACTGTCCATTGCAATCCATTGTCTTTCCTTCTGCTCCACATTTTATCATCCTTACAATCTGTTTAAGGATTAAGTCATCCAAGTTGAAAGACTTTCTCTTTTCGTCACTCAGAATGTTTCCTAGGGACATTGCAGATGATACATATGTCAAGGGGATGCTGTTGGTGTTTTCTAAATTTCTATAGAGAACTTGTAACATTGGTCCGTTCGCAATGCTTTGTCGCACTTCCGGCACCCTAGAGCAATTGTAAACTGCTCCTAAAAGACAACCCAAAGAATCAGTTTTCGCCTTGACAAATTTATGAAAAGAAATTCATTAATGCGTATCTGTATAATATACACGCTTATACTTCTCTCGTTAATATGCTGCTTGGAAGCTCAGTCAGGATCTCTGCGATGATGGAAAAACTATCGAACGACGCAAGAGCCAGAGGTACAGATACACATCTATTTGTGAATGATAGAAGACTTGTGTTAATGCAAAAGAAGCATCTTGCCGCTGCTTCATTGCGAATATTTTTCCAAAGGAAATGTAAGTATTTTATAACTGTTTCAAATTTGTCAAACGCTACCATAATTTGTAAAACTATCTCGCGTTCAACAAGATTATCAACATTAGCCCGTGTAAGTTCTCTAAAACACGAAAAGAGCTGAACAACTGTGTCGCATTCGTCAACATCTTTCTTTATCATTAAGGTATTTAATAATGCCCATGCTGGAATCACTTTTTCAATTCCAACTTTTCTCTTTTCCTCAGATATTTCCATAGGAGGCTTGCAGATACTCACTTCACAGTCGCTAACTGTCATGCTTACTGCGGGGAATAATTTGATGTTTTTATCGCAGAATACGTCATCAAGACCACTCAAACAAACTCCGTAATCTTCGTCCTCTGATTTAAATATCAAAACGCCCCTATTTAAATCTGCGATCATTGTAAGGCTTTCTGGCACCTCAAAGGTGATAGGTTTATTCTCTGGGTAGCTTGATATAATTCGGCTATTATATAAGGCTTGTCGGGACACAATATCCCACCCAACGGAAGTTTCTTGGCCACCTACAAGTGCCTTGTATCCGTTACAAATCAGTGGAGTTTCCATACAAGATAGCCCAATGACACATGAGATATTACCTCTCGAAGACTTGGGGCAAAAAATCTTAAAGATGTGAACACCACTTGTATAACCTTCTGTACCTCTTACTAAATCAGTTGTTTTAGTTTTACAGGGCTTTTTCGTCGCTGTTATGTAATTGTTGGACAGCTTAATGTTTGGAGAGCAATCTCTCGGATCCCATTGAAATTTATTGTCATCTGCAAATCCTGGAGGAAGGTTTTCGCCAGTTGATTCATCATTGTCTGAAGTGACTTCCGCAAGATGCAAATCTGTTAAAGCTGATAAAAGAACAGCAGCAGTTAAAGCTTCCTTCCTCCTTCGCTCCTGGTCCAAGTGGCCCAAGAGTAGTTGCTTGATATATTCATTGCCATCATCTTCACTAGCAACTCCAAGTTCGTTGCCCATTGTAGCCTTTTTCCGTTCACTTCCTCCTTTCGTTTTGAATTTCAATTAAATAATCGAATGAAAATTTTAAAAAAAAATAAATTAAATAATGCGATTATAAAAAGATTCTATTAAAAAACTCTCCTTGTTAAGACATTTTCTAAATGCCATTTTTAATCATACACTTTAAAAAACAACACCATCAATTATAATAATATTGATAATAATAATAATAATGATATTATCTTTTCTCTAAAAAAAACACTTGTATCTAAGTTTACTATAGAATTTATTAAAAAAAAGTAATATATAGTAAATATATAATTACAATACTTACAACTTATAATGGTACCTAATCTGATGACAGCAGAGAAAGTAATAATAACAAATGTTATTTTTTTTAAATTCAACTTTTACTTTCGCTTTTTTATGGTTTGGTGGTTTTTACGAAAATAGCTATTATTATACATTATACATATTATTTAAATACAATTTCCTTTATTTTATATAAAAGATACGAGAACAAAATATTGTTTTTTATGTATACTTATCAGAAAGTACTATAATCCTTATTAACATAACAAAGACTCTTGTACTTTCGGTTTTAAATGAATTGGAAATTATTATTAAAAGAATGTTAAATATTGAAAAATTCTCTAATATTTAAGGTTTAATAAGAATAATTATAAAGATTTTTAACATATGTATTATTAACTGAGCAAAAATGAAATAACAAACAACGCATACGACCTACATTTACAATATGAATTCAGACATTCTTCGTGAACAGAAAAATGAATAGCAGATATATAAAGATACCTTGAAACAACTGTTTTTTTGTAAATTACCCACTAAATCTTACTTTTTAATTGCATTACAAAATACCCTTTTTAAGAGATGCTTTTAATCAGAATAATTTACGTAATTAACGTCTATATAGACAATGGAATCTATTTATAATACAAGGAAATAGTTCACTACTAATTTTAGTGAATAACTTTTGTTAATGTCACCGAATAGACTTAAGAGAAATGAATGAACTTTGTGTATTATGAATAAATTTATATTTATTATTTAGTCTATCGACTAAAAATTATAGATTCTAATGAAAGTAACAGCAGTATTTCTTCACCAACTCAAACTTACAATAGCTAACTTTTTACAGTAGTTTCTCTATGATAATTAAAACTTTGAAAGTAGATTATAATGCTTAAATGGATTATATGTATTATAATTTTATTCTTTTCAACTATGAATGAATCTTGTTAGTAAACCCATTTTTTTATTTATAAAAAAAACGGTATAAGACGTTTCGAATGATTTTTCATTACTTTTTCAAGATGAAATATGCAATCAAACTTCTCCGTGTTTTAAAAATGGAAATTGTATGGAGGATTCCTGCTTTTGTTCTGATGGAAAATGTCATGAAGGTTAATTCCCTTATTACTTTTCAATAGTCTTTTTTTTATCAGTCCTACATCTTTTTTATACAGTCAAATTTGCTAAAAAGCTGGCAAATAGTTTTCTGCCTAATAAGAAAATAATACGAAATTCTTTAAGAGAATGCTTCGCAGAATGTTTACTAGCAGAAGATGAGTGTGTTGCGTTTAATGTTTTAGACGTGTCGGTCTCTTCTGAAGAAACGCTTCTTGAATGTTATTTGGCAAGACAAGTTATATATCCATTACAGCAAGACAATATGAAAATAATGTTTATATTAAAAGGTTTAGAGGTTCTAATCGTTTGGTGAATAATTGAAACATTATTAATTTTTTCTAAGATAAAGAACTTGGAATATGTGGAGACGCTTCGCAAAATAATCAAGATTTTTATGAAGAATGCCACCAGTTGCTGTGGGAACAAGCGGGATGCACGACAAATGTTATTAATTTTGACCAAACCCTAAAGGTTATGGAGTTGAAATCAGTGATGCAAAATTTCTATATAAATTCTTCGCATCCTTCATTATCTCAAAGTTGGACTGAAATAGGAGGAGATTTTCATTATAACAGAGCAATATGTTATGGGATACATGATGTTGATAACTATTATCGATCAAATGCCGCATTGTATTATTCTACTTCATCGTTTTCATCTCCCCCAGGGTCTATATACAATTTGAAAAACATAATAGACAACACATTTGTTGAATCTGACGGAGGATGCTTCAGAAAATCTCCTAATTTAGACGAGCTTAGGTTTATGATCGGGATTAGGCACCCTTTAATTATAAGAAAATTTATTATCTGGTCTTGTGAAACATGTGGTAGGCCAAAAAAATTGAACATATTTTTGATTGCCTTTTTCATTTTATGACTTCTTTAAACAGATATAGGTACAACAGATATATTAATAACAAATAGCTGGTCTAAAGCAAATACTGCTGAAACAAGATGTCAGATAGGGGCAATACTTTATCCTGGGATTGCAAACGAAATTCTTTGCAATTCGACAACTTTAAAACCTGGGAAGTTTTTTCATCTATCATTCACTACTGAAGTGATTTGTGAAGTTAAAATGTTTTCAGGTATTTCTTTCCAAGCCTTTCCATCTTTTGTTCATAGAATTTATAATTACAATAGACAGTATTACCTATATGAAGCAAATTTCTGCCTCAAATGATAAATCATATTCCGCTTGGAGGGTTCATCTGTTTGATAACTCATATTATAAATTTTTCTCAACTGTTGACCATTGGTTGGCGATTCACTTAGTAGGACTATATAGCGTTGAGTTTGTTGACATCCTACCAAATCCAAATGTACAATATATGTTTTTTATTTCTGTTACAAACTATCATCCGTCTGCTTTCTGGCCAAGCCCAGAGAAAGAGGAATGCGGATCTTTTAATGCTACACGTGCTGAAATGTATACCGTAAAGTGTAGAAATCGTGGAGTTATAGGAGAATTTCTGGTTGTTCAAGTTCATATGGTTGAAAATCAAAATGGATATATAAGATACATATCAGCTTATGGAAAATATATTGGGCCAACTAGTAAGTATTTTTCAGCATAGAGTTATGAAACATAAGCAATTGAAATAATTATTATATTGATATCAGAAAATAACACAAACGCTGCATTAGAAAAACCGGCATGGTTTGGGAAACTTGTATCTTCCGCAAAGTCAGAAGCTTTTGTTACCGATGATCTGATTTCGTATTCAGCTTCAATTATTAGAAATTTCCCTAATCCTTGGGTAATGATTGACCTTTTAAACAATTACGTTGTACATTACATGACATACAATTTTGACAGACACAGTAAGTGACGCAGCAAGATTTTTCTTTTATTCATGTATATATATTTCATTTAGATAATCGAAATAAAGAATATGCTAACCTTAAGGGTCATATTACTCAAAAACCAATTCTAGTTGGTACGAATATAGATGTCGATCAGTTTAATTGTTTCGAAAACAATAAAATATCAGATTCAGGAAGGTATATGGGTTGGAGTTGTTTTGAACCGTATCCCATTGGAAGATTTGCCTTGTTTTTCATTTCATCATCAGATACAATGTATATCAGAGAAACGGGAGTTTATGGCGTTAAGTTAGCGACTCCCCTGGCAAAATTGACTTCAGTTAATGTAAATACAATTGATCCGGCTATTACTTCTTCGCTTCACAAGAGTCATCCAATACAAGCTATCGATAATAGTTATCTTGCTCATATTTATGATCAAGTTCACAGCTGTGGTAGAGTAAAAGACGCTACAGAAAGTAGATATTCAATTAACCTGGACAGTATCTACGATGTGTATCAAATACTTGTTATATTCCCCATGGAAAACATAAATCTCTTCCTTGAAGTCGTAGTCGGTGTTGAAACGGTAGAATTCCTACCGGAAATAAATGTTTGTGGAGTGACAAAAAATATTGGTCGAATGCCTTATTACTTCAATTGTTCACATGGTACAACGGGAAATAGAATATCATTATACAAAAGCCAAGGATATATTCAAATATGCGAAGTTAAAGTCTACGGCGTAAAGAGTGAAGTGAAAAGTAATAGTTTCTATTAAAATACTTAATTAATCTTTAACTTTATAATGATTAATCCTTTTTATTTAGGTAGAGAACGACTAAAAGCTACACTATTTTATAATCTCCAGTTTAATCAGATATCTAAATGTTCAATAAATAGTGGATTAATAATGATATTCGACAAAATTGCTACAGTTTACGGTATAGCTATTCAATTTGAAATGATTCCAAAAGACTATGAAATACATTTAATGAACGGACCCTCAAAGATCCTTTGCAAAGCAGGAAATAATAATACATACGATATGACCGAACTAAAAAATACTAAATATATATACTTTCATTGTGATGAAAAGTTTTATGCGGATACTGTTATATTTCAATCTAAAGATTTAGCTGAACAGGTTCAAATATGCAATGCAACAGCTATTGTGGATTCAAATTCAATCATTTCAGTCAACTTCAGTTTGTTTTATTATTATTATACCTTATTATAAACTTTATTCAATTGACCATAATTTATATTTATTATAAACAGCTACGTGGAAGGCGAAAAAGCATATGAAAAAATTAAAAAGTCAATATATCTCTAAAGAGAAATTGAATATTAAAAACGTAATAAATTGTATACAGCTTTGTGAAAAGTCAACAAACTGTTCAAGTCTATCATACAATCAAAATGACGTTACTTGTTCATTATCATCATTACAAATATTCAATCATAATTTCGATGTTTACTTAGAAAATTCTTTAAATTATGAAATATTTATTTCACCAAATCCAGATATCAAACTTGATTACTGTCCTATAGGCTAAAAGTAAAGTTGTACTAATGAAACTTTAAGAATAAACTTGTAAATGCCAGTTTAAAATGTTAATTTCAAGTTTCTAATACTCTTTATACGTATTAGAAAATTCTTTGTTTCTCTAGGGAAATATATGCAATTTTTATAATCATTCAATTCCGATACAATTTGAACTAGTTTGTCAATATCATTAAAATGTCTTTTATCAATTCCATTATTTTCAATTGATGATAAATTCCTTAAAATTGAAGAGAAAATTTTGTTTAAACACGTTGCAACAATTTCCGGATTGAAAATTGTATAGTTTTCCTCAAGATGAGAGTTTTTCATATCTTCTACAATATTATCTATTATTCTAAGGAGGCCAATGCTAGTTAGGTATAGAAAATTTTCGGGAATATCTATTAAAGAAATGATATTTTCTAAAATCTCATTCTGATCGAATGATATGGGTCCTATTACGAAATCTTTTCTTCCTTTACCGTACGAATTGAATAATTCATATATGGCATTTAAATTAATTGCTATAATAAGTAATATAACAGAGATTATTCAATAGAAAAGAACTTGTTTAAAGAATACCTTGAATTTTCCATACTTTTCTCTTTTTCTCACTTAATATAGTATTTAAGGCCAGAGTATTTAATACCAAAGTAGCATCATTACAATTCTTATCAGTATTAAAAGCTAACAGTAAATATTCTAACTCTTCGTCGTTAAATTTTACAGACCCAGCCTGACTTTTCAATACATTGAATATTATACCAAAACAAGGCATTAATATATTATTTATTCTTGATATTTTGTCACTTTTCACTTGATTTAGGCATACTTTTATAATATCTAAACACTTTGTTTCCAATAGCATTAGAGGCAATAGCGAATTATCGTTACAATAATTTTGAATGAAATTACTCATTAGTATAAAACAATTACAGTGTTTGCTGTTTTTGTAATTAGCCCATAAATATTCATAAAATGACATTAGATTATTCATTTTATTTGAATCTCTCATAAGCCTTAAGAATATCCAATAGATATTCTTTGTCTTTTTTAATGTATTTTGACGATTTAGTAGTTCTATTATAATTTCATTGATACTTCTTAAATTTTCTGACCGACTCCGAATCGTAAACAAATCGTGAAGACGATTCCATAAATTAGTACAATATGAGAGTTCTTTATCTACATCGTAAGTTGACAATGATGATAATGAGGAAGACGATGAAGACGACGATAAAGATGACGATGAAGAAATTGTTAAAGATTCCGTATTGTTCGCCTTTAAATAGGTTAAATTCATGTTTCTTACAAGAAGAAAACAAATGTTAAACTTCGTTCGTGATAACTTAAGAAATGAGTAAATATGAAATGGAGATTAATTGATAAAAATATATTAAGCGATAGTTTATCAATATCCACTTTTCTCTATTGATTTTCTTTTATATTTTGAATATTAAATCACTTAAAATACAGTAAAAGTGATAAGATATTTTTTACAAGAGCTTATAAAATATTAATCATTATTTTTTATTAATATTAAACTGGTTTTAACCTAATTTGAATCCTTGTTTACGACTTACGCCAGCCTGTCTGCCTTGTTCATGTGACAACATTAATACTAATTAATATTCTTTTGTTTTTGAGTAGAAATCAAACTTTTTATTTTCACATTCAACGTCGTAAGCCCGGTTAGCTCAGTCGGTAGAGCATGAGACTCTTAATCTCAGGGTCGTGGGTTCGAGCCCCACATTGGGCGAATAATATTTTTTTACTTTTTGTTTTATTATGCAAAAGTCATTAATAAACCATTTATTATCTAATTATGTCATAAAAATATTGTATATTCAATTTTCAAGAGTTTCTTGTTTGTCTATCAGTTTAATCAATAACCCGCGTATAACTGCCATTCCTTTTAAATTTATCGACCATTCGATTTCATCATTGGAAAATCTAAAATTTACAAAATATTGAAATAAAAGACAACGGAGAAAATGAATTAAAACTCACTTTGAATCGAATGGGGAATTTGATCCAACAACTTCTTTTCCTAGTTCATAAGTACCAGGACAGACTAACAAGTCAAAAGCAACTTTAACTATCTTGTTATTCCATCTATGTATAATAATAAATATTACATAAAGAAAGATTAATTTTAATTTAATAAGTACACGTATGATTCGGCAAAAGCGTCTAAACCGGCGTATCTTAATGAAGGAGATATAAACACTCTTTCTTTCGCAGTCTCTCCACTCCTATCAAATGATCGTTTCTTAGAATTGTCTAAATTTGATGGGGATGACACAATATCTCCTTGCCGTAGAATTTTCGAAATATTACCGACTCTTGTTCCATGATAAGCTCTATGATATTTCTTTAAAATATCTTCATTTAATATTCGAGAGTGAGTCTTCAATCCTAATAAATACCATCCAATTGGAACAGAATAAGCCCTTGGTGGAATACCTTGATAACAATATTCCTTAAAATTTCTTGTTGAATGACAAAAACGACAATGGCACTCTGTGAATTCTTTATTAATGTGTTCACCTATGAATAAAAGTTACCTTTTGAACTATATACTATATAGCTATATTTGACAGATATGTTATTATTTTGAGATAAATACTTTACCACTTATTAACAATACATCATCAATAAATTTCTTACAGTCATTCTCTAATAGACAAGCTTCAGAAGCAAATTGATAACTATCAATTGACCATATTTTAATTAAACAAATTTCAGCTGATTCAGCTAGACCATTTATTTCATTTTTAGATAAATCTTGTAATTTTTCCCTTATTTTTCCTTGTTGCAGTTTACCCTTTTCACTTTCTTGTAGACTTTTATCCGTAATAATTACAGATAGAATTGTATTTAAACAAGTTATTGTAAATTTTACATTAATTTCTCCAGTTAGCTTATGACAAAGAATTTCAAGTAAAAAGTCTATCAGTCCATTATGAATCATATAAATACAATTCTCAATACATTCTAACGTATATGATAAACATTCTAGAATTTCTTGTAAGTAAAAAACAATCCCTTCAAAAATTGTTTTTGATTTGATGGTTGATTTAATTTGCTCTAATAATAAATCAAGAATACTCTCTGTAAATATTAATATTTAATTTATATTAGATAAACGAGAAATTTAAAGTATAATGCCGATTTTTACCTTCAATCTTCCAAAATTTCTTATCTGGTAATATACGGCCTAAGGCCATCACTTTTAGAAAGCTCACACCTAAATCATACCTTTGAAAATCTGGATAATCCTCTAAATATACTCGAAGATCTCTATCACGAATTTCGTCAGCCAACTTTGAAACTTTAGAGAAATTATATAATATTCTCAAAATGAAAGTAAACACTGATTTCTTTGCCTGGTTTTTGTTTTTGATTAGAATTATATAATATAGATATAAATGAAAGGTTGAGAAAGAAACATTTAGTTTTACCTCTATATCTTCGACAGCTCTTTCGTTATTTCCTTTTTCAAGAACATTATGAATTAGGTCCAAACATCCCTGTCTTGCAATTGCGGATGGAAACATTGAATTATTCTCACAATTATTTTGTATAAAACTACTCATAACAATACAATTTGCTTTGCTCTTCTCCATATGAAAATTATCCCAAGTGTACTTAAAATAGGCCATTAAAGTTTCACCTCCATCGAATTTGAGTAACATATTTAAGAAAACTGCATGAGCACCTTTCACTCTTTTTATTAACCGACAACAGGATTCCAATTGAAGTATCATAAGCTGAATGCTATCTGCATACTTTGTTCGTCCCGTTTTCATCATGATATTGACTTTTGTCCACTTCCTCGATAAGTCAGAAAATGACAAAATAGGAACCATGTACGAAATAACATCATTTAAAATATTCATCCATGAAGTATTCATCTTAAACATTGTTACTTGACTTCCAATCGATTTCATTGCTATTGTTGGATAAAGTTTTATTCCCCGATTGCCAAAAGCAGTATCCAAATCCCTACAGCACACTCCCAAGTGCCTATTTTCTACTTTAAACAGTAGTACTCCATTATAAAGGTCTAATATCATAACAAAATTATCTGGCACTTTATAGTTTGAATCAATTTCCAATGGATATTTGCTCATTATTGCATTATTAAAAATTGATTTATTGCTAATAAGATCCCAGCCCATAACTACTTCAAAACCGCCAAAAACTTCTCTTGGTAAATTACCTGATACTTTGCAGGAGATTCCCATAACCGCCGAATCTTGACCTCTCAATCTAACTGACCAATTTACTGAATAGACGTGAATACCGGATATCTGTCCGTCGGTACTTCTAATAATATCCATAGTATTCGTATCGGTAACTTTAGTAACTGACGATCCATCCTTAGTTACTGTAATATTTTTGGAGCTTCGTTCGTCCCAAAATGCAGGAATTGATGCGGCTGAAATGTTTTCATCAACAAATTTCCTAATGCTACTCTGACTTTGAGTTTTTTGAATTGGAACAGAGATTTTATGAACGGTTTGCTGAGGTACGCCCAAATTGCAGCCCATTTGCCCTTGTTAGTAACCTATATCTTGAAGGAAGTGATAAAGAAAGTTTTCGTTAATTCTCCTTGTTAATCATAAGAAACAGTATTCTTTATTCATTATACCTTCAAAATAAAATTCATAGTCACACAAGTAAAAAGTTAGGCTAAATATTTATATATATTTGAAATGTTGAAAAAATAACTTACATATTGACAAATAGCTAGATTAGATAAATTTATAGCGTTTTCTCAAATGAAAAATTCAAGAGTAATACTCAAAAAGTTTCCTTTTTCTTACAATAATATCTTCAGTAAGACAACATTTTAGTCTTAGAGTGCGATCAGATTATAGGAATGAATTATTACGAATGTCAGTTACCATAGTAATGCACCAACACTTAAACAGGTTAAAGCAAACTGTAGTTCTAGCCATAAAATACTATTTTATTACCTTATTTAATACTAAGATAATAAAATACCGACAGGATATTATATGTTGCTATTTGTTCAAAAAGCAAGAAATTAAAGAAATTAACTACATCTCTTAAATCTTCTATGAAAAATAATCCTCTCCAAGTAGATCTTTGATATTTTTTTACAGAATATAAACTTTCATTTCTAAGAATCTGAAAGTCAATCTCTAGAAATCTTAATTTAAATTACAATTTTAGAAAATGATCATGTCAAGGTTTAGAGAAAACTTTCAATCGCCACTTTTCTGGACAGATAATAAGAAAATTATCCTATAAACTTGTATAATTAAATACAATTATAATCAATAACTTCTATTATATAACTACTAGGCTTAGACTATTCATGTAGTTCACTATAAAAGATATAACGTTATACTTTAAGCTCGAAGTTTTTGTTCATAGACCTGCACAGTAATAAATATAAGATAGCAGAAATGTTTCAATGCGTTAAGTGAACATGTATTTATTTTTATAACTAATTACAAAGAAAACGTTTTCTTTAATCTTTAGTTTCCACTAGGCCTATGGAAGAAAATTAAAGGTAAATATCATGTATTTAATTAAAAATTTAAAACTTACTTAGCCCATTCAACGTTCAATATCAAATGATCATAACCATAACCGGACAAATTGGCAATAGCCTTAGCTGCATCTTCCCTTTTTGAATAATTAATAAACGCGTAGCCCTATTTAATAAAAAAGTCGTACAATAGGCTTTAATTAAGACCAAATTGCCTGTAAATTTTACCTTTGATTGGCCAGTAACTTTATCTTTAGCCAAAAATATACGATGGATATGACCAAAAGGCCTAAATAATTCTTGTAAATCACTCTCGGTAGTATCCTCTGAGAGATTTGTTACTCTAATCGTGGCACTTTCATCTCTGCCTCCCATTCTTTCACCAACAGTGGTTTTAGAGTCAACACCGCCTCGTCTTCCAGGTGCAACATACTTTCCTGGTGGGCCAGCTTGTTTTGCTTTATCATCTCCAATAGCTGGAGCGGTGCCTTCTGGAGCTCCTGAAAATATGAATTTAGATTTGTCTAGTATATTTCTTAATGTTCTTACCATCCATGCTAGGAGCAGCAATAGAGTCTTTGTAAGGACATTTAGTGGTCCAATGGTCTCCCTTACATATTCTACAAGATACCATCTTTTGCTTATCTTTCAATTTTCCGAAAGGATCTTCACTTTCCTCTGTTTGGAGTTGATTTTCTTTGTTATGTACCAAAACCATATATATATCTTCAGAAATTATAGTATTTGCTGGGTTGGGGCCAGGTGGATCATTTGATGCTTCACCAAATTTCTTCCAAGTCTTCCTCTTAGCGACTGTCTTCGGCATCTTTTGGATATCGATTCTGTATGTCTTGATGACTTTAACCTTTTTTCCATCCTCATTTATTTTGAACTCAGTTAAGGTTTTCAATTTTCTGTCTTCATCCACATGTATTAGTGGAGTTGGGAGTCCGCCTTAGAAAATAAATGAATTGCATTAGTCACAAATGTTTAAACTCAATTTTCATCAGACTAAGCCTATTTTGACACATCAGTCAAAATATTCTATATTTTAAATAATAAATGACACAGTCAACGAGCAAAGAGTATTCAAATATATTTATTTGTATGAAAGTAAGACTGAATATGACTGGACTGGCAGTCTTTGCTAGCATACTCATGTTGAGAAACAATAGTTTTACTATACCTTCTTGTTCGACCTCATCGGCCCAGCTTTTTCCTATTCTGTAAGATATAAATTACTCAAATTAATCAAAGAATCTTAATTTTATTTCGTAGTAAGAAAGAATATAGTTTACCCGTCATATGTCGGCATGCTTAACGATAACCTAAAGGATAATGCGCATGCGCAAAGTCACTTTTAGACGATAAAACATTTTTGCACAACCCACGTGTTTTATATTCGGTTGTTCGTTAATTTCGTCATGGATCATATTAAAAAAGATGAGAGATTTTCCCATATATCAAAGGATCCAAAATTCCGTAAATTGGCCAGAAAGGATAGAAAAGTTAAAATAGACAAAAGATTCCATGGGATGTTTAAAGACAAAAAATTTAAAGTTACATACACAGTAGATAAACGAGGACGCCCGGTTAAAACATCCAGTACTGATCACTTAAAAAAGTTATATGATTTGGATAGTGATGAAAATGAAGATGATAGTGAAACTGATGAAAGCCAAGACGAGGATGAAAGTGATGAAGATGTAAGTGAAAAAATTCAAGATTCAAGTTAGTACGAAATTTAAATATGAATCCGTAGACAATCTAAACTATAATCGTCCTTTTACTAAAAGAGCAAAGAAAGAAATTGAAGGATACCAATAAGAAAAGTGAGAGTAAGAGCAGTGAAGGAGAGGAGGAAGAAGAGAGTGGAAGTGACGAAGAAGAGGAGAGTGAAGATGACGAAGGAAAGCTCGACCTTACCGGACCTGACTTAGCTAGGGGAGAGGGTGCCATTGATTCTAGTAGCTCAGAAGAAGAATACGAATTGGAAGGTAGTTTAGGCAAAAAATGGCTCACTGTTTTTCTATAAATATTAACGTTTATAACAGATGAACGTTTTGATCATGAATGGGGAGAAGTAGATAAAAATGTTAAACGATCAGAAGAAATAACTTGCAGACTTGCATGTTGTAATCAAGATTGGGATAGGATAAGGGCTGAGGATTTACTTATGATTTTCAATTCATTTAAACCTTCTACAGGAGTAGTAAAATCTATTACCGTTCGTAGTCTTCGCTATTTTCTAGTTTCATTCATGCTGTCGTTTTAACTTAAATAATAGATTTATCCCTCCGAATTTGGTTTACAACGTATGAAACAAGAAGACCTTGAAGGTCCAAAAGAGCTATTCGAGAAAGAGGAAAGCTTGGCTACTTCGAATGATCAAGTTGAAGGAGAAGACTATCACAGAGAGAAATTACGACAATATCAATTAAAAAGACTTAAGTATTATTATGCAATAGTAGACTGCGATAGTCCTGAAACGGCTAATGCCATTTATGAGCAATGTGATGGTGTCGAATTTGAGACAAGTTCGACTAAAATGGATTTAAGGTAATCAATTTATCATTAATTACTTTCAGCTTATCATATTAAATTTCTATTAGGTTTGTTCCGGATGATATGACATTTAGTGAAAACTTTAAAGCACGTGTTTCTGACGTTGATTTACTAAATTACAAGCCGATTTTGTTCAAAACTACCGCTCTAATGAGATCTAATGTTGAGTTAACTTGGGATGAGACAGATCGCTCTAGATCAGCCATTCTCAATAAAAAATTTAAGAAGGACGAAATAGACAATCTTAATATCAAAGATTATCTTGCATCGTCTTCAGAGGATTCTGCTTGTACGTTCTCCTGACAAATACTATTGAATTATATTTTCTATCAATAATAATGATTTCAGGCGATGAAGAAAATGGAAATGAAAGTAATGACGACGATGATAATGAAAATATTATTGAAAAAAAGAGAAACAAATATAAGGCACTTTTAGAGGTTTGAATTTCATAAATTAAATAGTTATAATAGGATATTAAGAACCTTTTGTAGGAAATTGATACGAAAGATGAGGAAAATGAAAAAGAAGATAAAAACGATGTTAATATGGAAATAAAATGGAATACTGGTTTGTTTTTAGAGAGTCTTTTAAGTATTTCAAATAAATAGTTCATTAATCCATTCTAGGTCTTAAAGCTAAATCCGAAGAAATTGTCAAAAAAGCTAAAGATGATAAAGAATTATCTGTATTTGAAAAATACTTAGAAAAGAGAAAAGAAAAGAAAAAGCTAAAGAGACGAAAGACAGCAATCAAAGAGAGTGATGAGGTATGATTTTTTTTAACTGAGTCATTGCTTTCTTTCATAAAAATTGTCCTATTCCTAGGGTGAAGATGAAGATATGGAGGAAAACGGATTTCAAGCATTTAGTGACGATGACGTAGGAGCAGAGTCTCCTCCACCCAAAAAGAAGAAGAAAGGCAAGAAGTCTAAAATTGAAAAACGAGTACTAACAGCTGAAGAGGAGGAAGAGGAGAAAAAGGCTCAAGCAGAACTCTCTCTATTAATGGAAGATGACGATAATAGAAAACACTTTAACTTATCCTCAATAATAGAAGCCGAAAAGTTCTCTAAACTGAGCAACAGAAGAAAGAAAAAACTTTTGAAAAAGAATAAAGATCGATTGAAACTTGAAAAAGAATCACAGGACGACTTCCAATTGAACCTTAATGACGATAGATTCTCAAAATTATATTCTAATCCCTCATATAATATAGATCCATCAGCACCACAGTTCAAGAAGACCAAAGCTATGGACAATCTCGTCAAAGAAAAAATCAAAAGAAGTAGTGAGATCGTAAATACTGAAATTAAAAAAGTAAAGAAGGAAAATAACGATATTAAGGCTTTGGTTGCAGCCGTTAAAATGAAAGCAAACAAAAAGAAAAAGGCTAAAAGCTAATTATTAATAGTATAGTTTATTTGATTACTTCTTGTTTCTTAAGCTTGAGACAAAATGTTCAGGTGTATTTTACACTGTGTTATAAGACTGTATTTTTGTAAAAATAATACACTAAACTGAATATACAGTAATTCTAAAGGAGGGTATAAGAAATAAAGATGTCTAAAAACATTAAGTACATATTTCTTTTAAATTATATTAATCATTCCTGCTTTATTCATGCTTGCAGTACTTCCAGCAGCAATTGGCTCCACTTGATCAATAGGTACTTTTTCTGGCTCAGGCCTCACTGACAAATAAGGCATGGAGATATTGGTCTTCATCGGAGGCGCTCTTATTAGATCTCTAACGATTACTGTATGAACAAAATGCGATATCCCAGCAAATATTGAAAAGAATGTGCTAAGAATAAACAAGCCATAGGAGAAAGAAGGATAGTTCAAATAAGGGAATGGTAGCCAGAGTCGGTCCAATTTGAACATAATTCCAAAAACTAAAATTGTTATAGCCTTCAAAATAGAACTTATAATGGTCAACGTAGTTATGGATTGGATAAGACAAATAGGTTGGGATCTATCTTGTAGCCCAGCCTCATTATTCATACTGTCATTTGCTCTTTCCTTAACCTTTAACCAGGCAAGAAAGCCCAATATTACATTACATAATTCCATTACGAAAGAAACAGTTACTGCAACTTGAACAAAAATAAACCAAGGTGGCATAATCCAACCGCGAATCTTATAGTATTCTGGAGCAAGAATCCACCAGCATCCGTGATACGCTTTTTGAGACGTATCGGCTGGTAGAACCAAGCCAGAGAAGCATACCTCCCAAAGACCCAATCGTCTGAACGGACTGTACACTCTGGGCCAGGATATAATCCAATAAGGTGTAGAGAAACCAAGACCAACATTTAAACACGAGAGAAAGTTTAAAATTAAGCCAGTTTCGAATATCCATCTCCTCCCCTCTTTCCTATTCATTGTCTTAACCATTCTTTCGTTTCTTACCCTAACGAAAGTAGTTCAAAGAATGTATTCACAGCTATTGAACAATATTTTAGCTATTTTCTTTCAGGTGGAGACTGATCGTTCGATTGTATACAGGTAAGCAACAATTGGCTGATAAGATTAACCTTTAGTATGCACTACGTTTGCTATCATTTCAGGCAAAAAGATAAGAGTCATATTGAAAAGTTATTTATTTACATACATATATACATTTATATAAATAATTATTACTCAATCCATAAAACCAAATTTAAATTAGAACAGGATTTTTAGTTTTAACTTAGCTGAAAGTTGACGAATTGACAAGTAGACTTTATACTATTATTCTTTATACTTTTATATTTTAACTATATTATATTTAAAAACAATGAAAAACATCTTAAATAAGATCATAACATTTTGTTCAATTATTTAGCAATATTTTGGACCAGTTTAGAAAAGTCTGTTTGAAATTTTAATAATGTCTTGTCAAGAACACCGATAGGAGGTACGCACTTCAAAACTTCTTAAATTTTGTTCTAGATGGCTCTACTAGTATTTTAAATTTGCAACGTGTTGGTCACGTGATTCCGCGTATCTCCACGTCACGGACAATTCGACACATCTTATATCCGCTAAACTTCTATATTCAATTCTATTTGCTTCTGAAAAATCAGGTAAGAACAGTGAACAGTCATAAAATTCTATGTAACTTGCAAAAAATAAATACAAGCATTAGATTAATAATTTTTAGCAGGTGTTTGCCTATTTTTGTTTGGATCTTTAGATTTGTCTTTAAATTCCAGTTCAGCATGGATCAATTGATGCAAATTGTCGAGCCAGCTAAACAATTTACGAAAGATTCAATTCGTCTCGTCAAAAGATGTACCAAGCCTGATCGTAAAGAGTTTCAAAAGATCGCTATGGCGACTGCTATTGGATTCAGTATAATGGGATTTATCGGATTCTTCGTCAAACTTATCCATATTCCGATCAACAACATCATTGTGTACGTATAATTACTTTTTGGTTTATCCTAAAACAAATCAGTATATTGGACTTTATTATTATCATGATATTCAAATAGCAGTTTCTAGGTCATACAAGTAACAAATTATCTATTTATAAAAACACCTATGAATCCTTCTAAACAATTTAAAAGCTCTTTCAAAGAGAATTTTAAATTAGCAGGAAACCCCAAAAAAGGGATTGTTACATAGGATATACTGTAAATTAAATAGCTTAAAGTTTATTTAAAAATACTCATATATTAGCTTGTAATTTATAATATAGAGACACCTAAAACACCAGTGTCTTTATCTGCATATATGTATAGTTTGTATACATAAATAACATTTTATAGGCTGAATTATTAATATTTTTTTGTTTTATTTTTTCTTTATACAGCGGCTCATAAGGATTTGAAAGAACTCGAATTAATTAGGTAGCACTATTTGAAACATTCAATCATCGTTAATAAATTGTTTGCATAATGGTTCATCCGTATCGGAGTTGTGTATATAATTTATGAATTACAAAGTGCATTCAAAGTAAATCTAAACGAAAAATTATCAATTTGAGGGCAGTTGTAAATATGTCTTGCGAAATTCTTGCAATAGTTTTTCTTCTTCATTCTTCTTTCGTAGCAATCTCTTATCACTCCATCTTCTGATAAAATAATAGATACAAACCACCATTAGAGAAACAATAACATTGACCACTAATATGAAAAACATGAACCGAACCCGGTGACCTCTTGGGAATGACCGAAATGTATCGTTTTGTTCCGCATCGCTACCTATCGTTTTCGTCGTATCGCTTTCACTAGACCTTTCTTTTCGACGTTGGTTATGATTATTAAGCTAGATTTGTGCAAGTAATTATATATTGCAATGAAGGAAAGCTAGTTTAAGCACCTGTGACAAAGTTTTTCTGTTTGATTTCTTGATCTTACATTTCCTCTTTAATTCCTGTTCGTTGAACTCATGCGTTTCCCACCAGCTCCAATTTTGACAAGAAATTCTAACGACATCCTCTGTCGTTCTGTTCCTCCTTAGACTAATCAACTTCATTAACCAAGCAGACTCGCATTTACAGCCAATAACATATGGAAATCGTAGAATTCGAATTCGTTTTAAATAGCTAACAAGACCATTATTTATGTTAACTAAGCGAATATTAGTTAAAATGGAGAGCTCTTGCGTTATTTTAAAGTTTAAAGCCCTCTTCCAGTTGACCGTTGAACCAGAAATAGAGGACACATTCATGCGTAAAACCTGGTCAGTGAATGAATATTTTTTGTTGCAGTCCTTTCCAGACAATATTTCGCTTAATTCGTTTCTTTTAGAAGGAAAATAAGATTTATATAATATTTGCATAATGGATTATATAAGAATGAATAAGTAATAAAGAAATAGAACTAAATTAACTTTAAACCATCCGTAAAAATTATATTAAGTTGTTTTATATAGTTGATTGTTAATTTACGCGGTAATTTACCAACAGCTACTAAATTCAATTCATTAATTTTATCAAGATGAAACTGGAATTTTGCTGCATTACTGGAATCCGAGCAATTACTAATTGATGCCTTAACTATAGTAATTCTATCGTTGAATAAATTATGCAAATCAGTTTGATCAAGACCGCCACACGTCAAAACGACTTCCGTATAATTTCCTTTCCTTGCACACTTTTCTCTCTTCATCGAAGGACAAATTAATCTTAGTTTATTAGAACTACAATCGCAAATATTTTCTGCGTTTACTAGTTTATATAGAATTGTAGTAAGATTACAGAATAGTACAAATAAACTGCAAAATTTACAATCCATCTGTCTTTTATCTTTTGAATTATAATTCAAAACAGTGTAAAAAACTTTAAATAAATAAACTATATACTAGATTGATATACGGCTTTTGTTATATATTATATACTGTATATAATACATAAAGTGTAAATATTGATAATCTTCACAATAAATAAAGGGGTTTTTTTTTTGATATAGTATTACTTTGAGTAAATAGTTCTTTGAAATTACCTTCGTTATAGATATAACGAGTGTATGCAAAATAGATTGTACTTGGTAATCATAGAGTATAAGTTAGATTTTATTTGATGATATTTCGTTGAGAGCGGAAAAAGAACAGAGAATCCCTACAGAGGACTCAATTAAATATAGATTTATTGTAGACAGACAGTTGCCAACAGCTAATTAACTTTCTAGATTTTCATTTTCTCTTCTTTGCTTTTTCTTTTAAAACCTTCCCTTTTTTACGATGAATTGTGATCTTCACCTTTTCCAACTGACTCTAGACGATCTGGCAGCTGGTCTGTCAATTACTTTAACAAAATGAGTAGATTTGGCGGTCAATCGTCTGTTAAAATTGAAGATATCTTCTTTGTCGGGAAAAATTTTACCAAAGGCATTGATAAATTTAGCCTCTCCTCTGACTACTGTGTAGAAATCGCTGAGCGTCACAGCTTTATTACCACTTTTGTCCTGTTTTATTAATACTTTAATAAAAAATAACGAATGGCAAAATAAAAGCTACTATTTTAAATTAGGTTTCAATAACGTACTAACGAATAGACGCAATAGGGATTTGGTAGTTCTAACAATTTGTCTTTCTCTTGCTTTGTTGTTGTAAGTCCGCCGCGGATCGAATTTTGCAGTCGTATCTTCCGCCACTGGGTAACACTGTATTAAGAGAGGAAGACGGCCGGATGAAAGGGGAAATAAGATATATAAGGTATATAAAAGAGTATGAAAAGAGCTTAACGCGTGGAATGCTTTCCCGAAGGAATTCCATTATATCTTCACTGCTAATGTAACCGTAAGACCGTAAATCGTAAACATTAAAAGCCAGTGATATTTTCTCATCCAGCGTTCCCCTAATGTACTTGGATAGGCCTACTATCAATTCCTCTACCGTCATTTTCTTTCCCCTGACGCAATTGAATGTTTCGTAGACTGAATTTTTGCGAGAGTTTAATAACGTATAAGTACCGATAAAAAATCTTCCAAATTGGATTATGTGTGTATTTAATTGATATACATACGTCTGGTTATTGCCAAACGACCCGTAATGGAGAAAGTGTTTATCATGAATGTCTGGAAAGTTTGGAAATTAAACTCGGTTATATAGTAACAATATTGATCAAATTCCGTGTGTGCAAATTCATTTAGCACTTCTAATAACGCCTCCATCTCTTTTAATGAGACTACAAGATAAAAGTCAAAAGGTTAACCTTAATTATTATAAATAGCCCTACAACCAACATTTTGTCACGAGGGTCAGACATTTCAATACTTTTGTCAACGCCTCGTCGTCTTTATAGCGTAAAGTTATGTCTTTATACGATAGATGCCTATTCCAATGACTCTGCTGTCTTGGATTTTTTAGATGTTGCGTTAAAAGACAGAAATCTATTTGCCGTTTATAAGATTTATAAGATTTCATTGTATTTATTATATTTTTCTTATTTTAGTCACAAAATTGAATTGACTTAAATGTTATTGTTACGAAAATTGTTGTTTAAAGATTAATAGTAATAATAATAAAAAAAACAAACTCAAAAAACAAAAAGTAAACAAAGTATATTCGATTTTTTCTCTTTTTTTTTAAAATAAATGCTGACAATGTTCTAAAGAAATTCTACTAAATGAATGTTTCGGAGCAGAATTTCACAAACGAAATACTCATTGCTTCCAATGGATCTTTAGAACGCAAACTAAGGGCAAAAAAAGGCAATATATACAGTATACATTGTATACCATAATTATACAGTATTTCATTATTCTTTTTATTATATATTTGAAATTATAAGGAATATCCGTAATAAACAAAAAAAATTTTCATTTAATAAATTTGTTCAACGTCTTGTCTATTAATTATGTTTGTATTCTTTTGCAGATTAATTATGCTTGGCCCGATGTCCTTTCATATATCCCACCCACCTGGCAGCGGTTTTTGTAAATATACTTGATTGTTCTATCGTATTCAAGAGTAGCAATTGATTTATATGCGTTGTATGATAATCCCATCTGGCTAAATTTGGAGCTGTGCCGGGTAAGGAATAATGTCGAAGATCGTAAAAAGAACCTGAACCAGAATCGTATAACGGTAGTAAAGTTTGTAAGGATTCCTATATAAAAAAGATAAATAAAGATGGAAGTTTAAGATGAATTTGATCTTACCATTCCGTCACTATATAATTTGCCAGAAAGTTGGTCTTCGGTCAACGTATAAACATCATAGAGGCCGATTAAGGCGTAGATGAATCCATTAAGAACAAATGATGGCGGTTGAGTGGGATATTCTTCATACCAGTCATATTTATCAGCGAATTTGGCTTTAACACCACCTTTAGATGACGGTGTAGAGAGTATGAAAGCTGCTTTTTTAGCAGCTTCCAAATACTCTTTTTTTCCAGTTCTTGAATAAGCTCTACATAGTAAAGACATTGCTTGTCCCTGAGCCATCGCGGAGTACCATCCAGCGGACAATTCTAGCTCACCATTTGCTAAATTTCTATCAACGTTTATTGGCCAGCCACCACTTTTGTCTTGATTTAATAAGAGCCATTTAGAAGCATAATAGAAATAATCCAAGTGAGCTTGATTAGATAAAGTCATGTTATCAATAGCACCATTCCCAAAAAATTGAATTTTTAGCAGGTTTACTAAAATTTTATTCTTTTTTTTCATTTTTTTAGGTTTACGTAAAATCATTCCTTTAAGAACGTCTATAGCTATATTTCTAGTCAATTTAAACCAATCAGAACCTGAACTTTTCTTGCCAAAACCATAAAATATATTATTGCCTCTTGATTTAATAAGGGTATTACTCTGTACATAATATAAATTAAAAGTCTCTCCTCCTTTAACTTCCACAACTAAAAGTAAAGTTGAATTTTTGCTTATTTTCCAATCTACAGAAAAATGTTCATATTTTAAACTTGAATCAATTGGCATACTAATTGAGCCAGAGTTATCGCATTTGTAAGATAAAATTTCCTTATTGGAATTAGTTTCGCAGGAATGCACATTCCATAAATTTGAAAATTTTCCATTTTCGAGAAAAGTAGACTTTCTAGATTCCTCATTCGAAGCAAGATACTTACTATAATGAGATAATCCATATTGCGCTATTTGTATAGGATAATAGTGTCCCTGTGAACCCCATTGAGTCGAAATAGGTACACCATCAACGGCCGAAACACATTTTACCCTGTCTCTTATCTCTACATTATAAAATTTAAAAGTCATAAAGGGTCCTGAAGGTGTATGCTGCGATTCGGGTTCTATAACCCTTGAGTAACTATGTTGAAATGAAAACGCCTGCTTCTTATCAGGGCTTTGAACTAACTGGCCGTAAACCTATCAAAAAAGAGAGATCTTTTACTAACACACGTCCAGTTTAAAACACTACATTTGTCCAATGAGTAACACTCGAAAAATAACATTCATGACCTCTTTGCAAGAACATTTTTAATCCAATCTCTTGGTGGTTGATTTTAACGAGATGAAAATTAGCAAAAAATTAGTCCAACCTCTCTGTTTCTCCAAACACAGAAAAGATAAATTGTACATTCTAACGATTTTGTTTTACTAACGTATAAGTTATATGGATAAGCAGTAGAGAGAGAGAGAGAAAGAGAGATACAGAGAGCGCCAAAAGAACATCTCTACTATAAATTGGATGAAATTAATATAACAGATATGTTTCTTTTGATTAGAAAGAATTTAATATTAAATCTCAAGTAATATTTAAGTTATTAAAACGAACAGAGAGAGAGAGAGAGATCTTCATTCTAATTGGAAACATAGTAAAAATGTTTACATTCCACAAACCTTCACATTTTATGGAATGATATGATTATTATAACGAGTGCTCCTCTTAAGTGGACAAGTTGATTTATAAGGATATTTACCTCAAAGTAATTTTCAATAAATGTAAATGGCATATAGATATCATTATCAGTATCCAAACACTGTACTGAGTATTCTTCGTTTATGTTGCAGTTTATCTTTTCTATATTGTTGGAAGTATGGAGTGTCGGCAAACGGCTGCTGTATAAATATTTTTCAGCACTTAACCTAAATATACACGACAGCAAATCTATCATAAAAGTTATTTGTGCGAAATGATACAATTACTATCAAGCCTAATAAAGATTTTTATTATAATTTTTGTACAGGCTTATAAGTGTAGTCATAAAAAATCTCATTTTGAGGGAACTTTACTGCTAAACATAATCTACTATTCAAGTGGTTGATTACTAATAAAATATTGGTGATAATAATAATAGTAAAAACTTACCTTTCTCGATTGAATTCGCCCTTACCAAATGCACAGAAGCTTAGCCTATAACATATGTATATGCAACAGCAAAATAGGAATACGATGACTAAGAACCGAAGTCCTCGACGGGCCATTGCAGACTAATATGTGCAGTAGGCATCAAACCAGCCAACTTTATCCATAAATCCTAATTTAGTCAAATTACTAGCATTAATGAACCTTTCTTTGATCCTATATTATGAGAAAAATTATCCGCAGTCCACAAGCCAGACACTTTTCATTTAGTAAAAAGAGATTGTTTTGGATGTTTTTTGTCTGAACGGTTTCGTGTACGACAATTAGTGAGTAAACAAATAGCTATATGTAGCTGCATAAAAAAGACTGAGCATTTCCACTTTTCCAATGTTGTATTATAACACGGTTCCCTTAACTCTGCTGATAATTAATCACAAGAAGTGGATAGGAGTAGGATACCAGTTAACTTATGATCATGTGACTCAGAGGAATATTCCGGAAATTTTAAGCCGCTAGAAACTGGTTATACTAATCGTTGATTTAAGATAAAATTTAAAATATCTTGCTATAAGTAATTGAATATTTTTTTATATACAGCTAGGTATATTAATATTTTCTATTTAAACTTTCAACCTTCGAATTAGACTAGTTTTCTATTACGAAATTAATTTTTATCTTACTTTCATTGCCTCTTTTCTACAAACTGTTAAAAACATGCATTTTTTTAGCTTGACAACATGTCGAAAAATCACTCCTTTGGCAAAATGGAAGTTATTGAATCAGAAGACAAAAGCTTCAACAAACATATTCTTCAAGAAGGAACAGGAGAAAAGCTTATCAACGAAGGTTTCATTTTCACACATTCTAAAAGAACATTCAGATATTCATAAAACTATCATTTATTAAGGTTCCCTCGTAAAGGTATATATCTGTTGTATCGATAATCCCGATATGGATAAAGATCTTTTGGGCAACTATACGTTGAATGAATACTTTGACGTTACCATTGGAGAAGCGGAGTCAAGTATCGCTGAACTGTTGGATAAAATATTAATAACGATGAAAGAAGGAGAAAGAGCATATGTTAAGACAAAAATGGATCAGAGTGGAAACTTGACGTCAAAATCTATAACACATGACAGTCTTAATTTGAAGAAAACAGAGTCGGATTGTCTCTTAAAATTTCAAGTATTTCTCAATCTTGATAAAAAGCTTTAAGATGTTTGACAATATACACGTTTTCAGATATCGGTACAAAGTGTCACTCGATCTGCAGATATATCTGATCTTGAGGCTGACGAGCGAATAGAAAGGGCAGAACACTATAAAGAAAAAGGATCAATTTTATACAAGAATAATAATTTGACATTTGCAGTGAAGAAGTATCGGAATTCAATTAAATATTTAACTTCTATACCAGAGGAATCATTACCGAAAATTCCTGAAAAACTCCGTCAAGAATTTCGTCGCTTGGTTCTGCTAAATCATTTGAATTTAGCTCTTTGCTTTTGGAAGATAGAAGAATGGGATTTAGTTTTAAAGCATTGCGATGAAGCTCTCTCTCTCGATCCAAATAATGTGAAGGCATTATATCGTAGGGCTCAGGGCTACTCAAACAAGTATAATTACGAAGCAGCTTTAAAAGATTTAAACAGTATTTTAAAGATAGAAGAAGGAAATAAGGCTGCCCTTAAGGATATTAAAATCATTTCCGCTAAAAAACAACAAGAAAAAGATATGTACAAAAAGATGTTCAATTCGTAAACTCTTTCATTTCTGCCATGTGTTGGATTGTTCTACTTGAAGCAAATTGTAATATCTTATGAATTGTTCTTTGAGTGTTATTCAATATATCATTTAAGAATTTGTCATCGTTTGCAAATTGAATTATAGCTATAAATTTATAACAGCTGAATGAGTGTAAAGCGAAAAAATAGGGAGGCTAAGTTTATTATAAGACAAATTAACAGGGTTGCTTTTAAATGCACAGTTTTTGAGAGAAATAGTTCTTGCTAATATTTAACGATAACGATTATACAAATCTCAAAAAGTTTATTATTATTTACTGTACGTTTTAAAGATGACTTTTAAGATGGTACTTATAAGTTAAATAAGATTCAACTTTGACGTGGATGAAGGATTAGATATCACTGTGTTGGAATTTCTTTCTCTTTGAATTGCCGCTATTTTCTTACCTTTTCCCTCCATTATTAACTTGATATCTTCAAAATCAAGGGTTTCATACTTCAGTAATGCTTTAGCTAGTTCTTTGTGTTCTTTGTGGTGTTGTCTCAGTATGGTCTTAGCTCGATCATATGATTCCTAGAAGAAAGAATTTAATATTAGATTTTTTTGGCCCATCATGGGAGAATTACAGATAAATACATACATATAAAAGCCTCCTTATTTCCGAATCCACCAATTCAGTTGTCGCTGGGCTAACGTCATTAACCTTTAGGGTCGTTAAACCCGAATCGAATTCACTATCATCAAATACCCTAACTCCCACCTTATCTGACATTCCAAACTTCTTTACCATCGATTTGGCGAGATTGGTTGCTACAAGAAAGTCAGAAGAAGCCCCTGTTGTTACATTTTCACTTCCATAAATCAACTCTTCAGCTACGCGCCCTCCCATGGCGACGTCCATTTGGGCAAGTAGTTGAGCTTTACTCTGATTATATTCTTCTTTTTCAGGTACAAATGAAGTATGACCAAGGCTCATTCCACGTGGTACAATTGTTACTTTATGAAGAGGCGTTGCGTTTTTTGTGTAAAAAGCCACAATGGTGTGACCGGCTTCATGGTAGGCAGTCATCTTGTTGGTTTCTTCATCGGGTATCCTAGTTTTCTTAGCTGGTCCCATAAGAACCTTATCTTTCGCGTACTCTAAATGTTCCATAGATACAGCTACAGCTGAATCCATTGCTGCTTTTAAAGCTGCTTGGTTTACCATATTTTCCAGGTCCGCTCCTGTACATCCTGTTGTTCCTCGTGCTAGTTTATCAATGTCTATAGATGAATCAATCGTTATTCTCTTCAAGTAATGTTCAATAATATCCCTTCGTCCCTTTAAATCAGGCGGGAAAACACGAACTTCAACATCAAATCTTCCCGGTCTCAATAAGGCCTTATCTAGGTTATCACGTCTATTCGTAGCGCCCAATACAATAACTCCTACAGTTTGCTGGAATCCATCCATTTCAGAGAGTAATTGATTTATTGTTTGATTAGCGTATGGATGTATCTGGGAGCTAGTTCTTTTAGCCCCGACCGTATCTATTTCATCAATAAAAATTACACATGGGGACCTAGCCTTAGCAGCATCAAACAGTTGTCTAACTCTCTTTGCACCAGTTCCGACAAAAATTTCATCAAACTCTGAGCCAGAGGCATGAAAAAAAGGAACCGACGCTTCTCCAGCAACAGCTCGTGCTAATAAAGTTTTACCAATACCAGGAGGGCCAACTAACAAGACTCCTTTGGGGAGCTTCGCTCCTAATTTCTTAAACCTCTCTGGATCTCTGAGGAATTCCACGACATCCTGAAGCTCCTCTTTGGCCTCATCAACTCCCATCACATCATCAAACGTAACATTAATTTCTTCAGGATTGACTTCATATCTTTCGCCTTTTAGGACATTCAAACCTTTCATATCTGTAAAATAGTTATATTTTAGCATTATTCGGATGTTATGAAAAACAATAAATAGCAAGCTTTTTTCTTAAGCCTATTAGTTTACCATTTTCCATCACTAAAGTACAAAATTACAGAGATAAGGTATTTTCATAAGATCAGCGTAAAGAGAGCAATACTTACTACCGCCTATGACCGTGAAACCCTGGAGAATTTGGAAAACGATCCATATTAGTAGACCGTACCAAAAAAATTTAAAGAACCAACGGGATACAGTCGAAGTTTCAGCCTGTTGACCCTTTCCCGATTGATCTATACAATTCGTAGATTTATAAATTTATATATATGCAAATTTATTAATATAACATTTTTAAACTACACACTTGCTGAATAACCTTCTGCGAAAGCAACTTTTAATTGTTCTTGAACTTGCGGTTGCTTTTCAAAAGAAGAAATTATTTTCTTTAGATTTTGACTGTCCTGTCCACTACTTTCTGACGATTTTTTCATCACCTTCTCTCTCAGCTACATGATAAATGGAATCAAATATAGATAAATTCTATATTTTTTACATTTCTTACCGAATCTTTTAGTTGATTTAGAAACGCCATACTAGAATCAGTATCAGCCGATATTTTCCCCATACCCCTAGGATTTGGTCTATACTTAAAAGTTCTTATTTGTTGTTGGAGAAAGCCTAAATAGAATGCATTGGTTAATACAAGCATAGTAAATAAATGCAAGATATTACTAGAAAAGTTGTGTTTTCGATTAATAAAGTTCGGTAAGGTAAGTTTGAACGCTTCAACAGGCCTGTTAGAGAGTACATCTTCCAAGAGGTGAGTCCCTGGAAAAAATTAATGTATAAATATATGTGAATACAGTGTCTCTTTTATTATAACAATTATGAGTCAATGTCGTACTTAAAAGGATTGTATTTCTATGTTATAGCAATGAAAGATATAGTCAAAATAATAAGTATTACTTACTATTTTCTTGCCCAAATATTTCTTTTGTGTCATTTAGGTTTTTAGCCAAGTTTAAACTTTCAAAACTTTTCGCATCTTTTTTAAATATTGCTTCAATTTTTATGTGCTTAACAAGATTCTCCAAACCAATTTCTTTCAAATCAGTTTTCACCTGAATATGAGATATAGAACAGAGCATTAACTATTTTTTTTTGCTATTTATCTTTAGCATTTAATCAAAAAAATGAGATTGAAAATTTTTAATGCTATTTGAAAGAAGTCATGACAAATATGGCATAATTTAATAATTTTGTTGAAAATTAAAGAATTGCTTGAGTAAAACGATGCAACCCTAGGAGTATATGTGTTTTTATATATGCACTTATATATTCAGTACAAAGTAGTTGAAAATATGAACATACATGCTCTGTGAAATGCTTCGTAATATCCTCTGTCTCTAGCTTTTCCAAGTCATTTAGATTACTTTCTTTCTGTACTTTTGTGCTTACTTTTCGTCGAGCAGGTAGCATTGACCGAAAGGATGACCATGCTGCTCCGATTTGAGATAAAGGTAGGATGAGTTGCTAAAATCAGATAACAACACATTGTCAGCGATTAATCCGATAATTTTTCGACGTAATACCAACCTGCGAATGTCTTGAATTTATTGGAAACATTGATATTATATATTTTTTTTATGTGGTTGCAGTATTTTTGACTTATTTCGTAAGCGATATTTAGGGTTCCGTTTTTACTGCAATTACCGGTAGCGCTAAATGGTGGAAAGAGCTGCTAGAACTCTAAATCACATATTTTAATTATCACTTTTCCTCAACTTAAGAAATATACTTCCTTTTAGATGAAAGATATAGTTAACTTGCATAGTTTACTTAAAAAGTAAAAGTTCTAATAATTGTATTAATAAATTTTTTGCGTGAATTTGTGTCACTTTTCGTAAATAATTTTAAATACTGAGTTTAAAGTACATAATCATTTTTTCAATTGGGAAAGCAGCTTAATGTCTAATTATAAAATTAAAGTTTTGCGTCATGAATAATATGAGACTTCTCCATATTTTCCTTCCTGGCTTTTTAGCTGGACCCATTATTTTGTACTAAATAACCTTGAACTCCGTTCCTTACAAAATCATGTATTCTCGGTAAAAGCTAATGATTTGTTGTTGAAAAACATATGGCAGCCATTTTATCAAACATACTATATGCTACGTCTAACACAAACTTTATTTTCGTAATTCGCAGTGAAAATTCTTGACTTTTGGTATTTAATTTCATATTTTAAAATATAGAGTAGCACTAAAATTCTATTTAATTTAAAATCTTTTCGACAGTGCTAAACTATACACGGAGTTAAAACATAATTTTAAGTATTACTTTACAATATATTCTTTCTAAAGTAGGCTTTAAGTGAGGCTAAAACACTTAACTTGCGTTAAATAGTCTAATGAATAGTACAAAATTATTAGATATTAAAAATATACAGGACTTTTAACTTGTAAACTTTTCAATAAATTGAAAATTATATAAAAACTTTCAAATTTATATTTTTATTCATATTAGGCAAAAGTTTCATTATAGTAATATTTAGTAGGTAGATTAATAAATATAATAACTTTTTACACTTAAATTGAATATGACTGTGATAAATGATTTATTTCAATGCACGTAATTTAGTTGTAGCGTTGATATGTTTACTATCATGGCGCCTAGTCAACGAGACTTCGAAATTTGTTGTTGAAATAAGTAAAAAAATAGAAGACATAATGGCTACACCATCATCAATATCAACTGTAAGTCAAATATCAGGAGTAAATAATGCAGTTGAACAACTTCAAGAGCTTGGTATGTTTTTAAATCAGAAAGTTTTAATGGAAATAATTTCTCTTTATAAAAATCTAATTTAGCCATTCGAATGAAGACAAAAGGGGTAGGATTTAGCAGTGAAGATGTTGACAGTGTCGATTATGTAATTGATGCCTTAAATAAACTGGTATGTAATAGTGTAATTTAATTAATAAAAGTTATAGTTTAATTAAAGAAAAAAAATCATCTATCCAGGACGAGGAAAGAGAACTTATTAGACAAAAGTTAGAAACAGAAACAATAAATGCAAGTGTTCTTAGGCATGAACTGAAAGAATTTCCTACAATAATTAAAAAGGAAATTTCGGCTGCTGTCAGTGCGGCAAGGGCTGCCAATGCCGATAACATTCAACGACTTAAACAGGAATTATTTGATATGAATGAAAATATTGAAAGACTTGAAAACGAACATAGACAATTAGATGTTGAAAATGCTGAATTATTGTAAGTTTTTCAACTTCCGCTTATTTTCATCAAATCGCTCAGATTTCTCAATTAATATCACTAACACTAGGTGTCACTACATGTCAATTAATTAAAAAATTTCCACAGACCTCGCAGAGACGAAATTCGAGAAAAACATAACGATATTATACACTCTTTGAACGAAAGAATGGCCGAAAAAGCAGCGTATGTTAAAACATTATATTAGTAAAATAAACGAATAAATAAATACTTTGAATTTGAATATTATAGAAAACAAATAACTTTGAACGAAACAAGAGATCAACTTCGAGAAACAAATGAAAAGGTTCTTTTTTTTTCGTATTTTTAAACTTCAAATTATTAAAAATGTTCTTAACATCACTCTGTATTCACTCTGTAGATATTAGACTTGGAGGATGGAATTACACAATTAAAAGAAGCTTTAATTGCTGAAAGGGCTCAAGTAAGAATGGAGAAGAAAAAATTAAAAAAGGCTGTTGTAAGTAAAGATTAATTACCTTATTATCCAATTTAAGATTATTTGGAAAAATTACTATTCTATTCCAGTATGATACAACCTTGAAAAGTAGGGAACAGCAAGAATTAAATACTGGTAAAAAAAAGTAAGCAATTGTTTATTATTCATCATTTTAATAGAATAAAGGTATTATCTTTAAATTCTTATTTATTTAGAGAAATGGATGGTTTATATGAACTATTAACCGAAAGTGAAGAGAAACTAAGTCTATTAAAGAAGGTAATATCAATCTCTTCCCTTTTCCCCACATTACTCTTCTCAAAACTTGTCATTTTTCTTTTCTTTTTTTTTGTTTAATAGACAATAAGAAAATTTGAACAATCACGTAACGTTTTAACTGAAAAAGAAAAGAATTTGTCGGATCAATTACGGCGAGAACATCAGGAGAATGAAGCTTTACGTGAAGAAGCGTAAATTTTTTATAATATCTCCCTAAATATAAAGAGTTTTAACTATTTAATTGAAAATAAAAGGAAACGACTAAGAATAGAAAGGGAAGAAGCTGAAAAGAATTTTTCGCAAATGAAATCCGAAAGATCAGACTATATAAAAGAGGTTACATTTCTCTTTCCTTTCTATTATCTTTTCTGCAAATTTTTACTTTTTAGTTGAAAGCAAATTCTGAAAAATTAGCATCTGAATGCGACATTCTTAAAAGAGAAAGAGATGCACTTATCGTTGGTAAGTTTAGAATAAAAATATTAATTTTACAGTGCGTCGAAATAAATGATTATCTTTAAAAGATTTAAATGAAAAGTCTAATATACGTAAAAGAGATTCAAAGATTGTTAAAGAAAAGCAACAAAAGTTTGTTTAATTATTTAGTCATTGTGTAATTTTAATTATTATTCTTTTAAAAAGGTTAAATGATTCAAAGACTGAATTTGCTAACTTGGCCGAAGATACCGCTAAAATGAGACAAGATATAGTTGAAATGGAAGAGAGAATGATTGAATTAAATGAGTCACACGAGTAAGAACGTTTGCCCCCTCCTTTTTCTAGCGTTTTCCACTTAATCAAGCGTTACCCGATAGGGTGAAAGAAAATTAATTAATAAATTCAATTTTAAGTCTATTTTTAGGCGAATAGCGTCTCGATTTCATGAGAATTCTGTTTAAGCCCTTTGCCTCATTTTACTCTCTTTTCGCACTCTAAAAAAAGGGGTCTGTTAACCAGAACATAAGAATTACTATCACGCAAGCCGTCACCTTGTGGACGACATTCTATAATTAATACAAGAATTAGTTAAATTACTACATAATGTAATAAAGATAAAAATAAATTTGATCCAATTCCAGGGCAATAGTCGCTACTCTGAATAAACAAATTGAGGAGGCAAGGCAGCAGTTAGGAAAGGAAAGGAAAGAACGGTATACCTAGTGCAATTAAATTAAATTGTATTATTAAAATGGGGCGATTTCCTAAAATAGAATGGAAGCTCAAGCTAAAAGAGATGAAGTACAGCAGAAAATTGATGAAGTTCGATATGAAGCCAATAAAAGTATGACTCTGATGAGCAAAGCCATTAACGAAGGCAAAAAGGAACACGATAGTCTAGCTAGAGAGGTAATTAAAAAACAAAATTCTTTTAAAGGGCTATAAAAGAATCTTTTACCTATATATTATCTATCAGGGTACTCAACTTCAAAAATCCATTAGAGAAAACGATTCTAAAATCAAAAGTTTAGCAATGGAATTAACTAATCTTCAAAAACTCTACGAAGATAAAGTTCAATCATTTAATAAAGATATTGCCGATCACGAGGTTATATTTAATATTAATCAAACTAGTTAAAAAAAAAACAACAAAAACAATAATAAACAAACATAAAATAATGAATTAGGACGAAGAAGAGAAGCTAAAATTGAAGAAAGAACATTATTCCGTAGTTATTGGTGAAAAAACTGAACCGTTTAAACAATTAGAAGCCGAGTACGAAGAAAGAACAAAAGCTTATAATGAATTAAAAAGTGAAGTTGTTAGTGAGTAGTGTTTATGATTATAATTTCCGTTTTAGATTGAATTTATGATACTTAGGTTCGAATAATACTAGGATGATGTATTTAGCCGAATATAATAAACATAATACAGAAATTATAGATAGAGTGGTTAGAATTAGCTTAAGATTTGACTTAATTAAATAGACTATTCAGGATAGCTTTAACTTTTTCTTCTGAATTCGAACCATACTTTTTACAGCACAAAAAATTAAAAAGAAACAATTAGAAGAATCTGTTAAAAATGCTTCAACAGAAATTGAAACTATGATTAATCCTAGAGTAAGATTTTATCATTCTAATTATTCAAAAAATGTATATCTTTTATATTTTAACGAAAAATTAGAGTACAATAAAGAAAGAATTAAATGCTAAAAGGCAAGAACTAAAGCATTGTATGGAGAGACGTCATAGCGATCATAAACAATTAGAATCCGATATTTATGACGCTACAGCAAAATTGGAAACAATTAACGAAGCGAATAGAAATTTTAAAAAAGTAATTTTGTTTTTAA